CCAACACCAGTATCGGATTGGTGCATCCCTAAAATCAAGTAACTCCAGAACAACTTTGGAAATATTATGAGGTATTTATCGACCAAAATGGATATTGACTGAGCCGATATCTTGGAACCGATATCTGATCTATCAAAATTTTCAACATTGGTGCAGATTTCTGATACCGGTGTTGTATCAGTGCATCCATAACTACTTGTGTAATTGTGAGGGAGATTTAAATTTAAAACAAGGAAAAACAGAAAGTTGAACCTTATCATTATTTTATGTCATTTTAGTTTTGTGTTTTGTGTCTTAGTCCTTTCAGATGAATACAGTGTCACCTCTCTGACTGAATCATCCTCAGTTTGAAGCGATTGTTCAGGAAACAGAAAAGAGTTGGTCCATTTGTGCGGACAGAGAAGACGTTGAACTTTGTGTCAGTTTCATGTGCGTAGGTCCAGTAGTTCCAGAGACATGAACCATAAAGCAGATGTGTTTGGACAGGTGAAAGGTCAATTCTTCCATACATGTCTGAGCTGTTACGTATGGACTCTTTACACTGCTGTGACGTCATACCTGTGGTGGGCGGGTCACACCTGTTTGTCATCATGTGATCTGTGGCCATTCCTCGATTTGGACCCTTACCTGATCTGGCACCGCTCCTCAAACTGAGCATGTCCACATAGTCTACATTCAGACTGGAGCCTGAAGTGACCCAAATTTGATCTTTTGACATGTGACTTCAGTCTGAATGACCAAAGTGCATTCATCCACCTACACGTTATCAACAAGCCACAAACGTCTCTATTCTGCACTGAAGTAGGCGAAAATTGTTAATGAACTCCGTGTCACTGAAGTGAAGCACATCACCACTCACCACTCTTGGCTCCGTCTCCACATCCACACATTCCTTTCAACTGACGTCGCTGCCGCTGCCCTACAAAACACCACGACCAAAAACCTCGTCCTTCTCAATCTCCTCCTTAAAACAAGTAAGTTGTTCATGTTCTGGCTCTGGTACGAGAGGAACTTTAAAATCTCCAGGTGCTCAATGCTCGCGTCCATGTTTGGACAAACACAGAGCACGCTCGCTGCGGTTGGCGTCGTCGTGTCTCCAGTGCACATGTGGGACACTTTTGGGCCGTTTAATGTTCGCACTGGAGACACATACAAATCGCATTTAATTGGAAATGTGAACGACCTCACAAAAAAATCGCATTTCACAAAAAAATCTTGAATTGATCGTTAAGCCCTGCAGTCTGAACGTAGCCATAGTTTGGTGCAGACTCTGAAGTTGCTGTAGAAACTTTGGACAAACCTCATTTTTGAGATTGGCTCGATCAAACTCTTGGAATATAAACTATTTTACTTATAAATACTCCCAGTCTGTGAAAATGTAGTATTGAAATATTTTAAGACAAAACAGAGCTGAATAAAGTCCGGTGTCCTGTCGATTTGAGCTCCCTAGTGCTACTGCCCTATATGACAGCAGAATACAACTGTAAAAATGAACTACCTCTGCCCAAATTCATATAAATGATTATTATTTGATGGCTATATTGGCCTTTTGATATGTGCTGCCTTTAGTCTGAGCCCTGTTTGATAGCAGAATATGACTGTCGAAATGAGCTACCTATGCATATTCATTCAAGTGAGTTGAAACTTGGCATAACTAAGAAAACAGAAACAGCAGCAAACCTACGTCTCTAAACCAAAGAAATGTGTTGTCAGACTGGGGAGGTCAGGGTCAGAGTTTGGCTTTACTGGATTTAAACTGTAAACGGAAAAACGTACGGAGAATGCAGCGTGAATCGATAGATGTCACTGTCGATTTTAGGCTGCGGGGAGCTCATTTCGATGGGGCAGCCCATTTCCAAAATGGGTTACTTTGATGACTATGATGAAATGCGATTGTTTTTCTTTATATTTCTAAGAATAAACTCTTAATCCTCTTAAACAAATGACAGAATCCCACATAAACACTTCTAAAAGAGTTCAACACGTTCAATTCAAAAGGTGCCAAATCAGGGAATGACAGAGTACGAGTGTTTGTCATGTGACCCGTGGTGGGCGTGGTCATAAACTCACCTATATGTAAACAGCGGTGGGCGGGGTTACACTTGTTTGCTGTCATGTGATCTGTGGTGGGCGGGGTTACACTTGTTTGTGTGTGATGAGGAAATGCCAAAAACTCCTGAGTTGGTCCATCCTCCGTGTGTGTGTGCTGTACGTGTGTCGTGCCCAGGGAAGCCGCTTTGGATCTCCTGTAGCTGCACCTGTCCTCCGCACCTGTCCACTCCTCCTCTTTATTCTACACCATCCCAGCGTCTGTTACTGCCTCTGTACTGTCCTCGAGTGTCCGCTGTTTGTCAAAAAAAGCAAAAAAAAACTCTACTAAACTGGAGTGAATTTCAATAAAGACTCTGCAGACTTCCTTCACGTGGGAGCGGGCTCTGGTCTGGTCCTGGCGTATACTAACCCGACCGTGGATTTGTCCCCTTGTCCCCTCTGTGGACACACTGTTGTCTGTGTCCCCCGTCTGTCCACATGCGTCCTAACACTTGTCTTAGATTGGACACAGCGCCCACTCTCTTTCTCTAAAGCAATGACCAGTGGGACCAGACCACTCGGAGGGGCTTCCACACCACATCTCCTCTTTGGTTTTGTACAATGTCTTTGGCACTTTAACTCCAGCGTGACACGTGTACATAGCAAACCTGTATTTTACTCTGCTGATGTCACAATAAATATGATCTGTAATGTTCACTCTGGTGGTTTCTTAAAGAGATGAGAAGATAGTTGTATTAGTAGTAGATATGTTATTATATTGTTATTTTCATCCCTGACAGTTTGTTCTGCTCCCTGTGCTCGTCCTCAGAGTCACGTGATGTTGCTGTGACGTGTCTGTTCATCTGATTTAAATACGTTTTGGCGCTGTCTTCCTACCGGTGAACACAGGACGACAGTGACAAAGAAAACTTACTCATCCACCCAAAAGACAAAATAGAACCAGAGCATAAATGTAATGTCATATACGAAACACCTGCATGTTCTGCTGTAAAACACATCAGGGAAACAGGGAGGATGTTCAGTTCACGAAAAAAGGAACATAGGACAGAATGTGGGAAGGAAACAGCGAAGATGAAACACGAGCAACAAAACACAAAACAGAACAGGAACAACTCAAATCATCGGTTTGTGACAGTGTAAAAGAGAGAAGCAAAATCTGGACTGAGACGGAGCAAACATCACTGGGACGGAGGAAAACATACAAAAGTGAAAAAATGCATAGCACACTAAGATTGCCGATGTCCAAAAGCTTATTTATTTACAAAATAATGTTTCTGCCAAAAAATTCTTCATCAGATATTTTTCTTGTCTTGGACCACAGCACACAAAATGCTTGCCAGCCCAAGTGCCCATATACCCCCTCAATGAATGGGAGGTCCCAAAGTGAGGTCACCCAGTGAGGTCACCCACTCTACAACAAGAAACAACAGTTTAGATATTTACATAAAAAACATTCTATAAAATACAGAAATAGTATATCACAAAAAGCATCTTCGATCAAACTCCACAGTCAGTCCATGAGGAGTTAGAGTCTTAAATTGGTGAATCCAGAAGTTTCTTTTTGACAGGATCATTTCTAGATTCCCACCTCTAGGGGGCAGCTCCACATGTCCAATGGATGGTTAAAACCAACAAAATGAGCCGCCACAGGATAGTTCATGTTTTTACATCTGATTGTGCTCCTATGCAACACTAAGTCTGTTATTTACATGATCACCTGTCCCTGTGGTAAAACCTCTGTGGGTAAAACAAGCAGGGCTTTAAAAACATGCATTGCAGAGCATAGGGATGTAAACCACATAATCCCTGCACGCCGGTGAGTCTGTTACACTAGAAATGTAGTGAGTTTGATTGACAACCTTACAGCCAATAGATAAAGAGGGAGCCTTGTTTTTTATTGGCTGATGTTTATGTCGCCTCAATATGTCCACAGTTGATAAATTTTCATTCTTTTTTTTTTTTTTTTTTTGGTCATCATAATTACAAGGCTGCTGCGTCTCTGTAATGATATTTTAAATTTTCATTGACAATTTGAAACAAACAAACAAAAAAAATCCTCCATACAACCTTTAATGTGCCTTATAGTCCGGTGGGGTTTATATGTGAAAAAAGTTTGAAAATAGACCATTCAATGACAGTGTGCCGTATAATCCAGAGCGCCGTGTAGTGCAGAAAATACGGTAACAAAGGGGTCCATCGGAATTAGACTGGAATCTGTTCCACTACTTAGGAGAACGACTTTAGCTTTATACCTTTCTAAAGACACCTGATGTAACGAGCTGGTGATTTTGGACAGTTTTATGTTGTTTGTGCTGTTTAAAGTTGCCACGATGATATTGTAAACTGAATAACACCAACCCGAATCTTTACCTCCAGTATGGCTGTCAAAACATTAAATCACGTGACTGACACATCACACTCAAATCCTCAATAGGGAATACCCTGCATGTCTTATAATAAAACATACATGGGAAACAGAGGGCTTTCAGTGCACGGAAAAAAGAACATAGGACAAAATGTGAGTAGGAGACAGCGAGGGCGCAACACCAGCAACAAAACACAAAACAAAACAGGAGCCACTCAAACCGGCCATTTGTGACCAGTGTAAAAGAGAGACCCACGGGACTGTGAACCTTAATGATAGGATGACCCGGAGAGGAAGAGCGCAGCAAAATCTGTGTACATCAGCTGAGCAGACGCATCACAGGAACATCATGTGACCACGATGATGAAGACAAGTGACAAGTCCAAACTGTCAGGTGTAAAAACTAAACATTGCTCTGCCGTAATCCCTCAGTCATCCAGGTATGACCCAGTTGACATATTTAGTTTTTTCGTTTGTTATAAATGTTGATCTGAAAAAGAATCAACTAGAACTAGGAAGGTGGATTTAAGACTTGAAAAGAAGTAAACATGACAAACAAACATGAACCCAGACAAAGTACAGGTTGGCTTTTTTTTTAGCAAGTTTATTTCTTCTCGGCTCAGTGGCTCAGATGACAGTTCATAAAAGCACATGTAAAAAGTGTAGAAAAGACCAAGGAACCTTCACTTCAAAATAAATATAATAAAAACATGTGTATCATGTCACAACAAGGCACTGCGGGTTTGGAAAGGCACAGCTCCACAAAACAAAACCATTTCTACAGCATACAGAGCCCTCCACTAATACTGCCTGTGTTCACACGCACGCTCAAGTCTGATCATGATCAGATTTCTGGAGTGATCAGACTACTGAAATGTCATAAACAGTTCTAGCTAATGTGAGTGATATGATTTGTTCTCGCCTGTGCAGGTTTGTCTTATATTACAGAAGAGTGACTCTTGTGAGTGTTAAGACACATGAGAATGTTGTTACCTTCTCAAAAACAGACCTGGAGCTGTGTTTTGTTTCATTCACACATTTCAGTAATGTTGATTTATTGGTTTATTATTTTGTCTACATCTCCAAAGCTCAAAATGCTTTGTTCAACCTTGTGATGTCATGAAGTGGTAGTTTTCAAGTTAACAGCTGTGGGGATAAGTGAACAAAGTGATTTTTCTGCCTGTTTGTGGTTCATTTACATTCAGAGATTTGATTCTGAGCCTGTTTACACTGAAGCTCATCTCTGATGGACTGCCATAATACTGTTTGAATATTGTCACTGGAATGATAAAAAGTGTACTCTGACTGACTGGTGCGTAGGATGAGAGGTAGAAACAGAACCTGTGTGCAGCCCACCAGCAGGTCTGTGCTCCAGCGCTGGTTCAGACTCGTAGTATGAGCGACAACAGGTTCACTGACCAATCATACGTCTCCACTCGGGGAAGGTGCTGATCTCTCCGCTCTCGTTCACCTGCTGCTCTCCGTGAGTCAGGGTCAGTTTGTAGCGCAGACGCACCGCTTTCTGACAGGGAGGACATGGATATTAGACATTTGACTGGAACTGTATGTAGTCTGTCTTACGAAGGCACTTTGATCACAAGTGAACAGGGGTTGTCAGTAGGGTTGGCAAAATATAGAAAATCAGATACGATAGAAATGTTTGCATATTTAATGTAGAAAATCACATTCTGTTACTAAAGAAAGACGGGTTTTTTATTATCATTGTAGTATTGGAATCGGAATTGAGTATCAGTATTATAGAAATTTGACATTTTACTATCATGACAAAACTAGTTGCCAGTGCCTTAACCTGCAGATAAAGAACACAAGTTCTCCTTGTGTAAAAAACCAGAAGTACTTCTGATCAACAAGTTATATTTGATTCGAACATGTTTATCTCATATTAGAGGACACAGTTAGACAGATACATGCAGTATATACATACTTTACTAATTCCAAAGGAAATTCATAATGATCAACCTACTGCTGCTACTACTACTACTACTACTACTACTACTACTACTACTACTACTACTACTACTACTAATAATAATAATAATAATAATAATAATAATAATAATAATAATAATAATAATAATAATAATAATAATAATAATAATAATAATAATAATAATAATAATATTATGTGCAGACTATTGCTGAGAGAGTATTTTGATTGTGGGCAAAAATGATCAAAAATAAGAAAGATGCAGAAACAGGTGATTAAAAATAAAACAAATCTATGCACACCTAAAAAACATGGTATTTGTGTATTTTCTACTTAATCCTACAGCCTTCTGGTGTAACACTTTCAAAGGCACATGTAAGCCTGTTTCTCAATGTTTTATTAAATATTCTGTAACAGAATAAAAAATTCAAAAAGCCACTTCAGCTAAAATAAGAGACTTATTATGCACTAGAAGTACAAACATACAGTACTGTCCTCCAACAGGCCTCAGTGAAATCCTCCTCCACACAGAGCCCTGGGCTTGAGCTGTGTCTCACCTGTTGTGGGTTGTCCAGCAGCAGGACCTGGGAGAGGGCAGCAGGGGGCAGCAGAGGGCTGTAGGGGGGGAGCTCTGAGCCAGAGGCAGGCTGCAGCTTCACACACATGCTCTGAAACACAAACAGCATATGTGACGGAAAAGGACACAACCATGAAACTATAACACAAAAAATCTAGTTATTTATTATAGAAGAAGTGTCACTATGACAGAATAGTTTCAGATGACACAATCTGATGCTCAAGTAAAGAGCACATGGAGAGGCCCAGCCCCATCACCAGCCAATGCCTACACAGGCCTCTCAGAGGGAGGCATTATTCAGTCACTCCTTGGTGGTGGTAAGCTACTACTGTAGCCACAGCTGCCCTGGGGCAAGCTGATGCAAGTGCAGCTGCCAATCTGCACCATCGGCCCCTCCCACACCACCAGCACTCACACACCACATTCATATTAGGCTAAGGACAAAATGACTGAACATGGTCAGAGTGGGGATTGATCCTCTGACCTCCAGGTTGGGAGACTGCTGCCTAACCACCAAGGTTAAAGCACTTTAAAAACACAGAGAAACATGGATTCCCTCTTGATAAGACCAGAGACACTGACTCTATCCTGACCCTTGAGGTTGGAGCAGTGGGAGTTTATAGATTATCCCCAACAAATAGCTGAGTGCATTTTTGTTGATCTGATGTGATTCCTATCCCCATACCTGATACCTGATACCTGATACTCGATACCCGATACCGGTGCCTGTACTGGTGCATGTGGACCTAATCCCTGTTAAATAAGATACTCATGTAAAATAATAGAGCTTTAAATATCTATGACACTTATATACGCATCTTTCATCTACACACTTTTATATAAATACCTTCCTGCAGAAGTGTTTGAAAGGTTTGCTGACTGTGTTCACCTTTGGGACAGCAGCCTGGAAGCAGAAGCTCGAGACCCTGAGTGCAGAAGTGTTGACAGTGGATAGGACCAGCACAGCTACAGAAGGACGTCCCACTGGAGGGTCTCTGGAGAAGTGCAGGGACACGTGCACCCCTGCCCTGTCCAGCACCGGGACAGGCTCCAGGTGACCTACACAACAGAAAACACACAACCCAGTGATCAGAGTGATCAACCCAGTGTCATAATCATCATCTAAGCACTGATACAACAAGTGTCATGAAGGTGTACAGACTTTAGGAGCTTCATGGATCAACTCTAGCTCTTCCTCTACCAGTGAGACCGACTCTGTTGTATTCAATGTATTTCAGTTCAATTTAAGACCGATTTTTGTATTGCTTTTCATCTTGCTGCTGTTCTTTAGTGGGCTGGGGTCCAAACCTCTCATGTGTGTCTGCAAAGATATTCAGAACTAATAATAAACTACAACAACAAGTGTGTCATACTTTGACATGACTTGCTTTATATAGAGCTTTACAGAGTATTATTCACTTTACAAATCTGAGCACCTCTTCGCAGGTCAAATTAGATTAACCCGTGGGTCTCACTTTAGGAACCAGTTATAAACATAAATATACAATATTCAGAGTGATTTCTGCATGTTTCAATACTCCTGTGTCCTCCTCCATCTGAGGCTTGAGCGCTCAGAAAATGTGTGTTCACCTACCCCCCATCCCCAGCACCAGCCAAAAATAACAATCACAGCATCACAGAACATGCCTCTGTGTTATGTGTGTTACATGTGTGTGTGGTATATGTATGGTATGTGTGCGTGCGTGTGTGTGTGTGGTGTGCAGTATGTGTGTGTGGTACGTGTGTGTGGTACGTGTGTGTGTGGTACATGTGTGTGTGTGTGGGGGGGGGTATGTGTGTGTGTGGTATGTGTGTGTGTGTGTACGTGTGTGTGTGTGTGTGTGTGTGTGGGTGGTATGTGTGTGTGTGTGGTACATGTGTCTGTGTGTGTGTGGTGTGTGGGGGGTGGTACATGTGTGTGTGTGTGTGGGGGGTACGTGTGTGTGTGTGGTACGTGTGTGTGTGTGTGTGTGTGTGTGGGTGTACGTGTGTGTGTGTGTGTGTGTACATGTGTGTGTGTGTGTGTGTGGGGGTATGTGTGTGTGTGTGTGTGTGTGTGTGTATGTGTGTGTGTGTACGTGTGTGTGTGTGGGGGGTACGTGTGTGTGTGTGTGTGTGACGTGTGTGTGTGTGTGTGTGTGTACGTGTGTGTGTGTGTGTGTGTACGTGTGTGTGTGTGTGTGTGGGGGGGTATGTGTGTGTGTGTGTGTGTGTACGTGTGTGTGTGTGTGTGTACGTGTGTGTGTGTACATGTGTGTGTGTGTGTGTGTGTGTGTGTGTGTGTGTGTACATGTGTGTGTGTGTGTGTGTGTGGGGGGGGGTACGTGTGTGTGTACGTGTGTGTGTGTGTGTGTGTGTGTGTGTGTACGTGTGTGTGTGGTACGTGTGTGTGTGTGTGTGTGTGTGTGTGTGGGGGGGTGTACGTGTGTGTGTGTGGTACATGTGTGTGTGTGTGTGTGGGGGTATGTGTGTGTGTGTGTGTGTGGTACGTGTGTGTGTGTGTGTACGTGTGTGTGTGTGTGTGTGTGTGTGTGTACGTGTGTGTGTGGTACGTGTGTGTGTGTGTGTGTGTGTGTGTGTGTGTGTGTGTGTGTGTGTGTGTATGTGTGTGTGTGTGTGTGTGTACGTGTGTGTGTGTGTGTGTACGTGTGTGTGTGTGTGTGTGTACGTGTGTGTGTGTGTGTGTGTGGGGGTGGTATGTGTGTGTGTGTGTGTGTGTGTGTGTGTGTGTGTGTGTGTGTGTGTGTGTGTGTGTGTGTGACGTGTGTGTGTGTACGTGTGTGTGTGTGTACGTGTGTGTGTGTGTGTGTGTGTGTGTGTGTGTGTGACGTGTGTGTGTGTGTGTGTACGTGTGTGTGTGTGTGTGTGTGTGTGTGTGTGTGTGTACGTGTGTGTGTGGTGTGTGTGTGTGTGTGTGTGTACGTGTGTGTGTGTGGTGTGTGTGTGTACGTGTGTGTGTGGTACGTGTGTGTGTGTGTGTGTACGTGTGTGTGTGTGTGTGTACGTGTGTGTGTGTGTGTGTACGTGTGTGTGTGTGGTACGTGTGTGTGTGTGTGTGTGTGTGTGGTACGTGTGTGTGTGGTCCGTACTGGCTCGTATGGAGTGGACGGGCACAAAGACGTTCTGCAGTGAAGGTTCCTCTGTTCTCACTGGAGATGAGCTCTTCTCTGAGAACATGGAGGTCTCCAGCTCCAGATAAGGACGACTGTGGGACTGTGACCTGAGGAGAAGAAGAGAACGGAGAGGAGGGAAGAGGAGGGAAGAGGAGGGCAGAGGGGGAGATAAGAGGAGGGGGGTATTTTACTGGGACTTACGGTAACATGGGGTCATGCACAGTCATACATCAGTCTAAAGCCTGTTTATTAAGCGTCATCCAGATATCTTTATGATAACAGTTTTTTACGGAGCTTTTCCCAGGACCCTGGAGGCACTCACTGAGGAAAAGTCATCATAAATAAAACTCAAAACGTGACGAAGGTCTTGGGAAGTGACCACCTGACTGTAGGAGAGGTCTGCTCCATCAGCTTTAACCCACCACAAGATGAGATCTTTTTTATATGGATCTGATCAAAATGTGTCTTGCCCCAGTATATATATATATATGTATATATATATATATATATATATATATATATATGGGTGTCAAATTATCGCGTTAATTGCGATTAATTAATTACAGTCATATTTAGCGCATTGTTTTTTAATCGCGTTAATCTCATTTTGAATCTCTAACTTTACTGTTTCTGTATGCGAGTTGCTTTATTATAAAACCTGTTTTTATGTGTTGTTGGGACAACAGCACACACACACACACACACACAAAAAAAAAACACATTTATAAATTTTTTTATTTCGGTAATTCCACTCATTGTCGGAAACCCACACAAACCGCGCGCAGTAAGAGCGATGTAAACGTCACGTTGGCGGCGTCAGTCGCACAATGGACGAGGTCGAACAGCCAGTAGAACAGAGCAGCAGTGCACAGGTAAAAACGCATTCGTGTTTTGGAAATTATTCTCCCGACGTGAAATATAAAAGAAAATAACAAATATAAAATCGCCTACAACTTAAATGTCACTGGTGAAAACAACCTGCATAGACTCATGATGTCTGCACTACTGTCCTATAGTGACCTGCCACACACAAACACACACAAACACACACAACAACACACACACAAACACAAACACACACAAACACAACACACAAACACACACCTTCATCATCGTCATTAACCTGAGAACGCGCGGACCACGTTTCCTTCCGTAGACACTGCGTGGACACCGACCTGCTCCCGTGAGCCGCGTGTGGATCGTGTTTTCTCGCGTACGCTGCGTAAACCGCGCTTCCTCCTGTGCGCCTCTAAACCAGAACTAACACCAAGACTAAAACCAGGACTAACCCAGTCCAGGACTAAACCAGAACTAAACCAGAACTAAACCAGAACTAAAACCAGGACTAAACCAGGACTAAACCAGGACTAAACCAGAAACTAAACCAGGTCTAAACCAGGACTAAACCAGAACTAAACCAGGACTAAACCAGGACTAAACCAGGTCTAAACCAGGACTAAACCAGGTCTAAACCAGAACTAAAACCAGGTCTAAACCAGAACTAAACCAGGTCTAAACCAGACTAAACCAGGAACTAAACCAGGACTAAACCAGGTCTAAACCAGGACTAAACCAGAACTAAACCAGGTCTAAACCAGGACTAAACCAGGACTAAACCAGGTCTAAACCAGGACTAAACCAGGACTAAACCAGAACTAAAACCAGAACTAAAACCAGGTCTAAACCAGGACTAAACCAGAACTAAACCAGAACTAAAACCAGAACTAAAACCAGAACTAAAACCAGGACTAAAACCAGGATTAATCCATTCCAGGACTAAACTAGGACTAAAGTAGGACTAAACCAGGTCTAAACCAGGACTAAAACCAGTGATCTCATATATAAAGCATTTCTCTATCAATAATATTTTTAATCTGGTTAAAGAAAGATTGGACTTTTTATTGTCTTTAAGTAGACAAAAGTTATTATGTTCAGATTTCCTCACCTTTGCTACTTTACAGCAAACAGTTTCTTATTCTTGGGCTCAACAGCCAATTTGGAGAGATTTGTTAAACAATAAATGACTTTATAAAGTCACTTTTTTTGTTCTATATCAGTCTTTTGATCTGCCACAATAATGTAATAATGAATTTAAATGAAAATACCTCAAATTGAAGCTTTTCTCAGCAATTTTTAGATGAGATTAAAATGAGATTAATTAGATTAATTAATTACAGATCATAATTAATTAATCTCTCAATTTTTTTAATCGCATGACAGCACTAATTGTCCAATAGTTAGGGAGTGAACTTTAGCATGCTAGTTGTTTTGTTTATCACAGCAAACTCCAGTCTGGTCTCTAAGAGTTGTGATAAGCACTCATAAACTGATCGTGGTGGATGATTAGGATGGTCTGAATGCAGAAGGTAAGTGGGGAATAACTCTGGACCAACTGTTTAAAATAAACTAGTCCTGTTTTTCTCATTTTTAAACCCAGTATAAACCAGGTACTTTAATCCTATTTTAGACAGTCCTGTTTTAGACCTAGTTTAAACCTGTGGTACCAGAAACACAGGCTGTAGTACTGAGAAGGGATGTAACATAAACCAAAATATCGTGATACTGTAACGTAAAATAATCAAAATTATCTAACAATAAATAATTACAATAATATCATGGGCCATCACAAATTATCGAATTACAAATCTCTCCGGTTAAATTAATAGTTATAGTGCAGCAATACAGCTAAAAAAGAGAGAGAACTACTTAGACCATGATCCTTTGCTCCGTTTCTGTACAAAAAAAACTATTAACCACTTTTAAATCTTAATTCTTTGGATTATGCCAGAACAAAAGGTATCAAGGTATTTTAAAAGAAAAATGTCGAGTATTCACAGTTTGGTTAGCCTCCACAAAATATCACAATAAATATCATATCGTGAGATGTAGTATATCATGAAAGTATCGTACAAAGAGATTTGGATATTGTTACACCCCTACTACTGAGCGTACACTGTGAAATATGTCCTCACCATCAGCTGAACAGGATGTGACTCTGAGGTATCAGGTCAAAGAATACAGATCACATGAGCACAGAGAGCTGTACAGTTGTATTTTTCACTGTTTAATCTGTGATTTGTGTAAAATCACTATGAGCTCACATGGGCCTGAGCGTAGAGATGTCATTAGACCATGTTTCCCTCCATTTACAAGGTCCTATATTATGCAAAACTGACTCTTGAGAGCTCATGTTAGAATGTTGTTATCTCCTCAAAAACAGACCTGGAGTTGTGTTTTGTTTCATTCACACATTTGAGTAACACTTTATTGGTAAATGGTCACATTTTTATACAGCACTTTTCCACCTTTAAGGCGCTCAAAGCGCTTTACATCAAGGAACCCCCAACTAGTGTCGTCGTACTCGAGACTGTCAGCAGTAAACTTCTTACTGTGACATGTGGCTGAAGTTTGCCTAATAAAAGTGCACAAAAGCATCTGTATTTGTCACAGCGTGCGTTTGGTAAATGTGCAGAGGCTAACTCCCACTGTAAAAAACACTTTCTTCAGAGTTTTCTGTAAAGTGCCAGTGGAAATTCTCTTAAAGAAGGGGTTCTCAAACTGTGGATGAGGGTCTAAAAAAGAGACGCAGAGTGTTTCAGTGCAGTACAGTTAGCTTGACTAATTAGGCCTTAGGCCTCAATTTGGGCCTTAGGCCTCAATTTGGTCTCGATGGGCCGTGGTCTTGGTCTTGTCTTGGTCTTCACCTTTAAAAGTCTTGGTCTTGTCTCAGTCTCGGGACTCTGTGGTCTCGGACTGGTTTTGGTCTCGATAAGTGCGGTCTTGACTACAACACTACCACCCACCCATTCACACAAACATTCACACACCAGTGTACACAGACACTAGGGGCAAGGTGGGTTCAGTGTCTTGCTCAAGGATACAACAAGAGCATTCATCTGTAGGAGCTGGAATTGCACCGCCAACCTGTAGGTCAGTGGATCTGACCCTTCAACCAATGATGTTTTATGTCAAAGGCAGGATTCAAACCGCCAACCTTCTGATCAGTGGGCAAACACTTTTACCTGTTGCCCTGTAACCATTTATTATTAGTCTGTCAACATCTCCAAAGCTCAAAATGCTCTGTTCCACATTGTGAACAGCTCCTTTTACATTTTACCATCTTTTGCGATGACAGGTTCCATCACAAAAGAACATGCTGTAAACTGGTCGTGAATTAACATTAAAAATAAATAAAAGAACATGTTTCACCATGTAGCTTCATCAGTTTTGACAGGGTTCTGCAAATGATGACATAGGTGACAGTTCACACCTTAGGGCACTTCAATGGACTTCTCCACTCCTGACTGTAGAGCTCAGTAGAGGTTGGTAATTCCAGGACTGAGGACATCCAGATGATTCTAGTGACGGTGTATGGAGTTTAAAAACACAGTGGAGCAGTTTCTGGATTTCTGTTTAAGAACTCAGCCTAAATATAAAGGGTTCGTGTGAGACGTGCAAAAGAAACAAACCACAACTCCAGGTCTGTTTGTGATGAGGAAATAACCTCAGAACACAGATCAGAAAGTGTGAAGCTGTGAAAAACTACAAACTAAATATATATATATATATGATATATTAAGATATATCTGTCCTTCAGCCATCCTACAGGTTTCTGTTTCTGAACCATCTCCCCGTCACTCACAACTACATGCTCAGACGAGTCATAGAACCAGTCAGACCAATAAGATGACAAACTGCAAACAGTGAGCTGAGACAGGTTCAGGGGCGTCGGTAGGTTCCATTGCAAAAGAAAATTATGTAAACTGATCTTAAGCAACAAAAAACATTAAAAAGATATGTTTCACCATTTACCTTCTTCAGTTTTTCAGCTACTTTATATTGTAAACAACTAGGGTGTGTTTGTTTCAGTGTAGTCAAACAAAAGGCAGTGACATGTAGAACCCTGTCAGAACTGAAGAAGCTACTTGGATAAATGTTGAAAAGTTATTGTCTATCCCTTGGTGATCAAAACTGAGTGAATCCATGACATAACACATGTCCAGAATTTTCCTGGTCATTTCTTGTTCAGTGCAGATGAATGTCTCTCCAGTACTAACCAAATGAACTCAAACTGAAACTAACTAACCAAAATTACAACATGCTGGTTGCCTAGTTACCAGTGCTGTGTCCCGTTGGTGGTAGGCTCACTCTGGCTCCTCCCCTCCCAGGACTCATCAGAATCCAAGACGTCATCCAGCTGTCAACAACACACAACACGTTACACACACTCTGCAACATTTTTACACTATAACATGTAACCGCCTCTAAACCACACCTGGATCAACTCCTCCAGGTAAGACGCCTTCTGAGAGGGACACTCTGAAGGGACCAGCCCCTCTGTGTGACCTCTGACCGGCCCTGACCCCTCCCCTTGTACAGGTGAACGCTGTGGCTCCTCCCCCCGCACAGGTGAGTTTGGTCTGAGCTCAGGGTCCAGAGAGGAGAGGTCTATCAGGTGGTATGACTTCACTTCTCTGGGGCTGGACACTGGAAAACAACATTTTAAAGCAGGGGCATTACTCTTCTATGAACTTTAACACTAAACATATTTAGATCACCATGTTATGTTTTATTGCTCTGAAACTATTTACCCAAAACAACATCATTAAAATGTGTATTAGTTTAGTTAGTATTAGTTTCAGTTTAGTTTTTGATGCTTTGAATTCTGCCTGGGAATGACTAAAGTCCCAAACTAACTAAATATAACTATGGTTCTATGAATCTCAGATGACGCCAGGTAAAACTAAATTGGGATGGGGCTTAATATGAGAATAGATGTGACTGTCATTGTTAGCCAGTTGCAGCCTTAGTGTTGCCTCTCGACCAGAGGAAATGCAGTGTTTATGGTTCATGTTTAATTTGAGCTTGACTGTTCATACGTCCTGTTCTCCAGCAGAGTCTGACCTGGGCTCCGGTGCACAGTCTTCCCCTCTGCTGCTTCACTTGGTGTGCTCACATGGGCTCTGTAAGCCTTTATGGCTAGTGTTAGCTCGTCGTTAGCCTCCAGGACCTGAGACAGCGCCACGTCATCCTCCGCCGTCTCACTGGCCAATCGGAACAGAGTGGGGCGGAGCCGGTCACAGCGCTCAAACACGCCCTGCACAGAGACACATGCACAGAGTCACATTTTAAATCCTGGTGTAATGTTTGCACCTCATCTGTGATTTTAAAGTCAGTGTTTCAGTGTTTACATTAACACCACAAAGCAGCTTGGCAACTTCTGAAGTTCTTAAAACTGCTCCATGTGACAACAGTGGCACTGCTAGTGCCCTCTAAAGATCCCCTGGATGCATTTCTATACACATAAAAAGGTTAGGGGTGTAACTATGGTTCTATGAATTCCTTTTTACTAGTATAAAATAAATGTCATTGTTGGAATAGCCATAGAACAGAGTTCAAATATATGTTTACATGTACACATGTACATATACATGAAGTTATAAAAGGTCCAATGTGAAGGTGCTTCATGTGTCACAGAAAGCATTAAAAGTTGTGTATGAGTAAGGAGTATGCAGTATGGAGTATAGAGTATGGAGTATGCAGTATAGAGTATGGCAGTATGACAGTATGCAGTATGGCAGTACCTGGATGTCCTGGCTGGGCTTCTTGCTCTGTGCCTCTCTCTCTAACATCTCCTGGAGCTGTCTGCTGGTGCTGTGGGCCTCCTTCAGAAGATCCTCCCTCCTCTTCACTTTGGCGGCTCGCTCCTGCTCCTGTACAAACACAAGAATACAGGATATTTTAGAAGATATTAAGATATACTCTTTTGTCCTGGTAGAGGACAATGCAGTCCTACAATGGCCCTGGGGTCTGATTTTGGGTTCATGGGGGAAACTGGAGGACCCAAAAGACACTGGGAGCACAGTCCACAAAAAAGCACACAAGCATAAACCTTCTGTCTGTGTGGTTGAGACAAGCCACTATACAATACCTGTGTTGTGTAGTTTGATGATCTGTCACAGTACCAGGCACAATTCCCTTTGACTCTGAAATGTTGTACTCTATACTTTGACCTCTTTTCCATCTGACTGTGACACTGTTCACACTGTGTGGTTGTGACACTCACTGTTTACACTGTGTGTGACTGTGACACTGTTTACACTGTGTGGCTATAACACTGTGTGTGACTTTGACACTGTGTGTGACTTTGACACTGTGTGTGACTGTGACACTGTGTGTGACTGTGACACTGTGTGTGACTGTGACACTCACAGCTTGCATGGCGCTCTTGATGAGTCGGTTTGCAGTCTCCAGATCTTCAGGTCGTCCGCTCTTCAACAGTCTGTCCAGCAGCTACAGTGAAAAACACTGTTAGGATTTCAAGCTTTCACATGAGCTGCATGCAGAGGCCGTACCTTGGTGGTGTCGTCCTGATCAAATATGGAGGCGGAGCTTCTGTTGGGGGCGGGGGGCATGATCAGGGTGCTGGACAGCTTGGGGTCTTTCTTCACTATATCTGTACAACATGTGCCATGTCAGAGTCAAGAAAATGTGTAGCAAAAGTGGCTGTTCATCGTCCATATGTGGACCATAGCTTTGATGTCTTCAGTAAAATAATAATAATGAAAATAATAATAATAATAAACATGAAAATAAAGAACAAACATGAATGAAAAAGTGTGTCCAAACTTTTGACTGCTGGTGTATGTACGAGATGAAGCCCTTGCACCACATTTTCAGAACAATCGATATCAGTAAAATCTATTCAAATCCTGATCCATATGTTGAAAGACACAGACATAGAGTCTAATCGGCTGTGCATACTGGTGGCTCTTATGGACAGACTCAGGCCTACCCTGTGTCGACAGCAGGAGGGGGGCAATTATTTTTTTTCCATGGGGCAACATGAGAAACAAAAAATACTGTGGAGGCCAAAACGCTTAACACAGTTCTGCATAATATGAATTGTATTTCTTTATAAAAAGTAGTAGATAGAATTGTTCTGAAAAGCTGGTCAGGCTGGTAAGAGTTTATGTTATAACTGAGCAATGAAAAGTGAGGCTGCCTTAATAACATGGCTGCACTTGGTCCAGCAGGGGACAAAAGATGGAAATTAGCTTTGGCTACAGTCCTGTGTTTTTACAAGTATGTGTGTGCCTCTTGCATTATCTTGCTTTTAATATGCATTGTCCCTTGAATAAATAAATATAAATATCAATACAAATACAAATAATTTCATTTAAAAAACTAAAAAAATCTAAAATAAAAGCAGTGCAGCTTAAACAAGGAAAAACAGTAATCAGTGTTTCCCTCAAAAAGTCAATTAGGCAAGGCGGTGCTGCCGAAAAAGTCAAGAGTGTAGATTCCATGCATGTCCCACCTGAGGGTCATGACCCAGTCTTTGGGAAACAATGGTCTAGCATGTGGTCAAGGCCTACCCTGCTTCTTGAGCATGTCGTAGGCCTCCTGGATCTTGGGTTGGTCTCGGAGCCACAGGGTCCACCCATACAGCACCTCCACCAGACGCTCCTTCACTTTCTCTGGACTCCACGCTCCATAGTACTGCACACACAGATACACACACACACACACGCACACACACACACACACACACACACGCACACACGCACACGCACACACGCACGCACACACACACGCACACACACACGCACACACACACACACACACACACGCACACACACACACACACACACACTAGGGCTGTCAGGTTCATCACAATCAAATCTACCCAATAAGGTTCATTAAGTCTACTGTAATGATTATTCTTTAGATTCTTACATAAGCCATAAGCTCACCAAGAACAACTTGAGTCTGCAATATCAGATCACAGACCACATAAGAATCTAAAGTAGAATCATCCCAGTCTAATCAAGAGGACTGGTGAAGAGGTGAATGTTTGGAAGTGGAAAACAGCAATAGTACTCTTGAAATAGTTTAGTTAGTTTAGTTAATTGTTTGAGCAGGTCTCTAATGACTTCTCTTAGCCCTGGACTTAAGGGGGTATGGCATGTTTATGGGATACTTTTTATTAAAACAGAAGTTACTGAGTAGAAATACCTTTAGCAGAGTCATATTTAGCATTAGAATCCAGAGACAGATACCTGGATTAGTAAATCTGGGTAAGAGAAAAGTATCCAGGATAAATTCAGCCAGTGTTGTGGTACAGGCATCAGGTTTGTGCAGTTGTAGTATATTGTTTTGTATCCTACTTTTGTATATATATATTTTTATAAGACAGTTTTGCATAATGCCCCCTGTTTAATAAAACATGAATCAGACTGTCTCTCTGATGCAAGTCTCTGAAGTGGAGGTAACACTGGCTGTTGGTCAGTGTCTTCTGTGTGTAAAGTTACAAAAGTGTGTGCTTCTGTTGCAGCCAGAGGAAGTGTAAGAAATTGTGTGGTTAGACTTACACACAGTTACACAGACTGTCACAGAGTCTGTAGGCTCTCGAGGTCCACAGCAGAGGAGGAAACCCTCAGCCAATGTGCTTTATTATGTAATAAAGACTGTTAGCTTCAGGGATGTGTCAAGAGCTGCTTTACTGCATAACCCAGGTTATTTGGACTTGTTGTCATTTCAGTTTCATAAAGCAGGCTGAGGCTCACCCAGACTCTGGGTCACTCACTGGAAACTGAAACTTATCTGGTCAAACACTGAGAGTGCGTGCTGCCTTCAGTGGCCACTTCAATTTTAAGTACTATGTGACATCACACTACAGAGTTTAGCAGCTCTGTTTGAAATGTAGTTGTGTGTACTTTTGGAGACATACTGTAGTATCTGCAGTACCTTTGGAGAGAGCACTTTGATGAGCTCATTGAGGAACCTGAACTTGGCCACCTCACAGTGGAACTTCTGCCCACACTCATTCATGCATGCCTCCAGGACCTGAAGATGAGGGTGAGAAGAAGAGGGTCAGAGTGTTTTTATGTATAAAGCAGATTGAAGGTGATTTTCACGTTCCTGTCTCTGTGAAGCAGCTTCATTGAGTTAGTATTAGAATATTAAGTTGGTCCAAATGTCCTTGTCAGACAAACACGTGAAACAGCAGCTCTGCAGAGCCCAAGCACACAAGTAAAACTTTTTTACCCAATTCCACTTTTACGTCACCATAGACTGTGTAGGTCAGCCCCATGTCAGCTGTGTCCTTCACACACACCACACACACCCTGCTACAGAGACAAAGAGACAGACAGACAGACAGACAGACAGAGACAAAGAGAGAGACAGACAGAGACAGACAGACAGAGAGAGACAGACAGAAAGAGAGACAGACAGACAGAGAGACAGACAGAGAGAGCGGAACCACTCAAAAGAGAGAGAGAAGCCGCTGCCTAGACAGAGAGAGGAGCCATTCCAGAGACGAGCTGCTCTGATACGTGGTGTTTCTCTGGGAGCGTGTGTTCACTGTGGAGCAGAACGTGCTGGTTGGGGTCACAGTGGGCGAGCGATCACACAGAATGCTCTTTTACATCCACCCAACTAGTGACAGTGTGAAAACCACTTGTAAAAACCCCCGATGACTAAAGTGCTCTGAATAAACTGCATAAATAAAAATGAAAAATGATCACATAGATTATAGTGTCACATGAGAGGGGGCAGAGTGTCACATGACCAAAGAGGCTTGTCTGATTGGACACGCTCCGTCACAAACAACGAGCACAGGAGACGTGAATGAAGCAGCGTGTTTCTCAGAGCTTCATAAGAATCACACTTACACACACTCACTCACACTCACACACACACACACAGTTTAACAGCTCTGCTCTCACTGCTGAGGTCAGTCACACAGAGCTTGGACACACGGCTCATGTCAGCACCTCTGGATGTTCAAACAGTGAACACAGTAAAACACAAGGAAAGCAACACAAAAACAGTGACACACCTTCATCTTCAAATTTTCTTCACAATTTATGATTGAGAGAAACAAAAATGGTATGCTAGTGCTGGACTTATTTACCATCAAATGTAAATAGATGGTTTTGATCGCAAAAACAGAGTCCACATGAGCACAGCTGAAACCTTCACTGAAACACTCTTGAATGAAAAAGGGTTTACAACAGGGGTGTCAAACATCTGGCCCTCCAAGACCTTTAATCTGGCCCTCGGCTGATTTTCTACTAAAATATTTCAATTATATTTTCTATTAAAATCTTGTTAATTTTCTGTGTTGTTTATCACAGCAGAGTCTCCAGCGTCTCTGTACGTGGCCCCTCCCACCAGAGCAGCACAAATGAAGACTTGTCTCTTTCCAAACGCTCTTAAAGGACGATCGTTTTGACTGTTGACCGTGACACCCTCATCAGAAAAATGTCCAACATGAGAAAAGTGGAGCCGAGTGCAGGATTTTCCAACAGAAATTGACTTATTCCTGAACATTAATAAAACAAAGCCACACTCAAAGCTAAAACACACAACACACAAGCACTTGAATGACATTCTGAAGACAGAAGGTCCTCAGGACATGGGGCCTGATATTGATGCACTTGTGCAGGCTAAAAAATGACAAGTTTCAAGAGCAAAAAGAAAGCATGACTAAACTGTATGAGATGCAATCAAGTTAATGTTAAAACATTGTGTTGTAAAAAATTTTATTTTTCTTAAAGTTTCAGTTTGTTCATAATATTATAATATTTTGTAAAAGAAAGAGTTCATCAATTCAAAAAGATTTCTGTAATAGATTTGTGTTTCTCTGCATAAATATTTGAACTTATTGTTATTTTTGGGGTTTATGTGACATGAGTTTTCTGATCCTGCCCCTTTGGGATCAAAGTAGGTTGGATACGGCCCCTGGAACAACATGAGTTTGACACCCCTGGTTTACAGTCTCTACACACATGTTCTGAAAGGCATAAGGCAATTACAATATAAAGCTGTGGAACCTGATTTTCAAACCATGAAAAAGGGAAGTATGAATCTGAATCTATCTGACTCATCCTTCATTCTCACAAACCCTTTATGCGGATTATTGGGCCAATATTATAGCTTTAGAACAGATTTTTTTTTTGGACACAGAGGTGAAGCAAGGTACAAGTTGAATCTTCATATTACCGTATTCTCCGCACTATTAGGAGCTCTGGATTATAAGACGCACTGTCATTAAATGGTCTATTTTGGAACTTTTTTCACAAATAAACCGTGTGGGACTTTAAAGGAAACACAACAGTGTGATGGGTGAGTGGTTTTGTTTGTTTGTTCGTTCACGGTGACTCTGGGCTTTGTTCAGTTGTGGCGTGTAGGGAGGGTCTGTCTGGGACCAACAGATTGTTGACGTGTTCGCAGTGACTCAGTTGTTCAGTTGTGTCTAGAAGTGGCACATTGCACTCGCTTTTTCGGTTTGTTCCTCCGTTCCGTTCCTCGTCGGCGTGGAGTGATGAGTGTGTCTGTGGGTGTGTTTCTCTGTGTGGTCGCTGTCTGCTCCGTGTGTGTTTGCGTGCGCTGCAGGTGGTGAGGCTTTGTAGTTTACTGAAGTCGTGTTGGGACACCTGAGTGGATTCATGTATAGGGCGCTCTGGATTGTGTTTATGCGGTTGGATTCTTAAGAGCGCGTCTAATAGCCCGGAAAATACGGTAAATACACTGTTTCCTAGTTCTTTTTTCTGCCTAAATAGTAGTTTTTGCCTGAACTCCTCCTGCAGGTGTAGTCTGGGTAGTGGAGTTTGGGTCAGATACACACGTACAGAATAGTTTTAAGAGCTTTTTTGGTTATTTCTTACAAGTTTGTGAGTGATGTTTTAATATTACATTCATTATTAAAGTACTGGTTGTGTTAGTGCAATACCGACTCACCGTGAGCGCCTTGAGGGCCTCTCGCTCCTGAGGGGACTGGATCTTATGAGCCAGGAGCCGCAGCGCCACCTGTGGACTGCAGACAGACAGCACAGCGTCAATGTACACATGAGTGGACTTCTACAGTATTATTTTAGTCCTTTAACTTTAGATTTTGTTCATTTAAAAAGGCGTTATTACACTTTGATGAGGTATTAACATATTTAGACCTCCATGTCACCTTTTATTTTTCTGCTATACTCACCAAAAACAATGTAATAACATGTTTTATAAGTATGACTCTTGTTTTTGACAACTTTGACATCTGACTCACCCCTTCCTGCTGCTCCCTATGTTAAGTCACTACCCTTTCAGAGCGCTATCACAACCCGCTAACTACTGCTCATCACATCAGCTTTATCAAGTTGCTGTATACAGTTTTGTGTGTTTTGGTATATTTCTGTACAATTGTTATGTCTTAAAGAGGGTCCAGGAGAGATCGCTAGATCACTGTATTTTTCAGACTATAAGTTGCACTTTTTTCATGGTTTAGGTGTTTCCTGTGACTTATACTCTGGTGCAACTTATATATTAAAATGTTCACACTGACAGCCTCGTGAGGTTCTAGTCTTGTGTGTGAGTATGTGCTGCTCCTGTTCCTCCTGTACCACTGTCACTTCACTCTACTGCACATGTCTCCTGCAGAAACAGCCTCTGTTCTGTCTGTATCATGTCAGTCGATCGCACCATTACTTCTGCACCACTCAACAAGTTAACATTTAAACAAATGTATAAAGACACTGAGAAAACTGAACACAAATGTTCCCAAAAACAAAATCAGGGTCAGTCCATGTGAAATCAGCCACTTTCAAGGAATCTCCCCTATGAGCCATCTCAGATTTGGCAGAAAAATGTTTAAAAATGTTCTAAAATTAGCAAATGAAAGAATCTCAAATTTCAGCTCAATCCCTTGAGTGGTTCCTGAGTTATGGGCCGTTGAAATTTTGGGGCCATGCTCACTTTTTCAGTAGCCTTAATTTATAAACATGTCTGAGAGACCAGAACTTCATTAAAAATAGAGCTAGGAAATGAAAATGTGTATTATTGTAGATTCTTGGTCATAGATTCTGAATCAAATATTGTGTATCTTTATTGGGGGGCGCTGTGGGCCCCAAAATCTCACATTTGGTTTCAATTTTTAAGGTCCAAGATCTATTTACTCCAATCAGATATTTACAAACTAATTGTTGAACCTGAATATTTGAGCGAATGACCATTTCTGACACAAATCTCACACTTTTCTGAGCTTTCATGTGGATGGTGTAGAGTCCCAAATCTGGTCACAGACCAAATGTGATCTTTTTGGCCCCTTCTTTGGAGCCTTGGTTCCCCATGTGGCACAGTTAGATGTTGATCAAATTTTTACCAGAGAAACTTTGGCATATTCTGATTAGTTTAAAGTAATAAAGACATCTACTATTAACTTCTTTCATTTCAAACTGAATTTTTGAAAATGAGCTCTCATGGGTCATTTTTGGTGGAGTTTAGGGACTTTTCCACCTAACAGAAAGTTTCAATTCTCTTTAATAGACTTAAACATTATTTGCTTGTTTTAACGGAAGACAATACAATAATGCACATTTTCAGCTTCCTAGCTCTATTTTTGATGAAGTTCTGGTCTCTCAAACATGTTTATAAATTAAGACTTCTGAAAAAGTGAGCATGGCCCCAAAATTTCAACGGGCCATAACTCAGGAACGAATGAACTGAGCTAAAAATGTAGATTCTTTCATTTGGACATTTTAGAAATTTTCAGAAAAATTTTCAGCCAAATCTGAGATGGTTCATAGGGGAGGGCAGCTGATTTCATATGGACTGACCCATCATATTTTGCAGATTACAGGATACCGTTGTGAAGTTGTGAAATCTGCAGCTGAAAACAATTATCGAGCAGCAGAATGAAAGTTTGGAGTGAGAGAGAAACTTGTGACTCCAGGAGGATGCAAAATGAAACATTCCTGAAGTCACTGGATGGATGGACAAAGTCTGGACTTCAGTGACACTGAAACCATCCTGTCGGGATTCAGAAAGACCCGAATAATTCTAACTGGAACTGATGCTGAGTCTGACGACAGCGACACAGAAGAGTTTGCGGCGCTCTGTTTACCTCCGGAGGTCGAGTTGTTCAGAAGTGACACCGAGGATGAAGAATTGAATGGATTTAGTGATTTGGAGTGAGATGGAGAGTTTGTTAAACTTGTTCTGTTCTGTTGTTTATGTTATTGCTATCTGAAGAATTGTGAAATATGTGACGTTAACAGTCTGTTCTTCTATTGTTTTTACTACAACTTGACTTTTACACAGGAAATGTCTGTTCCTGGTCACTGATTTTATAAAATAAATTTACCACAAAAAGTGTGACTTATTACGTTTTTTTCTTCATTACCCATTTTTTGGCTGGTGCAACTTACTACTTACTCCGGAGCGACTTATAGTCCGAAAAATGTGGTAGTCAAACCTCTTCAGGCATGTTTTGTATGAGGGCACAGTGCTAGAGCATGGGAAACTTTAAACTTTAAAACTATAAAAAAAAAAAACTGATAAATTGCTTTCCCAGATGCTCAAAGTCACTTTACCATTTCATGCATTATTCACTTATTCATTCACTTTCAGTTTGATGCTGGTAAAGATATTGTAGCCACAGGTGCCCTGGGGTAGACTGACAGAAGTGTGACCATTAATGTGAGTCATCAGTTCCTCTAACTACCGCCATCACACACACTCGCACTCGCACACACACACACACACACACACAGCACAATTTGTCGCTATCAAATCAAAATCACAAACTGAAAGGAGACAATTAGCAAATCTCAAATGTGGTAATTTTTCAAGTACCACAATTTCCTCCACAAACAACCACATCTTCAGCCTTATTCTGCAAAAAAGCTGCTAACCCTGTAGGTTTATTTGCACAAGCATGTTCTGAAATGTCACTGTGTGTCAGAAGTCCTCCCCGTGTGTCAGGTGTCCACCCTGTGAGTCAGATAGGGCCCTCCCCGTGTGTCCATGGGCCCTTGTATTCTGCATGAAAACTGTTATCAATGTTAAGATCTGCACAAACATGTTCTGAAACGTGGTTCTTGTTTTAATTTGTCAGATTTCAGTCTATTTTTTCTGGACGTGTTTCAAATGTGAACTTTGAACAGAATTCTAGTATTAAAACATGAACTGCAAATCTAATCACAATGCAGCAGTGCAGCTCTAACACACACCAGCAGAGCAGATGAAGTGTCTTGTGGTGTGTGCAGTCCAGTGTAGCGGTGAGTGTGGTGCTTACCCGTCCGGCTGCTGCTTGACTGTCTGGTAAAAGGCCTGGATGCCCTCCCACCTCTCCTCAGGGTGCTGTGGGTCTGTGGCCTGGTCTGAGCACAGGTACAGGTACATTTAGTCAGTTACACTTGAGTTATTAAAAAAAAAAAAAAAAAAAACTCTCACATGACAAGAGCATTTAGTTTTCTTTTAGTTTCAAAACTATTCTTCCCGTAGTGAGCATTAGACACAGGTCAGAATATAAGTGTACATACTAACTGTGGATAACTGACTTATGCGCTGAAGGTGTGATGCATGTATTACTATGGCAGAATGTTCAGCAGTTACCATGGTGACACAATGCATACATTACCAAAACATTTTAAGTCTGAAAACTCCATAAAAAATGTTAAAAAATAGATTCAAATAAAACATTTTCAGGCGTCTGTGATCAGTCTAAATGTTCTTTGGTCCAGTTTAAGAGTTTGATTTTCAACAAAAACGTGAGAGTGACAAACTGAAAAACTGTTAGCTGATGCCAACGAGGTTATTTGAGAGTCTGACTTGTTTAACAGCTCTAATCAGCTCATCTGTTGTAGTTCCTTCTAAGTTTTTCTTGTCAGATTGTGATCAAATGAAGATCAGATTAAAGTTAGACAGAGCAGTGCTCACAGTTAGCATCACACTCTCAGGGAATGTTGATGACATCAGTTACAAAGTGTCAATAAAACATCAATAATCCATGTCCAGGTCAATAACAGATATGTGACAGACGTGTGCAAATGGACAAAGTAACACCAGTGTACACCAGGCTCATTCAGCTCAACTAAAGCCCAGACAGAAATACTTCTACTACAGTGCTGACTGAGTACTGTATACTGTGTGTGGTAGTACTGTATACTGTAGTACTGTATACTGTAAGGCAGTACTGTATACTGTGAGGCAGTACTGTATACTGTAGTACTGTATACTGTATATATTGTATAGAACATATGTGATTATTACAGCAGTACTCAAAGACTACTGAGGTGTACTTCCAAATCATTTACTCACAACCCAGAGACATTACGGCATTAAACTTATCTCCAAGGAGACAAGAGGCAGTGTCAGATCTGCGAGAAGGCAAGTCTCTCCCAGTAAGAATGTTTTTCCAGAAATCTTTTAAGCAATAAAACACCAGTAATTGAATACATGAGAAAAGGTAATTGTACTCGAGTACATATTTGAATAGGCTCTCCTCCTCCCACCTCTGTGTGTCACTTCAGCTTTAGTGAGCGTTTCTCTGAAGGCTTCAGTCACATCTGCCCATCACATGAGACACATGTTCCACCATCACAAATTGTTACAGGTCAATATTTGTGAATAAACCTATTAGATAATTTTTATGAGCGCAGAATGAATTCATAAGGAAATCAAACTATTGTATTGTATCTGAAAAACACCAGTACAGAGGAGTTCAGTCTTGTTTAGAAAGTTACTCAAGTAAATACAGGCAGTTCTGTAGTGTTCAGAAGGCTACATGTAACCTAGTACTACCCACCTCCATCTATAAATATAACATGCAATATACTCTAATAGAATCTTATAGAAATGTTTTTAGAAGACGTGATTTCAAAATAAAACTTTCCAACTCCGTGGATCAGTCAGCTGTGACGCTGCGCCAAAACAAAACAGCGCGTCATATTCATCGTGTTGAGTCAAAGAAGACATCTGTGCAATTTGTTCAGTGTTTTTATGCAAAAGATGTGCACGAAAGATAAGCGTGCAAAATCACCTAAAAGCACGCGCATCAGTCCCACAACAACTTCCTGTTACTACTTTTATGCACAATTACGCACGTACGTGAGTCAATGCAAGTCACAAGAAACGAGTTAGAAAGCGCAAAGCTATGCCCGTTTCCTCTGGCGTTTAAAATCGTGGTTGTGTTTGTTTCTGAAAGTTACTGAAAGTTCTGAAGACACTTACTGAGCAGGGTCTCCAGAGAAGCAGGACTGTCCGCGCTCGCCATTGCCGTGGACTCCACTCGAAGTGCGTCTGGACTCGGGTGCCGCCGGGCCGGGGTGTCGCTTATAGGGGGAGACGCAGCAGGGGCAGTGACAGGGGCTGAAGTGTCAAACTGTCACCGGGACATGTGACAGTCACGCCCCGCCCGTCAGCAGCACCCTGCCCCCCCTCCCGTCCCTCACCGCGGGGGAGTCACGTGCTTCTCTTTTACGCGCAACTAACTCGGGGACAATTTGAAAACAATTTGAAGACTTGGAATCGAAAAAAGAATGCAGTTGACTATGGTTTTAAATACATACTTAGAATATCAGAAAGGTGTTTTTAATGTTGTTTGTCTAGTTTATCACTGATACTTTTAACAGTGAATTCAAACTTGTCATAAGACCCAATTTGTCCAAAATGTCACTGGAGCCCTTTAGACTGTAGGAGCCTGGGCATCCTGCATAAATAAACTCAATTTACTTAAACTTTTTTTTTTTCCATCTTAATGATCTTGGTCGTTTTGCTCGGAAGGCAGAGGAGTGACACACTGTTCAACTGGACAAAGCACTGACCTCACTGCGGTCTGCGGCATCTCAGGTTTAGTTGTTTAGTTCACAGGTTTAATTCACACTTGACCACAAATGATCTGCAGAAATGTCACACATCATTTCTGTATCCCACACATCACAGACAATACAGCTGTGGAACCCTTTAACCCTTTGCCCTGGATTACATAAAACAGTTTCCTTGGCCATATATGGACATGCTATACATTGTAGTTCCCCCCCCCCAAATGAACAGTGGCTCTTGTTCTTTGAATTTAATTGTGAAAATTGTAATTGTAATGATCAGACATTTTACATTTTGAAAATACATTTTTAATATAAAAGATAAAGATTGAAGTGTCCAGAGAGTGTGTGTCCAGAGTCGAGTCAGGTGTGTGCAGGCTGCAGCAGCCTGTGGAGTCTGTGGACTGTCTCAGACGCTCCTAAACACACGATCATCTCCGCCACACTGGGGCCCTGCTGTGGCACAACACAGGGAACTGTTAGCATGTGAGTATTAGCATGGACAGAGGAAGTGGCTCTTGTCACTGCCTCACACAGCGCTCTGTTTAGAGCGCTCTTCTGATTCACTTCTTTACTCAGCTAAAGAAAGAATACTGAGCTATTTAAGGAGACAGGACTAAAAAAATACAAATACTTTGGAGAGTTGTTGGACATGGATTTTTGATTTTCTCATTTTAAAGTATGTATGGAAACTAAAAATGGCAAATGTTTCCAGGTCTCAGTGTGTAATCTGAGTTAAAACAGGCATTAGCAGGTTCAAATTAGTAATAATGTTTGGTGTTCTGGACTGAAGTATACATGGGTGTGGGCTATGGCAAAGCCTGTCTGGGTGGATGTGTACTTGACTTGAGTGTGTAGTTACCTGCAGGCCGCTGAGAGCCAGCCGCAGCAGCCTCATCACCTCTCTGTACTGAGTGCACTGACTCTGTTTGGCCACAGCCTTCAGCTCAGAGTTCACACGCTCCACTGTCAGCTCTCCGCTCTGCTCCAGCAGCCTGCACACACAAGCATGGATGGGACTTGTAATATTCAGATGAAGTAACAATCAATGTCGTATGATAAGAGCTAGAGATAATGGATGCTATCCATGCCATCACACTATTCATCTAAAACAACTACAAAACAAGTCCTCTGACTTCTGCGTTAGAAAACTACGGTGCCCAATGGGAGCTGACGCTGTAAATGTCGTCATAACAAAGCCAAAATGACTACACTGCCTAAAAAACAAAACTGAAGAACAAAGTAAGTAGAGAGCTTTGTGTACTGATGGTGGTGAAAATGGGTTGATCAGAAAATCTTGTTTTGAAAATACGCAATTAAACATTTACGAATCACGCCAAAGACAAGTTTGAAAGAGAAAATGAAAAAGGGAAAAAACTATAACATGGATAAAGATCTGAAAAGTCCTTTTAGCACCATAGGCCTGCTTTAATGCAGTATGGTAACACATGGGTATTAGATCAAGTAAATAAAGTCATACAAAAAGCTCAGTCACTTTAGATAAAGTTGATATTAAACAACCAACTCCCCATTCGGCTGGAAGAGTTCTTACAGTCAGAACATGGCTGCTACAACTGGATATTACTATGATGTTACTAGAGGTTCCCATGAGGATGATGTCTTGAGCCTTTATAAAACCTCAGTGCTAACTGTACCTGATGACTAGAGAGGCGATGTGGGGGGCCTCACTAGTGACTGCTGCCACCTGCTGGGGGGTGTAGGAAGGTCGGATCCACAGGTAAGAGTACTGTGGGCTGAGCAGCTCCTTCACAGAGGAGATGTGTCCCTACAGACAGACGAGACAAGAGCCTGGTTAGAACTTCGATGGGAGACACTGGGAAAATCAGGAGCCACAGGAGGGCGCCAGTGGCAAAAACTTGTTGTATCCATAGGCACACTTCACCCATGTTGCCTGGTATGAAAGTGGTGTGCGTGTGAGTGATGGTGGTCTGAGTGGCTGATGGCGCAAATTGGCAGCCTTGCTTCCTTCAGTCTGCCCCAGGGCAGCTGTGGCTACAGTAGTTTACAGCACCGGGTGTGGAGTGAATGAATAATGATCTGTAAAGAGTCTTTGAGTGTCCAGATAAATGCTGTATAAAACTGATGCACTGTTATTATTATTATTATTAAGTGCAAAACACATGCACTAAACACTGTATTTTCAACATTAATGAGCTTAATAAATCTTTTATTCACTAAACCAGGAACTCTTATGTAATACAAGGAGAATAAATCTGAACAATGTATGTAGCTTGTATGGAGGTCACAATTATTTTAGTAGTAGAACACAAATCAGCTATTCTTTATCATTCTATCAAGTCAGTTATTTATTTTGGTGATTTTTAAATACATTAGTAAATAATGGTTGAAAGATGGTGACTGAAGGTTCCTAGATCCACTTTATTCATAAATATTCTCTATTATTAAAGAAAGTCTGAAATTGCATATGACATTTTTTTTATTTTGATTTTATAATGCTACAGTCTTAGTCCTAAAAAGTCTTTTGGCATGGATTTTAGATTCAGTATAGTGACTAATAATAAATAATGACTTTGATTAAATATGATTATTTTAATTATTCTGTTTAATAGTTGTAGCCCTTATGTCTTAAATATCCCTTTGTTGAAGCTGAAACAAATAAAAACTATTTGTGAAACAAGATGAGAAAAAAATTTTAATCTAAAGGAGACTGTTAAGCTACAACAACCTGATATATTTGCTTCATTTCAACACAGCAAACAAAGACAGGACTCTTACACAATGTCAGTGTAATTCCTCATTCAGTCAAGAGAGGTCCACAGAGAGTATGCTGCTGTTCAGGGTAGAGCCCTCAGACTAGTGAGCCCTCTTACCACAGTCAAAACATCTTCAACTTCAAACCTGCTCAGCAGACTAACTCTGAAGTACTTGCACACACTTTGTGCCACTTGTCAATGGAACATTTTGAAATGATCATGAATTTGCTTATCAGCCATTATGAGGTCAAACTCAATTCAGCATTAACATACAAGTGCCAAGAATTCCAGGAAATATGTGTTGTTCAGAGGTTGTGTTGATGTTCTAGAATTTAATGATGTGAGAGTTTCCAGGGCCAGGAGCCTGACCAGCCTGTGACCATTCACTGCTTTTCAAAGAAATATCAGAAAGTATACATATGTTGAACCTTATCATTATTTGTTTGGGATTGGCTCTACAAACTTGTCATATTAATCTTATGACTTAAAGTCCTTTCAAATGAAAGCAGACACACCTCTGGAGTTAAATAACACCAGCCTTCTGAAGATGTTGTGAAAACATCTTATTCAGTTTGTTCATGAGGTGGGTTGTTACATTTACTTATGTAACTTTTTGAAGAAATGTTATTTTTACAGCATAATTTTCTACTGTTCCTATAATATTTTATTGAAGTAACAGTACTGTACTAGTCTATAAAGGAATTCAACAGTAAAAAAGTATATGGGAAAACTACCACTCAAGTTGTGAGTAATATTTTGAAGTAACATTATTCTTACTTAAGTAAAATGTTTGCTTTCTCTACGCACCACTGCTGTAAGCCTCTTTATGCACTACTATACACTACTGAAAACTACCTATACACTACAGTGTATATACACTACAGTGTGTGTATATACTACAGTGTGTATACACTACAGTGTATACATTACAGTGTATATACACTACAGTGTGTGTATATACTACAGTGTGTGTGTATACACACAGTGTGTGTATATACTACAGTGTGTGTATACACTACAGTGTGTGTACATACTACAGTGTGTGTACATACTACAGTGTGTACATACTACAGTGTATATATACTACAGTGTGTATATACTACATATAATACTGTATATACTACAGTGTATATATACGTATATATATACTACGTGTGTATATACTACAGTGTGTATATATACTACAGTGTTTGTATATACTACAGTGTATATATACTACAGTGTGTATATATACTACAGTGTGTATAATACTGTATATACTACAGTGTATATATACTACAGTGTGTATATATACTACAGTGTGTATAATACTATATACTACAGTGTATATATACTACAGTGTATATATACTACAGTGTGTATAATACTGTATATACTACAGTGTATATATATACAGTATGTATATACTACAGTGTGTATAATACTGTATATACTACAGTGTATATATACTACAGTGTGTATATACTACAGTGTGTATAATACTGTATATACTACAGTGTATATACGACACTTAGTTTTCACATTCTACACTGTGATGATGTCATACTCCCATACGGGGGCAAGAGACAGATTTTCCTTTAGATGACATTGTACTTTACCATGAAATCTCCAAAATGTAAATTCACTAATGTTGAACCTGATCATTTCTATCAGTGTCTAGACACAAGAACTCACTGTAGTACAACAAAAGTCTGAATTTTAACCATTTTAATTTTAGCTGCCTTCATCTGTATTAAATAACACTGGTGTACAGGATGCTGTGACGTCATCTGATACCCAGCAATAGTGTACAGACTCCCCGTGTGTCTGTGTGTGTGCATGTGTGTGTGTGCGTGTGTGTGTGCATGTGTGTGTATGTGTGTCTCACCTTCCTGTGATGCAGCACTCGTGTGATGTAGTCAGGCTGCAGGACATCCTGGTCCAGACTCAGCTCGGAGTACTGCAGCTGGAGCAGGCTCTGGAGATGTTCCACCAGAGAAGAGCAGAGGAGAGGGTGGTCCACACGCCGCTGCAGGTGGATCCTACACACACACATACACACACACACACAGAACTACTGTTAGGCCTGTCATTATAACAGATTTGTGAGACACATTGCTGAAGTTAATGCAGACAATGAATAATATTTATATTAATGTATGCGTCTGTCTCTAAAGAAGAATTATCCTCAAAGTATTCTAAAAATACCTCATAGTTAAACAAAAACATGAGCTGCTTTAAATAAATAGCAGAATGAAACAGTCCTTAGCCTGTATCTATAATGAGTCATAGAAGTGATTTATTCCACCCTCTACATCTCGAATGCTATTGCAGTTAGGCCCGTCACCAAAATGACTTTACTGACTTCTCTTTCAGTACATGACAGATGGAACAATATCCTTCAGCTCAATATTTATTGTGGGGGCATTTTCTTTACACTAGTGGAAAACTTTATTATTTTTCTGTTCTACAATAAGAACTGAGGCTGAACTTCTATGACTCATTACAGATACAAACTACTACTAAAATGTTGCAGTCTGTTATTTATTGCAATTTGTGTTATAAACATTATAGAATTTTTATTTGAAGATAATCCTGTTTTAGGGTTTTAGTGTCAGCAGCATACATTATCGTTTACCATCTATATTTACTTCAACTATAGATTGTACTTCAAAATGTGTTATTGTGGCAGACCTCACTGTAGTACCACAAAATAACAAAAAGTTCCCCACTAGTACATCCATTCCATCGCTCATATGTTGAACGTAAGTTGGCATGGTATTTATCGTGACAGGCCTACTGCTCGACACATGGGCTGTACAAACACCAGCAGGGGGCGCACCGGTTAAACTCAGGCAGCTTGTCCAGGTCCATGAGAGCAGAGTGAGTGGTGATCTTTGACGGGTTGAACTCTGCGATCAGCTCATCCAGACTGCGGCCCATGCGATTAGCTGCACGACACACATGGATGAGTTGGACTGTTAAGAAATATCACTTGTTCAGTGCACTTAAGTTGACAGTAATTGTCTGCTCTTGTTTTGTCTTGCTAGTTTTAAAATGATACATTTAAACAAAACTGGCCCCCTGATTATCCACAGTATTGATCAAAAACAACTCCATAAAACGAGTTAATAAGTTTGGCCTTTTTACACTACGTCACTGTCAAACATCATAGCAACAAAGCACCACGCCCACAGCCCCACTATGTCTAACTGGAGTTTAAAGTAATGAGCAGCAGAAATAAAGATCTGTGAAGTGGCTGTGTAATCAATGACGTCTTGAATGAAAGAGAATAATGCTTACTCAAGCATGCATAAATCACACTAAATACAACTTCAAGTGGGAAAACAATCATGACATTGCTAGATTTTGCATAAAATGTCTTATGTTTTATGTGCCAAATTGCAAAGCCCTTCCTACCTGACTCACACCAGACTGATATACAGATGTGGGCAAAATTGTTGGTACTCTTCTGGTAATTTAAGAAAAATTAACAATGGTCACTGAAATACCTTGAAATTAAGAAAAACAATAATAAATAAACATTTCCTGAAAAATCAGACACAGTTTTTGAATTGTTGTTCAACAGAATTATTAAAAAACAAACTAATGAAACTGGCCTGGACAAAAATGATGGTTCCCCTAAAAAGATTGTAAATAACTGAACAACAGGGACATGTTAAACTTCGGTGTGTCTCTAATCTGCATCACAGGTTCTTCAAACTTGTCCTCAGTCAGTCTGTCTGTTTAAAGGGGACATGTGTCATTGTGCTGTTTGGAGACATGATGGACACAACACTGAACATGGACCAGAGAAAGAGAAGAAGAGAACTGTGTCAGGAGACTAGAAAGAAAATGATAGACAAGCAGGATAAAGATAAAGACAATAAGACCATCTCCAAGCAGCTTGATGTTCCTGTGATTACAGTTACACATGTTCTTCACAAGTTTAAGGTCCACAGGACTGAAGCCAACCTCCCTGGATGTGGCTACAAGAGGAAAATTGATGACAAACTGAAGAGACGGATCATACAAATGGAACCAAAGTGCCCAGAACAACCTCCAAACAAATTAAATGTGAACTTGAAGGCGAGGTACATCAGTGTCAGATCACACCAGTCATCAGTGTTTGAGCCAAAGTGGACTTCATGTGAGGACACCACTGCTGAGAACAAATCATAAAAAAGTGAGACTGGAATTTGCCACGATGCATATTGACAAGTCACAAAGCTTCTGGGAGAATGTTCTTTGGACAGATGAGACAAAACTGGAGCTCTTTGGCAAGACACATCAGCTCTATGTTCACAGATGCAAACATGAAACAGACCAAGAAAAGAACACTGTCCCTACTGTGAAACATGGAGGAGGCTTGGTTTTGTTCTGGGGCTGTTTTGCCGCATCTGGCACAGGGCGTCTTGAATCTGTGCAAAATACAATGGAATCTCAAAACTATCAATGTATTTTGGACCGAAATGTGTTGCCTATTGTCAGAAAGCTCAGGCTCAGTCTTAGGTTATTGGTCTTCCAACAGGATAATGACCCAAAACACACAGCTAAAAACACCCAAGAATGGCTGAGAACAAAACATTGGACTGTTCTGGAGTGTTTTTCTGTGAGCTCAGATCACAGTCCTATTGAACATCTGTGAAATGAGCTGAAACATGCACCTGGAGAATACCTGTTGACCAGGGCAGAAGTTACATAAATCGTTTGTTTGCAGAGTTTGCCTCAAAAGTTTGTGCAACAAAATATTAAGTTAAGGGAACCATCATTTTTGTCCAGGCCAGTTTCATTATTTAGTTTTTTCTAATGATTCTGTTTAACCACAGGTGAAAAACAATGTTTGATTTATGGACCATTTTCAGTAAATTTTTATTTATTATTGCTTTTATCAGTTTGAAGTTATTTCAGTGATGAATTGTCGATTTTTCTTTCATTATAAGAGGGGTATGGACAATTTTGCCCAATCTGTCTATGTGTCACTCATATTATCAATCTGGAGCGACTCACTGAAAACGTTCAGAAAAATGCAGAACGTTAAGACAGCTATTTGAATTTGATTGGTCAAAGTGTCACAAGAGCAGAACAATGCAAAAAGTCTAACTTTTGTTATATGCAGTTGAGAGAAAAGCACAGACATCTTCTCTGTCCACAAATGCACAAAGCTCTTACCTTCTGCATGTTTTTCACAAACTAAACACTCTGTGTTTTCACTGAAATAGATATCTGTCAATGTCGCCATGTTTCTTTTTCTGCTTTACCTTTGGCTTCTGTATAAACCATAAACCATATGTAAAGAGGGAGTTTATGAACTCACAAATATTGCGAGAAACCATCGTACTGCACAAGATTAAAGCCATACCACATCCACCAGATCAGTCCAAAGTTTTGGTGTCTGAGTGTCACACTCACAGTCGAAGCCTGAGCCACAGTTGGTGGTGATGTCCAGCAGAGCCTCGGGCAGGACCCCCTCTGCTCTGAACCTCTGGATGAAGATGTGACCCTGACGCTTGGACAGCTTGGAGCCGTCCTTGTTGGTGAGCAGGGGCAGGTGTCCGAAGGCCGGGGGGGTCCAGCCCAGGGCGCGGTACAGCAGCAGGTGTTTGGAGGTGGAAATGAGCCACTCAGAGCCGCGCAGCACGTGGCTCACGCCCATGTGGTGGTCGTCCACGATGTTGGCCAGGTGATACGTGGGGAAACCGTCTGCCTTCAGGATCACTGGGTCTCCCTCCACCTGCACAGTACACACAGCAAACAGAACACTCCCATCACTCCCATCACTCCCATCACTCCCATCACTCCCATCACTCCCATCACTCCCATCACTCCCATCACTCCCGTTTGGAAATATCACTAACTAGTTTTAGCCTTTGTCAACACTACATCCTCTCTTGGCTGACAGAATTCACACACAGAACTCAACTGAACTTTATTTTAGTGCTTTACTCTGAAAGGTGGATTTCTGTGGTTTACATGTTCTCCCACATGTCTGGGTGTTTTTTTTTTTCCAGGCACTCCAAATTCCCACATATAAAAGAGCAGAAGTTAAAAAAAATGTTCCAGATGTTTAAGAGTGCGGTACCTGTGCCACATCATGACGAGTCCATCCAAAGACCAGGTCCTGGAAAGGCTCCGCCCCCTCCTGCAGACGGAAGCGGACCACATGACTGAGGCCCTGCTCCAGCCTCTGCTGCACCTGTGCAGGCTCCAGGTGCCGGCACCGGTTATCATACCTGCACACACCATTATTATGCAGAGAAAACACTTCTCTATGAGGCGGCACAACACACTAAAGAGGTGTCTATTCACTAGAAACAAAAGACGGTTTGTGCCACTGATGCTAAGATTTAGAAAGTCATATTTATAAAAACTAAAATGGTCCGAGTTGTAACATGATACATTATTCAGCTTTAAAAACTGAACTGTGACTAACAGTGATTTCATTCTAATTCAACCTTCTGTTTTTAAATCAGCTACTACAGTTTGTTAGAAATTGAAACAGCTTTGACAACTAATGCTTAAAAAATATTATAGTTTCAATTGAAATGATAGGTGCATGTAAGTTTTCCTCATATTCTGCAGCCTCAGGAGTCCTTGAGTACATACAATGATAAGTATTAATAAAGTGGTCTTTGGAGGGGGTTACCTGGGTGTGTGACCGCTGCGCAGAGCCTCCTTCTTGAGCAGCTCCAATCTTTGGGGGCTGCAGAAGCAGTGGTAGGCGTGTCCAGACTGGAGCAGGCGCTGGGCTGTGGAGGAGTACAGCTGCAGCCTCTGGGACTGGAGGTAGGGCCCCACAGGTCCGCCACGCTGGGGGCTCTCGTCTGGAGGAATGCCTGAGTCACACACACAAGTGCTATGTCAGGAAAACATAAAAATATGGTACCGAGATGAATTATTACTCGTAACTAACTCAATTTACAAATTATTATTTTTTTATTAATGTACATTATCTCTGTTAAACCAATAATAAAGTAATAATATAATAAAAATGGTGAGTGTATGGAGTGAGAGTACTCTGCTGTGGTGAATACCTGCCCAGTCCAGCATGTCCTCTATGGCTTGGGCGGCCCCTGGGACCAGGCGGCTCTGGTCAGTGTCCTCCAGGCGCAGGATGAAGGTGCCTCTGTACTTCTTGGCAAACAGGTAGTTGTACAAAGCCGTGCGCAGGCCTCCCAAGTGTAAGAACCCTGCCATGCCAGAGCACACACACCGAGTTACACACCGAGTTACACACCGAGTTACACACCGAGTTACACACCGAGTTACACACCGCGGGGTGCTACACTTGTATTTGGCCTATGGCATTTAACAGGGCAGAAGTGTCTATAGGCCACAATAGGTGTTAGTTCAATTTGCATAAGTGGTGTCACTGAAGATGTGCCTGTGCTCTCTGACACCTGCAGTAGATCCTGTTTCTGATCTTCATTCTTTGTTTGGCTGCAGTTAAAATCTTGAATAAGCTGCATCCCCTTTCAGCAACATCATTGATATCTTTCCTGGAATGCACAGTTTGAGCACCTTCTGAAAGTCTCATCATCAGCCCAGTCTGCTGCAGGGGATCTGCTCAAAATGTTTTTGGCAGATCAAGAGCTTCGAAGAAATGCATCAAAATCACTGATCTGCTTCATAATAAAGCATCACATGGCTTAGCTGGAACCTCTGAACCTTCCTTTTCCATCATATTGTGAATCATCAGCTTCTTCTGTTCTTCTGTCACACTGGAGTGGAAGAATGCCAGGCCAAACATTTCTTCACTCAAGTACCAAAGATGTCGGCCCAAAGCTGTTAAGGCAACTTTCTTGATAACTGAATTTTCAGACTGTGACAGCTTCTTAAGGAAAACCAAATCATTTAAAGGAGCTTCAAAACTTCACACAGAAACTTCATGCAGTTGAGCAACCTCTAAAACATCTAATTTTTCTGCCAAATTTCTTCTTAAACCAACTTTTGGATGCTAAAACCTAATGCAGGGTTCTAATCGAGGTTATCTGAAACTTTTTTTTTTTTTAACATGCTTTGATGGACCAGCCTAGTACACACAGTCTATGATCAGTGTTGGGGAGTAACAGATTACATGTACCGGAGTTACGTAATCAGTGTACAAATTTTGAGTAACTGTATTCAGTTACAGTTACTGTTTCAGTGAGTGGTAATTGGATAACAGTTACTTGGTTGAAATAAGTGGATTACATGGCGGATTGATTTCCTTGTCTTTGCTTCTCTACAGCAAATCAAGTAATCCAAAGTATTCAGATTACGTTACTCACTTTAAGTAATTTAATAGATTACGTTACAAACTACATTTTGGTGTATGTAATCTGTAATCTGTAGGGGAATACATTTTAAAAGTAACCTTCTCAACACTGTATATAGGGCTGGGTATCATTAAGAAGTTGGCGATACGATACACACCTCGATACACAGGCCACGATACGATACATATCTCGATACGCTGCACTTTCGATTTGTTATGATATATTTCAAATCGATTCGATACGGTTCAATAAAAAATAAAGGCTAAATCATGGCTGTTATACTAAAAGTCTTTGTTAAACCACTTTTTGTGCAAAGTTCATAAGAAACACAAACATTTTAATAATCAAAACAGTAAAAATATCAAATGTGTTGAATAAATGAGTTTCCTTTCACTCCACAAGCAACAAAACTGTAGCTCTGTAACAAAATAATTTAGTAAAACACACCTAAAAATACTCTTGGTGATATATCGATACAGTAGCCCATGATATCGATACTGTATCATCACATTAAACGATACGATATATCGATATTCCGATATTTTTGCACACCCCTAACTGTATATGATACTACTGCGTCCAGAGGCACGTACTCACCTGTGGGGCTTGGGGCAAAACGCACTCGGACCCCTGCGCCCTCCTGCACCTGCCCCGGAGCCGCGGAGCCCCCGGACCCAGCCTGTCCAGGACCCGCGGAGAACCCGGATCCAGCCTGTCCCGGAGCCGTGGAGCACCTCCGGAAAGCAACCGTGCAGCCTCCACCCACAGCCCGGCGAACACGGATCCGCAGAAAGAAGGACATGTCCCCGGAACCGGCTCTGCTGCGGCGGGTCACCGGGACACCTTTCACGGGCACAGCTTCGACATCATTCAGCAAGACACTCGGACATGCTCGTTTAGCTAGCTGCCATTTTCTGTGGCCGGTCTGTTAAATAATTGTCTTTTGAGTGTGTCAGTTATATTTTAAAGATGTCAAAACGCTGTGTTTTCAGACAAAACGTGCAGCCATGAAGTATACACTTCCTCCAGACATAAACATCCCGGTGAAAGTCGCTACCCGATTAGCGTCAGTCATGCCTCCGCGGGGCCGCCATCTTGAGTACGGTAACTGCACGTGGACAATAAGTACTAACCGACTTGAATTGAAAAACGTTAAATGACACACACGCACGCACGCACACACACACACACACACACACACGCACACACACACACACACACACAAAAACAAAAACAATACTGTCCACGGTCCATGGAATTATTGTATACGCGTCGAAAACGAACCTTTAAGATGTAAAGTGTAATATGCATTTAAAAAAAAAATAACTTTATTTACAGACTCAGAGTTCAAAGTGTACACAGTAGAACACACCCCCACAATCATATATAAACCCACAAACACACACAGACACACACTCTTACCCCCCACCCACCCACCCACCCACACACACACACACACACACACACACACACACACACACACACACACACACACACACACACACACACACACACACACACACATAAAAGTGACACGAGCACGAGCACTTTCCCACCTTGGAGTCTTTAGCAGAATTCTGAGAGCATCATTATTTGCCACCTTAATCTTCTTCATCTTTGCTTTGCTGTAATGACACCGTAGGTGAGCTGTGTATCCTGGGGTACAGTATGATCTAAAAAGAGCATTTTAACATCATTTGTACAGATATGGAATTTGTATGCCAGCATATTCGCTTGTAAATAGAGTTTGCAGCACTGACGCTGGATGTCATCATCATCACATGAGTCATTTCTAATAATATGGCCTAAGTGTTTTGTTTTTGTTACATTAGCCAGCTAATTCTCATTTAAATAAAAAGAGGGGAAGCTTAACTCTTGATCTTTCTTAGTCCTGGCAATCATGACAACACTCTAAATCATTTTAAATCATTTTAAATCATTTTTTAAATGTATTTATTTATTTATTTTATTACATTGTAGTGACTATTTGTGAACGAAAACTAACAAACAAAAGTAGTGAGCAAACTCAGAACTAAACATAACTCAAATAATCACTTTTGTGGTTGAAAAAACTAAATCAATGTCCATGTCCAGAGCTGCATTTTCCAGGATTAACAGACAGATTAAACCAAATACAGAAAAGGTGCTAAGGTAAGTAAGGCAAATTAGACTAAACACATGAGCAAATATAATATTAACATAGAAAAAATGTATATTAAATTAGTACTAACTACTGTTGACAAACAAAAATAGTGAACTCATCTTAGAATAAATAAAATAAACAAATAGCTCCTACATATATATTATACATGTTTATTGTGTATTATTCATTTGTGTATCATCAAAACCAACATTTGTTTAAAAATGCATTATATATTATATGAAATTGATGTATAGCAGTTTTATCATTGGCTTTCCTGGAATTTATATAGATAGATCAGAAAATAAGCGAAACTGGTTGGACTTGATGTTTTTGTTAGAGTCATATACGTGTCCCGCCCACATGTAGGTAGTGACAACAGAATCCCATTGTCTCCTGCCTTTGTAAAGCATTGTAAAGACTTCAGCACTTTACATTGATGTTTAATGGAAATACCAGCTTTGACTTTGGAGTAGTTTAGCTTGTTCAGTCAGAATCAATTTCCTCTTCCTTCTCTTTTCTCTGTATTGTTTTATATATGAACTTTTACATATTTATTTCCCCCCAAATAAATCAATAGTAAAACTTACAAATGCATATCACCTACATACATCTCTTATAAGGCAGTAATAGTGCTGTGTAAATTGCTGTTTGTGTTTTCCAGGCTGCTTCATCTCACTGGAGGACTCTAACAGCTCTGCTCCCTATTGGCCCCAGCAGGGAAGAGCCTTCCCCCGGGAGCGCTGCCACACCACGCCCCGGAGCTGGAGGTAGGCTGGAGGTAGGCTTGAAGTAGGCTCGCACAGCACCTGAGGCTCTTTCACACACTCTTAGCAGTCAGCACAACACGGCTCTACGCTGATGACAGGTAAGACATTCACTTTAATACCACAGATTTGTACTACTAGAATAATAGAAATATAGACTGGTGTTAACAGTTACCAGTAAGACAAATATTGGTATAGATTTTTCTACTAACAGACATGTTTATTTTCTGGGCTAATTTGTCCTTTTTTGTCAGTGTAATATTTTTGCTGGTAAAAACTAAACAAATGAAACAGTCACTATGATTTTTGTACAGAAAAAATCTAATTCCTTGTCTAAATGAACGCTGATACTTGCCAACTCAGGTTTGCTACATTTATTTAACCCTAATTGCCACTATGTCAAAATGTTAGTAAAATATCAGTAAAGAAAATTAACTAGATACAAGATAAATAGGAATTAAAAAAAAAAAAAAAAACAAAATAATATAATATGATTTCCCATGGTCATTGTTAAATTTGTGGTAATATCGTCATGCGGGTCCCTTTTATCACAGGACCATAAGTCTTGAAATAAATGTAAGTTTATATCTGTTTATTTTAGGGAAGACTGAAAGGTGAAAGCTGTATGTTCTTCTTTAGATGCAGAGGAAAGTGTAGTGTGACCATGTCGTACTGTTGTACTGTTGCATTAGCACTGTGGGACATGTGCTGTGATTTAAGAGGAGGATCCTTAGAAGATGCTGCTAATGCCGGTGTAGAACTGAGTGTTTTATTTAATCATTTTTATATGTGTGTGTGTGTGTGTGTGTGTGTGTAGTTTTTTTCCATCCTCAGTACTTGTTTTAGTTTTATCTGAATATTGTAATAATTCGCTTTTAGTTTTACTTGTACTCAAGTAACTTCATGTAACAGATCTTTGTTCAGTGTACACAGGCTGGTGGTCTGGTAATCCTTGGAATAGGGTTTAGATTAAAACTGAATTGTGATCTGCTGCGACAATGTGCAGAAAGCAGATGACTTTTTTTTATACTTGAATTGTGACATACTCAAAATCATGATCCGTCTCCAAGAAAATCGTGTTTTTGTTTGATTGTGGCTACCAGAAAAAAAGTCTTTAATCTTTAAAGATTCATCTGACATGGACCTGGTTTAGATCTGGGATAGTCCTGAGATAGTCCTGGTTGAGGGAGCCTGTTTTAGTACTGGACACTGGAGATGGTGGTGATGATGAATAATAAAATGTTAAAGGCACAACTGTGCAAATGCTGGAATATTTCATTGTGTGGCATTAACATTATCTATCTCCATGGAGACATAGATATTACTATTATTGTTCAATAAATAATAGGTGAAATTATGTTTTGAAGTCAGTGTACTGTATTTTGTGGGTACTATGATTTGAGCTGTAAAAACATGAAAAATAATATTCATGAGCAAGTTACGTCACCAGGCCAACTTACCAGTCAGGTCTTTGAGGAGACCACCCCCACTCTCAGGTGTTTTTCAAGGTATTTAAAAAAAAAAATCCATAATGAAATGAATGCTAGACACATACATTAATCTGTCACTCAATCAATCAAACTATATTTATCCTCAATGACAAATGAAACATGTGGAGCAGAAGGCACTTCTGAACTTATAGCAGTGATTTATTAGAATACCACAGGAATACTTTAGGTATGTGAAGAATACTTATGGACTGCTGCAAACTGTTTAAAATGAACTACTTTTTACTTTTTTCTCTTAATATGAAAATGTTTTGTAATCTGTAAATATTAGGACCATAGTTGATCCGGTTATGATGTGAAAGTGCAGACAGAGCTTTCAGGCACCAGGCCTATGTATGTCTCATCTATTGTGAATGTTTCCTTGACAAATATAGAGATATAGCCCAAGCAAAGGCCCAAATATGAAGCAATAGACACACATACTTCTCTTGCCTGGATAAACAATCTAAGGAAGTTTAGTGTGAGGTGTGTGTATAAGTGTGAGGGCTGGTATAAGAAAATAAAGTTAAGTATGTAAAGTCCCAGTTCTTATTATTTGCACATACTATTTGACATTTTTGGAAATCCAGTTATTCATCAGCTTATCATTGCCTACATTTGAACTGAAAAGTGTACATTTCAAATAGTACCACTGCCATAAACTCTGTCAGACTTTTCCCATGAGCCTCACTCTCTCAGTACTAACAATAGGATGCAGGTTACTGAGTTCTCAAACCATTGGCCCAGCGAATCATACTGGGGCTCCACATGTGAATACTGTCACTGTGTCCTTCAGCAAGACACTAAACCTGCTTTGGCCCCCCCCCCCGTCCGTGTACATGATGTGTGAATGTGTGTGTGTGAATGGTGAGTGGCTCTTTCATGTAAAGTACTTTAAGTCTTCTTCTGTCTAATGACCTGCATAACTGATCACAGCATTAGGAATGGATGATGGACAGTGTTTATAAGTATGGAGGGTATGGATATATGGAGTGTATAAGTGTATGGATATATAGAGAGTATAAATATACGGAGTGTATAAGTGTATGGATATATAGAGAGTATAAATATACGGAGTGTATAAGTGTATGGATATATAGAGAGTATAAATATACGGAGTGTATAAGTGTATGGATATATAGAGAGTATAAATATATGGAGTGTATAAGTGTATGGATATATAGAGAGTATAAATATATGGAGTGTATAAGTGTATGGATATATAGAGAGTATAAATATACGGAGTGTATAAGTGTATGGATATATAGAGAGTATAAATATACGGAGTGTATAAGTGTATGGATATATAGAGAGTATAAATATACGGAGTGTATAAGTGTATGGATATATAGAGAGTATAAATATACGGAGTGTATAAGTGTATGGATATATAGAGAGTATAAATATACGGAGTGTATAAGTGTATGGATATATAGAGAGTATAAATATATGGAGTGTATAAGTGTATGGATATATAGAGAGTATAAATATACGGAGTGTATAAGTGTATGGATATATAGAGAGCATAAATATATGGAGTGTATAAGTGTATGGAGTGTATGGATATATGGAGTCTATTTGTAAATAACATAAACATTTAACAGATTTGACCAGTACATTTCAAGCCATATGTTTGGATTTGTGTTGCTAAGTTATATGCTTTTTTTACTCCTTTAAAGTAAATAAAAGGCTCTACCCGTGTGTCTTGAGTTTAACCTGACTCTATCTGTACATGGATGAATAGAACTCAAACAGGTTCACACCGAGCTGATGATCCCATAGGGGTCTGCTGAGTGTGTAGCTCTCTCTCAGATGTAGGACGACACACTTTGAGCACTAACTCTGAACTATTTTATTGTATTGGCCTAACCTTAGCGTTTAGTCCATAAAGATATCTGGGCAAATGCAAACATTGATTTTCTGACTCCAACCTTTCCAAAAATATATAGTTTAGCAAATCCCCCAAAAATTCCCACTAAGGTTAAAAAATGAATATAAGGAACCGGACTATTTAGCCTGGTTCGCCCATTTAGTATGACTGAATGATTTGGAGGATATTTAGTTGTTTAAGGCAGAAATTATATAATGATAATAATAATTTACATTTATAATGTGCTTGACAGACTGTTGAAGCGCCTCAGAATGCTGCCCTGTGTCATTCTTCATTTAGTTACTACAGGCTCCAGTCACCCTTTTGTCACAAACCAGGAAGATGTTGGGAAAGACGTGATTACAACTTCCTGGGTAGTTCCCAACAATGGGCTCACCTAACTGGATCTGGATCTATTAAAACCCACTGTGATCAAAGGCACTGAAGTAAATGCAATGTAGTTTGTAACGGAAATCCATTAAATTACTTAAAGTGAGTAACGTAATCTTAATATTTTGGATTACTTGGTTTGCTGTAGAGAAGCAAAGACTAGGATATCATAACATAAGATGTTTTGTCTGCTAAAGACAATAAAAAGCCGAAAAAAATATTACTGATAGAAGAGGAGGAGACACGGTCCATACAGCATGGTTTAGTCCTGTTAAATCCTGTTAAATCCTGGTTTAGTCCTGGTTTAGTGTTGGTTTAGTCCTGGTTTTAGTCCCGTTTTAGTCCTGTTTTTGTCCTGTTTTAGTCCTGGTTTAGTCCTGTTTTAGTCCTGTTTTAGTCCTGTTTTTGTCCTGTTTTAGTCCTGTTTTAGTCCTGTTTTAGTTCTGGTTTTAGTCCTGTTTTAGTCCTGGTTTAGTCCTGTTTTAGTTCTGGTTTTAGTTCTGGTTTTAGTCCTGTTTTAGTCCTGGTTTAGTCCTGTTTTAGTTCTGGTTTTAGTTCTGGTTTTAGTCCTGGTTTAGTCCTGTTTTAGTCCTGGTTTAGTCCTGGTTTAGTCCTGGTTTAATCCTGGTTTAGACCTGGTTTGAGTGGAATTACTGAAAAAAAAAGAAAAAAAGGGATATAGCCCAAAATGTGAAAACAGGAAAATCCCGCCGTGTAATCCATTTATTTCAACAAAGTAACTGTAATCCAACTACCACTCACTGAAACAGTAACTGTAACTGAATACAGTTACTCATCATTTGTACTCGGAATTTGGCGCCTGGTTGTAATTGTGTTTGTAATTGTTGATTAGCCGAACATAACAGAGCACTACAATGACATTTAGATGAAGAAATTAGATGAAGACATTTAGATTGACCTGGGAAGTTTTGTTTTTTTTTGGCCTGAGAAGTTGTCATCTCATCTTTCCAAACATCTTCCTGGTTTGTGACGTAAGTGTGAATAGAGCCAATTTTAGCCACAGACGCCCTGGGACACTTCAATAATTGTCGCCTTTGTGATTTGCTAATTACAATGAACGATGATTGGATTGCAACAAATTGTGCAGCTCGATCACTTAGTATAAGTGTCCAGAGGGCAGAGATCATTCCGGGGGAACTTGGTGTGAGCCTTACAATCCGTTCTGCTCCCTGTACGAGGAGCATAGAGCACAAATCTGCTGCATCACCGGCTCATGTGAGTGCGGAGAATCTGAGGACGCAGTCACGGACCCAGCCCTAATACCCAGCCCTAATGCCCTTCTGAATGAATCATGTTAAATCAATCAGCGTGAATAATCAGTCAATATTAGTCGTGTTTTTGATGCTTTCTTTGGTGGTGCTGATGTTTGCTGTGGCATGTGTGCACAGTCACCCAAAGCAAACTCACTGTGTTGACTCTGACTGAGGAGTGTGTGTGTGTGTGTGTGTGTGTGCGTGTGGGGAAAATCAGACTGGGCCGGGGGAAAGTGAAGCAATGCTAGCATGTGTTTAAATCTCACAGGTATGTAATAATTTGTCAGGAAGCTCCTATAGTGTTTCTCATAAACACTGGAATGGTGCTTTGTGTCCTTCATTCTGCATGTCTAGTCCGCCTCTCTCTTGACTCTGATCTGGATCTGCGCCGTGTCTTGGCCTTAAAGTGGAACGAAGCACCAAAAGCACTTTTCATGACCAAACTGTGTATATGGCACTTAATAGCATTATACTGTATACTGTTCCTGGTCATTTGTTTGGCAACTTTAGTGCAAACCAGGTACTTCTGCAGCTTTCTGGTCACAAACACATCCTCCTTCTCCTCCACCATATCTATGACATAGATGTCCAATCAGGTTTGTCTATTTCAAAATAACGCTTCCTCCACTGATTCTGCAGAAATGTGTGATGTGTTTCAGTCCTGTGTAGTTTATTTTGGACTTTTTTTTTTCCTTATAAGCAGCTTGTTTGTGAATGCACCATGCAAGTCCCTGACTAGCTAATCTATCTGTCAATCTCCCCCGTCTGAAGGGAGATAAACGGGTCTTTCAGAAGCATTAGAGGAGCGTGTATGCTCAGCTGGTCACATGAGTCCTTCGTGCTCTCCTGTGCTCTGTCCTCTCTTATATTATTTGACTGCTTTGTTCTTTGATTGATCAAACTTGAATCATTTGAGTTACAGTTCACTTCCTCATGTGTCTGAACCCGTCAGACCACTCCACATGTGTGCTCTTCCTGCTGCACGTACAGCATGTGTCACCCTCTGACTTCAAGGTGACACAGCATGTTTAGGCTCATTATCATATAATGATCATCTGGGGTGGGTAGTACTCAGTTACATTTAAAACAGAAACTTTTACTCATACTCTCTAAGGTTTATTCTATAGTGGCTTTTTGTGAACAACACAAAAGAATTCAACATTTGAGCTTCTTACACCTTATTGTCATAAATCAGATTAGAATTATGTTCAAACAGTTAGTTAGTACTAGGGTTGTCAAACGTACTTAAGGATAAAGCTATATTAAAACTTATCTAAACTAAATTTTCATGTGAGCAGGTATTGATATTCATATCCACAGAACAGAAATGAGCCTTTCCTGAATGTCTTTAGAATGAAGCTGAGCTGTATCAGAACAAGTAAAAGGGCACATAGACTAATACACACACATGGACCAACATGAACCTACTGCACCACGCAGAGTTTACACACATATAAAACACATGGGAATAGAAAAGAAAGAACCACCGTTTAATGTTGAAAATCACATTCTATTGTCTAAAGAAAGAGGATTTTTTATTATCATTGTGGCATCAGAATTGGTATCGAGCATTAGTATTAGTACTGAAATTGAGTTTGAAATGTTTGTATTGTGACAACACTACAGTACTCAAGTTGTACTTTTTATCATCTTACTTGAGTAATTATTTCTTCTTGAGTAGTATTATTTTAAAGTACTTTTTCTCTTACTCGAAAACAAACCCCCCTCTGCTCTGATGATGGTATAATGAAAGTATTGTAACAGGTCTGACAGCCACATTCTTCCACCGTATTGACAGTAAATATGAAATAATCCAGTGCAGTACTCTGTCTGCTGTACAGGATTGTGATCTGCTGCATTTTTGTGTCAGGCTCATTTTTCATGTTCACACAATAGTTGTGTAAAGTGTCCTGGCCCCTCCTCAGTCTTGGCTTCTCATGTGAATAGAGCACTTACTGCTTTGACTCGAGGAGGTGCACAGTTTCTGCTCTTCTCCTAGAATTCTTTTCACTCTATTCTTTGCCATCTTTGAAACACTGAACCAAAGGTCATTTGTGCCAGTACAATGTGATGGAGCCACACCCTGATGCAGATCAGTCTGCACTCAGGAGCTGTCCCCACACTACCCTGGTGCTCAGGGCAGTGGGACACCATGTGGGCAGAATAAGATCTGGAAGATGAATCAAAGATGCTGTTGCATTGTTTTCAATGGTCTGTACTCACATGGGCCACGTCCACAGACCGTATATGAAAGGACATAGCTAAGTTCTCCAGGAGGCTCTTATGGCTCCTTCTGACGCTGACTCCAATTGAAGTGAAGGGTCAAGAGACTTGAGCTGTCCCCCATACTCCAGGAGTCACTCAGTCCATACTCCATATGGCCTGTGGCTAAATGGCAAAGTCAGACATCCGGTATGTAGCGACAGCCATTGTTGATTATTTTGATTCTAAACACAAAAGGAGATGTGTCCTCCACCTCCTGTTGGACCTGTTTGTTAGCAAAGGGCAAATTCTGTAAGATGATGCCGGACATAGAAATGATTTTAAAGTGTTATTTCTGAATGATGATGATTGGACTGACTGCACAGTGTGGCTTAAACTGATCTCTTACACATTTACTCAATAACTTGTTTTTAATGGCTAAAATATAACTTGCATTCTTACAGTGAGCTGTGCCTCCTCCTCGCAGATCTAACCTGTAAATGGCCCACTGGCCTCACCTGCTGTCTTGATGGACATAGAGAAGTTTAATACCATACTGTGGAACATTCCAGTCAAAGCAATAACATCTCCATGGAGATGGGCAGCTCCTGAATTTTCCACCAGGAAGTTGCATAGTGTAGCTTTAAGTTGATTTGGGGTGATGGTGGAATATTAACGTGTGTGTGTGTGTGTGTATGTGTATGTGTATGTGTGTGTGTGTGTGTGTGTGTGTATGTGTGTGTGTATGTGTGTGTGTGTGTGTGTGTGTGTATGTGTGTGTGTGTGTGTGTGTGTATGTGTATGTGTGTGTGTGTGTGTGTGTGTGTGTGATGGGCCTCTGCTGCTCACAGCTGGAGGTCAGGTGCACTCAAGTCACATGGTGTAGTACAGGAAATGTACAACTGTACCTCTAAATATTCTGCCAAATATGGATCTTTTACACCAGCAGTAGGCAACTTCAGGCCTGGGGGCCAAATGTGGCTGCACTGCAAATAACTCTGGTCCCTCTGGCAAGTTTCACTAAATCACAGCTCACGACAGGGATCAATACCTGATTAAATCTTCTCTTATCAGTTTAATGACTTCAGTCTGCCTCCAGAAACATGCCCACCCAAGTTCTACTGTAATGTTTTCCTCTTAATGATGCTAGAATGAATAATGCACAGTAAAACATTCACAGTACACAACACTTGAGCTTATCAGTGAGCGTCATGTTTGTGTTGGCTTGATGTTTTGTGATGCGATTGTGTAGGTAACAAGGTGTGTCTCTCTCCACAGCCCATGAGAGCAGTCACATGACCCGCTGTCACATGATGAGATCACATGGCCTGTTCCTCCTGCTCTACCTCCTGTGGCTCTGCTGGGGTATGACACACACACACACACACACACAAGCACACACACGCACGCACACACGCAGACACACACACACACACACACACACATTGATGTATATCTCTCCATAAATCTTTCAGTCATCACTTTCTGAGGATTTTCATCATCACTGCTGACGGTTTTCATCTAAAATCATATAGTTGGAGTCTTCACCGCTCGTCTATATCAGTGTTCACAAACTGTATGATCTATTTAATAATAAAAAGAGTAAAATGCCTTATAGATAGCAAAAATCACATTTAAAATTGTTACTATACACCTTTTATACATATTGTATATTCCAAAGTCCAAATTTGGTATGGGGCCAAAATGAAATATTACACACATCAACAGAGAAAAACAACCATAGAGCTAACTAACTTAAAGGGGTTATAACAGATTTTTACTGTCTTCAGAAAAAAAAGCAGACCTAGTGTATTTGCAGTTTGCAGACACCTCACACACACACACACACACACACACACACACACACACACATACACACACACACACACACACACACACACACACATATCCACACACACACACACACACACACACACACATCACACACACACACACACACACACACACACACACACACACACACACACACACACACACACACACACACACACACATAGAAAGTCGACTGAGAGGATACATATTGTGTACATTCTAAGAACATATATTATAATGAAAAATCTCCAGGTAACAACTATACGATAGATTCAGATCTCAGTTTGATCAATAGATTGGACCAGCAAGAAATGTTTTTGGTTTTTGCTCCGTGCATTCGAGCAGCAGAAAACTCCAGTTGAACGATTTCTCTGAAAGATAAGAGCCATTCTGTCACAGTCAGAGGTTGAACTGATTTCCATCAGCATATTACCATTTTTTTGGCAGCTGTAAAACCTGCTAGTAATATACAACAATCGTTAATTGTCAGATTTAGTTTGGCCATGTCGTTTAGCAAAAGAAACCTCTGAGTGAAAGGTATGGTTATTCCTGTTAATTTAGACATTGTCTTTGTGACGTTTTCCCAAAATTGTGCCACCTCCGGGCACTCCCATATCATATGTACAAGGGCTCAGAGTTTTTTCTGTGCAAAAATTGCAGCATGGATTGTCTTTTATTTTCATTTGGTGTAATTTTCTAGGGTATAAATAAGATCTAGGAATAATTTTGTAATGAATCATCTGGTGATTGGGATTCCTTGATGAAGCCAAAATGTTGGACCAAATCTGGTTCCAATCCCACTCCGAGTGATCCCTCAATTCAACTGCATTCCGAGCATTTTAATTGTTCATGTTTGCAGTGATGGTAAAGCTGACTTTAGACATTATGGGGCAGTGAAAGGCTTTTTAATTAGATGCAGACAGCACACAGCAGACTTATTTTGACCTGCTTATACATTATATCAACTCCACGGAGAAAAACGAGTGCAGGAATAAGCACGAGGAAGAATCACTGTACTTGTGTAACATTTCGTGTCACTCTGGGCTGACATGTGACTGTACTTGTCCATCTGTCCACAGGGACGTCAGAAGCTCTGAGGTAAGACGACTATTATGGCTGTAACAACAAAAAGCATAGTTAAACGCTGTGTGTTCTGAACGCTCCTCTCATCACCCTTTTGTCTCTGCATTTGTGAACAGTCATGGATCCTGCCCAACTGGAGTCACATGTGCGCAGGTGAGCAGCCCCTCCACTAAAAGCCTCTCCAAACTATTATGCATCTCTATTATCTATTATGCATCTATAAGAAAATGTACTTGTAAACAATGTATATTTACGTATATTAGTACAGTATGGCCGTCTGAAGGGGAGTGGTAAAAGCTCTCAAAACTATCTCTAACTAACTGTATCTGACCCAAACTGCACTCACAAGACTACAGAAAAGTACTAGGAATTTAGAAAACAATATAAAGACAGATTAAACTTCAAGATCATCAGTTTAATTTGCCTTTTTACAGAGAAACCAACTCTTCAGCTCACTCACTTCTCCTTCCTGCTGTTGTCCCATGCAAATCCTGATCATCTCCATAAAATAATGAGTCCACTAATACAAACATTGGTCACCAAAGACATAAAACAGACATAAAACATAGAGTCACTCAATGTTAAAATATCATATGATGATAAAGATCTCATCCATCATATCTGAAATGACAGTAGAAATCTTCATCTAATCTGTCACAGAATGTCAGATAATGTTGAAGGTGTCCAAATAGAAAATGTAAATGAAAATAAATTCTTGGGAGATATAATAGACACTAAATGCCACATGAGACACATAAAAACAAACATTTCCAGAAGTCTTGCTGTAGTAAACAAAGTGAAATATGACCTTGATCAAAATGCCCTTCCTACATTCTACTGTTCATTGGTCCTCCCTTATTTCAGACACTGTGCTGAAGTGTGAGGGACACTTACTAACAGTGTTGGGAAGGTGACTTTTAAAATGTAATCCCCTACAGATTACAGATTACATACCCCAAAATGTAGTTTGTAACATAATCCCAAATCTCCATGAACAGACTTTTATTTACTGTAGAGAAGCAAAGACGAGGATCTGAACATAAGCTGTTTTGTTTTATCTGATAAAAGAAAATCAAAAGCCCAGTTTTTACTTAAACATATTAAAAATATTTCTGATAGAAAAATGATTTTCATATGAGATCATTGCTGCTTTAAATTATGTCCACCTACTGTTAGTGTCATACTGTTTAGACCTGGTTTAGTCCTGGTTTAGTCCTGGTTTAGTCCTGGTTTAGACCTGGTTTAGACCTGGTTTTAGTCCTAGTTTTAGTCCTGGTTTAGTCCTGCTTTAGATTTGGTTTTAGTCCTGGTTTAGTCCTGGTTTTAGTCCTGGTTTTTGTCCTGGTTTTAGACCTGTTTTAGTCCTGTTTTAATCCTGGTTTAGACCTGATATTAGTCCTGGTTTAGTCCTGGTTTAGACCTGGTTTAGACCTGGCTTTAGTCCTGATTTTAGTTCTGGTTTTAGTCATGGTTTAATCCTGGTTTAGACCTGATATTAGTCCTGGTTTAGTCCTGATTTTAGACCTGGTTTTAGTCCTGGTTTAGTCCTGGTTTTAGTCCTAGTTTTAGTCCTGGTTTAGTCCTGGTTTTAGTCCTAGTTTTAGTCCTGGTTTAGTCCTGCTTTAGATTTGGTTTTAGTCCTGGTTTAGTCCTGGTTTTTGTCCTGGTTTTAGACCTGTTTTAGTCCTGGTTTTAGTCCTGGTTTTTGTCCTGGTTTTAGACCTGTTTTAGTCCTGTTTTAATCCTGGTTTAGACCTGGTTTTAGTCCTGGTTTAGTCCTGGTTTAGTCCTGGTTTAGTTTTAGACCTGGTTTTAGTCCTGGTTTAGTCCTGGTTTTAGTCCTAGTTTTAGTCCTGGTTTAGTCCTGCTTTAGATTTGGTTTTAGTCCTGGTTTAGTCCTGGTTTTTGTCCTGGTTTTAGACCTGTTTTAGTCCTGGTTTTTGTCCTGCTTTTAGACCTGTTTTAATCCTGTTTTAATCCTGGTTTAGACCTGATATTAGTCCTGGTTTAGTCCTGGTTTAGACCTGATATTAGTCCTGGTTTAGTCCTGGTTTAGACCTGGCTTTAGTCCTGATTTTAGACCTGGTTTTAGTCCTGGTTTAGTCCTGGTTTCGTCCAAAATGTGAAAACATTAAAATACCGCCATGTAATCCACTTATTTTGACAAAGTAACTGTAATCCAATTACCACTCATTAAAACAGTAACTGTAACTGAATACAGTTACTCATAATTTGTACTCTGATTACATAATGCTGGTACAAGTAATCTGTTACTCCCCAACACTGCTTACTAATGAACACTTCATCCATTCATTATATTACAGAAACGAGCTTTGCCAATCATCCATAAAGTTGGATTTTTAGAACACACTCATAATCTTTTTATTCAATTCAAGCTCCTAAAGATTCCTGATCTTGTCAAATATTATCCACTGGTAATTTTATTCAGAGCATGCAACGATTTACTACCAAGTCACAAAAGCTTGTTCAAAATGAGAGCGAGAACTTATCATTTTAGAGGATATGGAAATTTCAAATTGCCCAATGTTTGAACCACTCGTAAAAGTTTGTGTGTGTCTGTATGTGGTGTAAAACTCTGGAACAGTCTGGATACACATCCAAAGCAACGCCAAAATATCCATAAATTCAAGTTGTTCTATAAACATATGGTCTGGTCACAATATATACAGAGTGTGTCTTAATATCAGAATAATACTTCTGTCTGTAGCGCTGGTTTATACTTGTTGTTTTCTTACCATTGCTGGTTTGTGCCGTCCATTACATGACTTGTATCTGTTGTCTGTTCCTCTCTTCCTTCTCCTTGATTCCTCTCCTCAATCCTCCATTTTTCAGTTGTCAATCAAATGCACCATATTAAGCTTGTCCCAAAGCTCAGAGGAGGTGAGGGAAGGAAAGCACAGAGGAAACCTGAGTGAGAGTTCAAGAGGCGCACATCAGATACAATCATCAAAGTGGATTTGTCTCACAGTGAAGAGTTTGTGTTGTCATAACTACACAAGATCAGGGACAGAAGCAAAGCGGGTTTCACGTGTTACATCATCCTCAATCTGACATTTAAACAAATAAACACACATATTTTAAAATAAAGACATTGGTCTGACTTTGATTTAATAGTCCTGGACTAATAATCTAAATGAACTTCAGTGTAGTCCTCATTATAGGTTCATTTTGACAGAACCAGCACCTGAGGAAAGACTGTCCCATTCACCCTCCTCCTGCCTCTGCTCCTCTGCTCCTCTCTCCTCTCTCCTCTGCTCCTCTCTCCTCTGCTCCTCTCTCCTCTCTCTCTCTCCTCTGCTCCTCTCTCCTCTGCTCTCTCTCTCTCTCTCTCTCTCCTCTGCTCCTCTCTCCTCTGACTCTCTCTCTCCTCTGCTCCTCTCTCCTCTCTCTCCTCTGCTCCTCTCTCCTCTGCTCCTCTCTCCTCTCTCCTCTCTCCTCTGCTCCTCTCTCCTCCTCTGCTCCTCTCTCCTCTCTCTCTGCTCCTCTCTCCTCTCTCCTCTCTCTCTCTCTCGCTCCTCTCTCCTCTCTCCTCTGCTCCTCTCTCCTCTCTCCTCTCTCCTCTGCTCCTCTCTCCTCTCTCCTCTCTCCTCTCTCCTCTCTCCTCTGCTCCTCTCTCCTCTGCTCCTCTCTCCTCTGCTCCTCTCTCCTCTCTCCTCTCTCCTCTCTCCTCTCTCCTCTCTCCTCTCTCCTCTGCTCCTCTCTCCTCTGCTCCTCTCTCCTCTCTCCTCTGCTCCTCTCTCCTCTGCTCCTCTCTCCTCTGCTCCTCTCTCCTCTCTCTCTGCTCCTCTCTCCTCTGCTCCTCTCTCTGCTCCTGTCAAATAAGACATAATTATATAAATGTAAATGTACAAGTCAAAATAAAATAGAAAAAGACGATTGACAGGACACAGGGTTATCTGTTCCATAAGGGTGAGTTGTACAGTTGTAGGGAGTATGAATCCTTGTATATTGTTGGTCTGCTTGTGTTATACTACCAAACTATAACAGTGACTCATTATCCACACTTGTAAATAGTTCATATAGTTTACTGCAAAATGTCTGAAAATGCAAAAGAAAGCTCATTGTGTAAGATTAGAAAAGTGGAAGTGGGATTAAATACATTTTCTTCTCCCCACTCCTTTTTGGGCAAACCTTTTGTTGTGGCTATTTTTATTTCTATTATGATTTCACTTATGTTGTATGTTCCATTCTATAAAGAATGTAAATCTGTACTTGCCCAAAATAAATAAATAAATTAATAATACTGTTATGAAATGAAAAATGACACTATTTGTCCCCTAACAGCAGAGTGCTCTTTAGATGTTATTGTGAACTTTTGCCAATATTAGTCATCTGGGAGAGGCCCTGTGCCCTCTGACCCACAATCACACTGGCATCCACACCCCGAGGCAATCCAGTCAGTCCAGCTGCTTTTATACAATCCAAAATATGAGCGACATGTCATTGGAATGGTGAAGAACACTCAAATCATTAGATCTCAAGAACTTTGGGTCTGAAGCAATGTACCACTCTTCCCCGACATGATGGTACTTTATATTACCACACAGGAGGAGCCTGTTAATCAGCAGTGCCATTGTTATGCAAATACTTGTGCAAGTAGTTTTTTTTTTTCTTTTTCAAAAGTATAGTTTAAATGTGTTATATAGGTTATTATGTAGAGTCAAATATAGAATCACACTTTGTAGGGTGTCTAATGCTCAACTTTATTCACAGATTAAAATGTTTTTACACATAAATTTCCATTGACTTAAAAAAAAAAAAAAAAAATCGCCTACTCCACCATAATTTTCTTTTTTTTTTTTTTTTTTTTTACTTTAGTGACACTTAAGTGCATTTTTAAAAATATAATACTTTTACTTCCTGGTTGAACTTTCTGGTTGTTTTAGAACTCGGTATTCCTTCCTGCATTTTTGTTCTTTTCTTCTAAACTTTTCTCTTTACAAACTGCCACTTAACTGATGTAAACTTAAATTTTTGTTTCAACAGGGGTGAAAAACTGTCACGTGCACTTTGACTTGTAGTTGAGCTGTTGTTGCTGTTGTTTCAGATGGAGCCTGCAGAGAAGTTCCTGCAGTGTGTAGGGCTGCCCCCCACAGACACCGGCTCTGACCACCTGCACAGGCTGCACTCCATCATGGAGGCTCTCATGGACATCTACACCTTCATGGTATCTCACTGCTTTACTGGGGAAGCTTCACATAACGACAGGTTGCATGGTGGCAGAGTGGTTAGCATCCCATATGATAGATGTATGAGTGGACATGAGCAGGGGCAGCAGTGGCTTTACTGCCTCAGTGACATGACAGTGTTGTTTATGTCTGTAATGTCAAGTGGAGATGAGCACAGGTAATGTTTTGATTGATGATATGTTATTATAAGCGACAGTAGATCAGGTGACTCATTGTTTGTCCTCTGATCCAAAGCTTAGTGTCTGTGTACACTGTGTCAGTGTGTGAGTGTGTGTGTGTGTGTGTGCACGCGCGTGTGTGTGTGTTTGTGTGTGTGAATGGGTGAGTGGTTAATTGATATAAAGCGCTTTGAGCCTTGAGTGTGGAAAAGTACTATATAAAACGTGACCATTTACCATTTACCACAGTATATATAGTGAGATCAAACCAGGGTAAAGTTTCTTATGATAATTGGACAATTTTTATTTGAAAGAGAATTAGATAGACTTGAGTTGTCTGAAAGTGTAGGTAGAGTATTTGCACTCTGACCTGAAGATCTCCTCCTCTGTTCTATGAGTTCATGGTGTGAGTTTCTTCTTGGAAAGGAATGCTGTTATGATTCCACTCAAACCAGTCCTGTACAATTCCTTATATGTTAGTGTTTCATTTGCAGAGGCCCACTAAAAAGGAAAATATTAACAACTAGAAAAGCACTCAGAGAGCACAGACCTCCGCCAAGGACTACAGTCCCCCTCATATTAATTGTGTTTTCCATAAATATTTGTCTCATATCTTTCAATTTGGAATATGAAAGAGGATCCCATTGTCCATCGCTGAGTCAAATTTCATGGGGTTTGGTCAATAATTAACCGAGATATTGAGAACAAAATTTTTGGTCCCATTTACCACAATGTTAACTAAAATTTCAAAGTGATCCAGAATCCAGGATTTCTTCCGGATCATCCCCAAAATGAAATCAGTTCTTCCTTTTCACATTTCCAACAAATCCTGAAAATTTCATCAAAATCGGTCCATAACTTTTTGAGTTATGTTGCTAACAGACAAACAAACAGACAAACAAACAAACAAACAAACAAACGCCGGCAAAAACATAACCTCCTTGGCGGAGGTAATAAACATGCTCAAGCTCAATGCAATTTGTTAAAAACTGAAAATTCCATGATAGAATTGTGACCTGACCTCCTGCTCTGCTTTACCTTAGGCATTTTAGAAAATTGGGATGTCATGTGAGCCCAGTCTATTCAGTTCCTCAAATCACCCATCACAAACTGACAATGGCCCTTTGAGTGACTCACATCTGACACATCTAACAGAAAGGTTAGAATCGAGCTGATAATAAAAGGCCTTCAGAGAATTACAAGACAATGAGAACAATCCTTGTTCCATGTTAACTGGTCCCAGTGGATTTAAGTAGGTTTGGCTTCACCGCTGAACAAACAACATGTACTATATAACCTAAAGTCATTATATACATATATACAGCTTCTTTTGAAAAGGAAAATAAAAGACTTTTCTGTCTTCAAAATGTGAAAAACAGAACTAATTCATTTTAAAGAAGACCTGTGGTGCTTGTGTTTGTTATAATCTAGTTATAATCTATAACACTCATAGCTCATTATGTGGACATTTTAAATCACAATATTCTTCTAAAAAGACTTAAGAAAAGAAACAAGTCCACTCACTTCCACATTAAAAAACTGTGGTGCCCAGTGGAAGCTGAATTATGGTATGGGCATCACACTAGTAAGACTTATTATTTTATTTTTTTTATGTTGATTTTGCAGAACAGGTCTACTTTAAAGGATTTGCAGTGGTCCAAAGTTATTCCTTACTTCCTTCATTCCTTCTGCATTCTGAGCATCCTAATTATTCAGCACCATGAGTTTAGAACATGTAGAGTACATATATTAGATGCAGATGGGTCTGGTTATGGGGAAAACACAGACTTAACTCGCTGATCTTGATCGGGTCTGCTTTGTGCATGGATGGGAGACCGCAGGGAATGTCAGATGCCACAGTAGGACTGTTGTTGTGTCATCATGCAAGGCACCTCACGCAGATTGTCTAGTGTGAAAGTGCTGTGTGCGTAGGTGTTTGTGGTGGTGGGAGGGGCCGCGTCACTTCTGTCAGTCTGTCCCAGGACAATAGTATGTTACTGCCTGTGAGTGTGGAGTGAAGGAGGAATGCACTGTAAAGCTTTGGGTGTCATGGAAGGTGTTATATAAATCCAATGATTAATTAATGAATTCATTTATGTGTAACTGGCTTCAGACCATCGTAAAACCATGGCTCAGCTAAAAGACTAAAGCAGATTTTAGAGTGGTCAAATCTAGTGATGTCCAATCCAGCCTTTCCATTTCCAATACCAATTTCTATACTAAAGTATCTGCCAATCCCCAATATCAACCCACACCAGTGCAGAGAGTGAAACCAGCCTATTTCATTCATATATCTAACCTGGATATCGGCTGAACGAATCTTTGGAAACTGATCTCTGATCCAGCAAATTTTTCAGCATTAATTTCAGCAACTAATGAATTGCATATTGTGCCAAGAAGAACAGCAATATGACAATATCTCCTGCTGGAAAATGTCTGAACCCTGTCACTTTAAAGCAATGACCACAACAATGATTTGCTAATTCAGTATTTTTTGACATTCACTGTGATATTTGGAAGAAAGCACCACCAGATCCTCTGGACTCATCGCTTTTGATATTTGCGCTTCCATCTCCAGTGTTCCTTCCTTTGTTCAGACTCAGGATCCTGCAGATCTTTGAATGCTGTTGGTTGAACATCACCATGTTGTTTATTTTTAGACCTTAAGCTTAGATTTTAAAAGACACCAGTACTTCAAAACCTGTCTGTGTCATGCACAAATATTTGAAAACATTGATGCTCTTTCAAAGGCCAAAATTCCTTAAAATGCCGCTGGTCGTGGTAAAGTGGGGTCATGACAGGCTTCAGTATTTAAACATGTAAGCCATTTCTTCTTATTATTCTCTTTCTTTTTTCTTTGGGGTTGGGTTTAAATATCTATCTAAAAAAATCATCATCCCCATCACTGTTCATGTGCTCGCAAAGAAGCTTTGAAAATGCTTTGAAAAGATGTGTCTCTAAAATGTGCTTCTCCTTGGGTTCAGTTTAAAGTTATCTGTGTCTTCCATCGGCCCATCACTGGTTCTTTGACTTTGGGCAGATCTTGTGTTTTCTTGCTGTTCTTGTGTCCCTGTTTTCCAGTGTTAGTGGTTGAACTGCCACCTTGGTTCTAACTGAAGGCTCCTCAGGTTTGTGAGCTTGTGTGTTGTTTGTTCTATCTGCTCTGCAGTTATAGTGCGGAGAAGACTTCTCTTGGACATTTTTGTTCAAATGGAGAGTCATCAGTTTTCAGTGCATCTTCACTGCACTCCAAAATGCTACGTTTGTCAAAGCTCTTCTTTTTCCTAATTTACCTTTTTGTATTTTGTTGCCTTTTCCCATTAGCCTGGTCAGGTTGGGGCATTTTGGGCAAGCGTAAAACAGTTGAAATCACCTTGGACATCATGTCTCACCTGTAGATCTAATTCAGTATCTCAGACATTTTGCAGAGACAGATGGTAAGACCTTGAGACAATATGGACAAGAGCCTGGTGCTGAAGTTGGATGCAGCTGGTCACTCTAAACCCAGACAAACCCAATCTTATCTTATTGACGTCCCCAAGCCAGGACTGGTCACGACCAAGACCAGCTGGAGTCAACTCAGCCTGGAGATTACAATAGTGACAGGCTCCCCAAGACCCAACCCCTCGCAGCCTCGTAACCCCGGCCTGGTGGGCAAGTCTGGTGTATCCAGAGACAATGACTGCAGGATCCAAACGTTGGATTATTTCCATTCCCTTCCCAAACCCGGCTGCTATGTGGAAATGTTTGTACTGTTTTTGACTGTGTGCTGATGTCGTGTAGGTGTTGTTTTTTTGTGTACTCATACCATACTATGACGATTGGAGCTTGGTCTGGGGGCGGTTCTCTCTTTTTTTGATTCCTTTGTATGTCCAGTACATGTGAAGAAACTGACAATAAAGGCCATTATTCATAAGGTGCTCAGGTCATTAGACACCTTTTAATTCAAGATTCTTGGGTGCAGCTGGTGCAGATGAACTGTGAGAACAGTGAGTAAGAAGTCACGAGCCTGACTTTGTCCTGTTTATTGTTCCACAACAGACACGACTAAAAGTAAAGGCAAAGATGTCACTCACCTACACAACAGAAGTGCACTTTGAATTGTCTGCACTCAAGGACCCACAGAGATCAGAGGATCACTTCTCTGATCATTTTTTAAAAGAAATATCAAAACTTGAGATTGTGACTGGGTGTCATTAAGAATTTGCCGATATATACCTCGATACATATAGGCCACGATGCGATACATATCTCGAAACTGTGAACTTTCGATTCGATGCAATATATTTCAAATCGATTTGATACAGTTCAATAAAAATAAATGCTAGATCATGTGTGTGCTACTAAAAGTTTTTGTTAAACCATTTCTTGTGCAAATAAAAAAAGTTCATTTGAAACACAAACATTTTGATCATCAAAACAGTGAAAATGTCAAATAAACAAGTTTCCTTCCTCTAAACCAGCAATAAAATTGTAGCAATCTAACAAAATAATTTAGTAAAATATACCAAAAAATACTCTTGGCAATGTATCGATACAGCAGCTCAAGATATCGATACTATATCATCACATTTAATTTATTTTGCACACCCCTACTTATGATCCACAAACATTAAAAACATAATTATTTGTTTGTCATATTAATCTCAACTAACAACAGTCATGTGCTTGGGGTTGCATAATGGCACCACTTTGTGAAGATGTTGAACTTTGTGCCAGTGTTTGTTTGATGTGAACAGGCCCGGGAATTACAGACATGTGAATCATAAACCAAGTCAACAGATCTGCATGTGACACTTTATTCACAGCAAATTCCACCATAGAATTCGGGCTCAGGTTAAACTAGAGGGATTGGAGAAGTTGTGACGTCACATGAACACAGCCTGTTGTGTCCCCAGCGCACCAGCGTGAGGGGAGTGCCCGTGCTGAGCCTGCAGGGGGCGCTGGACGTGAGCCTGACAGCAGAGCCTCTCCAGAACGACGCGCTGGTGCACATGTGGCTGCAGGTCAAGATCAAGCCCCTGCTCCACTCTGTGTCCAAACAGCTGCTCTCCTGCCTCAGCGTCAAGAACTTCAGCTGCTCCACCTACCAACTCATGTAAGCACTCACACTCACACCAGCTCATGTACGCACTCACACTCACACCAGCTCATGTACGCACTCACACTCACACCAACTCATGTACGCACTCACACTCACACCAGCTCATGTACGCACTCACACTCACACCAGCTCATGTAAGCACTCACACTCACACCAACTCATGTACGCACTCACACTCACACCAGCTCATGTACGCACTCACACTCACACTCACACTCAGCTCATGTACGCACTCACACTCACACCATCATGTACGCACTCACACTCACAGCAACTCATGTACGCACTCACACTCACACCAGCTCATGTAACACCACACTCACACTCACACTCACACTCACACCAACTCATGTACGCACTCACACCACACTCATGTAAGCACTCACACTCACACCAACTCATGTAAACGCACTCAACACTCACACCAGCTCATGTACGCACTCACACCCACACTCATGTACGCAGCACTCACACTCACACCAACTCATATACGCACTCACACCAACTCATGTAAGCACTCACACTCACAGCAACTCATGTACGCACTCACGCCAACTCATGTACGCACTCACACTCACACCAACTCATGTAAGCACTCACACCAACTCATGTACGCACTCACACAACTCATGTAAGCACTCACACTCACACCAACTCATGTACGCACTCACACTCACACCAACTCATGTAAGCACTCACACTCACACCAACTCATGTACGCACTCACACCAACTCATGTACGCACTCACACTCACACCAACTCATGTACGCACTCACACCAACTCATGTAAGCACTCATACTCACACCAACTCATGTACGCACTCACACCAACTCATGTACGCACTCACACTCACACCAACTCATGTAAGCACTCACACCAACTCATGTACGCACTCACACCAACTCATGTAGCACTCACACCAACTCATGTACGCACTCACACCAACTCATGTAAGCACTCATACTCACACCAACTCATGTACGCACTCACACCAGCTCATGTAAACACTCATACTCACACCAACTCATGTAAGCACTCACACCAACTCATGTACGCACTCACACCAACTCATGTAAGCACTCACATCAGCTCATGTAAGCACTCACACTCACACCAACTCATGTACGCACTCACACCAACTCATGTAAGCACTCACACTCACACCAACTCATGTAAGCACTCACACTCACACGCAACTCATGTACACTCACACTCACACCAACTCATGTACGCACTCACACTCACAGCAACTCATGTAAGCACTCACACCAACTCATGTAAGCACTCACACTCACAGCATCACACTCACTCATGTAAGCACTCACACCACTCAGTAAGCACTCATACTCACACCAACTCATGTACGCACTCACACTCACTCATGTAAGCACTCACACACACACTCATTAAGCACTCACACCAACTCATGTACGCACTCACACCAACTCATGTAAGCACTCACACTCACAGCTCATGTAAGCACTCACACTCACACCAACTCATGTACGCACTCACACTCACACCAACTCATGTACGCACTCACACTCACACCAACTCATGTACGCACTCACACCAACTCATGTACGCACTCACACCAACTCATGTAAGCACTCACATCAGCTCATGTAAGCACTCACACTCACACCAACTCATGTACGCACTCACACTCACACCAACTCATGTACGCACTCACTCACAGCAACTCATGTAAGCACTCACACTCACACCAACTCATGTACGCACTCACACCAACTCATGTAAGCACTCACACTCACACCAACTCATGTACGCACTCACACCAACTCATGTAAGCACTCATACTCACACCAACTCATGTACGCACTCACACCAGCTCATGTAAGCACTCATACTCACACCAACTCATGTAAGCACTCACACTCACACCAACTCATGTACGCACTCACACCACCTCATGTAAGCACTCACATCAGCTCATGTAAGCACTCACACTCACACCAACTCATGTACGCACTCACACTCACACCAACTCATGTATGCACTCACACTCACACCAACTCATGTACGCACTCACACCAACTCATGTACGCACTCACACCAACTCATGTACGCACTCACACCAACTCATGTAAGCACTCACATCAGCTCATGTAAGCACTCACACTCACACCAACTCATGTAAGCACTCATACTCACACCAACTCATGTACGCACTCACACTCACACAACTCATGTAAGCACTCACACTCACACCAACTCATGTACGCACTCACACCAACTCATGTAAGCACTCATACTCACACCAACTCATGTAAGCACTCACATCAGCTCATGTAAGCACTCACACTCACACCAACTCATGTAAGCACTCACACTCACACCAACTCATGTACGCACTCACACCAACTCATGTAAGCACTCATACTCACACCAACTCATGTAAGCACTCACATCAGCTCATGTAAGCACTCACACTCACACCAACTCATGTACGCACTCACACCAACTCATGTAAGCACTCATACTCACACCAACTCATGTATGCACTCACACTCACAGCAACTCATGTACGCACTCACACTCACACCAATGCATGTACGCACTCACACCAACTCATGTAAGCACTCATACTCACACCAACTCATGTATGCACTCACACTCACAGCAACTCATGTAAGCACTCATACTCACACCAACTCATGTACGCACTCACACCAACTCATGTAAACACTCACAGCAACTCATGTAAGCACTCACAGTCACACCTCACACCTACGAAGACACTGCCTAAACTAAATAAAATGTGCGCTGTGCTGTCCAGGGTGCAGGAGCTGAGTGTGCACTTCTCCGACATGGACCCAGTGCGACAGAGGTGGATCTACGACTTCTTCATGTACCCCTTCCTGTCCCGGGATGACGTGGCAGGTGCGGCCCTGTCATACTTTTAAACTAAGTGCTGTTTGTTTGATTGGCACCTGCTGACACGTCTGTGATGTGTTCAGGCTGTGTGGACCCGCAGCAGAACAACATGGAGTGGCTCATGAAGAACTTTGGTGCGTTCAAGGCCATGGCCCAAATGAAGGACTTCTCCACTCTCAACATGTACTTCAGTGGAGTAAGTGTGTTTAACTCTCCTTCTGAACGTCCACATTTAACAAGATTATTTCAGATCTGATCGATACAAATGGTGGGGTCTGGAGGACTAAAGGGGAGAATGAGAGGGAGGCGGGGTCGTCGTGAGGAAGACTAAAAGGGAGAGGAACAGACAGACATAAACATTATAGTTTGTGAACCATGAAAAGGCAAAAAAAAAGCACAAGCCATTAGCAGCTGACAGTAGATGCTACTTAGTAAAGACACTTTAAGCTTGAGTTGACATGATTCACATTATTCAAACAAGAATGAAACAAAAACGTTTTCACTTTTATTTAGGTGGTATTAAAATGATCAGAGCTCTGAAGTCAGTTTATCAGAATATGTCCCTTTAAGCAGAGCTGATAGTGTTATAAACTTGCTGAATGACTGTGTGTCAGTTGGAGGTTCTGGATCTCCTGACCCCAGAGCAGAAGGCTGGGCTCCTGCTTAGTCCAGAGGTGGCTGGGCTGGACAACGGGACCCTGCACCTGGTGTTCAACAGTATGATGGGACGTCCACACCCCACCTCCACCAGCAGCCCCGGGACCCACTCCATGAGGACCACTTCTGGATACAGCTACACTACAGCACCTTCATTCGAATGGTATCAGAAGAGCACCACCCAGCCCTCTATCAGCCAGGTACTCTTTACTGTCAGGCAGGAAGTGCACCTGCTAGTACTTCTCACAGTCTAATTTAGAGTACACCACAAGTGTTCAGAGGAAACATCTGATCAGTAGAAACAAAATTAACAAAATGTACTATAAAAGCCTATAAAAGTCTACACATGCTGTGAAAAAGCCAGAAACTCTTAACCTAGTGATTTACTGGAAACTGTCAGTTATGAAAACAAACTAAACCTTGGCCTGAAAAAAGAATCTAATAAAGTAAATGATCTGAAAACCAAATGAACTTCATTGGACTATTTAGAATTGTACTTGTCTGTGTTTGGAGCTAAAAACAATGATACGTTCTTTTGAATGTTCCTTGTTGTACTTGACTCCTTCTTTGGACAAAGACAGTTTCTTAGCAGAAGCCTGCACAGAGGCAGAGCTAAGCAGAACAACCGGCCATTATTGCTAAAATGAAAATATAAATTTATTATTTGCATTCTCCGATAATAATCAGATTATATTTTAGAATCAGAAATGTACTAAAGCACGTGTGTAAATGTCTTGATCAATCACATAAATGTTGACTAATAAGGGTGCAAATATTTTCAGTCATTTTTGTCGTTCATTATTAATTTAAATATTAAGCTTTTAATATAAACCATGCAGATGATTTTTCTGGGATTTCCAGGTGGTGAAAGGATTCATGGGAGCATTCAAGCCCATCAGCAGCTTTGTCCATGAGTTTGTGTCCTTCACCAATCAGGTATCCACACCACACTCCCTCACACCCTCACAGACAGACCGATGGTGCAGACTAACCCCCAGACTTCTGCTGCTCCTCCAGAGGGACGTGTCCCAGATCCGGAGCACCTCTCTTGCTCAGTTCCTGTTAAACTTCACGATATCGGAGGTAGCCTCCATGTTCAAGGCCCCCACCCCAGAGTCTGCTCCAGTCTTCAACCTGACCAGTGTGGAGGACTGGTACCTGCAGGTGGTGGTGCCAGTGCTGAACAGGTTTCTCCCCAAAGAGGTCATCACACAGACCAACGTGTCCATGGCCTTCTACTCTCTCTTGTAAGTTTAGGAGTGCTGTTATGGATGAGGTCTTTGAGTCTTGTTTAGTTGTGATAGAAACTCCACTTCCAGAGCAGTCCGGAGTTAACTGTGTGACATTTGATCCTTGCTGTCCATGTGTTTGTGTGCAGTTACCTGGAGCATGGCATGAATGAAACCGCCTCTGAGCTGGAGGACGTGTGCAGTCTGATCTTGGACCAGGGCCAGTGTGGGGTGAGCTTTAGACTAGAGCATTAGACCTTAGCTCTGTATTATAACAGTCATTCTAAATGTGTGCATGTGTGCAGCTCACAGACGTGGTGCAGGATGTGGCCCAGGTCCTACACTGTGCTGCTCAGACAGATTTCACCATGACGGAGGAGAACGTCCTGAGTCTGTTGACCGGACTGGCCCACAGGTCCTCCTCTCTGCTGCAGGAGCTCTCCTCTATGGTGAGACCAGCCCCCAGCACACACACTGATACACATACTGCTGCACACATACTTGTACACACACCATCACACACCAGTACACACACCATCACACACCTGTACACACACCATCACACACCTGTACACACACCATCACACACCTGTACACACACACCTGTACACACCAGTACACACACCATCACACACCTGTACACACACTATCACACACCAGTACACACACCATCACACACCTGTACACACACCATCACACACCTGTACACACACACCTGTACACACACCATCACACACCTGTACACACACCATCACACACCTGTACACACACCAGTACACACACCATCATACACCAGTACACACACCATCACACACCTGTACACACACCATCACACACCTGTACACACACACCTGTACACACACCATCACACACCTGTACACACACCATCACACACCTGTACACACACCATCACACACCTGTACACACACCAGTACACACACCATCATACACCAGTACACACACCATCATACACCAGTACACACACACACACTGTACACACACCATACACACACCATCACACACCTGTACACACACCATCACACACCAGTACACACACCATCACACACCAGTACACACACCATCGCACACCAGTACACACACCATCACAAACCAGTACACACACCATCGCACACCAGTACACACACCATCACAAACCAGTACACACACCATCGCACCCCAGTACACACACCATCGCACACTAGTACACACACCATCGTACACATACCACTAACCACACTGTCATACACACTAGTACACACACCATCACACACCTGTACACACACCATCAGACACCAGTACACACACCATCACACACCTGTACACACACCATCAGACACCAGTACACACACCAGTGCACACATCTTCACAGACACCAGTACACACACCAGTACACACATCTTCACAGACAGCAGTACACACACCGGTACACACATCTTCACAGACAGCAGTACACACACCGGTACACACATCTTCACAGACAGCAGTACACACACCGGTACACACATCTTCACAGACAGCAGTACACACACCGGTACACACATCTTCACAGACAGCAGTACACAGGGCCTTTCAGTACTCTGCTGTTGTCCTTGTCCTGGAGAAAGTCATATGAGCTGTCTCTGGATCAGTAGTTCTAGTGTTCAGTGAAGTCCAGGTTCTCTGTGGAGCTGTGAAACTCCTGATTTTGTTCACACACAGCATCTGAACTAAGAGCACCTGCGGCACATGCACATGCACATGTAATATATGTTCAAATCTTACCACATGTTTCATGTGTGATCAGGCAGTAGGTCTTTCACCTAGACCTCTGTCGCCCAAACAGGCTTCAAATATCACAGAGTCACACAGTGTGTCCATGTTGTGATTTTTTCTTGTTCACATTCTGTTCAAGTGCACACACGTGTTCTCTCCTCACTTGACAGCTATTTTAACATTGACTTATATAAGCATGCACATGCATCAGCCATTAGCCTAAAATCACATTTCTTTATTTTTTAGTAGGTATTACCACAGCAATAACTGCGTGTATACGTGTGTGCATGTGTGTGCAGGACCTCCGTGTTGTGTCTGCAAACATCAGGCAGATCTTCAGTGGTACCACCTCTCCAGCTCTGATGCAGAAGCACATGTCTGATCCCGCCTTCATCCAGACTTGGTTCCAAGTCAAACTGCTGCCCCTCCTGCCGGACGTGTCCCCAGAGCTGCTGTCCTGTCTGAGCCGAAAGAACTTCTCGTGCCCTGTCTACTACACCATGTGAGGCCTCCCTCTGCTCTGTGCACTCTACTGTAGAGCAGCGACACTTACAAACCATTACACTTACATTCCAAAATCATCTGCTGCTTCATCAAGGTTTTTGGTGACACTTTTTAAAAACTACACATTCATTGGTCTTTGGAAAGCCTGAACAAAACTGAATTCATAATGAAGAAATAGATAATAAATCATCATTCAGGCTTGATTTTAATATCCTAACTCCTAACGTCTTAACTGGGTGGTTTGGGCCATTCCGAAAGTCCCAAAGTAGATTTTTTGGAGCTTCCTACCATGTTATTCTGTCATCAAAAACATGTCTGAAGAGGCTTTAAATGTCCTCCATTCATGTTTGAGTAACCTCATGTTTAGCAGAACAAAACTGTCCAATACTCCGCTCACAAGCTTGCGTCACACTTGTTCTGGTCATTATTCATAAATGTTAGGGATGTAACTGAAAAAACTGAAATATCCTGATATCGTATCTTCAAAGGTCTCACAATAACATCGGAGGCCATCACACTATATTGATTTACAAGTCTCTTTGCCTATCTGAATAGTTATGGTGACACCAATGTCTTTATATATGATTTTATAGTGCATTTCTTATTCTGTAATTACTTACTGAAATAAACTTCCTATGCCTTATCGTGGTGCAGCAATAGAAAAACACAGAGGGAACTACATAGACCATGATCCTTTGGTGTTGTCAGTGCAGACTCAGTGCAGATTGAAAAATGTTATGAAACATTTTTCAATCTTAATTCTTCATATTATAACATTACCAAAGACTTTTAAAAGGAAAAAGTTGCATATTTGTAAGTTTACATAAAATATCCCAATAAATATTGAACCATGAAATGCGTATCGTGAAAATATTGTATCGAGGGATTTTGATATTGTTACACCCCTAAAAAATTTACAAAAACATGATACAAAACAATACACTACAATTGTGTTGTGATAGTCCTCTGAAGGGAGGGAAGGAAAACAAAACTGAAATTTATTAAATATTTTAATATAGCATTTTCAAAACAATAAAATGTAACATGGTGATCTAAATATTTAAGGAGTTAACAATGAATACCTGTAATAAAGAAATCTATAAAAACAAACACAAAATAGATTAATATTGTAGGTCTAAAATGCACATAATTCCAAACTGTAAAAAAGTTCAGATACTGTTTCACTTCCAAAGATCAGTGTTAGAAAAATCATGCACGTTTTCAGTCAGTCAGAATGCCAAAAGACAATGACAAATGAGTTGTAAATGTTATTTCCCGTTATTACCACATACACGTTTTGAACAGTGAAAGTGTGAGATGTGACTGTGGTGTTTTGTGGTGTGCAGTGTGCGGGCCCTCAGTGAGCACATGGACATGATGGAGGCCAGTCCTGAGGCTGGTCAGAACATCTACGATAACTTCATCTACCCCTTCCTCATGCTCCACAACTCCTCTGGTACGCAACCGCACAGCCTTTTACCAGCTTTTACCAACAATGATAGTTGTAGGGAGTATTATCTGTTACATAAGGGAGAGTTATTGTACAGTTGTAGGGAGTATTATATGTAATAGTATGTGTGTATGTGCTGTTTTGGTGTATAATGCTTGTGTATGTGTGTGTGTGTTGTTTTTGTGTATAATGTATGTGTATATGTGTGTGTGTGTTGTTTTGCTGTATAATGCATGCGTGTGTGTGTTGTTTTGCTGTATAATGCGTGTGTGTGTGTGTGTGTGTGTTGTTATGGTGTATAATGCATGTGTATATGTGTGTGTGTGTTGTTTTGGTATATAATGCTTCTGTATGTCCGTGTGTGTGTGTGTTGTTTTGGTGTATAATGTGTGTGTGTGTTGTTTTGGTGTATAATGTGTGTGTGTGTGTTGTTTTGGTGTATAATGTGTGTGTATGTGTGTGTGTGTTGTTTTGGTGTATAATGTGTGTGTGTGTGTTGTTTTGGTGTATAATGTGTGTGTGTGTGTTGTTTTGGTGTATAATGCATGTGTGTTGTGTTGTTTTGGTGTATAATGTGTGTGTGTGTGTGTTGTTTTGGTGTATAATGTGTGTGCGTGTGTGTTGTTTTGGTGTATAATGTGTGTATGTGTGTGTGTTGTTTTGGTGTATAATGTGTGTGTGTGTGTGTTGTTTTGGTGTATAATGTGTGTATGTGTGTGTGTTGTTTTGGTGTATAATGTGTGCGTGTGTGTTGTTTTGGTGTATAATGTGTGTGTTGTTTTGGTGTATAATGTGTGTATGTGTGTGTGTTGTTTTGGTGTATAATGTGTGCGTGTGTGTTGTTTTGGTGTATAATGTGTGTGTTGTTTTGGTGTATAATGTGTGTGTGTGTGTTTTGGTGTATAATGTGTGTGTGTGTGTTGTTTTGGTGTATAATGCGTGTGTGTGTGTTGTTTTGGTGTATAATGTGCGTGTGTGTGTTGTTTTGGTGTATAATGTGTGTGTTGTTTTGGTGTATAATGCATGTGTGTGTTGTTTTGGTGTATAATGTGTGTGTGTGTGTTGTTTTTGTGTATAATGTGTGTGTTGTTTTGGTGTATAATGTGTGTGTGTGTGTGTTGTTTTGGTGTATAATGTGTGTGTTGTTTTGGTGTATAATGTGCGTGTGTGTTGTTTTAGTGTATAATGTGTGTGTGTGTGTTGTTTTGGTGTATAATGTGTGTGTGTGTGTTGTTTTGGTGTATAATGTGTGTGTGTGTGTTGTGTTGTTTTGGTGTATAATGTGTGTGTGTGTTGTTTTGGTGTATAATGTGTGTGTGTGTGTTGTGTTGTTTTGGTGTATAATGTGTGTGTGTTGTTTTGGTGTATAATGTGTGTGTGTGTGTTGTTTTGGTGTATAATATGTGTGTGTGTTGTTTTGGTGTATAATGTGTGCGTGTGTGTTGTTTTGGTGTATAATGTGTGTGTGTGTGTTGTTTTGGTGTATAATGTGTGTGTGTGTGTTGTGTTGTTTTGGTGTATAATGTGTGTGTGTGTGTTGTGTTGTTTTGGTGTATAATGTGTGTGTGTGTGTTGTTTTGGTGTATAATGTGTGTGTGTGTGTTGTTTTGGTGTATAATGTGTGTGTGTGTGTGTTGTGTTGTTTTGGTGTATAATGTGTGTGTGTGTGTGTGTTGTTTTGGTGTATAATGTGTGTGTGTGTGTTGTTTTGGTGTATAATGTGTGTGTGTGTTGTTTTGGTGTATAATGCTTGTGTATGTGTGTGTGTGTTGTTTTGGTGTATAATGTGTGCGTGAGTGTGTGTTGTTTTGTGGTGTATAATGTGTGTGTGTGTTGTTTTGGTGTATAATGCTTGTGTATGCGTGTGTGTGTGTTGTTTTGGTGTATAATGTGTGTGTGTGTGTTGTTTTGGTGTATAATGTGTGTGTGTGTGTGTTGTTTTGGTGTATAATGTGTGTGTGTGTGTTGTTTTGGTGTGTATAATGTGTGTGTGTGTTGTTTTGGTGTAATGTTGTGTATGTGTGTGTGTGTGTTGTTTTGGTGTATAATGTGTGTGCGTGTGTGTTGTTTGGTGTATAATGTGTGTGTGTGTGTTTGTTTTGGTGTATAATGTGTGTGTGTGTGTGTGTTGTTGTTTGTGTGTATAATGTGTGTGTGTGTTGTTTTTGGTGTATAATGTGTGTGTGTGTTGTTTTGGTGTATAATGTGTGTGTGTGTGTGTGTGTTGTTTGGTGTATAATGTGTGTGTGTGTGTTTGTTTTGGTGTATAATGTGTGTGTGTGTGTGTTGTTTTGGTGTATAATGTGTGTGTGTGTGTGTTGTTTTGGTGTATAATGTGTGTGTGTGTGTTGTTTGTTTTTGGTGTATAATGTGTGTGTGTGTGTTGTGTTTGGTGTATATGTGTGTGTGTGTGTGTTGTTTTGGTGTATAATGTGTGTGTGTGTTGTTTTGGTGTATAATGTGTGTGTGTGTGTTGTGTTGTGGTGTATAATGTGTGTGTGTGTGTGTGTGTTTTGGTGTATAATGTGTGTGTGTGTGTGTGTGTTGTGTTTGTGTGTATAATGTGTGTGTGTGTTGTTTTGGTGTATAATGTGTGTGTGTGTGTGTGTTGTTTTGTGGTGTATAATGTGTGTGTGTGTGTGTTGTTTTGGTGTATAATGTGTGTGTGTGTGTGTGTGTGTGTTGTTGTGTGTGTATAATGTGTGTGTGTGTGTGTGTGTTGTTTTGGTGTATAATGTGTGCATGTGTGTTGTTTTGGTGTATAATGTGTGTGTATGTGTGTGTGTGTTGTTTTGGTGTATAATGTGTGCGTGAGTGTTGTTTTGGTGTATAATGTGTGTGTGTGTGTTGTTTTGGCGTATAATGTGTGTGTGTGTGTTGTTTTGGTGTATAATGCTTGTGTATGCGTGTGTGTGTGTTGTTTTGGTGTATAATGTGTGCGTGTGTGTTGTTTTGGTGTATAATGTGTGTGTGTGTGTGTGTGTGTGTGTTGTTTTGGTGTATAATGTGTGTGTGTGTGTGTGTGTTGTTGTGTGGTGTATAATGTGTGTGTGTGTTGTTTTGGTGTATAATGTGTGTGTGTGTGTGTTTGTTTGGTGTATAATGTGGTGTGTGTGTTGTTTTGGTGTATAATGTGTGTGTGTGTGTTGTTTTGGTGTATAATGTGTGTGTGTGTGTGTTGTTTTGGTGTATAATGTGTGTGTGTGTGTGTTTGTTTTGGTGTATAATGTGTGTGTGTGTGTGTGTTTTGGTGTATAATGTGTGTGTGTGTGTGTGTGTGTTGTTGTGTGGTGTATAATGTGTGTGTGTGTTGTTTGTGTATAATGTGTGTGTGTGTGTGTGTGTTGTTTTGGTGTATAATGTGTGTGTGTGTGTGTGTGTTTTGTGTGTATAATGTGTGTGTGTGTTGTTTTGGTGTATAATGTGTGTGTGTGTGTGTTGTTTTGGTGTATAATGTGTGTGTGTGTGTTGTTTTGGTGTATAATGTGTGTGTGTGTGTTGTTTTGGTGTATAATGTGTGTGTGTGTGTGTTGTTTTGGTGTATAATGTGTGTGTGTGTGTGTTGTTTTGGTGTATAATGTGTGTGTGTGTGTTGTTTTGGTGTATAATGTGTGTGTGTGTGTGTGTTGTTTTGGTGTATAATGTGTGCGTGTGTGTTGTTTTGGTGTATAATGTGTGTGTGTGTGTGTGTGTGTTGTTTTGGTGTATAATGTGTGTGTGTGTGTGTGTTTTGGTGTATAATGTGTGTGTGTGTTGTTTGGTGTATAATGTGTGTGTGTGTGTGTGTGTTGTTTTGGTGTATAATGTGTGTGTGTGTGTTTGTTTTGGTGTATAATGTGTGTGTGTGTGTGTTGTTTTGGTGTATAATGTGTGTGTGTGTTGTGTTGTTTTGGTGTAATAATGTGTGTGTGTGTGTGTTGTTTTTGGTGTATAATGTGTGTGTGTGTGTTGTTTTGGTGTATAATGTGTGTGTGTGTGTGTGTTGTTTTGGTGTATAATGTGTGTGTGTGTGTGTTGTTTTGGTGTGTATAATGTGTGTGTGTGTGTGTGTTTTGGTGTGTATAATGTGTGTGTGTGTGTTTTGGTGTATAATGTGTGTGTGTGTGTGTGTGTTGTTTTGGTGTATAATGTGTGTGTGTGTGTTGTTTTGGTGTATAATGTGTGTTGTGTGTGTGTGTTTTGGTGTATAATGTGTGTGTGTTGTTTTTTGGTGTATAATGTGTGTGTGTGTGTTGTTTTGGTGTATAATGTGTGTGTGTGTGTGTGTGTGTGTGTGTGTTTTGGTGTATAATGTGTGTGTGTGTGTGTTGTTTTGGTGTATAATGTGTGTGCATGTGTGTTTGTTTTGGTGTATAATGTGTGTGTGTGTGTGTGTGTTTGTTTTTGGTGTATAATTTGTGTATGTGTTGTGTGTTGTTTTGGTGTATAATGTGTGCATGTGTGTTGTTTTGGTGTATAATGTGTGTGTGTGTGTTGTTTGGTGTATAATGTGTGTGTGTGTGTGTTGTGTATAATGTGTGTGTGTGTTGTTTTGGTGTATAATGTGTGTGTGTGTGTGTGTGTTTTGGTGTATAATGTGTGTGTGTGTGTGTTGTTTTGGTGTATAATGTGTGTGCATGTGTGTTGTTTTGGTGTATAATGTGTGTGTTGTGTTGTGTGTTGTTTTGGTGTATAATGTGTGTGAGTGTTGTTTTGTGTATAATGTGTGTGTGTGTGTGTTGTTTTTGGTGTATAATGTGTGTGTGTGTGTGTGTGTTGTTTTGGTGTATAATGCTTGTGTATGTGTGTGTGTTGTTTTGGTGTATAATGTGTGTGTGTGTGTTGTGTTGTTTTGGTGTATAATGCTTGTGTATGTGTGTTGTTTTGGTGTATAATGTGTGTGTTGTGTTGTTTTGGTGTATAATGTGTGTGTGTGTGTGTGTGTGTTGTTTTGGTGTATAATGTGTGTGTGTGTGTTGTTTTGGTGTATAATGTGTGTGTGTGTGTGTTGTTTTGGTGTATAATGTGTGTGTGTGTGTTGTTTTGGTGTATAATGTGTGTGTGTGTGTTGTTTTGGTGTATAATGTGTGTGTGTGTGTGTGTGTGTTGTTTTGGTGTATAATGCTTGTGTATGTGTGTGTGTGTGTTGTTTTGGTGTATAATGCTTGTGTATGTGTGTGTGTTGTTTTGGTGTATAATGTGTGTGTGTGTTGTTTTGGTGTATAATGTGTGTGTGTGTTGTTTTGGTGTATAATGCTTGTGTATGTGTGTGTTGTTTTGGTGTATAATGTGTGTGTGTGTTGTTTTGGTGTATAATGCTTGTGTATGTGTGTGTGTTGTTTTGGTGTATAATGTGTGTGTGTGTTGTTTTGGTGTATAATGCTTGTGTATGTGTGTGTGTGTGTGTTGTTTTGGTGTATAATGTGTGTGTGTGTGTTGTTTTGGTGTATAATGTGTGTGTGTGTGTTGTTTTGGTGTATAATGCTTGTGTATGTGTGTGTGTGTGTTGTTTTGGTGTATAATGCTTGTGTATGTGTGTGTGTGTGTGTGTGTTGTTTTGGTGTATAATGTGTGTGTGTGTGTTGTTTTGGTGTATAATGCTTGTGTATGTGTGTGTGTGTGTTGTTTTGGTGTATAATGTGTGTGTGTGTGTTGTTTTGGTGTATAATGCTTGTGTGTATGTGTGTGTGTGTGTGTTGTTTTGGTGTATAATGCTTGTGTATGTGTGTGTGTGTGTGTGTGTTGTTTTGGTGTATAATGTGTGTGTGTGTGTTGTTTTGGTGTATAATGCTTGTGTATGTGTGTGTGTGTGTTGTTTTGGTGTATAATGTGTGTGTGTGTGTTGTTTTGGTGTATAATGTGTGTGTATGTGTGTGTGTGTTTTCAGATGCTCAGTGTATGTCCAACAGCAGTGTCTTGTGGCTCCAGCAGAACTTTGGCTTCTTCTCACGCTTCGCCTCCATCACAGACTTCTACCTACTCAACCCATTCTTCTCTGAGGTACACTCACACTGCATTTGTACGAAGCCTCAACCATTTGTTGTGAATTCTGACTGATTACTAGTATATGTATATTGTACCCAGTACAGTAAATACAAGTACAGATTTAAAAAGGTACTACTGTGATTACCCTGAAGCACTGTTTCAGTTACACTAACATGAGTTTTTGTAAGTACTTTCCACCTATGAAAATGTTTGTAAAAGTCTAAACTACAGGGTTAGCTGCTTCCACACAGAGTGAGACCCCATGGACATGCAGGGAGGGCATCTGACACACAGGGACATTTCAGAATTTCGAATTTCAAAAGTCTATGTGGTCGTTTTTACATAGGCTGAACAAAACCCAAACTGAAAAACAGACTGGCTGAACACAAACAGGCTGTAAGGGCCTGTGACCCTAATGTGATCCTATGGCCATGCATTACAAAGAGGCCAACCATGGCAGCTGTCAAAGCCTAGAAATCTGTGCAACTGAACATATCAAACAATAAGCTACTACAGAGAGAGTCCTACTGGATTTACACTCTCAAGGCTGCCCAGTTTCAATGGAGAGTTAGATTTCTTCCCCTTCCTTTAAAACCACAAGCTTTAAATGTGCAGTCAATTCCTATTTTTTGAACATCTTTGTCTCCATGAAACGGTTTAAGTCTAACCCTGTAATATATTATACATTATACATGTTGTACCTGTAGCACTTTTGTATTTTTTGCACTATATATTTTTATACTATGTATTTTTCTATATATTTCTTGTTGGGAATTTGACTATTTATAGCTTGCATCTTGTTTTTTATCTGATCTTAAATAGCTTGTAACTAAAATCTGTTCAGCCTACATGTCCCATCATGCACCAGGGGACTGTGGACAAGCCCACTGTCAACATGTGACATACACCTATGACTTTATATGTGCACAGTGTTGGCATCTGGAGTTTGTCCTGATGAGGCTGAGAGGCTGAAACATGTTGGTGTGATTTTAACTTGATCTGCCATGTGCTATGAAAGACTTTTCATTATTCTGTTCTCTTTGGGTGTTTCAGTTTTTTCAACTTTGTATTTGAGATTGGTCCCTACACTGAAGAGCACCAAAAGGACAATTTTGTACAATCTCTGTACATCCAAGTAGCTCCCTAAAGTTTTGCACATTTCAGAATGTTTGTAGAGCTCTAAACTACAGGGTTAGCAGCTTTTACACAGAATGAGACCCCACAGACACACAGGGACCTTTAGTTGTCAAGGAGGAAATAATATCACTTTAATGATAATGCTTTCAGTCTAAGTATTCAAATGGTGTTTCAGTCTGATGTGAGCACTGATCCTGTGTGCACCCTGTGATGTTGTGTGTTTTTGTCTTCCAGCTGGAGGTACTGTTCTTCTTGAGTCCTGCGCAGACGGCCCAGCTGCTGCTCCTGCCTCTGCCCTCTCTCGCAGACAAAGCCCAGGTGGTGGAGGAGGTTTTTGACTTCCTCCTCTCAGCCCCAGCCTCACACTTCAGAGAGGTGATGAAGGCCGTGCTCACACTGGCCTCACAGGTGAGGATCAATGGTGCTTTTTTCCTCACAAAGCCACTTAATAATAGGGATGCACTGATACTGATACTATTGAATATCGACACTAAAATCCTGACTGAACATATACTAGTAAATGAATGTAATAAGACTATTTGCTGTTCACTCTTAAATGTGTGAACTTTTATTTAGAAAGATGCAGAGGCACTGACTGAATATATTTAATGTCCTTTATTGCATGAAGGGACACCAACGCGTTTCAACCAGCGAGATGCCCTGACGAAGACCATCTCGCTGGTCGAAACACGCTGGCATCCCTTCATGCAATAAAGGACTTTTAATATGTTCGGTCAGAGTGCCTCGGGTTTGTACCTTATCCACGTTTACATTTTCCAGTAAGGGCACTTTTCTGTTCAAGACCTCGAGTTGTCTTTGTCATTCACAACAAAACATACAGGAAATGCTCCACTCTCCAATTTCTAAAGATAGAAGAAAGCTGTTCATATGAAAACTACCACGTCATGACATCACAAGGTGGAACAGAGCATTTTGAGGTTTGGAGAGGTAGACAGACCAAAAATGCAGCACATGGTGTATTTTTGTGGAGGTAACATTATAACATGGCTTAGAGCTCACAAGAGTTCATTTTCTGTAATATAGAGCCTTTAAATCTCTCGTATCGGAGTCTGTATCTGTGCAATATCGACACATCCATACTTAATAACTGTAACTTGTTTTCCATACATACAGATTATTTTAGGCAGGAAAATGTGAAATTCTAAAACCAATTCATCTCAAAGCATGTTGCAAAGGCCTGAATAATGCATAATATGAGATGTTTATAGATTAAAGTGCATTTTCTGCTTGTCTCCTATCGTTAGTTTCTTGCAATTATTCAAAAACAGGTTTCTTTATTGTTAGTGGGGTCACCTCTCCACAGATCTACCTTCACTGAAAAAAATAACTATAAGATTTACTAGAAAAAATCCTCATAACAATTTGCACTTTTAAAGTAAATTTTACTTTAGTGTCATACAAAAGATGAATAAGTAAAAGCTACTTATTTGTGGCTGGGGTGGCAGTAGCTCAGTTGGAAAGAGCGTTTGTCCAATGATCCGAAGGTTTACAATTTGAATCCCACTCTAGATATAAAAAAACCCAAAACCCTGGTGTATGAACGTGTGTGTGAATGGGTGAGTGGTTCTGTGATGTAAAGTGCTTCGAACCTTGACAGTGGAAAAGCTCTATAAAACCATTTATTATACATCAGTAAATACTAGACATATAATAATGATTTATTTATTTCATCACAGCAATGCAATTAATTCTGACAATATTTTATATTTTTTATTTGTATTGTATTTACACAAATATGACTTCTAACTTAAAAAAAAAAAAGAGTAAATTCATGACTGTTCATCATGGTGGTAAGTACATTTTAGCTCGTGCATTTTTAACTAAGTTGTTATTGATCACTATTTTGGGTAACACAACAATTTGAATAGAACGTTCCTTTATACAACATTCACACTTAGTATGAGAGAACAGCAGGACTTTCCTATGAAGATGAATGTGTTAAGTCTGTGTTATGAGCAAGTGTTGAAATGTCTGACATCATTGTACCATTGTGTGTTTTTAGGTGGACGTGCCATGTCCTCTCTACACACAAATGTGAGTTGTAAACCTGTCACCAGTGTAACATGTTATGATGACTGTTGTAGTGAACAGTGGGTGACAGTGTGTTGGTAACATGGTGTTTGTGATGCAGGTTAGTGCGTCTGTACGGCTCTGTCCCCTCTGTGTCCCCGGATCTGGAGCCTGAGGTGTGGGCTTCTATAGAGGAAGTCATGAACATCGCACCACAGGGTTTGTATCTGTGTCCATCTCACCATTCAGAAACAGGAATACCATGGTTTATTATTGTGAGAATGTGGAACTAACTCCATTTGTGTCTCGATTTATGTCTCTTTCCTCCTGACAGAATGTGTTCCAGAAAACATGACGGTAGGTTTTCATCTGTTTCTTTTATATTTCTGATATAACCACATACAGATCAGTGGGTCATTTCTTTAATTGTCTCCATTTTCCCCACAGTGCCCAGTCACACAATTCAACAGTAAGTCTGTCCACTGTATCAAAACTTACTTTGAATGCATGTGGTGTTCTTCTAACTGAACAAACTGACCCGGGACAGTCCCAGTTTTGAGCCCTGTGTCCCATGTTCCAGCAGAGTTATACAAATCCTGTGATTTGTCCCGGTTTTATACAAGCAACGTCCCAGGTGTCCCTATTTTTTGACCAATTTGATCTGAACGAGGACTAAACTAAGACTAAACCAGGACTGGTTTAGTCAGGACTATCACAATTTTTGACTGATCTGATCCCTGCTAACAGTAAAGAGGAGCATAAATTGTCATTTGTTTAGCCAAAACACTAAAAACCGTGACCATTAAGCAAAAAAATGTAGCAACAGAAGTCTCTCAGATCATGACTGACATGAGAATGCACAATGTTACACACTCTTTTCATCGTGCTCTTTTCACCATTCCAGGTGTGTCCCAGTTTTGAATTTAGAAAATCTGGTCACCTTACAATAGATGCACAAGGGAAATGATTTGTTCACAGTACCTCAGGTGATGCTTTACAGTGATACTGGGCTGGGAGTGTTTTACATGCATGTGTATGGTGGAATGTTCAGCAGTTACCATGAAGACACAATGCACACAAACACTGTCAAAAAGCTTTTAAGATTGTCTCACAACTCAAGAAAAAATACAAAATAGATTTAAACAGCACATTTTCAGGAACCTGTGATCAGTTCATTGTCCTGTTTAGGTGTTTGAGTTTGTAGTTCCAGCTAAACCAGCTCTTTATGGTCATATTGTGTTAAAACTTTGACAGAGTAGTGCCCACAGTCAGTACCACACTCCCAGGGATTGTTTTCCCATGTTTGTTTAACATTAATTGGAAAGAATCAATTAAAAATAATCTAATGTTAAATGTTAAATGTTAAGTCTAAATGTTAAAACTTTAGCAAAAATCTAATACAAACTTGAAAAATGCAGTAAAATGACCATTCTCCTGATGTTGGACTGTTGCAGGTACAGAAGTGTGTGGACGTCTCAATGTGTAAGTCCATCCTGTCTAAACTGCATACACACACATGATGTTGTAGAGAAGCTCTGAGCTCCTGTGTTGTCCTCCACAGGTCCTGGACCTTCTCCAACTTCTCTGTGGACACTATGTGTGACTTCCCTCTAGAGCAGTACGCCTGTCCTCAGGTCAGCACAGCTCCTCTGGAACTTTCACTCACCTGACTGGGACTTGAGTTGCATTTTTCTTACACTTTAATATGTCGTCTTCAAACCTTAAAGTTAAGGGTTAATAGACAGTGTGGAGATACAGCACTTGAATTTTGAACCATTCAAACCTGTGCATGGCCTGTACCTGATTTTTTTCTCATGTACACTACCTGTCAAAAGTTTTAGAACACTTTAATTACTACAGTTTTTTTATTGCATTGCAAGTCGTGCAAATTAAATGAAGAGCTTGAAATGGCACAAAGGTAAGAACTGAACAGACAGAGGTAAAAAAAAAAAAAAGATAAAAGATACAAAACACAAGTCCAAACTCTGCCAAAACTACCTCAGGAAAATAGAACAAGATGGTAAAGCTTGAAAACATCAAGTGTCCAGCAGCAGCACAGTGTCCAGACTTAAACCCATGGAGCTGGTTTGGGATGAACTGGACAAAAGAGTGAAGCAACCTACAAGTGCCACACATTTATGGAAATTCTGCAACAGACTTGGGTAGAACTTTCTCAAGAATATTTGATTTCTGTTGTAAAAAGAACGAGCCACGAGTGTGTTCAGCTGTTATATCTACCAAAGGTGGACACACACATCAATCAAAAGTTTAGAATATGTTTTGGTCAACAGTAAAAAACTGGAAAAAGTGTGATGTTCTAAAACTTTTGATCAGTGGTATATTTGAGCAAAATGTGTCTTGCCCAGTACGGATATACTGTATAAGCAGCTCTTGAGATCAGAATGAGTCTGCTGTGTACTGTAAGTGTGGAGGAAGTAGCTCTGGGCTCAAAGGAATCCATCCATTCCATTCATGTGAAACCAGGAAGTACAACTGTAAACTTCATTAAACACTGTCAAACCAGGAAAATCCTTTAAGATGTTTTAGATGTTTCAAAGCTCACACATCTGTAATGCAGTGCTAACTTGTCCGTGCTTGTGTTGTGTCACAGCTGGAGAACTTCACTGCGGCTCACCTGGCCTCCCTGCTCTCCTGTGACCTGGATGTGAACAGCAGTCACTCCACCGTGCTCTGGAAGCTTCTACTCACCAGGCTCTCCTCCATCTTAGACCCTGCTCTGGACCTGCTGGCTGCTAAGGTCCGGACTCACTCCACTCTCCCTCCAACACAAGCTCTTTAGATCAGAATCCTGCTCATTTAAGTGCACACTGATGTTGTGTCCTGGGGCAAGACACTTCATCCTCCTTGAATCTAGTGTGTTGTATTGATTGATGTTAAAGTGCACTGTTTTCATCTTTTATAGCAGAGGTGTCAAACTCATTTTGGTCTGGGGGCCGTATCTAACCCGCTTTGATCCCAAAGGGGCCGGATCAGAAAACTCATGGCATTTATGCCCTAAAAATAACAATAAGTTCAAAAATTTGTGCAGAGAAACAGAAATCTGTTACAGAAATCCTTTTTAATTGATGAACTCTTTCATTTACAAAATATTATAATATTATGAACAACCTGAAACTTTAAGAAAAATACAATTTCAACACAATGTTTTTTTAACATGAACTTGTTTGCAAATAGGAATAAGTAAATTTTTCTTGGAAAATCCTGCACTCGGCTCCACTTTTCTCATGTTGAACATTTTTCTGATGAGGGTGTCACGGTCAACAGTCAAAATGATCATCCTTTAAGAGCGTTTGGAAAGAGACAAGTCTTCATTTGCGCTACTTTGGTGGGAGGGGCCACGTACAGAGACACTGGAGACGCTGCTGTGATAAACACCACAGAAAATTAACAAGATTTTAATAGAAAATATAATTAAAATATTTTTGTAGAAAATCAGCCAAGGGCCAGATTAAAGGTCTTGGAGGGCCTGATCTGGCCCCCGGGCCGTTTTATAGTATTATCTGGAGTTGTGTTTGTTTCATTCACAAATGGGTCCAGTCAAGCGGTAATGGAGGGAAACGGGGGCAGATTTTTTTTTACATTCAAATGTCTCTTATTCAGAAACTAGAGGGACTATTGAAATAAGTCAAGTATCAGAATGTAGGAAAGAGTTACACTCCAACAGGGTCAAGTTAAACCTGTGATATTCTTTCAAGTTAATGATAAAAAATGTAAAAACCCATGTCGGTAACGGAGGGAATGAAATATGCAGCACTTTTTGGGCAATAAATCCAAACAGTGATAACTCTTGGTTCTCACTTCCATATCCTTAACAAACTGGTTTGAATATTTACTTCATATAGTTTTCTACCATATGGTACAAGATTAGGTTGAAAAACCTCTTACTTTTTGAGTCATGAGATTTTTTATTAAGAAAGGTCATGGTAACGGAGGGAAAAGTAACGGAGGGAAAATTGTACAAACAAGTAGAAGGTGCAGGATTTTACATCATTTGTCTCTTTTTTCTTCCGAATACTTTAATATTACTTCAAAATGAAAGGAAACTATTTCTATAAAATATGTCAGTCCTTCCAAGCAAATTTTTATCATTTTAAATACTTTTTTTTTTTTTTTTTTAAATCATGTCCCTTCGTCAACAGTTCAAAGATGGAATAACACAAGATAAATGAAATGAAATGAAATACATCCATTTATTGACATGATTTGCAGGTCTTTGAAATTTGGGAAATAATTTTTGTTCCATGTTTCATACATGGTCTGTTTAAAACGGATGGAACTTTAGAACCAAAAATGGTACAGAAAAAAGGTCAACAGTTTCATAAACTAGAGTACATATGTATCTGTTCAATACATTTTTATATCAGATGCATTAACTTGAATTTTTGGCCTTGCTGTTTACTTCTGCTTGACCGGGCTCAAATGTTTAACTCACAAAGGTGGCATATTTTGGCTGTGTTCTTTTCTCAAACTGAAAACACTCTGCTTCACATTGTGATGTCATGAAAAAAATCCACTGTGTTTTTAAACTTCATACTCCTTCACGAGAATCATTTTGATCCTTTTAGGCCTGGATTTGACAAACTTGAAGTTACAGCTATTGTTTTAGCTTAATTGAAACTGCTGTTAGAGACTTTCTACTGACAATCTCAACTGTATAAAAGGTAAAACTAAAATATTCAGAAATAAAAGCAACAACTTAAGGTTAATGAAGAGCAAATCAGTTCAATTAAGGCTAAAAATAGTTGTCAACCTTAAAACTACTACTAAATGACATCATAATGTGAACTAGATAATTTTGAGTTTTGGGGATTATTCAGACATGTGTGAAAAAAACAAAACACAACCCCAGATCTGTTTTTGAGGAGATAACACATTCTAACAGAGCGAAACACACACACAAGTCAGTTTATTACAGAATTACTTTTGCTCACTTACTGATTATGTCTGTGTTCTCCAACAGAACAAACCAGTCAGAATTTGGTGGCAAAATCTTTCTCAAATTCTCCATTGATATGATTGGGACTTCTGATTAACTACAGTCCCTGACAAAAGTCTTGTCACTTATCCATTTTGTAGAAACAAAAGCTTATAACTTGACTTTAAATTAATCGATTGGTTTTAGAAATGTCTCATATGAAAGCTAAAACCCTCCCAAATTATGCTCAATATACTAAAATAAATTTGCTTCACTGAAGAAAGATTGATCATTTAATGAACACAGAAAGGTCAGATTTTGGCAAGACAAAAGTTTTGTCACCTACAGAAAATTTTACAAATAATTTACTTCAAATACAAAAATATGTTGCATAACTTCAGTGAATTAAGTAGTGGTGCTGTGAGATCCATATTTAATATCTTGTATGACTCCATGAACTTGAAGGACGCATCCATGTGGTTCAACAATGATTCATACAATTTGTTGATGAAGTCATCAGGAATAGCAAAGAAAGCGTCTTACATGCCTCCCAGAGTTCATCAAGATTCTTTGGTTTTGTCTTCCATGCTTCCTCTTTCATTCTACCCCAGACATGCTCAATGATGTTCATGTCTGGTGACTGGGCTGGCCAGTCCTGGACCACCTTGATCTTCTTCACCTTGAGAAACTTTGATGTAGAGATAGAAGTATGTGATGGAGCACCATCCTGCTGCAAAATTTGACCCTTTTATGTTTGGGAATGTAAGAGGAGCTAATACTTCTTGATATTTTAGGATATTGATATGCCTTCCACCCTGCAAATGTCTCGCACACCCCCAGACTGGATGGAACCCCAGACCAGGATTATTCCTCCACCAAACTTAACTGTTTTCTGGGTGAATCTTGGATCCATGTAGGCTCCAGTAGGTCTTCTGCAATATTTGCGGCAGCTGTGATGTAATTCATCTGAGAAATCCACCTTCTGCCACTTTTCCAGTGTCCATCCTTTTAACAGGCTGTGGGCCTTGGCAAATGCCACACGGTTTTTTAATTGCCTTTTGTTTAGTGCTGGTTTCTGTGCACTGATTCGACCATGGAGGCCATTTCGAGACAGAATTCTACAAACTGTTGTGGTTGACACAGGGACTTGAGGTGACCAGGCCTGGTGGAGTCTGCTGCAGTGGAAAAGGGGCCTTGGATTTTCCAATCAACAAACGGTCCTCCCGAGCAGTTGTCTTGCGGGGTCTGCTGGACCTGGGCTTGTCAAAAACATCTCCAGTCATTTCAGATCTTTTTCTTATTCTTTGTACTTGACGCTGAGACACATTGAAGGTGTCACCACCTCAGCAGTGGATCTGGTCTTCAGCCTCTTGATAATTAAGGCTTTGGTCTCAGGGTGGATCTTAGGCATGTTGTCAGAGGTCAAGTTGCAGTTGATGTGAAGGTCTGGTGTGCTGAGGTTCTTTTTATACACACCCACTAATTGATTGATCAGTAACTGATCACAGGTGAGGCTGTAATCTAGGATTGGGTGCATCATATGACAAGGCCACAAGACTTTTGTCTTGCCAAAATCTGACCTTTCTGTGTTCATTAAATGATCAATCTTTCTTCAGTGAAGCAAATTTATTTTAGTATATTGAGCATAATTTGGGAGGGTTTTAGCTTTCATATGAGACATTTCTAAAACCAATCGATTAATTTAAAGTCAGGTTATAAGCTTTTGTTTCTACAAAATGGATAAGCGACAAGACTTTTGTCAGGGACTGTAGAAGTATGAAGGTAAATCTGTTGCAAAATGGGAGAGCGTGTAAACTTGATTTGAGAACTTGTAGAATATAATGTGAGAATGTGTAGAACAAAATTTTGAACTTGTAATTACCTATTTTCATATATGTGTGTGTTGAATTTGCAGTTACGGTGAAAAAAAAACACACCAGTGCTTGAAAAAAATGTGTGCACTTGTGGATTGAAATTTTCACTTGTGGAAAATATTTACACACAGGAGACAAATATGAATAAATGTGTAAATTTATATTTGCATGAACAGAGTGACATGTGCATCCATTATGACAGATACAACCACAATTCAGCAACTGCAACTTCTCAAATGTGTCCCAGCAGGTTCAAATCTGCGCTCCTTGGCAACACATTTTGCGATGTGCATGTGGCAAAACTGATTTGCACTTGTAGAGAGCTGGGGGGAGGAGTGGGGAGGGGAAGGAGGAGGGACTGACCAGTCAGAAAGGGGGAAGATGAAGAATCCGTGTATCATTCGTTCATTCATTTTTCAAAATAAAACCAAAAATAAGAAAACGGAAAAAAAAAACAGCTATTTTCTTCATTATTTGTCTCCAAAACCAAAATGAAAAAACGAATAACAGCCAAAATTTCCCTGGGACACATTTGAGAAGTTGCAGTCACTGAGTTGTGGTTGTATTTGTCATAATGGATGCACATGTCACTCTGTTCATGCAAATATCAATCTACACATTTATTCATATTTTTCTCCCATTTCAGTCCACAAGTGCACACATTTTTTTCAAGCACTCGTGTGGTTTTTTTCACCGTGAGTGCAAATTCAACACACACGTATATGAAAATAGGTAATTACAAGTTCAAAGTTTTGTTCTACACATTCTTACATTATATTCTACAAGTTCTCAAATCAAGTTTACACGCTCTGTCATTTTGCAACATATTTACCTTCATAAGAATTGCCACCACAAAGACAGTGTGATTTAGAGCATTTAGAGGCAAAAGTGGCCGGGACAAAATAAAGTCATTTGGGATTCAGTGTTGTTACTGTTGACCTATTTACACTCTATGTCTCACAAAATTCTTGAATGAAAATGAAAGCTGTTGTTAAGTGTAATTCATGATGTAACTGTGCACGTGTGCTGACAGCAGATGGCCAGTGTGTGTTCTTCTGCCCCTGAGATCCTGGACGTTCTGGGGGAGATCAGATTGTCCATGCTGACGGACCAGGAGCTCCAGAACCCCAGCCTGCTCCACACGTGGTTCTCCCAGCGCCTCCGAGGCTTCCTCCCACACGCCTCCGGAAGGTTCCTACGCTGTCTGAGCCAACGCAACCTCAGCTGCTCCTCCTACCAGACCATGTACGCACACAAACACTATCCCAGGGGGTTTCAAATACATTAGTCTGAGGGACACATGTTTCAGAGGGTCATGGATTCACCTTCACCACTTTTTACACATCTAACACATCTGTTTCTATAATAACAATATGACAACAGCTTCTATATCAGATGTTTGTGAAATAGAGAATAGAAAAGGATTCACCATCATTGTTCTAGTCTAAAGCAGAATTAAACAAGAACTAAACTGAGATCAACCCAGTACTAAACTAGTACTAGCCCAGAATAAAACCAGACAAATCCTGGAAACAGGAGAGAATATTGTAATATTTGTAAAATAGGTTGGATAAGCTTGTTTGGAGGGCCTAACAAGTTGAATAGGCCTGTACTATTAGAGCAGACTGTGTGCAGGTGTTTGCTGTGGCACATGTTTATGAACAGCTCCATTCCACTGATGCACTGGGCATGTCACCATAGAAAAGTGTTGAGTGTTCTGAAACAGTTTGAAATGACACAAAGATTGAACCATTATGACTGAACCACAGTGAAATGAGCTGCTTTATCAAATCAAACTCTCTGAAGGATACACAGGAGATGATATGAACAGACACATAAAAAGGACTTTACTTTTAATGAGTTTTCCTTTTTGGAGAGTAGACTGAATAGAAATGACTTTGTTTGCTTCTAAAATTCTCACAATTCTTACCATATGTTTTAGTTCAGATAATTCTACTGTGACCTGAATCATCATGTTTATCAATGAACCAAATCATCTCTGAAAGTCTGAGCTGCATCCATAGACAGTATATATCTTTTATACTGTCTATGGCTGCATCAAACTGTTGTATAAGCTCGTGTACTTCTCTCAGTCTGCAGACCTTCAGTCAGGACTTTGAGCAGATGTCTCTACAGCAGCAGCGCGTGGTCCTCAAGAACTATATCATCCGCTTCCTCTATAACCCCCTCTCAGGTACACACCACACTAGTACTGTAGTATAACACTAGTACGTACCGCATACTGTGTACCACTAGTACTTACCACATACTGTGTACCACTAGTACTTACCACATACTGTGTGCCACTAGTACTTACCACATACTGTGTACCACTAGTACTTACCACATACTGTGTACCACTAGTACTTACCACATACTGTGTGCCACTAGTATGTTGCCTCAGGTACACAGCACATACTGTGACATGTACTTTGAGTTGTTTTGTGACATGGCTGTGCTGTACTTTGTAGGTCACAGACACCTGGAGCTTGTATAGGCCCTGAACAAGCACTGAATATGAGTCTTGTGATGCTCCAGAGGGAATCATAGAACCACAGTTACATTTGTTTCAGAGTTAATATTTAGAGACACAAACCAATTAAACAAATGGCATTTCAAAGATTATTACAGACAACTATTTAAAAGTAGTTATCTGAAGGCTTTGTCATAGATTTTCTTAGTTAATGCAGTTTAGTCAGTTAAATTTACAGTGGGGATGTTGGAGTATATGATTTGTGTGTGTGAGTGCGTGTGTGTGCATGCGTGTGTGTGTGTGTGACTCCCTTGTGCTGTGAGGACAGTACTCTTAGTGTTCTTGTCCTTCTCCAGGTCCCAGTTGTGTGTCTATGAACAGCTCTGAGTGGCTTCTTTTGAACTTGGGGCCCTTCGCTGGGCTCCTGCCTCTCCAACACCTGCTGCAGCTCAACCCAACGCTCAACCCAGTAAGTCTCTCTCTCTCTCTCTCTCTCTCTCTCTCTCTCTCTCTCTCTCTCTCTCTCTCTCTCTCTCTCTCTCTCTAAGCTCCTCACTAAACCATGTTTGTAATGTCAAAGAGCAATAATGAAGAAAATCTGATCCAAATGTGAATAATGACAGAATTTTCCAGACTGAAACTAGACTAAAAACAAAATGACTGATGATGTTTGACAGCTGATTTAAAGGCCTGTATTACCATGTTGACATGTGGGTGCGGTGTGTCCTCTCTCTGCTCACAGCTGGACGTCCTGTCTCTGCTGACGCCCGAGCAGAGTGCACAGATGCTGACCCTGCCTCTGCCCACAGACAAAGAGACCATCATCAACACACTCTTTGACTTCTACACACAGGGCCCTGCCAAACAGCACCTGCCCCTGCTCCTGTCTGCCCTCACACTCTTCGTCCCACAGGTAACAGCTGCACGAACATTCAACACAAATTCAACACAATTCAACATGTCACAGTACCATGTTTTATAGTTTGTACATTTGAAACATCTCTGTAGTTGAGGTTTGTTCTTGCATGTTTCAGTTTTCCTTTGTGTTACACTGTCATTTGTGACGCTCCTCTGTGTTCAGACACCCTCACCAACTTGCTTAAAGAGGGGATTGTTCCTCATCCAAAACATATCTGAAGATGTTATCCATGCATGTTTGAATAATCTAGTGATCTCTCCCAGGCTCTATTCAAACCCTCCTTACTGTTAGCTGTAAGATTCTTTCCAGAGCTCAGCCCACAAGCCTACGCTCCCACATGAATATTCACACATTACAATTACAGTAATAAATCTCTATGCACATAAATAGGACATAATTACCTTAAAAAAATAAAATAAAATAAATAAACAAATAATTTTTCTGTTGCCTCATTTTCCCACAAAACGTTTTTATTAAATTAAATGCACACACATTCATTATAATGTCATTTTACTGCAAACAAATCTCAATATTTTGTCTCTTCTGGATGTTTCATAAAGTATATTTATTCATCTGGGGTCTCTAAAATTTTGATTTAACAATTCACAAGCTCATATCTGTTATTTTTTATTTAGTTTTATACACCTTTTAGAAGTGATTTATTGAGCATTTGAGTTAATTTAAAATCCTGGTGGAATTTGAAGAGCACAGTTTGTATAAAAGTCTATAACATAATTGAATAATCCTAAAATGACACTGGAATATGCAGAAAAGTAAAAGTATGCTCTGTGCACTTGTTCTACGGCAGGTCACAGTGTCTGTAAAAATGTTAATTATTAATTCACTGAATCACTGAATGGTTCTTTTTTGTTTTGCCTAAAGGGAAACCTGTCATGCTCCGACTACAGGACTCTGTAAGTGCCTCCCTCCTCTCCCCTCCTCTCTCCTCCCGCTTCTCTTCCTCTCCTCCTCCTCTCCTCCTCTCCTCCTCTCCTCTCTCCTCCTCTCCTCCTCCCCTCCTCTCCTCTCCTCTCCCCCTACTCTCCTCTCCTCCTCCCTTCCTCTCCTCTCCGCCCTTCTCTCCTCTTTTCTCCTCTCCTCCTCCCTCTTCTCTTCCTCTCCTCCTCCTCTCCTCCTCTCCTCCTCTCCTCTCCCCTTCTCTCCTCCTCCCCTCCTCTCCTCTCCCCTACTCTCCTCTCCCCTACTCTCCTCTCCTCCTCCCTTCCTCTCCTCTCCGCCCTTCTCTCCTCTTTTCTCCTCTCTTCTCCTCTCCTCCTCCCCTTCTCTCCTCTCCCCTCCTCTCCTCTCCCCTCCTCTCCTCTCCTCTCCCCTTCTCTCCTCTCCCCTCTCCTCTCTCCTCCTCTCCCTTCCTCTTTTCCTCTCTCCTCCTCCTCTTCATGTTGGTGTGGGACAGATGATTGACAGCTGTGGCGTTGGTGTCACAGGTTCAACAGGCTGGACTTGGCCATCGTCTCCGTTTCCCTGGCGACTGAATCCGCCATCATCAGAACCAAGATGGCGCTGGCCCCACACGTGCCACATGGTAAGAATGAGGAGCTTAAAGTGCGTATGTCAGGATTTGATGTTTCTAATTCTGAAGGAAGTAGCGCTGAAACAGAATCCCTCTGCGCGTGTCATCAACCCGGAAATCTCCATCCAAAATGCAGAGACAATTCCCACGCAAAAACACATTTTTATTTTGTTTATTTAACAAAATAAAATGCTGTCATATATGTTTATTTGTCTAATCATAACTATTGTATAATTTAAACTTGGACTTTTAGAAGTTTTGGCCCTTGTTTTCATTATGGTTGCTAAGTAACAGTTATGGCATTATCTCTACACATCTGTTCATAGAACACGTTCACTGCCCATGTCCAGGAAGTAACATGATACAATTCACCAAAATAAAAAGATCTTTAGTAAAATCAATGTTTTAAAAATAGTAGTAGTCTACCCTGTCATACTCAGCATCACAAACTTTTACATCTGTTCTGGGATTGTGACGTTTGTCTTTTGTCGTTTCAGGATGTATCATTTACGAGGGAGAGGTAAGTTCTTAGCATTAACTTTGTATGGAAGCCCATTTCCTTTAAACTCATAATTTTGAGTTTTAAAGTCATAATTAGTGCTTTATATATATATGTATATATATATATATATATATATATATATATATATATATATATCCGAAACAGATGCCCGAGCCACCTCAACTGGCTCCTCTCGACGTGGAGGAGCAGCGGCTCTACTCCGAGCTCCTCCCGTGTGACTGAGCTCCTCACCCTATCTCTAAGGGAGCGCCCAGCCACCCTGCGGAGGAAACTCATTTCAAACGCTTGTATCTGCAATCTCGTCCTTTCGGTCATTACCCAGAGCTCATGACCATAGGTGAGAGTAGGAACGAAGACTGACTGGTAAATCGAGAGCTTCGCCTTTCAGCTCAGCTCCTCTTCACCACAACGGTCCGATACAGCGACCGCATCACTGCCGAAGCTGCACCGATCCGCCTGTCAATCTCACGTTCCGTCCTTCCCTCACTCGTGAACAAGACCCCGAGATACTTGAACTCCTCCACTTGAGGCAAGGACTCTCCACCCACCTGGAGAGGGCAAGCCAGCTTTTTCCGGTCGAGAACCATGGCCTCGGACTTAGAAGAGCTGATCTTCATCCCAGCCGCTTCACACTCGGCTGCAAACCGCCCCAGTGCACATTGCAGGTCCTGGTTCAATGAAGCCATCAGGACAACATCATCCGGAAACAGCAGAGATGAAATCCTGTGGTCCCCAAACCGGACCCCCTCCGGCCCCTGACTGCGCCTATAAATTCTGTCCATAAATACAATGAACAGAACCGGTGACAAAGGGCAGCCCTGGCGGAGTCCAACATGCACCGGGAACAGGTCTGACTTACTGCCGGCAATGCAAACACAGCTCCTGCTCCGGTCATACAGGGACCGGACAGCCCTTAGCAAAGGGCCCCGGACCCCATACTCCCAGAGCACCCCCCACAGGACACCACGAGGGACACGGTCGAATGCCTTCTCCAAGTCCACAAAACACATGTGGACTGGTTGGGCAAACTCCCATGAACCCTCGAGCGCCTGATGGAGAGTGTAGAGCTGGTCCAGTGTTCCACGACCAGGACGAAAACCACACTGCTCCTCGTGGATCCGAGGTTCGACTATCGGCCGGATTCTCCTCTCCAGTACCCTGGCATAGACCTTACCGGGAAGGCTGAGGAGTGTGATTCCCCTGTAATTGGAACACACCCTCCGGTCCCCCTTCTTATACAGAGGGACCACCACCCCGGTTTGCCAGTCCAGAGGTACTGTTCCCGACCGCCACGCGATGTTGAAGAGGCGTGTCAGCCAAGACAGCCCCACATCATCCAGAGACTTAAGGTACTCAGGACGGATCTCATCCAACCCCGGAGCCTTGCCACCAAGGAGCTTTCCAACCACCTCGTGACTTCAGCCAGGGTGATGGATGAGTCCGCCTCTGAGTCTCAGCCTCTGCTTCCTCCTCGGAAGACGTGACGGTGGGATTGAGGAGATCCTCAAAGTATTCCTTCCACCGCCGGACAACGTCCCCAGTCGAGGTCAGCAGCTCTCCCCCCGCACTGTAAACAGTGTTGGCGAAGAACTTCTTCCCCCTCCTGAGGCGCCGGACGGTTTGCCAGAATCTCTTTGAGGCCATCAGATAGTCCTCCTCCATGGCCTCCCCGAACTCCTCCCAGCTCCGAGTTTTTGCCTCCGCGACCACACGGGCTGCAGCACGCTTGGCCCACCGGTACCCGTCAGCTGCTTCAGGAGTCCCCCGAGCCAGCAAGGCCCTATAGGACTCCTTCTTCAGCTTGACGGCATCCCTTACTTCCGGTGTCCACCACCGGGTTCGGGGATTGCCGCCGCGACAGGCACCACAGACCTTACGCCCACAGCTACGAGCGGCCGCATTGACAATAGAGGCCGAGAATGAAGCCCACTCGGACTCCATATCTCCAGCCTCCCCCGGAATCCGGAAGAAGTCCTCCCGGAGGTGCGAGTTGAAGATCCCCCTGACAGAGGGCTCCGCCAGACGTTCCCAACAGACCCTCACTACACGCTTGGGCCTGCCAGGTCCCTCCGGCTTCCTCCTCCACCAGCGAACCCAACTCACAACCAGGTGGTGATCAGTTGACAGCTCAGCCCCTCTCTTCACCGGAGTGTCCAAGACACGCGGCCGGAGATCAGATGACACGACTACAAAGTCGATCATCGACCTCCGGCCTAGGGTGTCCTGGTGCCACGTGCACTTATGGGCACCCTTGTGCTTGAAGATGGTGTTCGTTATGGACAAACTGTGACTAGCACAGAAGTCCAATAACAAAACACCGCTCGGGTTCAGATCGGGGAGGCCGTTCCTCCCAATCACCCCTCTCCAAGTGTCACTGTTGTTGCCCACGTGGGCGTTGAAGTCCCCCAGGAGAACAACGGAGACCCCAGTCGGTGCACTGTCTAGTACCCCTCCCTAGGACTCCAAGAAGGCCGGGTACTCAGCACTGCTGTTCGGCCCGTAGGCTGACACCACAGTGAGAGACCTGTCCCCGACCCGAAGGCGCAGGGACGCGACCCTCTCGTTCACCGGGGTGAACTCCAACACACAGCGGCTGAGCTGTGGGGCAATGAGCCACACCAGCCCGCCGCCGCTCCCCGCGGCCAACGCCAGAGAAATGGAGAGTCCAGCCCCTCTCAAGGAGTTGGGATCCAGAGCCCAAACTGTGCGTGGAGGTGAGGCCGACTATATCTAGTCGGTAACGCTCAACCTCCCGCACAAGCTCAGGCTCCTTCCCCCCCAGCGAGGTCACATTCCATGTCCCCAGAGCTAGTTTCCATGTCCGGAGATCCGGTCGCCGAGGCCCCCGCCGTCGACTGCCGCCCAGATCTCTCTGCACCGGCCCCATATGGATCCTCCCGCGGGTGGTGGGCCCACGTGAGGATGGCCCCACGTCGCTTCTTCGGGCTAAGCCCGGCCGGGCCCCGTGGGAGAGGGCCCGGCCACCAGGCGCTCGCTGACGAGCACCCACCCCAGGCCTGGCTCCAGGGTGAGGCCCCGGTGACGCCATTCCGGGCGACGTAACTGGCCTCTGTGTGTTGCTCATCATGTGGGGCTTCTGAACCGTTCTTCGTCTGACCCGTCCCCCTTCACCTGTTTGCCTTGGGTGACCCTACCAGGGGCATGAAGCCCCCGACAACATAGCTCCTGGGATCATTCGGGCACTCAAACCCCTCCACCACGATAAGGTGACGGTTCAAGGAGGGGCCACTTTTTAGCATTCTTTTTAAAAGCAGAGAATGAGGGAGATGTTCTGACGGCTTCAGGCACAGAGTTCCACTGATGAGACGCTCTGACGGAGAAAACACACTGACCAAATACAGTTTTCCTATGAGGAATAATGCAGTCTTCCCTCACTGCTCCTCTGGTCACTCTGCCCTCACTAGATCTGAAATTTACAAAGTCATTCAGCGAAGGGGGGCCGAGCCATGTTTAATCTTGTTAATATTATGAACAACCTGAAACTTTAACCTTTTTTTCTCATGTTGGACATTTTTCTGATGAGGGTGTCACGGTCAACAGTCAAAACGATCGTCCTTTAAGAGCGTTTGGAAAGAGACATGTCTTCATTTGTACTGCTCTGGTGGGAGGGGGCATGTACAGAGGCACTGGAGACTCTGCTCTGCTCAGCACCACAGAAAATTACCAATATTTTAATAGAAATGATAATTTATATTATATATTTTAGTAGAAAATCAGTCGAGGGTTAGATTAAAGGTCTTGTGCATGTTTGACACCCCTGGTATATGTAGTTCTCTCTGGTTTTAGCTGTTGCTGCACCATAACTATGAATTTAAGCAAAAAGACGTGAGATTCGATATATTGCAATGGTCCATGATGTTATTGTGAGACCTTTGACAATACGATATCATGATATTTCAGTTATAGTTACATCCCTATTAGCTAAAGCACATGACATGATGGACTACAGTAACAGCTAATTCTCTTTGTCTTTCAGTGCACAGTGACACTTCGGAATGGTGAGTCCTGCTTGTTTTGTGTACACATGTGTAAATGTACTGTATGTTTAACTTGTATATTTTAGAAAGCCATATTTATTTCCATCGTATTTGAATTATTTGAGTAAATGTATGTATTAGGGATGGGCATGATTAGTCGATTAATTGATAATTGATCATTAAGAATTTCATCGATTACGTTCATTTTAATCGACAAACCGAATGTAGGTTGCTGTGTGTAGAGTGACCAAACAGGGTCAGTACATGTGTCTCTCTGCACTCAGAAGGAGCGAGACACAAACAGTCGGTCAGTCTGCAACGTACTGAAGTGTAAATGTGAATGATGTGCAACGATGACTTGTACAAGAAAGTCCACGCTTTCCATTCGGGACAAGTGTGAGTCCATGTGCACAGTGTATAAAGCAGCACATATGTTTCGGTGTCCAGTGGGAAAAAGTTTTGCCAGGTGAGAGTCGCTCAATGTCGATGACGAGTCCCCACCTCCCTCCCCCCGTACGGTGTCCTGGTTTCCACTGAGTCATGTCTTTTAATCTGACAGAAATGGACTGCATCAGCGACACAAGAGCTGTAGTTTTATCTTTGCTTAGTTTATGCAAATTAGTGATGTGGTTTTAAGTTTTGTTTCTGTGAGAGTTGCGCAAAACTGAATTAAACACATTATAATGTCAAACAGCTGATGTGGCTCTAGAGTGGTTACGGTTTATATGTCGTAAAGTTGAATTTATTTATGCAGATTAGTAGCGCAGATAGTAATAATAATGATGACCATTTTAATATAAAAACGTTGATGATTAATCGATAATCGATCGTTAATTCTTCCGACGATCGATTAAGAAAATTTCACTGAATGCCCATCCCTAGTATGTATACCTCATATTAGACTTAGACTCAGACTTCGATTGATCCACAAGGGAAGTGACTCAGTAGATCACACATCACAATATAATATTATAACTAAGAGCAAAAATATAAACAGTAGGAATGGGACGAAACACAATTTCCACAAGACGAGAGGAAATATAAAATCGGGTCCACGAGAACAAGACAAGGCGAGATTTTAACATAAATCCTTATATATAAAGTTTCCAATTTTTTCACAATTTCATATTAATTTGATTTCATATTTTTATTTCCATTCTAGTACTGCTTTTTGGAACTGTAACTCACCAACATGTAACCAATGTCCAATCCAATCTCACAAGATCATTTTTCTCATGTGTGCACGATCTTGTGGCAGTTTTGTTTCGCAAGATCTTGTGGCACGAGATCTTGTACCATCCCTACTGAACTGTAACAATAAATTCAAAATAAGTATAAAAAATAGCAAGACTGGTGTCAAATAAAGCATAATTATAATGTATAAATGTAAAAATAATCAAATATAGAAATATTGTGATACAAATATATGTCTGTATACAAGAGTCAAGAGTCTTTTATGTGTTACAATTTGGTTACTTGCATTTCTTAATATGTTTGTATGTACCCGACCCACACCATATACTCACACAGCCCCAAAACACCGCACATTTTTACATAACACATCATAGCACAGGAGCTGTACAAGGTGTTCAGTTTGACAGTAACGTTTGTGTGTTTGCAGAGACAGAGATCTGTGCTGAGGTGAACAGGTGAGAGCTGCTCTACACCAGCAGGAGGTTCAGAGCCAACACAAGCTCAGGACTCTGCTCTTGTATTTCTGTCATTGTCACTGTTATTGTTTACATGTGTGAGGGTTTATTAAGCAAAATTCACTTTTTGGAGCTTGCTACTACCATCTTGTCACATCGCGTGATCAGAAACATGCCTGAAGAAGAAGATTTTAGATGTCACACATGCATGTTTGAGTAAGCTAGAGATCTTTCCTGGGCCCTGTTTGAACCCTCATTATGGTTAGCTGTAAAATTTGTCCAGTGCTCCACCCACAAGCCTAAGTCACCCATGCTCCCACACGACAGTTCTCCAGAAATACACAAAAAAATATGTTAGAAAACAATACACTGCAGCTTCACAAATCTAGTGTGATGTGCAGTAGTTTTATTGTGTTAGCGCTGTGACAAAACATCTTAATATGTTGTTTTCAGCAAATATAGCATTTTCAAAACTAGAGATGCACCGATCCAGCTTACACCGATCCACCGATATCGATACTTTGGCTTTAAGTATCTGCCAGTATCTATCAGGTATAAACTGATACCAGTGAAGTGAGGGAAAATTACTCTTATTTCCTTAAAACATGATTAACTTGTTACACAAGACATTCAGTTGTGTTATATACCTGTTATTTAAGCTTCACAACATTACTGAAGAACGTCATATGAAGAAAACATTATGACACGTTCTGGACCAAAATCTGATCCAGCTACATTTTTCAGTATCTGTTCAGTACCAATAATTGATTTCAGTATCGGTATTCCAAACAATAAAAGGTAATATCGTGATGTAAATGTGTTACCAGTTAATACCCCGTAGAAGTAAAAGAATGAGAACTTTGCACATCAGTTTCTTGAAATGGGTGTGTTGGAGAAGAGGAAGCAGCCCAAAAAACATGAACAGAGAAGGACATTGGGACGTTTCGGCACTAGGTCTATTTGCCTGCTGAAGAGCTTGTGCTGAAACCTTGTTGATGTCCTAATAAAATTCACAAGTTTCATGTGAGACAGTGTGCAGGATTCTCCTCTGTTCATCTTTACCCCATAGAAGTAAAACACTCCCTCTTTAAAGCATGTGTGAGCATTGTCTCTGGTCCACAGCACGTCTCTGCAGCTCCTCATTGACCAGGGGAAGATGGGCGGACTCCTCTGTGACTTCACTGTGGAACAACTGGCCTGTGCCACGGTACTTGCCCTTCATAACTGACACTTTGCATTAGCTTGTGACTGTAATTTTATATGTAAGAGACTTGTTTAATAGCACAAATCAGAACAGCTGTTGTAGTTCCAACTTAATCCATTCTTTATGGTCAGATTGTGTTAAAAGCACAGATCAACGTCTAATTAAGCTTCAAACAGAGAAGAGCCTACAGTTAGCATCACATCTCCAGGGAATGTTGTTGACAGTAGCTAAAAAGTATCAATAGTGCAGTCATATGCTGTATTTGTGATGTGTAATGTAACAGTGTGTGTCTGTCCTCTCAGCTGTCAACGCTCAACGTCTCAAACGTGGTGGAAATCCTGACCTGCACACGCCCTCAGAACTCCAGTGGGTCCCGGGCCTCCTGGAAGCTCCTGCTCAGTAAAGTGCCCCAGGCCCTGGACCAGGCTTTGGACATTCTGGCAAACATAGTGAGCACCGCTCTGCTCTCAGGTACTGCATAAGTGACCTCTATGTTAATGTCCTTTTGTGTTTGTAGACCCTGGATCCAACACAAGCCGCGATCCCTCTCATTCTGGACGCCATCCGAGAAATCCGACTGGACACTTTCCCCATGGATCAGATCAACCATCCACTGGTCGTCAAACTGTGGTTCAACAACAGGCTCCTCCCCTTCCTGTCCTTTGTGTCCATGGACTTTCTGCACTGTCTCACGACCAAACACCTGAACTGTTCCACCTTTGAGCACATGTGAGTGTGGACCTCCAGTCCCTCCTGCCTTAGCCATAGTTTGGCCTATATTTATTTGAACGCTGTTACCTCCTCAAAAACATACTAGAGTCGTGTTTTGGATCATTCACACATATCTGCTCTTATGGTTGGGAGATGGGCAAAAACTGAAGAAAGGGTGGGAGGGGTTTAAGTTGGCCAGGCGTGCTATTGGCTGAGAGCAGAGGATATGTTATGCATTGCAATAGCCCCAAAAAGTGTCAGAGAAAAGTTACTAACAACCAGAAAACATGCAAGAAATTTGAGCGTTGATATGGATCATGGGTAATATGAGCTCCAGGAGCTTAGGATCCCTCCACAGCTCTCTGCTAATCCACCTCGTGTGAAGTTCTGACCTGTGTGTGTTCTTACAGTGTGCATGTGTTAGGCACTGTGTGTGTTGTTACAGATTGTGTGTAGTTGTGACCTGTGTGTGTTGTTACAGATTGTGTGTAGTTGTGACCTGTGTGTGTTGTTACAGATTGTGTGTAGTTGTGACCTGTGTGTATGTCGTTAAAGTGTGAACGCCCTGAGCCTGCAGCAGCAGCACATGGCCCTGCCCACACAGATGTACATCTACACTCACTTCATCAGGGTGTACCTCAGCAGGAACAATACTCAGGGTAAGTGTTCACACATCACTATCACACACCTCACTATCACACACACTCACCTCACACACACCTCACACACATCACACTCACTATCACTATCACACTATCACACACCTCACTATCACACACCTCACTATCACACACCTCACTATCACACACCTCACTATCACACATTTCACTATCACACACCTCACTATCACACACATCACTATCACACACACCTCACTATCACACACCTCACTATCACACATATTCACACACTCACATCACACACACCTCACTATCACACACACTCACACACACACTATCACACACCTCACTATCACACTCACTATCACACCTCACTATCACACACCTCACTATCACACACACTCACTCACACACACTCACTATCACACACACCTCACTATCACACACACCTCACTATCACACACACCTCACTATCACACACCTCACTATCACACACACCTCACTATCACACACACCTCACTATCACACACCTCACTATCACACACACTCACTATCACACACACCTCACTATCACACACACTCACTATCACACACCTCACTATCACACACACCTCACTATCACACACACCTCACTATCACACACCTCACTATCACACACACTCACTATCACACACACCTCACTATCACACACCTCACTATCACACACCTCACTATCACACACCTCACTATCACACACACCTCACTATCACACACACCTCACTACACATCACACACACACCTCACTATCACACACACTCACACACACACACTCACTATCACACACACCTCACACTATCACACACACTCACTATCACACACCTCACTATCACACACACCTCACTATCACACACACCTCACTATCACACATTTCACTATCACACACCTCACTATCACACACACCTCACTATCACACACTATCACACACACACTACACTCACTATCACACACACACTCACTATCACACACACCTCACTATCACTCACACACACACACACACACTCACTATCACACACCTCACTATCACACACACCTCACTATCACACACCTCACACACACATCACTATCACACACACTCACTATCACACACACCTCACTATCACACACCTTATTATCACACACCTCACTCACACATCTCACTATCACACACACCTCACTATCACACACACCTCACTATCACACACCTTACTATCACACACCTATTATCACACACCTCACTTTTCTTTGCCAAACTTAGTGTCCACGAGGACAAATATCAGTTCAGACATGTGTTAAAATAGCTTTGGGTTTGGATTAAGGTTAAAGTTTAGGTTATGATTTAAATTTGGGCAAGTCGTGGCTAGAAGTGAATAGAATCCAGTATCCCCAATGAGCATGAAAAGTTAAGCTGTGTGCTGTGTTATTTGTTTTGGTGCAGACCCCAGCTGCTCCGCCAAAACCAACAGCAGCGTGGCCTGGCTCCGTGCCAACCTGGGAGCCTTCTCTGGGATGGCATCCTTCAAAGACCTGCGCACTCTAAACCCCTCCTTCTCCGCTGTACGTCTCCTCTCACACACAGTCTGAGCTACGGTTGGCAAAACTACAGATAATCAGATACTAAAAACATCCCAATGACAGGAATGTTCATTGAATGTCTTTAGAATGATGTTGAGCTGTATCAGTATATAAGAGCACATAGACTAGTATACACACATGGAGCACTATGGAACCTACTGCACCACTGAGGGATTACACATATATAGAGAGTGTCTTTTATTATCATCATGCTATCAGAATCTGCATTTAGTATTGAATTTATGCCTTAGTACTGAAATTGCGTTACTTAGTTATGTTAATATCGTGACACTAGTGTGATCATGTGTCACGTCTGGTGTTTACAGAACCTCCTAGTGGGACAGCAGTTTAACACAGCTGCATATTTTGTTCTGATTTTGTACTCCTGTGGGAGCAAAAATGGCTAACACAGTGAAAAGTAAGGAGGAAACTCAACAGCATTTGAATGATCAAACATAGGCGCTGATTTTTACTGTGTTCAAAATATGAAAAACACAGCTAGTTCATTTTAAAACTGTTAACAGCAGTTCAAAGTTATTTCTGACAGCTTCACAGCTCTCAGGAGCCAGATCAGATCAGAGATGCTGACTGCCTCTAGTATTCTAACAGAGTACAGAGTTCTTATGATTATCATGGACAAAGGGCTTAATTATTATTTATTTATTATTTATTGAAAGAGTTGTACAAGAGATTTACCAAATTTGCAGTTTGATAAGATTTGAGCCATTTGACTTTGAGTGTGATTCTGACCCACCAGACCAGTGGATTTAGAAAGTCTATTGTAATTTAGTTTCATCAGGAAAAAAGAAAATAATTGTGATGCCTTGGGGCTTCTTCTGACTCCCGTTTCCTTCCCCTCTCTCTCCCCCCTCAGATGGAAACTCTGGCCATCCTCACCGTGCGGCAGCTGGCAGAGGTCAGTTCCACCCCAGGACAACTCTCGTCTCCTGCTCAAGTCGCCATGGTGATGAGATACGTGCCCAACCAGCTCCTCCTATCCTTCTTTGAAGACTATTCTTCTACAGTTTTGGTAAGTGCACTCTTACATACGAAAGCAAGGGGGCCCAAGCTTTGTCCATGGGCTGTTGCTCAATACAGTGAATCATTTTTAGATTACAGTAGAAAATTACAGTAGAAAATACTTCTTTTAATCACCTGAGGGACAAGAAAAAATGTTCTAAGAGGCACTTTTGGCCTCCAGGCCAAGATGGACATGCCTGCTCTAAAATTTATACTGTGTATTTGTGGGTCTGATTCTACTTACAAAGCTTTTCTTTAAAGTGACTGGGTTTCACAGATCATAAGCATTAATATCTTCAGACTGTCACCTTTTTGGTGAGATGTTCTGCAGACTCTTTTCTAGCCTAACAGCCATTTACTTCATGAACACACTTTTTCTCTATGAATGTGAAATATAAATAAAATATAAATAAATCCTATTGTCTCCTTTGAGTTCTTGAATCAGTCTTTCCTCTGGTCTGTTCTGACAGGGTTCTGAGAGCCAGTACCCCGCACCTGTCCGCTCCGCCATGTTACAGGTGGTATTTGACAGGGCCAACCTGTCCCAGCCCTCTGTCCCAGACTCTGAGCTCCTGTATTGGCTGGATCTACTGCCTCCCCTGCTGGTCAATCTGTCCCCTGCACATGTGGGGCCCTTCTTCAGCATCCTGTCAGGGAGAGCCTGCAGCCTCGAGCAGCGCGGGTAAGTCCTCTGATAACATCAAGCACTCAGAGATCGAGATTTTATTTCCATTTATATTCTGATTATTAAGCTTTGAAAATGAAGGACTGGTGCAGGTGCTGAGGTTCAGGTAGTGACAATTCAGACTAGACACAGGCATTTTAGGTTAAACACACTGGATTTAGCAGCAGAAACTGGCAACCTAAATGAGAGAGTCACGTGAGGCTCATTTTGCTTTATGATTGGATAATTGTCTTGAACTAAGACTTTAAATTATATTATTTGATAAACGACTTTTTGTGATTAAGAAGAAATCCACAGTACAATTGTTATCAGTAAAAGTAGGAAAGTACTGACACTGATACTGAATATCAGTAAATCCATTTACTGGAATCAATTCTGTCCATGTCCTGGTTGGATATGTACATATGTACAATCTATTTACAGTTTGTTGTTGCTCCAGAAAGTCTCAGAATGTTTGAACTTGTATTTACATAAAGCTGTTGTGTAGTTACTTGAGGAGCAAATAACAGCTACATAACACATTTTGTCCTACGAGGAGAAGGAAAATAAAGTCCGTTTTGAGTCTTTGCACTGGTAGGGGTCGATATTGGGTATGTGCAGATACTTAAACCGATGGTATTGAAATCAGTATCAGAACTGAAAAAGCTGGATTGGGGAATCCCAAATTAAAAAGCTCTGTTTGATTTGAACATGTTGACCTCATATCTCGGGACACATATAAGTGTATGAAATCTGAAATAATAATTCTATATTCCTTCCCTTTAAATGAATGTCATATTTATTAACAAAGTGATTCTAAACTTGTCCTAAATGTGTTCCAGAGTGGAGGACCTGAACATGACCATCTCCAGCCTGAGTGAGCAGACTCAGAGAGACATCTACCAGCACATCATGCTCAGCCTCCAAGGTAAGATGGAGGTTAAGGTTCCCTTTATTATCCCCACAGGGACATTTGTACCACCACGCGGAGCCCTCACAAACGCTCCTCTGGTTCCACCTAATCCTTAAAAAAGCACACTCCCTACAAAGGCCCAGACAACGAGTCAACCAGGCCCTAACATTTTTGATGAAATTCATTTAAAGATTAATGGTGTAACTTTTCTGATGGGATCCTGTGACACCTCCTTGTCTCCATGGAGTCTTATTATAAGTGGTGATCTCCTCTCCAGAGACCTCACCCGTAACTTGTCCTGGTGCAGTCACCTGCTTGTCTCCATGGAGATGGATAGGTTTAATACTGTACTGTGGAACATCCCAGGCAAAGCAAGAACTACTTCACAGAGACAAACAGGTTTCAGAAAAGTTACATAGTGCACCTTTACAAATAATAAAATATACTTATTATAATATTTTATTATATATAAAAAACAAGTTCTTTTCAGTGTCAGGGGACACAGCCGCCTTTAGGCTGACTACTCAGATTGTTGAAATGTCTTTTTAACTTACTCTTCTAGTATTACTCAGTTTTATAATGTTCTTTTCAGGCCCTGCAGCCCTGCGTTGCTATGGAAACAACTACAACCACAGCTTCTACCGCTTTTTGGAAAGCACCTTCATGGGCTTCCAATTCCCCAACCTGACCTCCATCCTGTCCCTGATGCCCCAAGACCAGATGCTCCAGGTCTGTGCTCCCCTCACCACTGCCCTCACCCCTCACCGCTGCCCTCACCACTGCCCTCACCACTGCCCTCACCACTGCCCTCACCCTGCTCACCGCCCTCACCGCTGCCCTCACCGCTGCCTCACCACTGCCCTCACCGCTGCCCTCACCACTGCCCTCACCCCTCACCGCTGCCCTCACCACTGCCCTCACCCGCTGCCCTCACCGCTGCCCTCACCACTGCCCTCACCCCTCACCGCTGCCCTCACCACTGCCCTCACCGCTGCCCTCACCGCTGCCCTCACGCTGCCCTCACCACTGCCCTCACCCTCACCGCTGCCTCACCGCTGCCCTCACCACTGCCCTCACCGCTGCCCTCACCGCTGCCCTCACCACTGCCCTCACCCCTCACCGCTGCCCTCACCGCTGCCCTCACCACTGCCCTCACCCCTCACCGCCCCCTCACCGCTGCCCTCATCGCTGCCCTCATCGCTGCCCTAACTACTGCCCTAACTACTGCCCTAACTACTGCCCTCACCACTGCCCTCACTACTGCCCTAACTACTGCCCTCACCACTGCCCTCACTACTGCCCTAACTACTGCCCTCACCACTGCCCTCACTACTGCCCTAACTACTGCCCTCACCGCTGCCCTCACCACTGCCCTCACCGCTGCCCTAACTACTGCCCTCACCGCTGCCCTCACCGCTGCCCTAACTACTACCCTCACTACTGCCCTCACTACAGTATTTTAGATCCCAGATAAATACAGTTTGTTATTATTTTTACAAAAGTGAAAAGTTGATTTGTGAAAGTTGATTTGTGATTTTTTAGCTAAATATCGGAATCTGTTAATGCTGATAATCGGCCACAGTAGAAGGCCAAATATTGGATATCGGATCAAAACTCTCTACTGATCCTTCCTGAGTACATATGAACATACTGTCTCTTTCACATGTGTTTGTGTGTATCCTCCTTCATATTTACAGCTGCTCGTTATATTAGATAGTATTTCATGAAACTGCTTATTGCAGTATTGACATTTTTCTTTGCAGAATGCCACATGTAAATGTGTGTTATGATAAGTGACTGTGTTTTGCAGCTCCTGAACTCCATGTCTGCCTCAGAGCTGGGCCAGCTGCTGTGGAGACCTGCTGTTGTGGACAGTGAAGCAGCTCTGTGTCAGGTCTACAGCAGCTACACGGACCTGCCCCTGTTCCTCTTGAATGTGAGTGCCTTTCTGAACATTTACATAACTAACACACATTTAGAAACCTTCATACACATGCTTCAGCTGGATTTACTTTTATTATCACAGTTAAAGCACATTTTGGAAGGTGGAAACACATTTACTGACAGTGACAGTTACTGACTTAAGGCTCTGTAACTAAAGTGATAGTATGTAACTTTCTGGAGGTGGAAAGTCAACAGCATGATTCCATGGAAATATAAAGTTAAAACCATACTTTGGAACATTCTCCATTGAGACAGATATGTTTTATAGCCAAAGGAAGAACAGCCCACTCACAGTAAGTACACGTTTTTTAGAGCAAACTTCCAAAATTAAACAACCTGCATTTATTTTGGTCTCTTACATGCTGTGAGCCCATGTTACTCTATTTTCTGATCTGTGTTGTATGTAGTTTAGTCCTTCTCTCAAACATCCTATTACATGACATGAAAAATGTAATAGTCAGATTTTGTTTATGCCCAAAACAACGATACAGTGTTAGAAATGTTCTGCTGCAGCTGGCTCCTCCTGATTCACACGTGTTTTGTGCTGTTGCAGGAGCCCCTCCCCCTCAGCGTCCAGCAGATGACTCTGTCCTGTGTGTGGCCATGGGCCCTCAGGTCGACCACTCCCGCTGAGGCTGACATGTGGTTTGATCAGAGCCTCCACAACTACCTGCACCTCCTGACCAAGAAAGACTTCAGCCCCAGCGTCACCTACAACTCCTCCTGTGTGGCCTTCCAAAAGCTGTAGGCTACACCACTTTACTCTCTCATATTGTTCTGGGTTTCACATTTCTGTAGGACCATTTTATTTTAAGGGCCTTTATTACACTCTTATCTGATCTATTCCCTAATGTAGTTTCCTCATCACAAACAGAACTGGAGTTGTGTTTTGTCTCAAACAGAAAACACTTGCTCCACCTTGCAATGTCACATGGTACAGGAAGTGCTCCACTTTCTTTTTAATCTCCATTTCACTTGGATGGAATTGCCGGTCTCTACTGAACTAAAGCTAAAAACAAGTGTTAACCTGAAAACTACATGACAGCACAAGGTGGAACATTCTGAGCTTTGGAGATGTAGACAGACTAATAATAACAGGTTATTCAAACATGTAAATAAAACAAAACATAACTCCAGGTCTGATTTTGTTGAGGTAACATTCTAACATGGCTTAAAGCTCACAAGAATCTATTTTGTGTGATATAGGACCTTTTTTTTACAGATGGGGCAGCTAAAATGAATACTGTAAAAATGCAGTTTTTTTTTTTTTTGCTGTAATACAGTAAGTTCTTGGCTCTAATCAGCAATAGAGATGATCTAGTTCAACATTGGGGCATTTACCTTTTGGAGATTTCATGGCAAAGTACAGTGCGTTTAATAAGGAAAACCGGCTCTTGCATGACATCACATTCTAGAAGTGTCAATATACGCCTGTTATGAATATTTAAGTTGTACTGTGTGTTCTCAGTGTGGCAGTAATGGGACAGTACAACTACAGCGGCACAGGCGTGGACAGAAGAGACGTGTTCACCAGCATCCGGGTGTTCCTCACTTCAGGTCTGTGCTCCAGGCGACAGCGCTGACACTGTATGAACACAAAGGATTAGAGCAGGTCAAGTTGTGATATTTAGGCCTGTACACAGCAAAAAGTGAGTGTTAAAAGTGACTCTCACAGAATCAATTTGAACATTTTCTCAGGGTTTAAATGACTCCAATTTATTCTAATGTAACATTTTTGGAATTTTAATTATAAGTAACACTGGTCCAAAGTTCATGTTTAACCCCAAAATCAAGAGTTATAGTAATGTTTTAAGAGTAAACTTTGTAGGGTTATCCTAATTTAGCTAAACAACACACAGAGGTGTTTTATTTTTACACTTTATTTTTGTTATTTTAAGTTATGTACACTTCTGTATTTATGTACAGTATTGCTTCAAAGTGCTCTTCTCTCTCGGGAGTTTGAAGTGGTGGGTGGGAGGTGCCAAATTAACACTAAGGGAAGTTGAATGAACTTCAGCCAGATCAACTCTGGCAAATAACTCCAACTCAAAACCCCAATTTAACTTTCAAACTGTTAAAATAACACTTTTGTGTTAAAAACAACTCTGAAATTTTAACCTTACAGTTTTTACTGTGTAGTCGGCTGAAGAAGAAATGATTTTAATCTATTTACATATGTCTTCATCTCACTCTTCCTTTCTTGTACTAAAGGTGAATGTGTGTCACTATTGGCTCACAGTTTATCTTTTTTTTGCCATTAAAAATCTGAACACTAGAATAATCAGACAGCCCAGTGTTAGATCTGATTTCTGGGATGTGTTACAGCAGAAATCTGATCAGCAAAACAGACTTGTTAGTTAATTTGTGGACTTTTAGAGTAACTGTTTTATTTGTAAGACAACATTTAATTAATTTCAAAATAAGTCTATCTTAAAGAGTGGGGATTTCTGCAAAACTGACTTTATGGAGCTTTCTACCGTATTATAAAGTTGTTCCCCCATCAAAAACATGCTGAAGTGGTTTTAGATGTTACCCACACATGTACAACAATAAAAAGTAACATGGTGATCTAAATATGACTCCAGAAATCAGCTCATAATCAGGTTTGTGGTGTGCATGTAACTGACCCCATGTGATGTAGTGTGTGTTGTGTAGCGTCTGCCCCCAGGTGCTACAGCCCCACAGACCCGCTCCTGAACTCCACAGCCTGGTTCGCTCAGTACATCGGGCCCTTCTTCAGCTTCATGACTCTGGAGGACTTCCTCATGTTTGGATCAGTTCAGGTACCACACTGTTTCCATAGACATTTTACTGGCCAATAATTACTACTGTGTGATTTGAAGAGGCCAACTAGATGCAGAGATAGTCTATAAGAGTTCATTGATTATTCCCTCTAAAAGATCAATTTTTCATACCTGGCCATATAGACCACTCACTGAGTCTGAAGAAGACTGAGCCCTCAGACTCTGGTCTCTTCTCACATCTACTACTTCACTAAACTTCACCATTGTTCTTAAATATAATTGTGGTAAAGGTAAAGTATGTAACTTTCTGGAGATGGCACATCACCTGCATGATTAGAAATAGAACGGTAAAACCATACTATGGAACATTCTTCATGGAGATAGATACATTTTATATCACACTGTTCCAATGGAAACAAGCAGGAGGAGGCGTTCCTCTAGACCAGGGGTCTCCAACCTGTAGCTTGGGAGCTACCAGTAGCTCTTCATTCCCTTCAAGTAGCTCGCCGAGAGATTTCTGAATTATATTTGTGGTGCTGAATAACTAAAATTTGATTAATTAAATTCCTATTAGCATTGTAAAAGTGTCATTTTGATGCCCAAGTTTGTGCTCTAATAACTGGATAATGGTTTATGTTTTATAGACGATTAAATGTACCCCATCTACAGCTTGCCGGGGCTTTGTGACCACAAAAATGAGTAGTCTCATTTTAGAATTTTTGGTTTTGTAAAAGTAGCTCACCAGTGGAAAATGGTTGGAGACCCTTGTTCTCACTAAGATTCAGGAAATGCAAAGCCCACTCACAGTTATTGATGTTTTTCAGTGCAACATAAACAACCAAAAAAAAAACATACATACATAGTGTTACTTTAACTATTAGTATGTTGGATGAAATGTGTAGCATAACCTCAGCATTCCCCTTTTTTACTCAAGGTGAAAGCTGAAGCTCAAAATAAACCCAATCTAAACATGGCAACAAAAGAACACAAGTCTTAACTGATGGAGTTGTCTAGGTGACAAGCCTAAATAAAACTGTATCTGTGGTATGTAACCTTAAATCATGGTTCTCTTCTCTCCTGTGTGTGTCCAGAGCCTGCAGGTGTTCACGGTGAACCCTCAGAACATCGCCCTCCTGAACCACTCAGCTCTGCCTCAGAACCTCACAGACTACTACACCGAGCTGGTGTACGAGCAGGACAGCACCTTCAACCCCCTGCTGTGAGTCTGCTGTGGACCTCTGCCTCATACACTGTGTTACTGAGTGAAGCTCTAACTGTAACCCCTCCCCCCACAGCCTGCCCCTCCTGTGCCGCTGTGTGGCTCCTGGCCCCGCCTTCACCCAGCTCACCACAAGCCAAAGCATCATCATCCTCCACAACCTCACCACACTGTGCACCGACCTCGACCCACAGGTAACAAGGTTTAACTGTGCTTCAATTATTGGGATATTTGTGAGTTTTCTAACCCTTTATTGGGTTAATAAAGGTCCATATGTTTCCAAAAGTCCACAGCTGACTATTTTTCACTTTAAGCACTCTACTAAATCCAGAGGAGCTTCCACCACCTAAAGCTCCCGCACGCCACCTTAGACTGCTATTTCATTCAAAATAAAAACTGAACTCAGAATATACAAATGGATAGTAAATTAACATTAGCTATTTTTTAAGAATATAATTTCAAATGCATTCTACATGATCCCAAACTCTTGTCACATTTTGTGCTTGCTCTTTGTAGGTGGCGGCTGCTCTGGCTCAGAACTTTGGGAACAAAATAGATGCCAGCACTCTGGAGACTCTGGGGAAGGAGAACATCGGACTGTCCATGGGGCAGATCAAAGTTATCGCAGCCAAAGACCTGGTGCAGGCCCTGGGCACGCTCAGTGAAGTGTCTGGCTGGAACCAGGGTCAAGCCAGAGCCATCGTCCAGTCTATGATGTCCTCTGGGGTCATGAAGGTACAGCACACAGCACACATGCATGGAGACTCACTCAGGGGGGTTCTGATTCTCCAACAAGATACAGACTGTACACAGTGGACTTATTTGGACTCCAGAGATGCTTATATAATATATCTGTACTGGGGCAAGACACATTCAGAAGTAGTTTGTGAAACGTGGCCTATATGACCCTGTGCTCTGTACCCTCTCTCAGTTCAGCAGTGCCTCGTCCCTCATAACGCTGGGCACTCTGCTGGTGGGTGTGCCCTCCTCTGTGATTGGCAACATCAACGGCAACGAGCTCCTGACGGCGTCCAAGAACCCCACCTTCCTCCAGAACATGATGTCTGCCTCCACAGTCACCCAGGAGACCTTCGTCCTACAGGTACTGCACTGTGCCGTCACCTGCAGGAGGAACTTGTGTACTTGTATGCCAATGTTTTTCTTAAAGGGGACATACTATGCAAAAGGGGCATATAACTGTGGCATAATTTTGTTCTCTCATCAAAAGAACATACCTGTTGGAAACTGAGACATTACTTTAAGGTAGAAAACATGAAATATTAATGTCATGATGATTACAAACATTTATATACAACTACAGCCACAATAATGCATGTTACCATTATTGTTAACTATTGTAATCCTGAGTTATTCTTAATTACAAAGACATTGGACATGGTAATCAAGTTGTTCATATCATGTCTGGAGATTTAAAGTTTTCACATGAGACAGGCCTTGTCCAAATACTGAGAATGAGGAAAACTTGGCTGTGGCACTGACACTGGTTCCTTTAAGAGTGTGGGTTACATACAGTTCCTTTAAGCCCCCTTGAAAATAAATAAAACAAGCTCAATGAGAGACATCAACCTGGTCCCATGAGGCATCAGTGGGTCAGTTCATCAGCACAGAAGCAGTTTATGAGGAGCTCAGCCCATATGACATGATCATTATATCCACAATACAATGTGTGTATGTGTACAGGCCCATGAACATGTGTGTGATGTTGGTCACACATGAGAATGTCTGTGTTTACTAGTGTGGAACCAAAATGTCATTTTTCATGAGTTGTGTGTTGTTAGTTGTGTGACTGTAGATCAGTGTGTTGTGTTTCACCAGAAAAACAAGAAATGGAAATTATTTTCATTCCAATTAGAAATTTAACATCTACACTGAAAGAGAAAGGAACTGTTAGAATTAGTGATTATCTTGAAAACTATGAATGTTTGACTATACATATAGAATTATAAATAGATAATAATTTTTCTGAGATTTTGAGACACTCCCGTTGTTTTAGCTCCATCCTTCGCGAAGTTATGACCAAAAAAATTTGGCCTTGGTTACCTTGACCTTCAAGTGACCTTGACCGGTTTCAACCTGTAACATCCAGTGTGCCCCGGTTATGTGTGTGCCAACTTGTGTGATGATTGGGTGAATATTTTAGGCCGCAGATGGTTCAGAAATTGCCAAAATTGCAGATCCTTTATAATGGCGTGACCTTTCAATTGACCCGTGTGACCTCAAATGACCTCGGATTGTCACCAAACTTTTTTTTGCGGCATCGGGCATGGGGTTTGATCCACATACCAAATTTGGTGACAATCGGTCCATAAATGGCAGAATTATCGTGGGTGGACACACACACACAGACACACAAGGTGAATACAAAACCTGGTCAACCCTTCAGGGACCAGGTAATCAAATTAGATGCAGTTCTTAGGCAAGCTCCTTTTTATCTCATAAAAAATAAATATGGTCTTCAATCCTAATGTCACCACATTACCAAAACCTTTAATCCTCCTGTGCTATTTATTACTATTCTGGTATGTTTTGTGTCAGCTCCAAACAACATGCTTATACTGACAAAAAGAGCTCTGCTGATCTGGAGCCTTTGAAGTGATTTAGTCTCAGTTTGATGAAACGTTGATACAGTCCGATAGTGATTATGTTTATGATTATGATTATTACATTCTATGCCCTGTATCCTGTGATGTAGGACTGAATGTTTTGGGAAAATATCTCATTGCAATTTTTTTGACAAATGTTGCTTTTGTGTCCCATGTTTAAAGGGCCCATATTACTCTTATCAGGATTCCCACAGTTGTGGAAATCCTGGAAAAGTAATGGAAATTGAAAATGTAATTTTCCAGGCCTAGAAAATTAAATTTTGTAAATTCAATGAAAAAAAAGTCATGGAATTTTAGTATTTCTTTTACACAACTAGTAGTTTTCCTCTTCACAAACAGACCTGGAGTTGTGTTTTGTTTCTTTCACACAAACCCTGCACATTTAGGCTGAGTTCTTCTCTCATACTGTAAACCCTCTGTTCCAACTTGTGATGTCATGTGGTAATAAAGTGTTCCATTGCATTTTTAAACTCCATACACCTTCACTAGAATAATTTTTATAATTTCAGCCCTAAAATGGCAAATCTTTACTAAACAAAAAACAAAAGGTCGCTGTTAACGTGGAAACTACACTGCTTTACCACATCATAAGGTGGAACAGAGAATTTTGAGTTTGGGAGATGTAGACAGACTAATGATGCAGCGTTTCTCAAACATGTGTGAATGTCTGTTTTTGAGGAGGTAACAATATTGTAACTATGTCTTAAAGCTCACAAGAGTCAGTTTGGTGTAAGACAGGACCTTTAAAACGCACTGACATTTGGTAGAAGACAGACAAAGCTGTAAACTAACCTTGTGGTGTGCTTTTCAGCTGATTGGGTTGAACAGCAGCAGTGAGGCCATTGTGGACAATGTCCCAGATGACTTGGCCGATCAGGTTCCCAGGTTTCTGCTGGTGACCATGTCCAGCAGCTCCACGGTCTTGAAGGAGGTCAACAAGAAGAAGTGGAAAAGCTCACAGGTGACGCACAACACTTCTGAGGTCTAATGTCTCTCATCACTTTCAGATGAAAAAGTAATAGTCCCTTCTTGGTTTTGTCCTGTAGGTGGAGCTGTTCTTTAATGTTGTGGCTGTGGACACCGCCACTATTCTTCTGGGTGGGACAGATAAGTAAGCCTCTTGTCTCTTTGGTCCTAAGTCCTAAACCTGTCTCTTCTGTCCACTGTCCTAACCCTGTCCTCTTGTCCTGTGTCCAGCCTGTCGTCCTCAGTGCTTCAGGGCTTCAGCTGTACGAGTGTCAGAACCTTCCAGAAGACTCACATCAACAAACTGATCAAAGCGTGTCGCCGGAAGGGCCAGGAGAAGGTCACTCTGGTGGAGTCTCAGGTCAGACCTTACTCACTATGTTTACATGCAACTCAAGTCAAATGGTCTTCACCCCAAAACCTGTCAGAGCACGACAGGTGTGAACAGAGCTACGAGGCGTGCAGACACTTAGGAATTTAGCATTTGATTTTCAGACAAGCTAACAACTGTGTGACTCACAAGTGATTTTTCTTCCTCAACACATATTTCATTTTAACATAGCACAATAAAACAAATCAACACACAAACATGTAAACAAATGTAAACATGGTCAAGGACCAGGGCATCTGGTCTACTCCCAAACAGACACACAGTACAGAGTGATGTTAATAATGGTCACATCATATTAGCATGTCACTAACATGTGTCAAAAGATGGATGATAGATGATAGATGGGTGGATGATAGATGATAGATGGGTGGATGATAGATGATAGATGGGTGGATGATAGATGATAGATGGGTGGATGATAGATGATAGATGGGTGGATGATAGATGATAGATGGGTGGATGATAGATGATAGATGGGTAGATAGAATTTTTTCTACTACAAGCATTGAAACTAGACACTTATTTGAAGGACTTGATCCTGACAACATTTACAAAGAGTGCAAATGTGGAGTTTTGTACACACATAGATAAGACCACAGGGTCCCGAGAGCAGGACAACACCAAGACCTCTGAGGGTCGAGACCAAAACAAGACCGAGACCACGGCCCATCAAGGCCAGATCAAGGTCATGTCTGTCATTTTCTATATTTATTTGTCTTTTATAGTTATTTTGGTACATATCTATCACTGTTTTTATAAATCTCCATTTGATCTGGTTCATGCACGCCCGTTTTTGGACCCTCACCCACAGTTTGAGAACCCTTTCTTTAAGCCAACTTCCACTGGCTCTTCACAGAAAGTTAAGGATTTGAGTAGGATTTTTTTTTTCAAGTTCCTCTCTGAAGTTTCATTCTCTTACTGGTTTTGCAGTGTGTTTATCAGTCTCTGCACATTTACCAAACCAACGCACAATGTTGCAAACACAGATGGATTTTATTAAGTAAACTTCAGCCACAAGTTGTAGTTCGTCTTGTTCTTCTAATCAGCATTGATGAGGGAGACTGTGTACGTCACACTGTCCTCTGGCTCTAAACAAGACCAAGACCGCTCTCAAATACTAAGACACTCCAAACTCGTATAAGAGCATATATTGTGTCAAACTCTTTGTTGGTATTAAAATGTCCATATTGCTACACATGTTGTTGTATGTTTCCACAGCTCACGTGCATGTCGTACTACATGCAGAACTCTTCTGACGTCACAGACTTCTCCCTGATCCCCCCGGATGTGCTGCTCTACTACCAGTACGTGTCTGCAGGCTGACACAGCGCAGTATTTGATACTTTACAGTTGATGTCCTCAACATTCTCAGATTGTGTGACACTAACTGTAGGCACTGCTCTGTCTGAAACTTGGTTACTCAAATTAGATTTATAATCTGAGCTTTACTTCACCACAGTCTGACCAGAAAGATCTGATTTAGTTAAAACTACAACAGGTGAGCTGATTTGTACTGTTAAACAAGTCTCTTACACATAAAATTACAATCCCAGAATTTGAACTTTGTCACATTGTTACTCTCATTAAACAGAACCATGAACACTCATGTTAATCACAAACTCCTGAAAATGTCTTATTTAAATCCAGTTTGTTTTGTGGAAGTGTTTCCTACTGTGTGCACTGTGTCACCATGGTACCTGCCGAACATTCCATCATAAAGATACATGTAGATCACCCCCAGCATGATGTCACTGCAAAATAGGAAAGGACACACTGATGGTTAGTGTGTTTATGTCATGTCCACAGATACTCCTCAGTGCCCGCCTCCAGATGCAGGGATTATTTTGAGCAGCTGGCGGAGGCAGACTTCACTGTCTTCTCCTCGGATCTGAGCTACATCAAAGTCCAGCTCTTTACCAACGCCAGGAGCTGCCTGGTAACTCACTCACATGTTCACTTTCTATCATTTGAAGGAACATTACATGAGTGTCTGAGACTGACTCTGCCATAATCACTGCTTGCTTAACCTTAAAGAACCATATGACACTATTTTCTGATCTATGTTCTAATGTAGTTTCCTCATCACAAACACACCTGGAGTTGTGTTTTTCATTCACATGTAACACACAACCCTGCAGATTTAAGATGAGTTCTTCTCTCAAACAGAAAACACTCTCTTCCACCTCGTGACATCATATAGTAATACAGGAAGTGCTCCATTGTGTGTTAAACTCCATACACCTTCACTAGAATCACTGAAGAATTTCAAACTCTGAAATTGCCGAACATTACTTAAGAGATAGCTCTTAACTCGAAAACTACCACTTCATGACATCACAAGGTGGAACAGAGTTTTCTGAGCTTTAGAGATATAGCCACACTAATAAAGGGTTACTCAAACAAGTGTGAATAAAATAACACACAACTCCAGGTCTGTTTTTGAGGTAACAGCATTATAACATGGCTAAAAGCTCACAAGAGTCAAGTTTGTGTATATAGAACCCTTAAACTTAACAACACCTAACCAAAAATAAATAATGTGAATGCGATGTGAAACGTAAGTAACTTGTGTCTTTCCCTTCCCCTGTCAGGGCATAAACAGCACCAGACTGACCCAGGAGCAGGTGTCTGTGCTGGGGAACATGTGCTGCACTCTGCAGGGCTCCTACATCCAGGACTCAGACCCCTCCATCCTGGAGAAGCTCAAGAACTGCCCCGACCTCACTGAAGATCAGGCAGCTGCTGTGCAGACTCTGCTGCAGAGCGGGAACACTCCATACGGGTCAGCAAACTGTCACCAATAACAAGCTCATTAGCATAAACGCTTTATTGCAACATATGATAAGCCTCAACAGTCTCGGGCTCTGTGTCCCTGGTCATGTTGTCATGATACAGTCCAGTGGAGTGTGTGGTAGCTGCTGTTGTTCAACTGTGTTTGTGTGTGTGCAGGGCTCCCTCCACCTGGGACATACAGACGCTGAAGGACCTGGGCATGCTGCCTCTGTACCTCCAGACCTCCTTCTATGAGAACTTTGATAAGGTCAGCTCCTGTCGGCTCCTGTCTGCTCCTGTCTGCTCCTGTCTGCTCCTGTCTGCTCCTGCCTCATTCTGCTAGATATAATCACATAGCAGGTTTAAACATAGATTTAAATTGTTTTCCTTTTTTAAATTCATATGTAAGTGTAAAAATAGTAAATCAAGTAAACTAAGAGTGAAGAGTTTTTCTTTCACCAAGAGGCGTGTGTAGTCCAGAAGCAGCTTGGATGAGGGGACTGGTTTAACACTGCTCTTACATTCCTGACAAAGAAATAATATTTTCATGAGAAAAGCAGGTGATGGACTCCACCAAAAAAAAAGAGCTAGGACCTAGGAACAGTAGAGAATACGATTAAAACAGAAAAAAGTTGTATTTATTTAGTATTTAGTCCCACTTTAAAACCTAATCCAGCTGACTACTGGGCAACAGAGGCTCAAGTGGTAGAACATTTGTCCACTGATCTGAAGGTTGGTGGTTCAGATCCCGCTCTTGTCAGATCCACTGATCCGCAGGTTGGCGGTGTGATTCCAGCTCCCACTGATTAATACTGTCATTGTGTCCTTGGGAAAGACACTTGACCTACCTCACCCCCAGTGTCTGTGTACACTGTAGTACGTGTGTGTGTGTGTGTGTGTGTGTGTGTGTGAATGGTTCCTTCTTGATGTAAAGAACTCTGAGTGTCTTGAAGGTGGAAAAGTGCTGTATAAAAATGTGACCACTTAGCATTTATCTATGAAACCTTTGTCAGTGTTTCCTCTTAACCTGCGACATTTATACAGGCTTGAAGAGTGAGCAGAGACATTAGACATCAGCCTCAAATCAGTCTCTCTAAGGATGGATGCGTTGTGTATATTATGAGTATTTTATGCATATGTCTTTATACAGATAACACAGTATACACAGCGCCTCCATCCCTGTAGCTGACGAGTGTGAGGACACACTGCTAACTTTTACTATCTTTTCGTTGTTGCTGGCGAATGCTGAATTTCCCTCGGGATCAATAAAGTATCTATCTCTATATATATATCTAACCATTAGCTTCTGTGTAACTGCTCTGTGTGTAGCTGCTTTTTGTGTGATTGCTGTGTGTGTAACTGCTGTTGTGCATAACTGCTCTGTGTGTAACTGCTCTGTGTATAGAGATGTGGACAAAATAGTTGGTACCCCTCTGGCAATGAAAGAAAAATCAACAATAATCACTGAAATAGCTTGAAACTGACAAAAGCAATAATAAATAAAAATTTACTGAAAATCCCCCAACGTAAATCAAACATTGTTTTTCAACTGTGATTCAACAGAATTATTACAAAAAACAAAATAATGAAACTGGTCTGGACAAAAATGATGGTTCCCTTAACTTAATATTTTGTTTCACAACCTTTTGAGGCAAACTCTGCAAACAAATGATTTCTGTAACTGTCAGTGAGACTTCTGCACTGATCAACAAGTATTTTGACCCACTCCACATGAGCAAACTGCTCTAGTGGTCTCAGGTTTGAATGGTTCCTTCTTACAGTTTTTCAGTCAATTTGGTATTTATTATTGCTTTTCTTATTTTCAAGTTATTTTAGTGATGACTGTTGATGACTGTTGATTGTGTGTAACTGCTATTGTGTGTAACTGCTGTGTGTTGTGTATAACTGCTATTGTGTGAAACTGCTGTGTGTTGTGTATAACTGCTATTGTGTGAAACTGCTGTGTGTTGTGTGTAACTGCTGCGTGTTGTGTGTAACTGCTCTGTGTTGTGTGTAACTGCTCTGTGTTGTGTGTAACTGCTGTGTGTTGTGTGTAACTGCTCTGTGTTGTGTGTAACTGCTCTGTGTTGTGTGTAACTGCTCTGTGTTGTGTGAACAGAAAACCAAGAAGAGCTTCCTCAAGTACTTCCTCAAAGTGCTGAAAGTTCAAAAAGTGTCCAGAAGCAAGAGGAGGGTCCTGAAGAAGCACATCCGAGAGTCTCTGAAGGGCCGCAGCAGGCGCGCAACCGGTGACTACTGCACTCTACTCTACTCTACTCTACTCTACTGCACTCTACTCTACTCTACTGCACTCTACTGCACTCTACTGTACTCTACTGTACTCTACTGCACTCTACTGTACTCTACTGCACTCTAATGTACTCTACTGCACTCTACTCTCTAACTGTACTCTACTGCACTCTACTGCACTCTACTGCACTCTACTGCACTCTACTGCACTCTACTGCACTACTCTACTGCACTCTAATGTACTCTACTGCACTCTACTGCACTCTACTGTACTCTACTGTACTCTACTGCACTCTACTGTACTCTACTGTACTCTACTGTACTCTACTGCACTCTACTGCACTCTACTGCACTCTACTGTACTCTACTGTACTCTACTGCACTCTACTGTACTCTACTGTACTCTACTGTACTCTACTGCACTCTACTGCACTCTACTGCACCCTACTCCACTCTAATGTACTCTACTGCACTCTACTGTACTCTACTGTACTCTACTGCACTCTACTGCACTCTACTGCACCCTACTCCACTCTAATGTACTCTACTGCACTCTACTGCACTCTACTGCACTCTACTGTACTCTACTGTACTCTACTGTACTCTACTGCACCCTACTGCACTCTACTGCACCCTAATGCACTCTAATGTACTCTACTGCACTCTACTGCACTCTACTGCACTCTACTGCACCCTAATGCACTCTAATGTACTCTACTGCACTCTACTGTACTCTACTGCACTCTACTCTACTGCACTCTACTGCACTCTATTGTACTCTACTGCACTCTATTGTACTCTACTGCACCCTACTGCACTCTACTGCACCCTACTGCACTCTATTGTACTCTACTGCACTCTACTCTCCTCTACTGCACTGTACTGTACAGTTCTGCACTCTACTGTACCACACTCTACTCTACTGTACTACACTCTACTGCACTGCACTGTACTGCACTCTACTTTACTGTACTGCACTCTACTTTACTGTACTCTACTCTACTCTACTGCACTCTACAGGACTGTACTGCACTGTACTGCACTGCACTCTACTCTACTCTATTGCACTGTACTGTACTGCACTGTACTCTACTGTACTACACTCTACTGCAGTCTACTGCACTGTACTTGAGTATTGCACTGTACTTGAGTATTGCACTGTACTTGAGTATTGGACTGTACTTGAGTATTGGACTGTACTGGAGTATTGGACTGTACTGGAGTATTGGACTGTACTTGACTATTGGACTGTACTGGAGTATTGGACTGTACTTGAGTATTGGACTGTACTGATATTATTGGAGTGTACTGGACTGTGTGGTCTTGTATCTTTCAGTCCAGTCCATTGTGCAGGACTGTAGATCATGGAGATTAACTGAACTGATCAAATGTGTGAGGGTTTAGTGTGTGGGGGGTGATGATGGTTCAGGTCTTCAGGAAATGAATGTAAATCAATGTATTATCCCCACAAAGCCTGTAAACGTGTGTGTGTGTGTGTGTGTGTGTGTGTGCGCGTCAGGCTGCACCGTGGGGGAGATCACTCAGGTGACCATCAGCGATGAGACGTTCCCCTTCGACTACACTGACGTCCAGCAGTTCAACAGCTGCCTGAGCGCCCCCACAGTGAAGGACAACCTGGACGCCCTGACCACCAAGGTGGATGACGAGGACTACCTCAGAGTGGTGCTGGACAAGCTCAACGAGGTGAGGACACAGTCACAGTGCAGAGCTGCAGCCACTTTCACTCAACTCTTACTGACGACTTTTACACTTATTGAAACTCTCAAAATAAGTCCCACACGTTCTGAAAGGCACATGTAGTGCTTGTGTGATCTACAGCATTGTCACGACCCTCAGGTGGGTCACAAGACAGTTTATTTGGGTTGAATTGTCACGATCTGCCTGTAGGTCGTCAGAATCTCCTGTCCTCAGTGGGGCCAGTGTTTCTCTGTTTATTCCTTTCACTTCTACATTTGTGTGAATTGGGATTTTCTATCCTCACAAAAATGAAGCCAAAGCACAGAAACAAACTGAACACTGCGTCTGATCTGCTGCTGCGTCTCCTCCTGCACCTGGACTGAACACACCACAAAAACACATACAGACCCACCTATCTCATTAGAAATGTTGAAATACTAAGACGTGGTTTGTATCATTTCTAAAAGTTTTGGAATTATTTTATTGACTATTGTGTTCCAATATTGCTTTTTCAACTGAATGTTGAAAAGAAAAAGAAACGGGAGACATTTAAACAGGCGACATATGGATCCTTTTATTGCTGCTTCAATTTCTGTTTTTCATTGTTTCAAACTTGAGTAATACTAATTGTTCAGAGACACGATCACTCAGTCAACAATAAAATATCCTCATTAATGATCAATAACCTTTATTTTGAGATTTATGAATAATGTCTGTTGACTTGGGTCATTAAGGTTTGTGATTTAAAATATTGGTCCCCAGAAAAAAAGGGAGACACTGCTTTATATTTATAATCTGTGACACTGGTGGATCATAATGTTATAATGTACCCATTTTAAATCACAATATTCATCTAAAACAACTTAAAAGAAACAAGTCCTCTGCCTTCTGGGTTAGAAAACAGTGTTGCTCAGTGGGAGCTGACGTCGCCCTAAACGTAGCGCCGCAAGCTGTGGGCCCCTCCTATGGATATCTGCACATCACACTAGAGATTTTTTATTATTTTTATTTATTTTTACATAAAGTATACAGTGGTGCTGAATCCTATGTGCATTACAGATTCAAAATAAAAGTAGAGAACAAAGGACAGAGCGGTGGGTGTGTACCGCTGGTGTTTTTTTTTTTTATCTGAAAAATGGCTTCTTGAACATAAGTGATTAAAGACTGTTCATATATACACGCACCACTCACTTCAAGTACACTGCAATAAAGCTTGACCAAAATGTAAAATATAACACTTAAATCTATCAGAAAATGACTTAAAGTAGTAGTTCTCTTAAAATAAACAACCTCTAGACTAGAATGAAGCATCTCAGAACTGGTAGTAGATAATAATAGATAGTGTAGATAATAAATCTGAAAACAAGATGAATAACCTGATATAAGTTTTAAAATCTTGGCCAGATGAGAGAAATTAGCAGTGTGCGACTGTGAGTGAGTAAAAAGTGAGAGGAAATAACTGATGGCAGCAGCTCTGAAAAGTGGATGTTGCTTTAAATGTAGTGTCCGTTAGCGGTCTTGTTCTGTGGTTTGTGACCGTGCTGTGTGGCAGGCGTACGCGTCCAGCTCTCCCCCGGACATCCCCGAGGACCAGGTGCAGCTGCTGGGCCCCGCCTCTCGACTGGCCACAGCGCAGGACATCAACCTCTGGACTGTCACTCAACTGGACACACTGTCTGCTCTCATGAACCCCTCTGATGGACAATGGAACTCCAGCCTGGTCAGTCGCACACACACACACACACACACACACACACATACACACGCACACGAATGCACACGCACACACACACACACACACACACACACATACACACGCACACACACACACACTCACACTACACACAAAGTTTAAACCCTCATCTCTGTTCTAATGTTGTTTCCTCGTCACAGTCTGAACTGGAGGTGTTTTGTTCATTCACATGTTTAACACACAAACTCCACACACCTTCAGTAGAATCATTTGGACAATTTCTGACTTGAAATTGCCCATCTCTGTTGAACTAAAGGTAAAAGGAGCTGTCAACTTGAAAAAGCATTTTGACTTTTTGAGGTGTAGACAGACCAATAATGCAGAGTTACTCAAACATGTGTGAAGGAAGCAAAACACAACTCCAGGTGTGTTTTTGAGGAGGCAACAAGACTGTAACATGGCTTAAAGCTCACAAGTGTCAGTTGTGTGTAATATAGGACCTTTAAGTAAATAGATTTAAAGTGAAAACAATCTGATCATGAACTCACTGCCAAAACATTACAACATTAGTGTTAGTATTGGAGTGCATGCTTTGGTTTTAAATGGATTATCAAGAGCCTTTTGAACGTTTGAAAATTGAATCAGGACACGTGTTCCAGTATTGTCACTAATGCTGTACGTGTGTGTACGTGTGTGTGTGTGTGCATGCGCTGTGTGCAGGCTCAGCAGGTGATCAGCAGGTACCTGTCCACATCGGGGAACAGTCTGGGCAGTGCAGAGCTCAACGCTGTGGGAGGAGACAACCTGTGCTCTCTGGAGCCTCAGGTCCTGAAGAACATCTCCCCCCAGAGCCTCAGGTCAGTCGTGTGCACACGTCCACACTCAGCAGCACACTCCTTCTTCTTCTGCTGTGATTATAATACAGTGTGCTCTCGGCCATGGGAACAAAAACACTATGAAACAGCAGTGTTGTTTATGCATATGTTAAAGAGAGGTGCAGCATGGTGATAGTTGAATATAATGTCCACAGGAAAGTCATTTGTTTATTTGTCTATTTATATTTTTTGTTATTAGAATTGTTTTAGGGTTTGTTTGTTTTTTCAATTGGTTGCTTGCCTTTTTGTTAGGGAAACTACAGAAAACTGGACTAAACCCAGGTCTAAACCAGGTCTAACCCAGGTCTAACCCAGGACTAAAATCAGGACAAAAAACAGGACTAAAACCAGGACTAAGCCAGAACTAAAACCAGGAATTAAACCAGGACTAAACCAGGACTAAAATCAGGTCTAAAAACCAGCTCTATACCAGGTCTAAACTAGGTCTAAACCAGGACTAAAATCAGGACTAAACAAGACTAAAACCAGGACCAAACCAGGACTAAAATCAGGTCTAAAAACCAGCTCTAAACCAGATCGAAACTAGGTCTAACCATGATTAAAATCTGGACTAAAATCAGGACTAAACCAGGTCTAAATCAGGACTATAAACCAGCTCTAAACCAGGTCTAAACTAAGTCTAAACTAAGTCTAAATCATGACTAAAATCTGGACTAAAACCAGCTCTAAACTAGGTCTAAATCATGACTAAAATCAGGACTAAAACCAGGTCTAAACCAGGTCTGGGGGGAGGGTCTAGAGCAATATTGATTCAGCGCTCACAGTCTGAGCTTTTGTCCCAGTTCTGATCTGAATAAAACCATGTGGGTCAGTGAGTGTTTGTAAAGATGTGGTGCAGACGCCCTGCTCACACGCCGCTCTCTTTGTGTGTGCAGAGACGCTGATAAGCTCAATGTGTCCGTCTGCTCCACTCCGAAGAAACAGGCTCTGTTCAGTGTGGCCCTCCAAGCCTTCAGCTCCTCCTCCAGCTCCTCCTCCAGCTCCTCCAGCCGCTCCTCTGCGCCCGTCAGCACGTACCAGCTCATGCAGCCCTACCTTGGTACTACTCACAGCTCCACACTGTTCTGTATCTTAGCAACCACTTCAGAAAGGAAGTAAACCCTGTATGTCTGATTTCATTGTTTGTGGCCTGCAGGGGGAGCTAATGAGTCATATGTGAAGAGCCTGGTCAACTCTGATGTGAACATGGACGTGCCAACCTTCACCGCTCTGGACTCTAGCGTAGTGCAGGTGTGCTCCCATGATGCATTCTGCTCAACACAGACAGGAGAGGAGCAGTGTGTGTGTGTCTGAGTGTGCTCTCAGTGTGTGTGTGTGTGTGTGTGTGTCTGAGTGTGCTCTCAGTGTGTGTGTGTGTCTGAGTGTGAGTGTGCTCTCAGTGTGTGTGTGTCTGAGTGTGTCTGAGTGTGCTCTCAGTGTGTGTGTGTGTGTCTGAGTGTGTGTGCTCTCAGTGTGTGTGTGTCTGAGTGTGAGTGTGCTCTCAGTGTGTGTGTGTCTGAGTGTGCTCTCAGTGTGTGTGTGTGTGTCTGAGTGTGCTCTCAGTGTGTGTGTGTGTGTGTCTGAGTGTGAGTGTGCTCTCAGTGTGTGTGTGTCTGAGTGTGAGTGTGCTCTCAGTGTGTGTGTGTCTGAGTGTGAGTGTGCTCTCAGTGTGTGTGTGCCTGAGTGTGAGTGTGCTCTCAGTGTGTGTGTGTCTGAGTGTGAGTGTGCTCTCAGTGTGTGTGTGTCTGAGTGTGAGTGTGCTCTCAGTGTGTGTGTGTCTGAGTGTGAGTGTGCTCTCAGTGTGTGTGTGTCTGAGTGTGAGTGTGCTCTCAGTGTGTGTGTGTCTGAGTGTGAGTGTGCTCTCAGTGTGTGTGTGTCTGAGTGTGAGTGTGCTCTCAGTGTGTGTGTGTGTCTGAGTGTGAGTGTGCTCTCAGTGTGTGTGTGTCTGAGTGTGAGTGTGCTTTCACTCACATTAGTTTAAGAGCTTCAGTCTGTACTGATCCCTCAGGTCTGCTTCTGCCTCCTCATCCACTTTCACATGGTTCTGGGCTAAAGCCTCACAGTCCTGACAAAACGTGGCCTTATTGTTATTGTATTATTCACATCACATATCTATGTCTATACTTTTTAAATCAAATGTTGGTCAAATCCATAGAACAGATCCCAGATGAACTTCCTCAAGGACACCAGCACTTTCTCCTGTCCACACTGGTGTGCCACATGAGCTTTAGTTGTGTGTATAGAACCCTTCTAATGAGTGCACTTGTGTCCCTCAGAGCCTGAGTGTGAATAACGTCAGGAACCTCCTGGGGTCCAACCTGAACGAGCTCAAGTCCTACGAGAACACGAGCACAGTGCAGGACTGGATCAGAGTGCAGTACCAGTCTGACCTAAACACACTGGGCATCGGGCTAACAGGGGGCTTAAAATCCTCCCTCACAAACACCACCACCACCGCTGCTACAGGGGCCTCCACCACCACCGCTGCTCCAGGGTCCTCCACCACCACCGCTGCTCCAGGGTCCTCCACCACCACCGCTGGTCCAGGGGCCTCCACCACCACCGCTGGTCCAGGGGCCTCCACCACCACCGCTGGTCCAGGGGCCTCCACCACCACCGCTGGTCCAGGGGCCTCCACAACTCGCCCTGGGGCCACAGTGGCACCCTCTGCAGGCACCAGCACTACTCAGCCCTCCAACACAGTGTCTACCACAGGTCAGTGTCTTGCCCAACAGCACCACACCTCAGCCACTACAGTCACAGTGTAGACCAGGGGTGGGCAATTCTTTTGTCCATGGGGCCACATGAGAAACTGAAAATACTGTGGAGGCTAAAATGCGTAACACAATTCTGCACAATCTGAATTGTATTTCTTTATAAAAAGCAGTAAATATCAGTGTTCTGACGAGCTGCTCAGACTCGTGACACTTTATGTTATGACTGAGCAATGAAAAAGTGAGGCTGCCTTACAAAAAAGTCATTAAGAAAACACCTAAAATAAAAGCAGGGCAGCTTTCGTCCATGCATGAGGTCAAATGATAAAATATGTTTATTTTGTAATTCCAAATGAACATAAACAGGCCGGTCTGAGTCAAACAAACTGCCAGATGTGGCCCGGGAGCTGGGCAGTGCCCAGGTCTGCTGTAAACTGTTGTCCAGGGGCCACTGTGGCAGAGCACCTGTAAGGGTTCCATACAGACAACAGTTCAACTGGCAGGGGAGCAACCATTTATAAGAAAGTTATCTCAGTTAGATTTGAAATCATCACAGAGCAGTCTACTGTATCATGTATAAAGCTGGATATATTCAATAGAATTTTAATCAAAGAATTCATGCACAACATTCAATGGAAGAGCCGAGTGCAGCTGACCATGTTCATATACTGCTCTAGTCATCTGAATGATGTGTTTGTGTTGCCTCACAGCAGGTGGGTCCACAGCTGAAGTGATCTCATTCACAAGGACTAAATGTAGCTTTTAGTCTATTCCAGCTAAAACAAAGAGAATACACAAACACGAGACCAGAACAAAGAGCCGTCCAACTGTTTAGTGTCTTTTATTTATGTCCACTGAGCAGTGCAGTATTAAATACATTTGAATACACATCCACGTTCAAATTCTACATTGGTGACTATTCCATTTGTCTCCTGCAGCCAAACCAAGCCACGGCGTGTCCCTGAGCGCCCCCGGTGGACTGTGCCTGGTACTGCTCCTGCTCCTCTGCTCCTCTCAGCACATGTTCAGCTGAAGGACGTCTCAGAATTCATCTCAAATTGTACTAACTTTTACTATTGAATGTTTCTAAATCTGAACTCTGTAAAAAAATCGCTCTTATATTTATTATGACAGCAAACATTTTTTCACCTTTTGTATGAAATGAAGGATTTATTTAGAAGTATCGTGGGATTCTCATTCTGTATCACTGTAACCTATGTGCAATGATGTATATAATTGAACAGATCAAACACGTTTTTTGCACAAATTGTCTTAAATATAATTTTATTTTTGCATTTTTTTTTGCCTTTTTGGTTTACATGGCTGATTAGTCACTTCATGGATGTGCCTTATAACAGAACAAGTATAATAATAATAATAATAATAAATGTTTGGAGCTTTGAACCTTGCACTGCACTTTTCCACGTTTCGATGGTATCACAGGCTCCTTCACCATTACATTTGAATTCACATGCATCACATTTTCCTACAGATCATCTTTGTTAAAGCTCTACCTGCACAAGCCGTTTAGGAACTACATCTTATTCACCAAAAACATGTGTTACATGAACCACAAAATACTAAATAATCATGGAATATGCTGCTCATTTGTACACATTTATCACATTCACGTTATTTTGATGTTTTTGTCCAAAAGCATTTCAAAATCCAGTGTAAAGCAGAATACCACAGGCTGCCAATCTGAAGAGCACAAGTGACAGGCGCAGGAGGAACTCGCAGGTGTTCAGAGGAGGAACTCGCAGGTGTTCAGAGGATGGAGTCACAGGTGTTCACTGGAGGGACTCGCAGGCGTTCAGAAGAGGAACTCGCGGGTGTTCAGAGGAGGGACTCGCGGGTGTTCACAGGGGGGACTCGCGGGTGTTCAATGGAGGGACTCTCGGGTGTCCAGAGGGGGGATTCGAGGGTGTTCACTGGAGGGACTTGCAGGTGTTCAATGGAGGGACTCGCGGGTGTTCAATGGAGGGACTCGCGGGTGTTCAGAAGAGGGATACACAGGTGTTCAAAGGGGGGACTCGCAGGTGTTCAGAAGAGGGATACGCAGGTGTTCACTGGAGGGACTCGCGGGTGTTCACTGGAGGGACTTGCAGGTGTTCAGAGGGGGGATACGTGTGTGTTCACTGAAGGGACTCGCAGGTGTTCAGAGGAGGTACTCGCAGGTATTCAGAGGTGTTCACAGGAGGGACTTGCAGGTGGTCAGAGATGTTCAGAAGAGGAACTTGCAGGTGTTCACAGGAGGGAATCACAGGTGTTCAGAGGTGTTCACTGGAGGCACTCGCAGGTGTTCAGAGGTGTTCACTGGAGGCACTCGCAGGTGTTCAGAGGTGTTCACTGGAGGCACTCGCAGGTGTTCATTGGAGGCACTCGCAGGTGTTCAGAGGTGTTCACTGGAGGCACTCGCATGTGTTCAGAGGTGTTCACTGGAGGCACTCGCAGGTGTTCAGAGGTGTTCACTGGAGGGACTCGCAGGTGTTCATTGGAGGCACTCGCAGGTGTTCAGAGGTGTTCACTGGAGGCACTCGCAGGTGTTCAGAGGTGTTCACTGGAGGGACTCGCAGGTGTTCAGAGGTGTTCACTGGAGGCACTCGCAGGTGTTCAGAGGTGTTCACTGGAGGGATTCTCAGGCGTTCAGAAGAGGGATTCGCAGGTGTTCAGAGGTGTTTAGAGGCGCTTGTAGACCCCCAGCGGGCTCTTGCAGGTGGGACATGAGTGTTGGGCGTTCTTGAGGCGGTTCACACAGAAGGGAATGAGGCAGCAGCCCAGGACACAGCTGAGGAGCACACAGCAGCACGTTTCTACATGTCACATTCACTACACTCCATAACGACCTGGTTCTGATGATGCAGTTGAACAACAGGTGTATATGACAGGTGTATATGACAGGTGCCTAGTTTTTTCTATATTCTTTTAAACTTTTGGTCAGATTTATATTGTTACTTCCTGGTTGGACATGAGCAGCAGTGACTGATGTAGAGGTAATGCCATAACCGTTACCTAGCAACCATAATGTTGAAGAGGGGGTGCTTCCATGATTCACCACAAACAACACATTCAAATGTGTAATAATTTCACTTTAGTTTCTAATGTGTTGTTTTGTGTCATGCTTTTGTAAATTTATGGAGAATTGTCGTGTGGGAGCATGAGTGGTGTTAGGCTTGTGGGCGGAGTCTTGTACATAATCTTACATCTGACCATAAGGAGGGTTTAAATAGGGCGACATGTAGATGACATCGATAATCTCTGTTGAAGGAACATTATAACAGCAAAATGAAAAAAGCAATAATTAAATGTGCATAATAGTCCCTCTTTAACAAGGGCCAAATGACACAATAGTTAATATTAAACTAATAAAAATTAATTACAACACTTTTATTCTGAAGGTTTGAACTGCCCAAAAAAGTGACTTTGGATGGAGTTTTGTGTGTTGATGACGTAGGTGACAGAGGGGCTGCGTCTCATTTCTCTTTCCTCGTTTCCTTCTACTTGATTCCTCTTCTCAAGCCTCCATCAAATGTGTCAAAAAAAAAAAAAGTTAAGGAGTAAACTTGAGGGAGGCTTCAGAAGCAGACACCAGAGAAAAAAATAACTCAAACTTTATTGTTCTCAGTGAGGAGTTTAGATCCACTTTCTTCCTGTGTCTCCTCTGTGGGCGGGACTTCCTCACCCGTTTCCTGCAGAATCAAGGAGAGGAATCATGAGAAGGAAGCGAGGAAAGAGAAATGAGACGCAGCCAGGGATTCCTATGACTACTATTTTAAAACTCAGCACTACTTTCTGTATTTTTGTACTGTTCATTTTCCCCAAACTGTCACAGGATGTAAAACTACGATACATATTGAGCACAGGCGCGATCACCAAACCAGGTTGGAATTAGAAACACGAAAACCCGTCACATGCACTTTAAAGGTGAGCCAACTGTCTGACCCGCAGAGGAAGAGGCCTCCGCAGAAGAGGTAGGTGAGCAGGCCCGCGGTGTAGTCCACTTTAGACAGCACCACCTGCTGGCAGCGAGGGCACAGCAGCTGCACGGGGCCGTCAGAGGGGGGCGCTGTGGCCACTGAGGAGGACACGTAGGAGGTTAGCGTAGTCATCCACACATGTAACAAACATAACACAAGCAGACTCACCCACTGCCACCTGTGTGCTGCTGGCCATCGTGCCTACAAGCAAACACACCAAGTTAAGGGCGCGACTCTGCACACTAGATTTGTGTCGTATTTCCAAAGCTAAAACACTCTGTGGAGAACACTGCACAGGGACATTGTACACATGGATTTGGATTAGACATCTGCACACAGGCTTCAGAGCGGTGGCAGAGTCGTTTGCAGACTCACCCACAGCCACAAGGTCCAAGGTTCAATTCCCAGCACAAAAGTGTCTAATTGCAAGTTTCTGTGATTTGGTTCATTTTTAAAGACACATTATGCAGGTTGAGGATCCATGTGCTTTTCCTCATGGATATAAAACTGCCTTAAATGGAATGTTCCACAATATGGCATTAATATGCATTTATAGATGCATCAAGAATCTTGGACTTCTAGTTATTGCACATTTCATACTGGGAAGGATTTTCCAAAAAAGTGAACATCAAAACTCCATGTTTGTTTTCCCAGTGGGATGTGTCTATTGACAAAGTCGATCTTTTCAAGTCTTTTGAATCATATTGCTTTTGTTTCTGGTTCTGATGTTGTCATATTTTAGTTTTGGGATTCGGACATCATTGCGTGGCTGTTGAATGTCCTAACAGCGGAAAACGGCTCGAGAACTTTGTTTGCGAAGTAAGTAAGTAAGTCTTTATTTATATAGTGCATTTCACAGACATTTTTGTCACAAAGACACTTTACAGAGCATTACATTCAGCATTATTCATTCACTCTATACCTGGTGGTGGTAAACTACTGTTTTGTCTGCCCTGGGGCAGACTGACAAAAGCGCAGCTGCCATTCCAATCGGCGCCAACGGTCCCTCCGACCACCATCATCTCACACACACGCACACACACACACACACACACACACACACACACACACACACACACACACACACACACACACACACACACACACACACACACACACACACACACACACACACACACACACACCTGTCGTCCCAGGGCAGGTTCATTGATTGTATTTAACTGACCTTGACGATCAACTGTTCTTGGAGACCTGTAGCATGTTTGGGTTGAACTCCATAAATGCAAAAGGGAATCAGATCTGTGCGACTGCAAACCTCAAACATTCTGTATGTGGAGCGCCAACAAAGCAGAATCCCGATCCCTCACTCGGCCTCGGTTACGCCAAAGCAAAAGGCACCAACTGTTCACCAAGAAACTACTGCAACTGCAAAGCGAGCCGTTTTCAGCTGTTAGGATCCAACAACCACACAGTTATGATGTCTGAATCCCAAAACTAAAATATGACAATATCAGAACCAGAAACAAAAGTGATATGGTTCAAAAGACTTGAAAAGATCGACTTTGTCAATAGACACATCCCACTGGGAAACAAACATGGAGGTTTGATGCTCACTCACTGAGAGATCCAGTATGAAACTTAAAGTGGCATGTCACCTGCATGATTCCATAGAAATAGAAATTTAGGAGCGAGACACTTCATACTAGATTTGTGTGGTATTTTCAAAGCTCATTACACTGATCTCTCGCAGCAAACACCTCTGCACCTACAGGTTTTACTCTTCAAACCAATCACACACACACACAGCCCAGAAGACACTTAATCAGCACATGGGATTATTTTGTACAGTATCAGAGGGATGTGAGCATCAAATCAGATACAAATCAATACTAAAAGTAGATACTCATTTGATTTGGTATCGATACTAAAGTCCCATTGACAGGAAAGAGCAGAACCTTTCCTGAATGTCTTTATCTTGAGCTGTATCAGAACAAATATAAGAGCACATAGACTAGTACACACACGGACATTATGAACCTATTGCACCACTGAGTTACAAACACAAGACAAGTTATTCTCCACAAGAAATAGCAGCTTATTGTTACACAGTCACAACTGAATCTAAAGAAAAAGTCTTATCCTTGTACACTACAGGAGAATGTGTTTAGCATTTTGAAGAAAAAAACATTCAAACTATTGAAATTCTGAACTTTAGAGCTGCAGTGTTTGATACTTACAGAGATGTGGAGTGTTCAGGTCAGCAAACTGTGTCTCAGGGCTCACCTCTCCCAGCTTCCTCTTCACTCTGTAGTCTTTCTCCTCCCTCTCTCCTTCGTATCCTCCCTCTCTCCTCCCTCCTAGTTTACTTGCACCCTCTTCTCTTTCCTCATCTCCTCACCTCCTTGCTCGCCTCCTCACCTAATTTCTCTCCCCGTTCCTTGTTTCCACACTCTTCTTCCTTCCTTCCTCGTCTCGTCTCGTCTCCTCCTCTGAGCCGTCCCATGAGCCCATGTCTAAACCCTGAGAAAAACAGCCGAACTTTTAATGCAAATGGTTCATTCTACACATTAGTTTGCGCTGGAATTATCTAGTTCTTTATGAACATTCTGACACTTTACAGAGCATCATTCATTCTCTCCACACTCATGGTGCTGGTGAACTACTACTGTAGCCACAGCTGCCCTGCTGAGCAAGACCAGGCCCAGTCTGCTCAGCGTCAGAGATGTGAGAGATCAGACTTTGAGCAGGAGCTATGGACACAATCAAAGGGCTTCTATTACTCTCTTGCCTGATCTTCGTTAAGGCAGCTGTTAACTTTTAGCATTTTGAGCTTTGGAGACTAATAATGCAGGATAACTCCATGCGGTGTATGTCTTGATGAGGTAAGAGACCAGGTCGTCTTCACACTGAATGTATAAAGGTGGTTTGCATGTTCCTCCTGGTGAGTTTCCTCTGGGCACTCTGGTGTCCCTCATCAACCCAAAACATGTACTTCAGGTCAAACCCTCCAGCTGAGGCACGGGGGCTGAGTGGTCTCCAGGAAGAACAGCTGAAAGCTCAGGTCAATTAAATACGATTAGTCAATGATCGGAGACGACAGGTGGAAATGAGCACTGATGCTCCAACCTGCTACAAACACCTCTTCTGTTAAAGTTCATGTAGATTGTTCTCTGTCCTTGTCTCATTAAATAAATACACTAACTAAAAAAAGCAGTCCTGACCAAGACGAGCTCCTGAGCTGGAGATGGGTCCCTCCTGATGACACCCCCCTGTGCCACTGAAGGATGAGTCAAACGCAGAGCACAAAATTCTCTACTAGCACAATAAAGTGGACCTTAACATTAACCAAACTGTAAAGTGGTGATTCAGCTTTTCCTCCAGATGCCCTCCCAGTGTTCCTGGTCGTTGGATCTGTAGTCTTTATGTGTGACCTTATTTGTTTGAGATGAAAGTCTTAGGCAACGACGCAAAAAGAAATCCACCATCTCCTCTTAAAGTGTCATGTGAATCCAAGTGTTTGTGTTGAGATCTGAGTGACAAACATCCGTACAAACTGCACTGGCTCATTCTCCAGTCAAAACATAAAACACACACATGTATGTTTTCAGGTGGGCACTCTGCCCCCTGCTGCCTCCAGAGAGATTAGGGACGCACCAATACTGGTACTGGTTACATACAGTATCAATATCAGTATTGGAGGTGAAAAAGTGGTGTAGTGTGTCTGTGTGTTATGATTTTGCAGAATGTTTCATCAGAATTTGTTCACGGCAAGAACGCATGTTTCCATGCTATTTTTCTAGCAACAAAATCATAAAGATAAGACATTCCAAGCAGTGCAAAAACATCTCCATGGAGACGAGCAGGTGGCATGAGAAAAGTGACATAGTGCATTTTTCTATCATGAATGGCAAGATGTTCTATTATGGTTTGTTTGCAGTTTCCATGTGAAGTGTGAATGTGGCGTGTGAGAATGAGCAGAGTGTGAGTGGACGTACCAGAGTCTGGACATAAACAGCTCCCACACTTTAAATGGATGCACATGCTTCTGCATCTCCCGTAATACGATTAGTCCCTGAATGCAGCGCGGTCACCTGCTCCCAATCGCACACACTGACTCTCTGTGGAGAACACTGCACAGGGACATTGTACACACTCATTTGGATCTGACATCTACGCACAGGTTTCAGAGACAGAGACAGACTGGCAGAGTTGTTAGCAGACTCACCTCACACCCTCAAGGTACAGGGTTCAATTCCTGTAGGATCAAACAATTCTGGAAAGTGTCTAATAGTAATATTTCTAACATGACAACTGTGATTTGGTTCATTTTTTAAAGACACATTATGCAGCTTGAGGGTTTGCCCTGTGCTTTTCCTCATGGATATAAAAACTGCCATAAATGGAATGTTCCACAGTATGGCATTAAACAGATCTTGCATTTATTCCGTTAGGTTTTTATGCTGAGAGGTTCAGTATGAAACCTGGAGGTGACACGTCACCTGCATGATTCCATAGAAATAGAACTTAAAAACCAAACTTCATAAAAATACACATTTTAGGCTCTACATTCTAGCCAAAAACATTTCCATGGAAACAAGCAGCAGTTCAGGTCTGTGGAAATGCAAATGTCACAGTAAGTTTTGTGTTTTTCAGTGCAGTAAACACACTTTTACTTCAGTCTATTTCTTTACTGAAAACAGACTGTAGTTTTAAAGAGGACTCTTTGACTTCTCTGGAATATTAACTGTAACACATCACATGTCTACATCACCATGTGACACTGGATTGTTTTAAAAATACTATTTTCACACATTTTTTAAATTTTGCTTTCTTTTTTGATACTCATTTTGACAAGTCAAAAGTCACTCCCCCTTCAGAGCATCATATTGCAGTTGCTGTGCTAATGAAACTACTGCACATTGCTTCAGGTTTGTGAAGCTGTAGTGTTTTGTTCTGTATCGTGCTTGTAGATTTATGGAAAGTTTTTGTGTTGGAGCATGGGTGACTTAGGCTTGTGGGAGCATTTGACAGGAGGAGGGTTTGAATAGGACCCAGAAGAGATCGCAGAAGAGATCGCTGGATTAAGCAAACATGCATAAATGACATCTAAAACCTCTTCAGGCATGATCTTGTTGTGGTAACAACACACACACCACACACACACACACACACAACCTGCAACTTCACCTGTGGAACATTCCCATCAAAGCAGAAACAAAGACAAGCATGTGGCAGATCCTCCACCAGAAATGTTACATAGAGCAGCTTTAAATTCCAGTCTTTGCGACGTGCTCATGACAACCATTCAAACTGCGATTTCTGGAGGACAGATTTCACTACAGGGACAAAGTGAACAAAGATCTTTTTTAATCAGTATAAATGTTTCACTTGTAAACAGTTCGCAGCATTTACAAAACCTGAAGACTTCAAAATCAAAATGGTTTATAACTTCACAAGTCTCGCAAAAATAGATTCTTTTTTTCTTTTTGCATTTCAAAATTAAGTGTTCTTTGTTTAATTAAATAGTTGAACAGCCCTGCTCCGGTCTGCTCTGGGAGCGTTTCAACAGCACTGGAAAGCCCGCAGTCTCAGGAGGACAGTGAACGCACCGTGCACTGGAAGCATAGTCTTGGTCATTTGGCACAGAATTCGTCTGAAATCAACACAAACATGTAACTTGGGTTTTGCGCGCTGGGACCTGGTTTAGAGTTGGTTTAGTACTGAATGAGTCCAAGGTTAGTCCTGGATTAGACCCAGTTTAGTGCTAGTTTGGATTTACGCTAGTGCTGATTTTGACCTGGCTGGGAGCGTTTTAGTGGAGGTTTAGTCCCGTTTTACTCCGGCCCTCCAAAGATGATGTCCAACTTAAATTTAAAGGTCCTATATTGCAAAGAATTGCCTTTACTTTACATCTCCAAAGCTCAGAATGCTCTGTTCCACCTTGTGATGTTATGATGCAGTAGTTTTCAAATGAACAACTACTTTTACCTTTAGTTCAGTACAGATGAGAAATCCCAGAGCTCAAATCATCCAACTGATTCTAGTGAAGGCATTTGGAGTTTAAAAACACAGAGGAGCACTTCCTGTATGACATCACAAGGTGGAACAGAGTGTTTTCTGTTTGAGAGAAAAAGCCTGAATCTGCAGGGTTTGTGTGTTAAACATGTGTGAATGAATCAAAACAGAGGAGAGAGTGTAATATGGGACCTTTAAAGTGCACGCACATTAGACTCATTTCATATTTTAATCTTAGTTTTATTCTGAGGAGACAATAAACTAGTGTAGTTCATTGATTTGATGTAGTGGTGTCATCCTTAAGTGTTTTGGGTTTTTTCACAATTTCATACTTAATATTTTTAACTCCCCCAGAATTGGCTTCTCATAAGCTTTGGCTCATTCTGGTTCGTTTAGGTAAGTTGTTGAACTTTCCAGATGACCTTGTATTTAAGTGTCAGACCAAATGATCTTGGTAGAAAAGGTAGCGTGACCAAGTTGGAGCAGGAGAAGTGGGCTGGACTCTGAGCGTGGCCTGGTCACCGTCTCTGAAGACTGATTTGAAATGCAGACATGAGAGACATAAAAATAAATAAATAAAAATCAGGTAAGAAAAATGACAGATTCCTGTTGAATAATTGTGCATCTTGCGTTTGGAGATGGAGGTAGACATCTTGGATGACTACAGGCCAGAACAGAGCTGCTCCAGGACCTACACACAGAGAGCAGCCTCTAGTGGTGAAGAGTGGAACTGACTGGACCACACAGACTGGAATGAGCTTCCAAAGAGGGCTGGAGATCTGGAAATGTGACATGACTTAATGGTGGCTGCAGGTGATCTCTGTAGGTCAGTGCTTCTGTTTGAGCAGAACAACAAACTCAGACTTCTCCTACTCAAACTCGCTCCACTCAGAGAGGAATATATCAAGTCAAATCAAATTTCAAATACAGGTCAAACAAAGAGTCAATTTTGCTGATTTTATGCATAAAATATAATTATCCATTCCAAAAGGGAATCAGTGAGGGTGCTCCTTCAGACAGCAGGAGACTAGGTCAGACTGAGTCAGACTGGGTCAGACTGGGTCAGAGCTCTGAGTTCTTTCAGTCTGAGTTTGAACAAACCTGCTTTTTAAAAATGAAGCTCCTACAGCAGAGCTCCAGGCTTCATCTCCCTGGTTCCTATTCACTCCTCGTCATCACAGTCTAATAGAACCAGTGCTAGGAGGTCACAAGTGCACGCTTCTGTTCAGAGTGCCTGTTCTCTGTGTGGTCCTGCTCCTCCCCCTGGCCTGAGAGCTCCTCCCCCTGGCCTGAGAGCTCCTCCCCCTGGCCTGAGAGCTCCTCCCCCTGGCCTGAGAGCTCCTCCCCCTCTGCGTGCTGCTCCTCAGTGGTGTCCCTGAGCAGCGTGAGGAGCAGTCTGAGCAGAGTGTTGTGGTGCAGTAGAGTGTGTGAGGTGCGTGTGAGCTGGTGCAGTCTGTGGACGGCCTGGCTCAGCTGCTGGCTCTTGTGGCGGTGCTGCTGCTCCAGACTGCGGCGCTCCTGCTGGAGCTCGTGGTTGTGGGTCTGCAGAGCGCGGGTGTCCTGGCTCAGTCTGTGGTGCTCTCTCCAGAGGTGGGCCAGCTGCTGGGACAGGCGCTCACAGGCCCTGTGCAGCTGTCCCACCTCCTCCTGTAGGGCCTGCACCTGGGCCCGGAGCAGAGGGCCGGGGACCCCCTCTCCTCCAGGGGCCCTATGGGGGGCCCGAACAGAGTCTGAGTGCTGCAGGACGAAGCGCAGCAGGTTGGGCAGAGTGAGGGGCTGCTCCTCTGGGAACTTAACGCTCTGATGCTTCCTGAGAGAAGAATAAGAGAGTCAAGACTTGTCTGAAGAGGGCGCAAGGTGTGTGTGCACTGGTTAACTCTGGCTCATTCTTAAGATTTACTGGTCGCTTGTACAAATCACAATTTTCCTTTATTACATGGTTTACATTCTCAGCAGTTGTTTAATCAGAAATGACATTCAAAAGAACTAACCTGAAAAGACAAGACAGGTTCCCAAATTGACAAAAAGTAGTGCTTCAGTTTAGCCCTGATATTTTCAGTTTGAAGTTAAACACTAGTGCTGTGTTTGGACACTGGCACTGAGGATTTTTACATTCTGAGGTCTCAGGTCTGTGCTCTGTGGTCGGGGGGGTCGGTGGTCGGGTGGTCTGTGGTCGGGTGGTCTGTGGTCGGGGGTCTGTGGTCGGGGGTCTGTGGTCCGGGGGTGTGGTCGGGGGGTCTGTGGTCGGGGGTCTGGGTCGTCTGTGGTCGGGGTGTCTGTGGTCGGGGTGTCTGTGGTCGGGGTGTCTGTGGTCGGGGTCTGTGGTCGGTCGGGGGGTCTGTGGTCGGGGGGTCTGTGGTCGGGGGTCTGTGGTCGGGGGTGTGGTCGGGGTCGGGTCTGTGGTCGGGTCTGGGTCGGGTGTCTGTGGTCGGTGGGTCTGTGGGTCGGGGTGTCTGTGGTCGGGGGTCTGGTCGGGTGTCGGGTCGGGTGTCTGTGGTCGGGTCTGTGGTCGGGGGGTCTGTGGTCGGGGGGTCTGTGGTCGGGGGTCTGTGGTCGGGGGTGTCTGTGGTCGGGGGTCTGTGGTCGGGGTGTCGGGTGTCTGTGGGGGGTGTCTGTGGTCGGGGGTGTCTGTGTCGGTCGGGGGTTGTGGTCGGGGGGTCTGTGGTCGGGGGGTCGGTCGGGTCGGGTGGTCGGGGTCGTGGTCGGGGTGTCTGTGTCGGGGTGTCTGGGTCGGGTGTCTGTGGTCGGTCTCTGTGGTCGGGGGTCGGGTGTCTGTGGGGTGTCTGGTCGGGGGGTCTGTGGTCGGGTGGTCTGTGTGTCGGTGTCTGGTCGGGTGGTCTGTGGTCGGGTGGTCTGTGGTCGCGTGGTCTGTGGTCCGGTGGTCTGTGGTCCGGTGGTCTGTGGTCCGGTGGTCTGTGGTCCGGTGTCTGTGGTCCGACCTGTATCTGGGGTAGAGCAGGACACTGGGCACTCGGTCCGTCATGAACTCCCAGGGCAGGTCGTTGAGAGCGACGTTCACCCTGACACACACAGAGCGCACGTGTCACATGTCTTATGAGGACATTTCATTCATCTCCTGGAGACCGAGCCGAACCTGAACCATAGTCACTACTAACTAAACTAAACTTAACCAAAACCCAAACTTTCAAGCCAAGGCAAATATATTTGTGTAGCACATTTAAATACAGCAATTGCAGAACATAGAGCAGTTTAAAGCCCAATACACAAAATTAAAGAATAAAGAATACAACCTTAACCTATTTGAACCCAGAGTGAGAACTTTAAACCCCGTTGTTGAGAAATACAGAATTCACGTCATGTGGCCCTGATGTTTGTCCCCAAACTCAAACTAAGGCAGTACTCCTGTTGTACTCAGACTAAGGCAGTAGAAGTACATGGGTCCGGTCAAGCGGTAACAGAGGGAAACGGGCAGATTTTTACCTCTGCCAAGGAGGTTATGTTTTTGCCGGCGTTTGTCTGTCTGTTTGTTTGTTTGTTTGTTTGTTTGTTTGTCTGTCTGTTAGCAACATAACTCAAAAAGTTATGGACCGATTTTGATGAAATTTTCAGGATTTGTTGGAAATGTGAAAAGGAAGAACTGATTTCATTTTGGGGGTGATCCGGAAGAAATCCTGGATTCTGGATCACTTTGAAATTTTTGTTAACATTGTGGTAAATGGGGCCAAAAATTTTGTTTCTCAATATGTTGGTTAATTATTGACCAAACCCCATGAAATTTGACTCAGGGATGGACAATGGGATCCTCTTTCATATTCCAAAGGCTGATCCGGATCTGATCCAGAAGACAGATTTTATCGCAATTTATATAAAAAATGGGGGTAGTCCTTGGTGGAGGTCTGCGCTCTCTGAGTGCTTTTCTAGTTTACATTCAAATAGCTCTTATTCAGAATGTAGGAAAGAGTTAACTCTCCAACAGGGTAAAGTTAAACCTGTGATATTCTTTCAAGTTGTTGATAAAAAAAAAAAAAACTCATGTCGGTAACAGAGGGAATGAAATATGCTGCACTTTTTGGGCAATAAATCCAAACAGTGATAACTCTTGGTTCTCACTTACATATCCTTAACAAACTGGTTTGAATATTTGCTTCATATAGTTTTCTACCATATGGTACAAGATTAGGTTGAAAAACCTCTATCATTTTAAATACATAAAAAAAAAAAAATCATGTACATTCATCCACAGTTCAAAGATGGAATAACACAAGATATGATGAAATACATCCATTTATTTACATGATTTGCAGGTCTTTGAAATTTGGGAAATAATTTTTGTTCCATGTTTCATACATGGTCTGTTTAAAACGGATGGAACTTTAGAACCAAAAATGGTATAGAAAAAAGGTCAACAGTTTCATAAACTAGAGTTTATTTTTTATATCAGATGCATTAACTTGAATTTTTGGCCTTGCTGTTTACTTCTGCTTGACTGGGCTCACATGTAGCAGTAGGTGAGTGCAGTAGCGTACCTGGCCACAGTGAGGGCGCTGTGGGGCTGCAGCAGGCGAGCCAGTTGGATGAAGATGTGGTGGAGCATCGTGCAGAAGCCACACCACTGAGTGTAGTAGAGCAGCAGCACGTCCTGCAACACAGCAGCACACCGGGGTTAGTCCTGATTCAGACCGCTTTAGTCCTAATGACTTTACACTTGTATTGGCCTCGTTCAGGTTTTGTCCCAGGTTCAGTCTCAATAAATGATCCACAGGGGAAATGGAAGAAGCTCCAATGCCCAGGAAAAAAAAAAGTACTGTACAAATACACACAACTACAGACAGAGCACGAGTCAGGGAGGAGCAACTGAAACATGCACTTCACTATAAAGACTCTCTGCTCCTTAAAGCCCCATTGTGGAATTTCAGCTAAGAAATCTGCTTGTTTCTATGGAGATCCTATTTGCCTGGAATGTTCCACAGTACGGAATCAAACTTAACTTTCCATCTCCATGAATTCATGCAGGTGGTGTGCCCACAACCAGAAATGTTACATAGTGCTGCTTTACATTCATTTACAAAACATTTGAAATGGTTTCCGGTCATTCTGTTCATTAACTAAAAACATGATCCAGCTCAGTGTCTCTCAACCTGGATAATCCAAGACACACACACACACACACACACACACACACACACACACACACACACACACACACACACACACACACAGACACACACACACACACACAGACACACACACACACACACACACGACACAGACACACACACACACACACACACACACACACACACAGACGACACACACACACACACACACACACACACACACACACACACACAGACACACACACACACACACACACACACACACACACACACACACACACACACACACACACACACACATAGACACACACACACACAGACACACACACAGACACACACACACACACACATAGACACACACACACACAGACACACACATACACACACACACAGAGACACACACAGACACACAGACACACACACACAGAGACACACACACACACAGACACACACACACAGACACACACACACACACACACACACAGACAAACACACACACAGACAAACACACACACACAGACAAACACACACACAGACACACACACAGACACACACACACACACACACAGAGACACACACACACACAGAGACACACACACACACAGAAAAACACACAGACACACACAGAGACACACACACACACACAGACACACACACACACACACAGACACACACACACACACACACACACACACACACACACACACAGACACACACACAGACACACACACAGACACACACAGAGACACACACACACACACACACACACACACAGACAAACACACACACACAGACAAACACACACACAGACACACACACACAGACACACACACACACACACAGACAGTGCTGTAGCTGCCACAGCTCCAGAGCAGGTACCTGGTGCACGTCCAGCACCGTGTGGCTGAAGGAAGAGCTGGTGACCTCTGTGATCAGGGCTGGAGGAGGAGAGCGGCTCTGCTCCTGTCCCACCAGGTGTCTGTGCAGTCTGCTGTAGGGGGCGCTGAAGTTCATGATGAAGCCCTCTGCAACACAACACAGAGGACATCACGACATGTGCCGCGACCACAGTCACAGATGGATCAGGCAGAGGAACTCGAGGTAATATGAGCCTGAGACAGTGTTCACGTAACAGCACTCCTCCGCAGCAGACATCATGGACTTTTGAATAGGAAAATTGATGCAAAAAGACACAGAGCTCTGAACTCCAACACACAAATGGTACGAGGTGGAACAAGAAATTAAAGACAAGTCCATGTGAGGGATTAGCTAGAGTGTTTTTGTGTGAGGTCCCAGGATCCACGCCATGAGGGAGACCCTTATGTCCCTCACAGGACCCCCATGGAGAATAATACTACATATAGAATGTTTGGACACTCAAAGACATTTTAAGGTGCAGAATTTATTCACTCAACACTGGTGGTAAACATCATTTCAGTAGCCACAGCTGCCCTGGGGCAGGCTGATGGAAGTGAGACTGCCACTCTGCGACATCACCCTCTCTAACCACCACCGACACTTAAACACACAACACTCATACTAGTCAGTTTGGATGAAGTGTTTTGCCTAAAGACACAAGGACAGATGAGTGTGATGGTGTCGTACCCAGGTCCTGTGTGAGGGTGGCTCGGTGAAGGGGCTGGAGAACATAGTGCACCTCGTCCTTCAGGTCGACAATGGCAGCGAATGAGTGCTCAGGGGCCCCGAGCTCCTGAGGCTCCTGAGGCTCTACACTGCTCCTGTTGTGTGGGGCCCCCAGCCTTACTGCCAGAGGCCAGTTGAGCTCTGCATCCAGCAGGTAGAAGTGCAAGGTCTTATTGGTGAGACAGTGCAGGCCGGTGACACCCATAGCTCCAGTGACACCCACAGATCCAGGGCCAGGGGTGGGAGGGGCCTGTTTTTGTGAAGGGTCCTCTTTGGCAGGAGGGGTCCCTGGGGCTAGGTCCCTGAGGGGTAGGGTCCGGCAGCAGGCCCTGTACTGTCCCAGGGCACTGTAGTCTGTCAGGAAGCAGCTGCAGGACACAGGAGATGGGGGGTGGAGGCAGCAGTGAAGCAGGGCTGAGGGGCCCACAGAGGGGAGAGGGCAGCCTGAAGAGGCTCCGGGGCCCGTCCCATCCAGGCACAGCTCACACACTGCAGTGGACTGAGGCACAGGTACAGAGTGGCAGCAGGCAGCGCCTCTGCTGGGACAGGAGTGGTACCGCACTGCCAAGTCTTCAACCTGAAGAAGAGAAACCATTCACTGTAACACAGAAGTGCTCCATGAGCAAGCACCAAGAACAAGTCCACAGAGCTCGACTTAAGACCCTGTGTCCAATTTTGTATGCATGTATGTGCACCCAAATTGTATAAGCAGTTCTTGAGGTCAAAGGAAGTGTGCTGTGTACTGTTTTATTATCTGAGAATCAGAAGTTCATTTTTTCCCGTGTAAGACTGTGGTACAGCACACAGTAGAACTGTAGCATATGGAGGGACTATAGAGAAGTCCCTCCTCTCCCCTATAGAGTGCCCCCTACAGGGGAGAGGAGGGACTGCAGCTCTGACCTGCTGTTGCAGAGCACTAGGCTGAGGGCCCAGAGGGTCATGAGGAAGGAACAGGAGCAGGGCAGGCCCTTTGAGAAGCTCCCTCTCCAGGAGGCGGGACTTGGTGCCAGGTGGCTGCAGCCATTGGAGGACGCTCTCGTAGTGTTGAAAGACCCAGCTGCAGATGGCCTCAGAGGTGAAGTTGAGCTGAGCCCGAGGAAAAACCTGCCACACACAGAAACATGACTGCATGTGAAACGAGACATCTGAGCTGTGTCATGTGCGCCTCTGTAGACCATCCACACTGTGCATGACATCAAACATGTATCTCCACATGTGCTGCAAATGCCACAGCAGTATGCCATCAACTCTCAACTATTTACACAAGGAAGGATTTTTTTTTTCTGACAGTCTTCATTGATTTAACTACATAAAGACAGGGTCATTTTTCTTTGTCAAAATCATAGTTAGATTTTGGCCTGGGGTCGTGGTTGCTAGGTAACATACCTCTATGCACACCATACATAATGATGAAGATATTAAGTAAAATAAAATCATGTTAACTATGTTTAAGTCAATGAAGTTTAACATGTCCTGTATTCTTTAAAAAGAGGAAGAATACTTTTTTCTGGAATGAGCAATAATATGTGTGCATCATCCTTTTGTACAGTGCTCATTTTGAAGTGGAATACTGATCATAAAGTGTGTCTTAAAATGTGTCTTAAAGTGTGTCTTAAAGTAGTTATGGGCCTGTGTGCCTCACCAGTGAGGAGTTGAACCTTCTGTGGAGGTAGACGCTGCCCTCCTCTGGCAGTGGGAGGCTCTGGGCCACGTGTCTGCTGGTCACCACGCCAAAGCGCACAGCCCCACGGAAATCTGACACACACCACACACAACAGTAACTCCTATAGTCCATTATTAAAAGTATCAAAACTTAGACACTAATCAATACTAAAACTCGCCAGGACACAAATGAACCTTTCCTGAATAGCTTTAGAATGATGTTGAGCAGTATGAGAACAAGTAGAAGAGCACAGAGACTAGTATACACACGGACACTATCAACCTACTGGACCACTGAGAGATCACACACATAAGACACATGGGAATAGAAAAGTACTACCATTTAATGATGAAATCACATTCTATTGTCTAAAGAAAGAGGTTTTTCACCATCATTGTTGTATCAGAATTGGTATGGAGCATTGAGTCTATTCTTTAATATTGAAATTGAGTTTAAATGTTAATATCTTAACAACACTAGATTGTGATAGGACTTCAAGGTACTTATCTGTCTGTGTGTGTTTTTGTCCTATTCCTTTCATTTTTTTAAATTTTGTTTTATGGATGTGTGTCTAGTATCAAAGGTGAGTGTGAGCTGGTTTGCCATAGACATAGAAATAAAAAATAAAACAGTGTTGTCTCACCCCTGCGGAGGGCGTGCAGGGCAGAGAGCACGTAGGTCAGGTACCCTGGTGGCTGTGGAGACGAGTGAAACTGGAAGAAGCCCACCACCCGAGGCTGTGGACACAGTACAGATTTTACACACACATGCGCACACACACACACGTCCAGGTCAGGAGGACCAGCCTACCTCGTGATAAGAAAGGAAGTCCCTGAGCACAGCCTCTGAGGGTAGGTATGTGAATGGACTCAGGACTCTAAGGACAAAGCTCTCCACGTACGGGGCTACAAACGGACCCTTGTACTCGATCGGCCCAAATCTGGAACAAAATATTAGCATCATCTGTGCTGAGAGTAGCCTTTATAAAATAATGTGGTATTCACCTATGGAAGGAGTAAGACAGTTTGACTGTCAGTTTGGCATCGTTCAGTGCTACAGGTCACCCTGTCAGTTTACACTTCCACACACTGGTTATGCTCTGTGTGGAGTTTTTTTTTTTTTTTGCTTTCCTCCCACTGACCCAAAATATGCTCAATAAGCAAGATGTCCAGCCAGACACTCCTGACCAAGATTAGCTCATGATCTTCTGATGGGTCTCCAGATTAAGGATGGACATGTAAATAGATCTCAAACCTAACCACAGTGCTCCAGGGAAGACCCACCTCCTGTAGAAGAGCTGGATGCTGGGGTACTGGTACAAGCGCTTCTGTTTACGACAGCGACCATGGCTCCACCAGCAGTTCACCGCCACAAACTGCACCTGCACAGGGCGATGGGGAGGTGAGCTGGCTCACATCAGCCAGGGCACACAGAGGGCACACAGAGGGCACACAGAGGGCACACAGATGGGCACACAGATGGGGACACAGATGGGGACACAGATGGGGACACAGAGGGGACACAGAGGGCACACAGATGGGCACACAGAGGGCACACAGAGGGCACACAGAGGGCACACAGAGGGCACACAGAGGGCACAGAGGGCACTCAGAGGGCACTCAGAGGGCACTCAGAGGGTTTTATGTGACGGTCCTACCTGCTTGGCTAGCTTGTGTGCCACCAGCTGCAGCTCGTGACGTGCGGCCATGGAGTGGGCACACCAAGGGGCATACAGGAAGAGCAGAGACACGTCTGCCACACTCCTCAGACGCTCCACCTGAGGCACAGAACAAGAGTGCACGCACACACATGCACACACACCCACATACACACATGCACACACACCCACATACACACACACACACACACAAACAAGCACACCCACACACACACTACTAGGGTGAGTAGAAGGTCAGATCAGCTTTAGCTTTGAAACATATTTACAATAAAGACCATGTAATGGAGCTCAACAGTTCCACCTGCTCCTGTCCTGGGTTCATTTTGCATTCATTTTTCTTGTAGACTTTTCCAAAAATAATAATATTAAAAGACACTGCAGAGGCTAACCAACTATGTTAAAACTAATATTCAGAACACAGTTGTTTAAATCCAAAAAGCTCATTAAAAAGACAAGACTTTGTGAAATATTTTAATAACTTAGCAGTAAATAAAGTTTCAGAAACAAAACATGTAGATAATTAGCCCTGAGCAAGCTTTCAGACTTGATTTATTTATTTATTTTTTGGAAAGTCTATGGGAAAAATGACTGAGAAATGAGAAATCTGAGCAGGTGGTTGCTGTCGAGCTCCATATGCAAATGCCCATTATAAATGCATTATATTACTGTAAATGACTACATCAGTCTATATTACTGTAATACTTCATCATTGGAAACTAAATGAAGAAGGTCATATTTCAGACACATACTGTGTTAAGTTAAATATGTCTAACTTTATTATCTACATCCATTAACTTAGTCAAGTATTTTTACTGCCAGGACAATTCAGCAGTCTTTACCCGTGACAGGTCCAAGTGTACTTCTAATATGGACTGTTGTACTTACTGTATACGAGTGACAGGTTAGTGAGTCTCACCTGATCGATCTGTCCCAGGTACAGATCCACCACAGGGGCCTCAGAGGAGAAGAAGCGCACTGGGGGCCGGGCCGGGGCCACCACGTTCTTAGCTCGGCTGCAACCACAGACAGCACACACATTAGCAGTGTACTTGAGGGTTTCCTACACACTACCGGTCAAAAGTTTGAGAACACCACACTTTTTCCACACCAAAACATATTCTAAACTTTTAATTGATGTGTGTGTCCATCTTTGACAGATATAACAGCTCAACACACTCGTGACTTGTTCTTTCTACAAAAGAAATCAAATATTCTTCAGAAAGTTCTTCCCAAGTCTGTTGCAGAAGTTCTATAAATGTGTGGCACTTGTTCTTTTTCCTGAGGTAGTTTTGGCAGAGCTTGGACTTGTGTTTTGTATCTTTTATCTTTTTTTTAACCTCTGTCTGTTCACTTCTTACCTTTGTACCATTTCAAGCTCTTCATTGGACTTGCACGACCTTAGTTGCAATAAATAACTGGAAAAATGAGGGTGTTCTAAAACTTTTGACCGGTAGTGTAGATTTGACGATCACTCAAATCTATAGGAATTTAATCTTCAGTTTGTGGAGTATAAATGTCATTTAGGGTCTAGTTTAATCTTTCGACAGTGATTTTTGAGCAGTGTCCTCGTTTTAGAAGATCATGATAAGTTAACAATAATGAGCAACAAAGTCTAATTATGTTATGCGAATATATAGTCCAGGTATTTTAGACTATTATACTTTACTGTTATTCTACATAAAAGCTGCTAACCCTGTAGTTTAGATCTGCACCAACATGTTCTGAAATGTGTTTCTTGTATTAGTTTGCCAGGTCAGATTTCAGTCTTTCAATTCTCCTGGATGTGTTTACAATGTGAACTCTGAACAGAATCCCACTAAAACAGAAATTGCATACCTAAATTGCTGCTTGTCAGAAAAATTGCAAATAAGATTTAGCGGTCTTCTTCTTTTTTTTTTTTTTGCTTAGATTTTTTTGTTTAGTTTTACTTATTAAAAGGGACAATGCATATTCATGAAAATATACTTGTAAATATGCCAGAATTAACCCGATAGTACTTTTCATCTGTAGTCCCTGGCAGGTCAGAGAGACGGAGACATAAAACATAAGAACACAAAACAGGTCACAATAGACAAACACACAAGCATGACATACAACACTGACATTTACACAGGAGCAGAACATTAGTGGTTACAGATCTGGTTTCTCTTAAGCCATCGTTTCAGATTAGTTTTAAATGAAATGAATGTAGTAGAGTCTCTTATTGTAGCTGAGATGTTGTTCCAGATTTCTGTTCCTTGACACAGTCTTCTCTGGTAGAGGCTCTTGTTCCTCGATCACTAGTACTGGACTTGGGCTTAATGAACTCACCCAGAGGTGGTGGAGCGAGTCCATTTAAGAACTTGTATACTGAGCAGGCCAGTTTAAATTTTTGAAAATTTCCAAACAGTTTTTTTTTAGTGTTCAGTAAGAGATTTGACTTGGTAAATGCTGATGTGAACTTCTGAGTTTTCTGTGACAGATTTTGTTTTTGTAAAACTGACAGCATCATCTGCATACAACACAATACTAAGGTCTGTAAAAACATTCAGCAGATCATTAATGTATAATTAAAATAAAATAGGTCCAAGTATGGAGCCTTGTGGTACTCCAACCTGACAATCGAGATATGGGGATTTGACGGACACACAAAGGGTTCCTTTGTGGACCTTTAATACAGTGTAACATGGTAAGATTTAAAAAATGTCTTTCTCATTTTATGCAAACAAACTGGTTCAACGACATTTTTATGGAGTAAACCAAACGGGAGCATTATACTCTGGAGATCCCCTGACATATAAGATTACAAGCCTAACAATTTTATTGTTCAAGGCATAAAGATCTTAAAAAGTGATCTAGTTTCTTTGATTTATTCTTGATACTTAACCACACTAGGCACGTACGTATGAGTCTTTGCCCTTGTTACAGCCTCACTGTTCACCGACAGTGGCAGTGCTTCATATTGTGATTCTGAAAGACTAGAAGAAGACGACATGACTCAAGTTGTGGTTGGCATTATTTGCATAAAAGACATCTGTTAATGCAGCAGTCTCCTCACGGGACACTGGGACACATGCGCACGCTTCCAATGACCCAAACAACAACGTTACTGGACTTTCATCTGCTCCTAAGTCATAACCTGCATGGTTCAACTACATAAACACGACGTGTGGAGCTTATCTGCTGCGTTAGCAGAGGGACACAGCGCTTTAGGACCAGCTAATCCTGTCCAGTGAGACCCAAGCCAATGGCAAAGGTGAGGTCCACAGTCCCCGGTCCCAGGTCTGTATTCCTGGTGTGACACCTCACCTGAGCGCAGGGGCTGCACACTGACCCCTCACCTGCCCTTACCTGCATGTGAACTTGACAGCCAGGATGAGCAGCACACCGAGCAGGATGGCCCCGCAGAGGAGGTCGGGTCTCCGGGCCATCAGGAACACGACCTGCCGGAGGGACTGCCGCACCCGCACCCGGCGCAGCATTACCGCCTCTGGTCCGCTCCTCGTCCCATTTATACGGCCCTCCCGGCGGCTCTGTGCGCGACCATTTGCATGCCGGGGGAGGGATGAGGCGCTGGGCAGCCACACACGACGCTAGCGGGGATGGGGCATGTGTGCGTGGGGAGCGGGCACGGGTGCGTGGAGCGGAGAGGGCTGTAGAACGCGGCCGGACCAGACCAACCTTTCTTCCCCACGTCGACTTTCTACTTCCGCAACAATGACTCCGGGGACTGGGCGCTAATCTGTGGCGTTTTTACAAACGAAGACTTTCAGGCAGAATAACATTAATTCAAGCACATTTTACAAAAGACAACTTAACTACAGTCAAGCGGAAATACGATAAGACAAACTAATATCACTTCTGCATTCTAGAAATCCACTTTAGTCATAATTTCGTGTAGTTTACTATGCGCACTTTGACCACGGTCCCTTGCCAAGGCTAACGTTGCCGTGACGATGACTGAACACCAGATGGCGGTCTCATTTAAAAGTTCCCCACGCTACAGACGCACTGATGATATTACACTTCTGAAACTGTATAAGATATAATGTCATTTCTAATCATACATACACATAGAGAGGCTCTGATTTATAAAATGCTTTGATTTCAACATTTGAAAGAAATGCAAAGTGTGCAACAGTGCAATTAACAATGCAAAAAAAGACAACATTAGAAAGTGCAACTTTAAGATTAAGAACTGAAGGAACATGGAACTTTTTCTAGTGGAGGCTCCACCACCTGCTTCTTTCATGGGTATGTTTTTGCTTTGCCTGGAATGCTCTACAGTATTTAAACATATTGATCTTTCTTGTACTCAATTAAAGCTGTTTTTATTGCTAACAGTTGGTTTGGTGGTGTCACCTGCTTGGATACATTTTATGCCATTATATTTAACATTTCAGACAAAAGACCAACATCTCCATACATAGATAGATTGTAGAAGGTTTCAGACCCTCCACCAGAAAATGTACATAGTGCACCTTTAAATTTGAGACAATAAATGATTCCATGTTGTAGGTGGTTTCCAGTAAAAGAGGTAGGTGCAACTACATGTCTGGAAATGTAAAAGTACATTTAAATGAAAAACTTTTCCTCTACATACAAATACCTGACTGTGAGCACTAATTACTGTAGAAATGAAAAACTTTAACATGCAATCAGCAGAATTCAGGCAACTGTGTATCTCCACAACAGGAGACATGCACAATGCAATAACCAACCCAGTTTCTGATTTTAAAATCATACATTTTAGTCATTGAACTGACTAAGACAGTAGACCTCTGCTGGTCTTTTTTATACCAAGCCAGAGGCCTCAGGGAAAGGCCAGCAGTGCCATAAGCATGGTCACATCCTCCAGGCAACATGTGAATCAACTGCAGAGAGCCACAGTCGGTAAGCGTTTGCTTTATTGTGCACCCACGGGGCTGCTCTCTGGTGCTTGTGCACACTGCTCACAGAGCGTGTGTGTCAGGGTGCAAGAGCTGCCGTACCACTCGGTCCATGTTGACGATGGGGCTGAAGTACAGGCCCCAGTAGAACAGACAGCTGCAGAGGAACTGAGGGGTGATGGGCCACAGCAGCAGCAGGAACAGCCCCTGAGAGAGCAGCTCCCAAAGGTGGCTCCACAGGTCCCCAGGCATGGCCCTGCCACACGCGAGCGCACACACAAACACACACACACAGGCACACACACACACATACAGACACACACACAGACACACAAGTCAGTGACCCTTTTTTGTCATTGTAGAAAATGTCCTGAAGTAATACTTGTGGGACATTAAACTATTCCACATTACCTGAAGCCCGCTCTGGCCCACAGCCTCCAGAGGGCGCTCACATCCAGCACAGACAGCAACATGGCGTTGACTATGATAAAGCGAGAGGTCCAGTAATGCACGGACAGCCAGTCCCAGGCAAACTCTGCCATCAGCTGGTACGGCAGGAGCGCATACTTCACCAGGAACTCTGCCCACTGCCTCCAGCTGGGCTCCACCTGAACCAAAATACCAACAACGTGTGAAGACACCACCACATGGAAAGTCTTAAAGTCAAACATTTACAAAAAGTCATTCCACCAGTGCTGAGCCTGATCATGCATTATTCTACAATTATCCATACCACAGAGTGTGACATGCTGCTCCAGTCTGTACCTGTGAATGTGTGAGCGTGCTTTCCTCCAGCTGGTCCCTTGGAGCCATGGCCGGACAGCAGGTGTGCAGGAAAGGCAGGAATATGTCCGAGTACTCAAACAGGTACAGGTAGAGCAGTGTAAGGCGAGGAGAGCGCCTAAGTGAGTACAGGAGGAACAGGGATGTGCCCGGGTACGCTGCCTGTACAACAGGAAAAGTAAAGATGTTCTTTACAACAACTATAATTTGATCAAATGTCACAAGTCAGTCATTTAAGATTTGGACTCTCACATGATATAATGTAAACATAACACACCCAAACAAGAAGTCCTCAGTCTTAAACATGCACTAAATTTCTGGTGAAAGGTCCATCACCCGCTTAGGTAAGGAAAATGTTCTGTTTATGTAATTGCCATAGTGTCGTATCAACCAAAATCTTTCCCATGAGTTGATTTACTCATGGGTTCAAAGCAAAATAATATATCTTTTGAATGGTCAGCCATATAAACAGAAGCTGAAACCCATAGAAATACACAGAAGCAGCATCAGTGTACTGAGTCTATGGAGCACGTTCCACCATAGAGACACAGGACACTTCTACTATTAGAATCAATGCAGTTAGAGCTCCACCTAACATCATGTTTCATGAACTTTTCCACATATTTTAGCTTCTATGTATATCTTTTATACAATAGTGTTGGTTTGGATTTTAATGTTAAAAAAATAAGATTTTTATAGCAACAAGTTAAATACATGGAGCTGTGGTAGTGCGCCCTCAGGTGGCCACTAACATTTACTACACTTTACAGTTATGACAGATGAGGACTGAAATTAATGGTAGTTTAAATATCTTTATTACCAGTATAAACATTTATTTTTAGTTTATGTTCTTGGGAACTGGACTTTAACTGTACATTTACTGGCTGCCAGCTAAGCTAACACATTTACAGCAGTAAATTACTTTAACTAAAACCAGTAACAAGTAAACAAGTAACTGAACTTTACTTACTTACTAAAAACTGATCCCTTTATCCTGTTTATTGTTTATAAAAATAAAGCCACCAAATAAAGAAAGTAAAGTCTCTTGCTTTACGTCTGGCTGAAGTGGCAGCCATTTTGGGAGCACATCTGTTGCTGTTGTTCAAAGTCACATCTGACCAGCCTTTATGATTTCTATAGTTAAAGTATGAAGAGCTCTATGACAAGTATTTTTGATTCCTTTGTGGAATAATCAAGGAGACCCGTTTTAAAAAAGAAGCTTCTATTTCATCTCTATTACAATCTGGGATTCATGAAACCATAGTTACATACCCAGCTCTTGTTTTAACCCTCCACCTAAAAGCTTACTAAATTTAGTTTTGGGTAATCGTCATGGAGACGGCATCACATGTGACACAACCACCTCTAACTGAATTAATTAAAGACACGTGAGTTACTGTGGATCATTTAAGGCAAAGTAGAGTAACTTTTTCATGACAGTAACATTAACCTGACTCACACCAGACTGATATGTGTCACTCTGAATGAAGTTTGATGCATTATCAGTCTGGACTGGCTCTCACTGAAAGCGACGGGAAAATACGTCAGGATTATTATCTGAATGTGAAATGCTTTGGGCTTGTGTCCATAGCACAGTGCTGCCCTGTGACTGGTCCAGTCTCCTTACCTTGTACTCCCACAGATTCTGTGGTGGTTTGACTCCCAGAGTTCTGACTTTGTCCATTTCGGCCAAGACAGTGCGTCTGTGAGCGGGGTTCTGGATGCTGTAGGGGGCGCTCAGGAGCTCCTCCTCCCCCAGCATCAAGAGGAGCCTGAAGAGCACATATCACATCTACAGTCAGTACACAGAGGACACACAAAGGACACAGAGAGGACATACAGAGGACACACAAAGGACTTACAAAGGACACACAGAGGACACACAGAGGACACACAAAGGACACACAGAGGACTTACAGAGGACACACAAGGACACACAGGACACACAGACACAGAGGACACACAGAGGACATACAGAGGACACACAAAGGACACACAGAGGACACACAGAGGACACACAGGGAGGACACACAGAGGACACACAGAGGACACAGAGGATACAGAGGACACAGAGAGGACACACAAAGGACACACAGAGGATACAGAGGACACACAAAGGACACAGAGAGGACACAGAGGACACACACAGCACTTAGAAACCACACAGAGGACACACACAGAGAGGACACACAGAGGACACAAAGAGGAGACACACAGAGGACACACAGAGGAGACACACAGAGGAGACACACAGAGGAGACACACAGAGGAGACACACAGAGGAGACACACAGAGAGACACACAGAGGAGACACACAGAGGAGACACACAGAGGAGACACACAGAGGACACACAGAGGACACAGCAGCTTTTGGACCTTCCATTGACGTTTTCGTGCAGGAAAGACTCTGTGTACAGGTGAGCCCACGGCCCCAGACTCTGCAGCCAGGTCAGGACCTCCTGAGGACTCCAGTGGGACACGGGTTTAGAGAGGAGAAGGTCTGAGGACTCCACACCTCCCGTGCTCCAGTGATACGCCAGCAAAGGAACCTGCACATGAGGACAAAGACCAGAGCAAAAACACACTCAAATCCCACAGCTTTTGAAGTACAAACAAAATATTGCATCCAGAATATATCTTCTTCTGGATGCATTTAAAATGTGAACTTTGAACAGAATCTTATTATCAAGACATAAACTGCGATGATTTTCCCGAATACTTCAGCCAAACTGTCCTCCCCTCCCTGTACGTTCAGTGTAAAATTTTATTGTTCATATACGTGTGAGGAATGAACAAAGAATCCTTCACATGGACAGACACAATAATGCCTTAAAAGTGCACGGGTAGAGAGACTGCCTCCTGCTTGTCTCCATGGCGATGTTATTGCTTTGCCTGGAATGTTCCACTAATAGCATTAAACTTGTATCCATGGAGACAAGCGGCTCACGGTAAGAATGCGTGTTTTTTCAGGGTATTTTTAGAAATAATTTTTAAAAAAGTAATTGGATAAATGCAAGTTCAGTGCACATCGCTTGCTTGTCTCTATAATAGGTGGATATGTTTAATGCCATTCTAGTAAAAACTCTAGGCAATGCAGTAATGCTACCATGGCAACAGGCAGGTGGCAGAAACCCTTCCAGTTACATAGTGCACGTTTAAATCAGACAAATCCCCATACGACTGAATAAACTAATACAAGGATCACATTTCAGAACATGTTTGTACAGATCGACACTACAGGGTTCGGTGTTTTTATGCAGAATAAGACAGGAGATTTTGTCATTTGTGGAGGAAATGATGGTACTTCAACAAAATGAAATTGCAGTTTGAACGTTTTTGAAGAGGGGATATTTTAATTTTCTGGGGTATTAACTGCTAACACACAACACGTTTAGAACACAATGTTACCTTTGAATGTTGTGAAAATTCTATATTAGCTGAAAACAGTGTATGTTTTATTTTGTTTGTTTTTGAGGTTCTGAATCCCCCCTCCCTTGTGTCCACACTATGTCACTCCCCCTTCAGAGCACTATCACAACACAATCAGGGTGCATCCTGCTACTGAAACCACTGCACATTGCATCAGGTTTGTCAAGTTGCTCTGTACAGTTTTGTATGCTTTTGTATATTTATGGAGAATTGTCATGTGGGAGCATGCGTGGCGTAGGCTTGTGGGCGGAGCATTGCACAGAATCTTACAGCTAACTGTAAGGAGTGTTCAAATAGTTCCTGGGAGAGATCGTTAAATTCCTCAAACATGCATGGATGAAATCTAAAACCTCTTCAGGGATGTTTTTGATGAGGGAACACTGGTAGAAACCAAAAAATAAATACAAGATTTTGCATAATACCCCCTCTTTAACTGTTAATTATGCAGCCCTATATGCTGTATATTGATGTATATGGCCATACTGTGATCGAACGTGGTATTGTGAGGGACCTCGTGATTCCAGGTTCTGTTTGACTTTATCATGCAGAAAGTTGGATTTCATAAAGCTGGTCACATAGGGCACAAGAGGAATCATGTCATGTATTAGACATGTGAATGAAAAGGAATGAAGAAGGATTTCACCGTTTGGTAAGTGTGTGTGAGTATTCATGAAATAGTGATATTTCAGAACACTAAAATGTGACGGTGACAGCACATCTTTTGGGACACTTGTGCTTGCAGACTGTGATAGGGATAAGACAGGTGCCACGTGGAAGGCCAGAGAACAGTGATCCCTCTGCCAAATGGACTCAACAAATAACACTATCAACCACTGTCAGTGCCCAAACACAAACGCACACACACATTCTGAGTCTGAGAACATTTGCAATCTATGGTTTCAGAACACAGGCATCTGACATCGGATTAAATGTCTACAATATGCAACCAACAACAGCAATCGAGAAGAAAACAGTTGAAGCTTTTCAGTATACAATTACCCATAAAGATAAAAGAGGACAAAGGTCCTGTATTACGCTAAAGTGACTCTAGTGAGCTTCAAGACATGCTATAATGTTGTTACCTCATCACAAACAGACCTGGAGTTGTGTTTTGTTTATTTCACACATGTTTGAGTAACCCCGTCTATATCTCCAAAGCTCTGTTCCACCTTGTGATGTCATGAAGCAGTAGTTTTCAAGATAACAGTTCCTTTTATCTTTAGTTCAGTAGAGATTGGTAATTCCATGTCTGAAACTTCCCAAATGATTTTACTGAAGGTGTGAATGAAACTTCAGGTATGTTTTTTTATGAATAAACAATATTATAACATAGATCAAAGTGGGAAAAGGGAAAAGTGGCCAAGTCAGGATTAGCTATACAATGTTTAAATTGTAAAAAATCTAAGTGGTGGTTTTGGCAAAAGAAAGTCACTCCACTACATGTGACCTCACACAAACTAAGTGTTCACCATGTTGAGCTAATATTAATTTAAATGGGACCAACTGGATCACTTATCTTAAATACAAAATCATTGCAACTGAGTTACAACAAGTTGTGTATGTTTAAGGTACATTTTATTATATATATTATTCATTAGTTTTATGCATTTGACCCATCTTTCAGTGTCACTGGGTTAAACCAGGAGCAGTGGGACCCATCTTCAGATCTTGAGCTAATCTTGGCCAGGAGGACCACCTTAGCTGGAGGATGTGACCTATGGTGCATGTTGTGGGCTGGTGGTTAGTGTTTTGCGTCTCAAGTCAATTATCCAATCAAAAAGCAGAATGAGCCCGTTTCATTTGTGTTGCCAGGTTCAGTGTGTTTAAATCTAAAATGCCTCTCTCTGATCTGAACGGACACTCCCTAAACCCCAGCACCTGCATCAGTCATGAGTCAGTGCTAGTGCAGCCTCTGCAGCTCAGGGAGAGAATTCTGGAGGTTCTGAGCTTTCACATGAGACATGGCCTGTCCATCTACAGGCAATGGACAAACTTGGCTGTGTCTCATTCTGCAGGTTAAGGTACTGGCAACTGTAAGAGCGCAGGCTACATATAGTTCCTTTAAATGCTATGGCAACCGTGCTCAGTTTCTGTCACTGTGAAACCCATAGATAAGTGGAGTAAGACATCCACACTAATAGCCTGTTGTGTGGGAAAAGACTTACAGTTACCACAGTGAGGGCAGTGAGGACTCCTGAGAAGAAGAAGCCTGCTCCTTTGTTCTCCACTCTCCTGGGCCGGTCCCTGTTGTTCCCATACCTGCACAAAGCACAGGGCACAACACCTGAAAACACTGTCCAAGACCATGTGTGCTTGGAGCTCCATGGCCAGGCCAGGGGCGCGTACCTTTGGAAGGCCAGCAGAGAGTGCCTTATCTGGGGGTCAGCCTCCACCGCAGCCTTCCTGCTCCGCACAGTGTCACCAAACAGCTTCTCTGTTGCATCTCTGAGAAAAGATTCAAATATCACAAGTGTTTTATTTAATTTATTTTTAATCAAATCTAGAACCAATTGTTTCAAATTGTAAATGATCATCTTAAATCTTTTGAATGAAGAAATCTACAGCAATTCTCAGTATAAGCATTTGGTTTGGAGCAGATGCAAGAAAGAAATGTACAGGGTGTCCCTAAAGATTTGACATAATTCTTGTTTAAATAACCTGAAATTCTCACCGATTGTAAAGAAACAGGTTGAGCCATGCTGTTCACTTCCAAAGAGAAGTCTTTTTGCATCTTGGAATCTGCTGCACACACTCACCCAAGACTGTGCACCGAACTCTGCACATTTTCGGTACCAAGTTCAAATTTCCCAGTTGGAGAAGTTTTTCCATGTTGCATTGAAGCTGCACAGTGTTGGGTGAGTGTGTGCAGTAGATTCAAAGATGCAAAAAGATTTCTCTTTGAGATGAACGGCTCAACCTGAAAGCAGAACAAAAACTAGAAAAGCACTCAGAGAGCGCAGACCTCCGCCAAGGACTACCCCCATTTTTTATATAAATTGCGATAAAATCTGTCTTCTGGATCAGATCCGGATCAGCCTTTGGAATATGAAAGAGGATCCCATTGTCCATCCCTGAGTCACATTTCATGGGGTTTGGTCAATAATTAACCGAGATATTGAGAAACAAAATATTTGGCCCCATTTACCACAATGTTAACTAAAATTTCAAAGTGATCCAGAATCCAGGATTTCTTCCGGATCACCCCCAAAATGAAATCAGTTCTTCCTTTTCACATTTCCAACAAATCCTGAAAATTTCATCAAAATCGGTCCATAACTTTTTGAGTTATGTTGCTAACAGACAAACAAACAAACAAACAAACAAACGCCGGCAAAAACATAACGTCCTTGGCGGAGGTAAATATAAAATCTTGATCTGTTTCTATACATTCTGAGAAGATCTGAGGTTATTTCAATAAGAATTGCCCAAATTATTGGTCTGTGAAAGTATGACAAATTTTTTTGGGACACCCTTTATTTAATTTGTAAATGTATTTTTGTGTTAAATGGCACAGATTAAAAGTGTGTCTCAGTTATATTTATGAAATTAAGATTGACAGCTGCTTTTAAAAAGACAAATAAAACTGAAAATTGTGAACAATAAGGAATATTGTTGCCATTTTGCCCAGGCCTGTAATTTGCAAACATTACTGTAACAGACTGATTGCTCAACTCCTCTAAACACAAATGTAGAGCATATAAATCCAATATTGATACTGCAGCTGATGTCATCAACATTCCCTGGGCAGTAAAGCTAACTAGAGGCACTGTTCTGTCTGAAGCTCTGTTACTCAAGTAAGACTCAAGAAAGCACTGACTTAGTACTATGAATAGGCTCGCTCCATTTTGTATAATTTCTTGAGTTTTCAGTCTTAGATAAACTTATTGGACAGTGTTTGCCAATATGTGCACTGTGTAACCATGGCAACTGCTGAACATTACGCCATAGATATACATACAGTACAACCCCAGCATGATGTCACTGTAGTGAAGTATAAAAAGAACAGCAGTATCTCCTAGTCAAACCTGAGCAGGATGTTGATCTTGGGGAAGCCCACCCACTTCTCGCGACACTCGGGACACTCGTTCTTCTTGGAAGAGTGCCACCACATGGCCAGGCAGTGTCGGCACACGCTGTGCCCGCAGGTCAGAGTAGTGGGATCCAGCAGGATGTTGTAGCAGCAGTGACATGAGAGCTCGCTCTCAGAGATGTGCCCGGTCTCAGAAATATACTCGCTCTCAGAGATGTGCCCGGTCTCAGAGATGTGCCCGGTCTCAGAGATGTGCCCGGTCTCAGAGATGTGCCCGGTCTCAGAGATGTGCCCGGTCTCAGAGATGTGCCCGGTCAAAGGCGCTGGGTCTGGAACACTCAGGGACCCGTCCATCAGCTCTTCCAAGGTCCCCCCCGCAAACTCACCACTGTCAGTCAGCATGTCTGTAGACACAACAACATGGCAGGACAGTGAGAGACATTGCACATTTTAGAATCGTCACCACTCTATTACAACAAAATATCATACTGTAGATCATTAGGCAGCTTCATTCAAGTATACGAGACAGGTTTACCGAGAGTGATCTAAATCTGTTATGTGCTAACACCCCGTAAAAGTAAATGATAAGGGTTTGTGGCCATACAGACTTGTCAGATCCTCATCCTGTCAGATCTCAGAAGCTAAGCAGGGTCAGGCCTGGTCAGTACTTAGAGGGGAGACCACTGGGAAAATCCCACAGGGGGCGCCGGTCTCAAAGACTGTTGTTATGTCCTTAAGTAAGGCATTTTACCATGGATCTATTAGTATGAAAGTGGTGTGTGTGAGTGGTCGTGGTCACAGGGGCTGATAGTGCAGATTGGCAGCCTCTCTTCCATCAGTCTGTCCCAGGGCAGGTTTGGCTGCAATAGTAGCTTACCACCAATGAATGAATGAATGAATAATGCTCTGTAAAGTTGTAAAGTGTCTTTGAGTGTCCAGAAATGTGCAATATAAAACTGATGCATTATTATTATTATTATTATTATTATTATTAAGGGAGCCTGTTATTCAATGAAACGTGATGTAGCTTAGTTGTCTCCATGGAAACGCAGGTGTCTGTCTCCAGCTCCAGGTGAGGTGGGAGTCAGAGGGAGAACAGTGAAGAAGCTCGCTCTTTAAGGTACTCAATTTTGCTTGCATTTTCAATTAACATTCTTTACTGGATGAAATGTTCCGCAACGAGGCTTTAAAAGTTTGAGCCCAAGAGTAGTGGTGCGCGTTTGTAAAACTGCATAGCCGTTACGCAGTAGTGACACTGACTAGAGGAGGTTTGATGTGCTCTGGAGAAGCTCAACTCCAAACACTTGTGAAGTTCTACACTTGGCTGCTGGGCGCGCATTAGCATGTCAGTGTGTGCTAGCAGAGTTAGCTCTGGGCTAATCCGCTCCTCCTGACGGATGGAGACACAAACAAAACACAAAAGCACATTATATCTTCAGTTCATAACATGCTGTCCGTGTGTGGCCTCCGTGACGGCCGGACATGTACCGTTCTGAGCGGGGCTCAGCGTGCGCCCTGGAGCAGCGGGTGACAGCGGTGACCGCGGGGAGAGGATGCCGGGGGAGGTGTGCGTACCTCGGTCCGTGTCAAGAGTCGAACCGTGGGACTCTCGCGCCGGTGCTACGTCCATGTGTCGCGGATCATCTCACCAGGGGCAGCTCCGTCCAGCTCAAAGCAAAACCAAAAGAGAAAGAAATACCGTCGTCATGACTCCGAGCCGAGCTGTTGTGGAATGCCGCACGCGCGCGCGCACGCACACACAAACCCCTATGCACCTACACACACACCCCCACACACACACCCACACAAACACACACACACAGACACACACAGACACACACAGGCATAGAGCCCAGCGCCGCTGTCTCTGTCCCCGGCACAGTGCAGGAGCCTCGGCAGTCAGGCACACATGAACCCGCCTATGTGGCTCTGGGAGGCGGCTCCAGACCAAAGTTCAGCTGCGCTCTGAGGGATGACCTAGAGCCGACACGCTGACCCGGGCCCCTGAGTGACACCTGCATGATCTGACCAAGCACTGCGTAACTCACTAACTTACATTTTTGCAAATCAGTTCTCTAAGTCCTAAATGTTGTCAAAGACAGTCAAGACAGTTGCATTAAAATAAATTCAGAATGCTGTTTGCTTAATGTTAAAGGGTAAGGTTTACGGTCTGACATCGAGTGACAGGTCACAGCCCACTCTTTGAAGGCCACAGGTTGTGTACAGGACAGGTTAAAATATGAGTATGGACAGCCACTTGAATAGTAAATGTTTCTGTGAGGGAGGGAAGGGGTGGGGCTGACCTCTCTGCTTTGTCACTAGAGGGCGGTATTCCGTTTGTCATACAAACCTCAGTTCTCAGTGGCCGTGCTGAGCAGAGGAAGAAGGGCCTGCGAGAGGTGGTGGGGGTTCGACAAGAACCGTCCGATCGGGCCAGCTCCTGCTCTGCTCCTGCCCATCCAGGCCTCCCGGGCCCTCACACAGCCGATCATGGACGCCTTCGGCCGGTTTGGTGGCTCCTCGCTGTACGAGGTGAGTCCCTCTGTCCTGTCTCTTGTGTTCTGTACTCCACACCGACCGCCTCACCAGCTCAGCTGCTGCCAGCTAGGCTACTGTAGCAAGGAAATATGTGACAGCTGAAAGTTCAAAGCAAAATGTGATAAGACTCCGCGTAAAAGCATTGTAAACGTGCTGGGGCCGTGCGTGCTCAAGGCTACTGTCTGTGCTCACGTGTGTTAAAGGAAGACTGTGGAACTTTGTGGTGGGGGGTTCACCTCCTACAGTTTCCATGCAGATGTTATTGCTTTTCCTGGAATGTTCCCCTGTATGTCATTGTACTATCTCGCAGTTATTCAGTTACAGGTGTGTTACTGCTAAACGTATAGGAAAAGCATGCATTCTTACTGTGATCTGCCTGTCTCCATGGAAATAGTAAAGTATAATGCCTTTCTGTGTAACATTCCAGACAAAGAAATAACATCTCCATGGAAACAAGGTGCCGAACCCTCCCCCAGAGCAGTTACACAGTGTACCTTTAAAGCCCCACTGCTCCACATTCCTGTCCGCGGGCCATCTGCTTGTCTCCATGGAAATGTTTTGCTTTGCGTGGAATGTTCCACAGTTGGGCTTTCACTTATATGTATATATATATATATATTTCCATAGAGACAAGCAGGTGGTGTGCCTGCAACAAACCCAGTTAGTCAGGTCAGCGGAGAGGCAATCCTGCTCACAGCTAGAATACTGTTTCACCAGGTATTTTTGAATAGTGACCTGGACTTAAGCAGATGCTTTTTTGCAGTGGTGCTTTAAAACAATACAATATATATGATGACAATGTATTGTGAATAAATAATTATTATTGTTGTTTTAAAAGGTAGGTCTAAGCAATAGATTTCTGAATCCCTTAGATTGGCCTGTTGCTTACACATGTGTAATAATGACAGGTAATATTGGGATAATATTGACAAATAAACAATAAATCAGGTTTAGATGTGTTCGGGGAGTATTTCAGTAACAATACTGTGTGTGCTCTGTGTTCATCAGTAATGCGCTTTAAGGTGCACTTTATGTCATTTGAGGGTCTGCCACCGACTTGTCTCCATGGAGATTTTATTGCTTTTCCTGGAATGTTCCACTGAATGGCATTTAACATATTTATCTCCATGGAGACAAGCAGCTCACGGCAAGAATGCATGTACTTCAAGCTTTTCAAAAATACCTGTAACTGAAGAAACGCAAGCCAGATTTATAGATGTAGATAAGGGAATCTTTATTTGTAACACAGTGGGGAAATTCAAGTGTTGCAAGGCACAGTCCAAGAAGTGCATAGATGCAATCAAAACTATAGATGAATGACTATTAAAATAATGCAAAATCAACTTTAATTTAACCATTTAAAGGTACAGCATGTAACTTCATTTAGGTGACACATCATATGATTCCATGGAAATAGAAAGTTAAAACCATTTCGGAACATTCTCTGTGGAGATACATGTGTTTCATGTCATACTGTGGAAGATTATAGCGAATGGAACTACATTTCCATGGAAACAGGCTGCCCTCCTCCCAGCCAAAAAAGAGTCAGTTTTGTGGAGATGCAAGCCTGCTCACAGTAAGGATGCATGGTTTTGTAAGTTTTTCCAGTGCAATAAAAACCTCCAGAATGGAAAAAAAAAACAAAAAACTTGCTATTACTTTAGTCCATTTTCCAGCTAAAAGTTAGATTATTTTGCTCTAACTACAAACAGTGTTAGAATATTCAAAACATATAAAAAATAAAATGGCAGCCGATACAGTATTGTGTGCAATAAGGCTGAGCGGTATGGTGAAAAAATATGATTTTCTTGCAGCCAGATTGCAATTTAGATTTTATTACAATATGTTGAATTTTCCAATTACCTTTTAAGAGGTAAATAAAGTCATGCTCTTTCTGAAAGTTCACACTTCACTGTGATTGGTTAAATCCAGCTGTCACTCAGAGCCCAAAGGTTGGCCAGTAGGAGAAGTGGAAGAGAAAGTGTGTTTTTAAGGTGGCAGTAAATAGAGAAATGTGAATCACTAAAGATGATATGACCAAAATAGCAGGTTGTCTCAGGGATCAGATCATGATTACATTTTTATCACCAGCTCTGCAACTAGAATAAAACAAGGCTACAAAATAATCTTGTACAATAAGTGGCTATGACTCTGGTTATACAGGATAAATGACATGTAGTGGCTTGAGTGAATTGTATCAGTGATGTACGGTTGTTAAAAATATTGGAAATCAGATGCTAATCAATACAAAAACTAGCATCACAGGACAGAAATGAACCTTTCCTGAAGTTTAAGAGCACATAGACTAGTATACACCCATGGACCACGGTTGACCCTACCTGGACCTCTGAGGGACTACACACATATAACACATTTACACAGACAGAATAGAAAAGAAAGTAGTACAATTTAATGTTGAAAATCACATTCTATTGTCTAACAAAAGAGTTTTAATTATCATCGTGTTAACAGAATCTGTATTGAGTATCATGTCTGTTCCTTATTGATGTTGAGTTTGAATGATAGTATTGTGACAACACTACATTGACAATTCACATTCTGTTTCAGTATTGCTACTCTGCGGTGACATCAGGCTGGGGGTCTTCTACATGCATCTCTTTTGGTAGAATGTTCAGCAGTTACCATGGTGACACTTTGCACACATCAGCAAACACAAACAAATGTTTTAAGATAGTTGGAAAGCTCTAGAAAAGAGACTTCTGTAACTGCACAAATAAGCTGGATGATATTCCCTATGGGTGCGATGCTAACTGTAGGCATGCTCTGTCTGAAGCTTTGTTAGACTTTAATCTGAGTTTTATTTTAACACAATCTGACCAGGAAGAATTGTCTTATTTGGAATTACAATGGGTGATCTGACTTGTGTTGTTAAACAAGTTTCTCTCAAATAATATTACAGTCACAAGCTAGCTACCATTAACCAACTGTTTTTCAGTTAGTCACTCTCACCTTTTAGTTGAGATTGAAGCACCTAAACAAGACCATGAACGCTCGGACTGATCACAGGCTCCTGAAAATGATCCATTTTGTATTTTGTATAAACTTCTCAGCCTATGTTTGCCAATGTGTACATTTTGTCACCATGTTAATGTTGATCATTCTACCATACACATGCATGAAGAACACCTCCATGATGTTGGAAATGAGCCATGTCATTGGCTATAATCTCTTTACAAATATATAAAATAAGAAATGATGTGATCTAATGGTTGTGATTTTGTGTTTGTGCAGGAGCCGGAGCTCTCGTACCAGCTTTCTGTTTCTTTAGACCCACAGCTGTTCAAACCCATTGATGGCATAGAAGTAAGCAAGTCCCGTTTTCTACTACTGGCCATTTTAGTCTCATATGACCCCTAATAGTTCAAAGATTAGGCCTAAATGTTACCCATCTGTTGCAGATGTCCCCTGAGCGCCCCCTTGTGTCTCCAGAGCCACAATACATCTCTGTACCACAGTACAATCCACAACCACTCTACATCCCACGACCCCCAGCTGTGAGGAGCCCAATGGAGGAGACCTGCCAAGATGAAGGTAGGGTCTTCTCCATCTTCTCTCAGAATTGAAGATGACTAGAGATAGATACATTATTGACCCTGAGGGAAATTCAAGTTTAGCTACAGCTAACATTTCCACTGTGCATCTCAGTCGCCTTTGTATCTCAGTCAGAGGTCTCAGTGCAGTTTAACAGGAGGACTGGTCAGGGAGGGTCAGCAGCTTGAGCAGAGCCCCCCCCCCTTTATGTACACTGTCACGACCTGACCATGGGTCTTCCTGATTGTTTAATTTGCTTGTCAGTCATGTCCAACAGAAATTTGGGTCAGGTCATGATTGGAGACCCACACATCTTTGTCAAGTTTTGTTATAGCATGTGATTTTGGGCTGGCAACCAGACATGTAGCCACAAAAGCAGCTAACCACTATTGCCATGGTAATAAAGGTGCATTATGTAACTTTTGTGGCTGGGTCGTCAGGTGGTTACCTGCTTGTCTCCTTGGTGATTGTGCTGTTTTGCTAGACAATCTATACAGTATGCAAGATGTAGTGCTATATGCCATATGGCATTACATCTTTCTATCTTGCATTTGTTTTTTTAGATTTTTTATTGCTAAAAGTATCTCCATGGAGATGGGTATGTTTCATTACGACATTCCAGACAAAGCAGTAACATCTCCATAGAGACAGAAGGTGATGGATCCTCCACCCATAGACGTACAAACACTTGCTACATTACAGATTTTTGACTACCCAGACCTTTACTGTTTACTCCCATTCTAATCTCCACTGGCATATTCTTAGATTTACTGAAAAGGTAAATCTATCACGGATCCATGTTGTGATGTGAACTGTGATGTAGTCTGTGCAGAGGAGGAGGAGGCAGAGGAGGAGGAGGTGGTGGTGGAGGAGGAGGAGGTGGTGGAGAGGATCCCTCACGTGCAGATGAGTCCTCTCCCATTGGCCGCCCCCCCAGAACCCCCAAAGTACAGCTGTGATGTATGCGGCCGCTCCTTTCCCAGCGGCGGCGGACTCAAGCGTCACTCCCGCACGCACACAGGTGAGCGGCCCTTCGTCTGCTCCATCTGCGGCCGCGGCTTCAACCAGATCGGAAACCTCAAAACACACTACAAAGTCCATCTGGGTGAGTGAATTTACACTCAGTGGTGTTAACATCACACATTATGCATATCGTGCTCTTATGAGCTTTCATCATTAAAAAAATCTTCCTGGAGTAGAGAGCTGTTAATCCCTCAGCTGTCCAGGTAGGTTTTATTGCAAACTGGTCTAGGTTTTAAGATACATACGTACATTTTGCCACTCATCCAAAACTAGCATAACCTAGTTATTTATAGTAAGGAGTATCTGATCTCAAGTCCATTGAACTACCCTAAAGTCTAGAAAATATGTGCGTTCTCCCCTTATGGCAGTTCATTGGATGTAATTAATGCCACATACCTTTTACTGTAAACAGCAAACCCTTCAGACAAGTAAAAGGCAGTGATTTGCAGAACCCTGTAAGAAGATATTTAGATGAGAGTTGAAAAAGATGAACTTTTGTCCAGTTGACAGAGTTCTACACTAGGTATTACTAGAAAAAGTTACATTTGGATTATGTAATCCCTGCGGATAACAAAAATGCTGTAATTATATTATTTCTTCTTATTTAAAATAACATTTTAAATTAGTTGTTTAGAAAGACAACAACACAACACAAGCGTGAAGTGTTTGATGATTGCTCACACATACAGTTGTGGACAAAATTGGTAATGAAAGAAAAATAAATTTTCACTGAAATAACTGAAACTAAGAAAAGCAATAATAAATAAAATGTTCCTAAAAAATACCCAATGAAAATCAGACACAGTTTTTGAATTGTTGTTCAACAGAATTATTTAAATAAACAAACTAATAAAACTGGCCTGTACAAAAATGATGGTTCCCCTAGAAAAGATTGTAAATAACTGAGCAACAGGGACATGTTAAACTTAGGAGCATCTCTAATATGCATCACAGGTTCTTCAAACTTGTCCTCAGTGTTTAAAGGGCGACATGTGTCATTGTGCTCTTTGGAGACATGATGGACACAACACTGAACATGGACCAGAGAAAGAGAAGAAGAAAACTGTGTCAGGAGACTAGAAAGAAAATGATAGACAAGCAGGATAAAGATAAAGACAATAAGACCATCTCCAAGCAGCTTGATGTTCCTGTGATTACAGTTACACATGTTCTTCACAAGTTTAAGGTCCACAGGACTGAAGCCAACCTCCCTGGACACAGCTGCAAGAGGAAAACTGATGACAAATTGAAGAGATGGATCATACGAATGGAACCAAAGAGCCCAGAACAACCTCCAAACAAATTAAATGTGAACTTGAAGGCGAGGTACATCAGTGTCAGTTCACACCATCCATCAGTGTTTGAGCCAAAGTAGACTTCATGTGAGGACACCACTGCTGAGAACAAATCATAAAGTGAGACTGGAATTTCTCACAATGTAGATTGAAAAGCCACAAAGCTTCTGGGAGAATGTCCTTTGGACAGATTGGACAAAACTGGAGCTCTTTGGCAAGACACATCAGCTCTATGTTCACAGACGCAAACATGAAGCAGACCAAGAAAAGAACACTGTCCCTACTGTGAAACATGGAGGAGGCTTGGTTTTGTTCTGGGGCTGTTTTGCTGCATCTGGCACAGGGCGTCTTGAATCTGTGCAAAATACAATGGAATCTCAAAACTATCAATGTATTTTGGACCGAAATGTGTTGACTAGTATCAGAGAGCTTGGTCTCAGTTGTAGATCATGGGACTTCCAAAAGGATAATGACCCAAAACACACAGCAAAAAACATCCAAGAATGACTAAGAACAAAACATTGGACTGTTCTGGAGTGTTCTTCTGTGAGCCCAGATCTCAGTCCTATTGAACATCTGTGAAATGAGCTGAAACATGCGTCTGGAGAAGGAACCCTTCAAACCTGAGACAACTAGAGCACGTGGAGTGGGTCAAAATACCTGTTGATCAGAGCAGAAGTCTCATTCACAGTGACTGAAATTGTTTGTTTTCAACAATTGTTTGTTTTTTGTTTGCCTCAAAAGGTTGTGCAACTAAATATTAATTTAAGGGTACCATCATTGATTTTCACTGGGCAATTTTCAGTATTTATTTATTTATTTTAATTTATTATCGCTTTTATCAGTTTCAAGTTATTTCAGTGATGATTGTAGATTTTTCTTTCATTATAAGAGGGGTACGAACAATTTTGTTCACGACTGTATTTGCACATGCACCAATATACACAAATAGGCCATGGACATAGACTGTGTAAATCTAGACAGAAATAGTTTATTACACAATAAAAAACATTTAGATTAGGTGTTTGATTTTCAAAAAAAAGTTGAGTTTGACTAACTGAAAAACTGTTGGGAAATGTGACTTGTGACTATATTTTTATGTGTTAGAGACTTGTTTGACAGCACAAATCTGCTCACCTGTTGTATTTCCAACTAATACAGTGTGTAAAAATAAAGCTCAGATTAAAGTCTAATTTGCTTCAAACAGAGCGGTGCCTCAAGTTAGCATAACACCCCCAGGGAATGTTGATGACATCAGCTGCAAAGTATTCTAAAATATTCTAGTCTGTATTTGCAGGTAAGAAAGCCTCCGTAGACTTTGGCAGCGTGAGTGCCATCATGAACATGTCTGCGCTCCCGAAGCCCTCCCCTCCCACACCCAAGCCCCCACACACACCCTCCACTCTGGACGCAGAGATCTTCTTCTGCCGCCGCTGCTCCATCGAGTTCGAGGAAAAGGACCAACTGGAAGCACACATGAGGATCCACATCAAGCCCAAGCCCTATTCCTGCCCGGACTGCGGCAAGAAGTTCATCACAGAAAAGTATGTGGCGGTACACCGGAGGATCCACACGGGCGAGCGGCCGTACCAGTGCTCCGAGTGTGACCACGCCTTCACTACCATGAACAACCTGAAGACCCACATGACCCTGCACACCGGGGAGAGGCCCTTCAGGTATCACACCTCTCCTTAATTAGAGATGTATTGATTCTAGTGTCGGCCTCAGCTGATATCAATACCAGTTTGTCATTATCAGACAATATTTTTGCACTGCCTCATTCTCTGAGTGCCCTTTTTGAACAGACTAAAAATACATATATATATATATTCTAGATAAATACTAGTACATTTTTTTATTAGTCCAAAAGGAAAAAAAATTGATTTTAACTTCAAATTGAGATAAGTGTGGGTCATACTATGAATTATAAACACTATATAACCAATATTTCCCAAAACTGGTATTGGCCACAGCAGCACGACAAATATTGGATATCTGTATTGGCTCAAAAAATTAATAAATAAGTAAAAAAAATGTAAATCCATATCGGCCCATCCCTATCCTTTATCACCATATCAAAGGGAATGTTATGGTATTCACATTTTTTAAGGAGCACATTCTCTGATCCACTTAGTAAGTAAGTCTTTATTTATATAGCGCTTTTCACAGACATATGTCACAAAGACGCTTTACAGAGCATTTTATAGATTCATTATTCTTTTTCTCCACACCCGGTGTGGTAAGCTACTATTGTAGCCACAGCTGCCCTGGGGCATACTGACGGAAGCACGGCTGCCATGCCAATCGGCACCATCGGTCTCTCCGACCACCACCATTACTCACACACACACACCACTTTCGTACTAGGCAATGTGGGTGAAGTGTCTTGCCTAAGGACACAACGACTGCGACTGGCGCCCCACTGTGGCACCTGATTTTTCCAGTGTCTCCCGTCCAAGTACTAACCAGGCCCGGCCTTGCTGAGCTTCTGAGGTCTGACGGGATCAGGCTTTGACAAGCCGCTATGGCCACCTTATAATGATGTAGCCTCCTCAAAAACAGAGTTGTTTTGTTTCATTCACATATGTTTAACTCACAGACCCTGAATATTTATTCTGAGTTCTTCTCTCAAACGGAAAACACTATGTTCCTCCTCTGTGCTCCTCTGTTTTTTAAACTCTATATTCCTTCAATAGAATGATTTGAATGATTCCACCCTTGGAATTGCCAATCTCTACTGAACTAAAGGTCAAAGGTAGGTAAATAGGTAAATTACCCCTACATGACATCACAAGGTGGAACAGAGCATTTTGAGCTTTGGAGATGTAGACAGACTAATAATGCAGAATTACTCAAACTAGTGTGAATGAAACAGACACAATCCAGGTCTGTTTTTGAGGAGGTAACATTATAACATGGTTTAAAGCTCACAAGAATCAGTTTGTGTAATAGATGACCTTTTAATTCTACTCTCTACTTTATTAGTCACTTTGAGAGTTTACTTTATTGTGATTGGATGAGTACTTCTGTGACTCAAATGAATGGGAGAACTTTAGTTGGTAAATGTAGTTATTCACCAATAGAGTATATTGTAAAATCAGCACCGTGTGACCAAATCAGCCGCCTGTGCACTGTCTGAATCTAATAATGAAGGATAAAACATTTGAACATAGCTCAAAAATGTGGCCAATACAGGCCCTTTAATCTCTGTTCATGGGGAACCCTGGCTGTCAGCAGTCCACAGTTCTGCTTCTCCTCAGTGAATAAAAGCTGTTCTGAGGACATGCTGTGTTGTAAGAGCTGGGAAGTAGTTTCATTTAAAACACTCACTTCCTGGTTTCATGGTTTGAAAATCAGGTAATGCAGCTTTCAAGGACCCACATTAGGAGAAACTGCCTTTTAGAGTGTTTCACCCTGTTGATATAACATACTAGAGGAGTGTTTGACTTCATTCATGCATATTCAGATTGGTTGGTCTTCCACGTGCTCATTTTTTATGTGAAGTCGGCACTTGGTGCCCAATCACAGCCACACACGTTAAGCGATAGAGAAAGTAGAGCCTATTTAAATATCATTCATCGATATACATGGAATAAGTGTCAATGTGCTTAAGTCATCAAACGACAATGACAACATCACACAGCACCATGGACTGAATGAACGGCTTTTTGTGTGAAGCAATGTGTAAAGATGCACACCTCATAAAACATTTTAGAACTTTAAAACTACTTGATGACATCACAAGGTGGACCAGAGCTTTTTGAACAGACTAATAATAAAGAATTACTCAAACAAAACACAACTCCAAGTATGGTCCTGGTTTAGTCCTGGTTTAGTCCTGGTTTAGTCCTGGTTTAGTCCTGGTTTAGTCCTGGTTCCACTACAGATGCATTTTGCTGCTTTGGCTGGTTCTCTCTCTGACTGTCCAATCACGGCTCTGAATCCGGTGACGTCGTTCGCTGCTAGAAGGCCCTGGTGACACCAACTCAAAATCTGACTGGTTGAAGCAACAGTTTCATGGACATTTATTTTGTGTTCGAGTTCCTGCAGAACAGATTGTGAAGGCCTCAGGGACACTTCTTTGACTTTGACTCTGTCTGGCAACAAGTGACAGCTGAAATGTGATTGGTCAAATGCTTTAATATGAAAATACATGTGTGGAAGCAGCACAACCATCAGAAAAGCTCTGAAAGTAAGAGGACAGACCATTTGGAATTATTTAATTATAATATAATTAACATCAGTCTGTGATTCAGATATTTTTTTAGGCCAGCATAGAAGGCCTTGCAGGCACTGACGGCCCACCACTGATTTTGCGTAATATACTATCTTATTAAAGTTACTTTATAAAGGTCCTATATTGTATGTCATTGCTTTATAAAAGTGCAATATGGCATTTAAAATAATAAAAAAATCTGATTCTAATGTTTTTTCTCCTTACAGCTGCTCCTTCTGTGACAAGAGCTTTCGGGTAAAGACCCATCTGAACAAGCACTATGAGGTTCACCTGAAGACACGGCCGTACATCTGCTCTGTGTGTGGGAAAGCCTACACCCGCGCCGAGGGCCTAACTGAGCACTTCAGGCTGCACACTGGAGAGAGGCCCTATGTGTGCGCCCAGTGCGGCAAGAGCTTCAGCTACCGCCAGGGCCTGCTGCAACACAACCGCACCCACGCAGGCAAACGCATGGGCCCACACCGCCAACTTGGCCGGCCCAAGGAGCAGCCCAGCCCTGACCCATGAACTACTGACAGCACTTGGATCTGTCACTCTCATATGGAAAAGACATGTAAACGGTCCTATAGAATACTCTGCCTGGCCAAAAAGGACGCACTGTACAAAAGAATATTCACGTGAGTTAAAGGTCCCACATTACGCAAAACTGTCAACTGACAAAATTGACGTTGTTATAATGCTGTTAACTCCTCATAAACATTCCCGGAGTTGTGCCAAGCTCAAAATGCTCTGTTCTCCCTTGTGGTGTCATGAAGCTGTAGTTTTCAAGAGCTGCTACCTCGGCAATTCCAGACCTGAAATTATCCAAATGATTCTAGTGAATGTGTATGTGGAGTTTAAAAACACAGTGGTGCACTGTATCACCAGAATGACATCACAAGGTGGGGTGTTTTCCATTTGAGAGAAGAACTCTGCAGTATTTGTGTGTAAAACATGTGTGAACGAAACAAAACACAACTCCAGGTACATTTGAGATGAGGAAACTATATGAACAGATCAGACAAAAGCGTAAAATGGGCTCTTTAAGATTGCTTTAATTTAGAATGGTAATCTTTTGTTGTCATTTTGACTAGTTTGCATTTGTTAAGTGAGTCTGATTTTAAATATTTTTATCTAATTTTAAGAAGAAAAAAGTGGAGTATGACTGTCACTGAAACGGTTAACTGTATAAGTCAAACATGTGTAGATCTCAGACTTTGCAGAGCACCTCCTGATGTAACAAAACAAATGGATGAGAAATTCCCAATAGAAAGTGAGTTCTATTATTTATTCAAAATGGATTCATGGAATAACTTGGTCCCAGTATATTCAGGTGACCAGCTGACCTCGTTCCAATGGGAGTCTTACCTATTTGCTCAGTTAACCCCTGTGCCTTGTTTATATGCTGTTATTATTGTCATATTAATGTGCAACATATAACTTTGTTTTATTGGTTAAAAAAAAAGTTAGATAAGCCTTATCTTTATTAACAGTGTATGTTTGTCCATGTGTATTTTCTGTTGATTATTTATAAACACATAAACACCTCTTATCTTCACCCAGTGTCTTTTACTGCAGTTTGATTGGCTTAGAAATAGAAAGACGGAGTTAGAATAGAACCAGAAGTCGTGTTCATAGTGACAGCATTTACTGGGTCTTCACCTGTCATCCACACAGGAGAACAAGCATTTGTCTGGGTCTACACAGAAGCACGGCACTATCAGATCAAAAATGATAGGACTGTAATAATTAACCCAGTTCATTACATTACATTCCGACTTTAAAATGACCTATAAAATTTTCATTTTAAATTTCATAAACTTAACCTGTGTGTCCCAAGATATGTTAAAACAAGTTAAAATCAAATACTTTTTTATGTATAGCAATTCTATTGCTGATGTATTCTTAATTACAAAAACTTCAGACATGTATTTATGTTATAATTTGGTGTTTTGGTACTCAAGCTGATTATCCAATCAGAAAGCAGAATGAGCCTAAACCCCAGCACCTGCACCAGTCATGAGTCTGTGCTAGTGCAGCTTCTGCAGCAGGGAATTCTGGAGGTTCTGAGCTTTTATGGGAGAAATGGCCTGTCCACACACTGAGAATGAGACACACTTATATACGTGCTTGTCTGTAATATTCTCAATATGCAGGTTAAGGCTCACGCAACCATAGACTCTGAAATTTGATTTCACATTAAAACCACGTGTGAATCCATTATTATTTTATATTACAATTCATCAGTGTTCATTAATAAACACAAGCACTATGACCGTGAGATGAATGACGGCTAAAATAATAATACAAGAACAGCCAGAATAATAAAGCTCTTGTGTATAGTTGGGGAGCCGGAAGTAGTTGGAGTCACACGCGTGGACTTTACAGAGGCACAAAGGTGCTCGGTGGTCTGCCCGCTGCGCACCTGCCGTCCTCCCCGGTCCTCCCCCGGTCCTCCGCGGTCCTCACCCGGCCCTCCCGTGGGACACCTGCACACTGGTCACCGTCCGGGCTGGAGCAGTTCGCTGGCTCGGGTTCGGTCTGGGTGTTTAGGCTGGTAATGTGGGTGATGTGGCGTCGCTGCTGCGCCTCCAGAGGTCAGTGCTGAGGTTGGTCCGAGCCCATTGTCTGAGCAGCGCTAGCCCCGAGCTGTCCACTCTCCACACGGTCACTGTGCGCTTGTCTCCCGGGGTTTAGTGCACCGCTCCGGCCTCTGTCCCTCTCCGTCCAGGGCTCCTCATTAGCTCTAATAGCTGCGAAGCTAGCTGTGGGCTAACGGCTAACGAGCACTGAGCCATGTCCGGGCTAACAGGCTAAGCCCAGTGCACAGCCCGAGCTGGTCCAGAGCTGGTCCCGCCGCTAGTCCCTCTGCGGACCGTCCAGCTGCTCCGGCCCGGGCCCCGGCTCCAGGACCCGGCTACAGGTCCGACTCCGCGCCGCTGGAGCCGTGTGCGATGAAAAAGAGCTCACCTGAAGCGCACAACAGGTTCGTACAGGCGCTGGCCCTTCTCTTCTGTCAAAGCCAACAGGGCTAATAAACACAATCTAGCCATTCGGGCTAATTACAATTGTAGAGTGTTTTGTGTAACAGTGTGTTCCCCTCCATTCTTTCCACACCCCCGCCCTAGCGTGGGCTTTCATTCTTCAGCCTAAGTGTGCCATTCCAGCTCTGCCGTAGTGTCCTTGAGCAGGACATCAGGGCCCTCGGGCTGCTGCTCTGAATGGGTTGTGTGCACAGAAAGCAGACTGTGACCGGGTTACACGCCATACACTTGTTATGAGTGCAGCAGCGCGCACAGCACTGTATGAGGCTGCATCATGTGGCTCACTGGATGCTTAACTGTATTGTTCAGTACATTCAGGAGATGCATGTTTACAGGGTACACTTTGTGTATGTGTGTGTGTGTGTGAGAGAGAGAGAGAGAGATCCTTTTCACCTCCGACACATTTTGTACATGACATTCTAATAATATATTTGTTGTTTACCAGATGTGAAATAAATTTTTGGTTCTTTTCAGGAAGTGGAAAGATGGGTTCTGAAAATCCCGATGAGCACGGGCCGGCGATCGACTTGGGTCAGGATGAGCTACACGTCGGAGGTCTGATCAACTCCGATGGAGAAGAGATGGACTTTAATGAGCCCAGTCAGTCCTCTACTTCACATTTGCTTGTAATGACAGTACTAGGCCAGTCACAATAACTACTTATTGTTCATTATATGAAAGCTGGAACAATATAATTTGGGGCTCAATATTTATCATATGTACAATTTATTTGTCAAAATGGGGAGATTTGGAGTGTTTTTTGTTATATAACTAAATACCTTAACTAACTTTGCCTTATTATTGGTCTAGTCTGCTGTTTAGTTGTTGCAGCTCAGGCCTTGTGAATGATACTGTCTATTTAAAAATGGTTTATTGGGATGATCGTACATTAGTGTTATTGTATCAGTGGTATAAAGTAATTTCAATGTAATTTTACACTAAGTATTTCTCTGTAACAATACACTGAGCTTCAGAATGTAACAAATGACAGTGCTGAGTTTGTTATGGTCACTATGTTCTTGTGGCTCCCCCAGAAGACGGCGGTGAGTCCATGTTTCTCCAGGGCCAGGATGAGCGGCCTCAGTCTGACACCCTGTGCCCTGTGTGTGGGAAAGACTTCCAGTACGCGTCCAAACTGCAGCGCCACCTCCGCACACACTCTGGAGAGAGGCCCTTCCCCTGCTCCTATTGCGGCAAACCCTTCACTGAGAAGGGCCTGCTCATGGTGCACGAGCGCCTGCACACGGGAGAGAAGCCCTTCCCCTGCAGCTTCTGTGACAAGAGGTCGGTCTCAAACATGTTTACTTAGGCTGAGCTCTTCTCTCAAACAGAAAACACTATTCCACCTTATGATGTCATGTGGTAATACAGAAAGTGCTCCACTGTGTTTTTAAACTCCATATACCCTCATTTGCTGATCTTTAAAGGTCCTATATTTAGCATAATGGATTCTTGTGAACTTTTAGCCATGTTATAATGTTGTTACCTCCTTAAAAGTCAAAATGCTTGAGTGATCCAGGATTATTAGTCTGTCGACTGTATCTCTCAAAGCTCAAAGTACTCTGTTCCACCTTGTGATGTCATGTAGTAGTAGTTTTTAGATTAAAAGCTCCTTTTACCTTTTATTTCATTAGAGATTGAGAGTAGAGAATTCCAGGGCTGAATTCAGCTAAATGTTTCTGGTGAAGATGTATGGAGTTTAAAAACACAGTGGAGCACTTTCTGTATTACCGCATGGTTTCACAAGGTGGAAGGTGGAGTATTTTCTGAGAAGAATTTAGCCTAAGTATGAAGGGTTTGTGTTTCAAATGTGTTTGGGTTTGTTTGTGATGAGGAAACATTGTAATGGATGAGAAAATACTTAGGCCCTTTTAAGTTACCAGCTACCTTTTTTACCTTTTGTTCTGTAAGTTACACATCACAATGTGGAACAGAGCATTTTGAGTTTTGGAGATGTAGACAGACTAATCCAGGATTACTCAAACATGTGTGAATCAAATAAAACACAACAGGTGTGGTTTTGTGAAGGTAACAACATTCTAACATGGGTAAAAGATCAGAGGAGTCAATTTAGCATAATATAGAACCTTTTAACCTAGAAAACGTGTTTCATAAGGTTTGACATTGTTTATTTAAATAGGGATTAGATGTAATTTCATTAAAAGATCCTGTTTAATACAAACATGTGATAAATAAAGTGTGATAATTAGTTAATTGTATCTTGAAATCTCCTTGATCCCCAGGCATACACTGTATGCCATACACTCTGGCTTCAGTTCACTTTCTGTTGAAAAAATGGTGTCCCTCTCTCTGTAACTGCTGCTGTCAGGCTGTTTTTAAATTATTCTGATTTTTTTTTTTTTTTTTTTTTTGCTATTTTGTCCATAATTCAAAATGTGAACATTTAATAACAGATCACTCCTATTAGTTTTAGCTACAAATTTGATTGACAACGTTGGTAAGTGCTTGCCCCCTGCTAAAGCACACTGTACCTTCAACACCCTCCCTCCTGACTGGCTCTTTGGTTACTACAATACTAGTGGTCGGAATTCTAAATATGTAACTCTGCTGCAAATTAGCCACTGTAGCCTCTGCTAGCCTCAATTGACTTTATGACTGGAGCCAAAGGCTGTGAGTGACGTCACACTCCCTCAGCCCTCTTCTTTTTAGTCTATGCCTTCGGCTCTCGAACACCCAGGGGTTAATACAGTGGTTCCTACTTTAGGAACTTCCTACTTTTCCTACTTTAGGAACCACTGTACTTAGGCTCAAAGTTCTGGGACAAATCTTACAGCCTGCTGCTTAGGTGTGTGCTGCAGACAGTGACCAACCCTGTGCGTGTGCGTGTGCGTGCATGTGTGTGCAGGTTCACCAGTCAGGGGGAGATGAAGCTCCATGAGCGCACCCACACAGGGGAGCGGCCCTACAGCTGCCGTCTGTGTGTTAAGAGCTTCTCCAGGCACTGGCACCTGAAGAGTCACCTGGAGGCCATGCATGCCCACGTGGTGGAGGGCTTCATCCGCAAGAAGTTTCCCTGCTCCCAGTGCGATAAGAGCTGTAACTCTGCAGCCGAGCTCCGGGACCACCAGAGGACCCACACCGGGGAGCGCCCATACCAGTGCTCCTTCTGTGACAAGGCCTTTGCTTTGGCAGGTGGGCGCGCAACTACTTTCCAGTGTCCACATCCATTGCCTCTTAAGAATGGCTCTCTCCAAGAAACTCCACCACAACACCCACATTTTATGTCCCTCCTCAGTCTGTACTGTCACTGGAGAGGAAAAGATTAAAGCTTGTGTCCCTATGCAGACTCAGGAGCAAAAGGATTCTATAGACCAATGGTTACTACTGCCTCTCAGACTCATCACACATGCAGGGGCATTTACACTGAAATGTGAACTGCTAGTCTAATACAAGAATCTCATGCATTTTCAGAACTTGTTGTCATAAACTATAGATTTAGCAGGTTCTGTGTATTGGAAATTATATATTGCTGCAGTTGTTATTGGGTTTTAGAACTCTCACACGTTCCTCCCCCTGGCTCTCTAGGAACCTTGGTTCGACATGAGCGTCTGCACACGGGCATCACGCCGTACCACTGCACAGAGTGTGGGAAGACCTTCTCTCAGCAGTGGACCCTCACCACCCACATGCGCACCCACAATGGGGACCGGCCCTACAAATGCTCCCACTGCGACAAGTCCTTTGTGACCCCCGGTGAGCTGCGCAGGCACAGCCACATCCACTCGGACGACCGCCCACACGAGTGCCCTGAGTGTGGGAGGCACTTCAAACTGGCACAGACCCTCCGCAACCACATCAGGACCTGCCACCGCAAGCCTGGCCAGGACAGTGCTCAGGAGAGGGGGCACAACTCAGGGCGACTCCCCACAACTGGAGGACCAACCGCTAACCGCAAAACTGCTAACCAGCCTACAGCTAACAGGGCTGCATCTAACAGGGCTGCAGATGTCCGTCCTACTGCTGCTGACCAGGTGAGCCTGACCACACTGTGACCACACAGATCAATCATCCATTATAGAAAGTCTTTATGGATAGGCCTGACTCAGCCAGGCACATGATGTTCTGAGGTCTAAAAATAGGTCGAAGGTCAGAGAATTGATCCAACTCTGACTAAATTCTGTCCTTAGACAAGACACTCCCATTGCCTATGAATATGGTGTGAGTGAGCAGTGGTGGTTGGAGGGTAGGTTGGCGTTGGATTGGCAGCCTTGCTTCTTTTTTTTTTAAGTTTTAGAGGCCACAAGAAACTGAATAAATATGAGAGCCACAGTGAGCTTTAAATGAGATGCAGTTGAAACCTAAAAAAACATAAACCATTATTAATTTATTATGGTACAAAGTTAGGCATCAGAATGATACATGTATGATGGTAATAGGCATTTAATTAATAATTTTACTTATTCAGCACTTTACATGCAATTTATTTGTCGAGTTTCTTGAAAGGGGGTGGAGAGCTACTGGTAGCTCCCGAGCTACAGGTTGGAGACCCCTGCGTTAGACAGTGGGACACTTGCGGCCTATACTGATCCACTCCAACTGGTGGAAATCAGGCTAAAGATCTCTCCTGTTCTGTGTTTGTCCAGCCTCTCCACCGTCCAAGGGTTCCACAGACCCCCACTCCAGCACCAGGCCCCCCCCACACTGACCCCCAGAATGAGGAGGAGTCCCTGGAGCACTTGGACCACAGCTCCAGCCCTGTCAGTGTGGTAGTGAAGGAGGAAGAGGAGGAGACGCCTCTCTGTGGTAACATGCACTTCATATAACCCAGACTACAGTCTGTACTTCAGAAACATGCCTGGAGTGTTGTTTAGTTTCAGTAATCCTGCATGTTCATTCACTTTACTTCTTCAGAGATTAGACTGGTCATTTTTTAAGCTCTAATCATAAATGACCACATTAAATTGTCCCGTCATCAAAAACATACCTTAGGTCAATTTGAACAAGAGTTTGACATCATTTATAGTAAATAAATAATGCTACCTAGGTCACAGAAGTTGTAGTTGCTTTTGGTAACTACATCTTTTCAAGAAATGTAAGTCAGTACTTAAGATCATTCTTATCTTGTGACATGAGGTCTTGTCCCATCCCTTCTAATGCCTCATTGGAAATGGAGATGATGTTCATAAAAGTATATTATCCAAATGCAGACATTATTTTAAGTTAGAAATGTGAAATACTTATCCCAAAGTGACCAAAGCGTATTTCGAAGGGAATTAAAGAATCCATAATGTGTTCTTTCGGTGGCCATATGTGTGGTGTATGTCTGGTGGTTACTGCTGGATGTTTCTTTTAATAATACTCTAGTATTATGACATGATTGAAAATGAAGTGGTATTGTGCCCCCATTCTTCACATGAACTTTATTTTGGAAATGAAAGTAGAGCATGTGATTGTTCTCCAGCTGTAGGAGCGTCCAGGAGGGAGGAGCAGCCCCAGAGGGACAATCCACGTGAAGCTGTGAGGAAGCCTCCAAAGAAACGCAAAGTCAAGGTCCGAGTGAAGGAGGAGGAAGAGGAGCCTATGAACTGTGAGTCTGCAGCTCAGGCCAAATGTTTAGATCCACTACAAGGATTTGTACATTTTATTATGTGAGTTAACGCTAAGGCAAATTATATTCAAATCAAATAGGAATTCTTAGCTTGAGACCCAAAGACACAGGACTATGCTAGCTTTGCCAAAAGAACACTGACTCACGAGGAGGGGTGTTTTGCCGCGTTCAGACTGCGGTGTCAGGGGTCTAAGGGGGTCACGTGTATCGGCCAGTCCAACGCTTCTGCGGCACATTTCCAGCGTTCACGCTTTGCGTCTTGAGCGTCAGCGCCACAGGCGTCATATGAGTTGAAAAATCTGAATTTTCGGGAAACTTTTCCACGCGTCAACACGTTTGAAGCGTCTGCCCTGAAATGCAAATGCGTCCAACTAGAGGTGTTGGGTGCGCTTTTGACGCCGCGGTCTGAACGAAGCTTTAGAGTGAGACCTGACCGGCTCTGTGCTCCCTCTGTAGTGTCCTTGGTGAACTCTGCTAAAGTGAAAAGGGGGAGGTGCCCGGGCATGCCCTCACAGCACGAGGAGCTGGATGACCCGTCCAAGAGCCCGTTCTGCTGTGGTCTGTGTGGGCGAGACTGTCGGAAGATGTCCGCTCTGCAGGTGCACATGCGCATCCACTCAGGAGAAAAGCCCTACTGCTGTTCCTACTGCGGCAAACAGTTCACCCAGAGAGGCCAGCTCACCGGGCACCTGAAGATCCACACGGGGGAGCGGCCCTTCACCTGCCCCGACTGTGGAAAGAGCTTTGCTCACTCTGGAGCCATGAACCGCCACCGGCTCACCCACACAGGAGAGAGGCCCTACCACTGCCAAGTGTGCCCACGCACCTTCAACCAGTCCGGCCGCCTGCGCGAGCACGAGAAGATCCACAGTGGGGAGAAGTTTGACTGCCCACAGTGTGGTAAGGACTGGCTGATTTCACATCTCAGAGGGGGGCACGAGCCGGTGTTTTACAATAGGCATGATTTGTTAGCACACTGAACAACAGAACATGCGATCCTTAGTGTCCTTCCCTTCCTTTCCAGATTGGGATCATCCATCATAAAGTGAACCTATTGGGGGATATCATCATGTATGTGACTGTGAGCACTACCACATCATACTGGTGATACACCACACATAGAGCAGCCCACTCAACTGGCAGCCTGCACCAAATCTGGCCCAACTTTGATTGGGCTGTGACCACTTTTTCTGACCTAAATGTCCCAGTATCTGCACGAGTGCAGAGGTGCATCATCCACTTTGCATTTTGCTGCAAACACACATCACTGAGTGTGGCTTGTTTTCCTGGTTAACACTTCATGGAATAATAAGAACACATCTCCTAGAAGTCGCCCCCCTCTCTCCTGCCATCCTCCACAAAGGACATACCCACGCGCCCCCACACACAAGCTCATACATGAGCTTCACGCTGCTGACCTGACAGCCCGGTTTAGTCTACGCTGCACTGTTCAGAGGCTCTAAGGCACAGGAGCTCCCCTTTACCCAGGGCCTCTCGCCCCTCCCAGTGGACAGTCCTGTGTATGCTACTGTGGTCTGGATCTCCCTTGTATTCACTGCATATATAACACCATTTAAGTGTGGCCATTTGGAGACGAGAGAGATGAGGGGTCACATTACACAGGGGGAGGCAGGGGAAAGTAAGGGCAGAGCTTATCGTCTGCACAGAGCTTAGAGCCCATCATTTCATGCTTTGTCAGAAGCATGCTTATGCCTCATTGTAGCGCTTAGTAGCATAGTAGTTTGGTAATTGCTTGTTAACTGCTTATTATGCTGTGATGTCACCGTGATGTATAATACAGTTTTCCTGTTTAACCATACATATGGGTTGTGTATAGGTTGTGTGTAAATAAAACCATATTGCCTATTTATAGCCCACATTATGCCCATTTGTGAATCATGACATTTGCCAATCTGCCCCCCGGAAAAGGAAGTTGAAAAGCTCTGCAGTCAGTATTCTTTTGAGTGAATGCTTATTTATACTAGTAACGGACTAGTTGTCACAACCATTTTTAAAATCTATTTAATTCTTGAGTGACGTTTCTATCCTTGTACTTGTGACTTGCCTAGGTAAGACGTTCACGCGCGCATCCAGCCTGAAGAACCACGTGCGCCTGCACACAGGGGAGCGGCCCTACATGTGTGACCTCTGTGGAATGGGCTTCACCCGCTCACAGAGCCTCCGCCTGCACCGCCGCAAGCACCTCGGCCTCCAGCCCAAAGAGGAGCCCGGAGAGCCCGACGAGCTGGATGAGAGTATGTTTGACGACTTCTACAGTGACCACAATTCTCCCATCAACATGTGTATAGCTGACCAACAGGACTGTGTCAACGGGAGGGTCAGTGATGAGCAGAAGGACCAGTGGTTTATAGGACACAAACTGTTTGATTCAGCTCCTCCTCACACCTCCAACCTGAACCGCACGTAACACTGGGGCTGGCCTCCTACATTCCTTTACCTCGGCTCCATCTTCTACAGAGCTATCCTCCTCTAGCTCTGCTACTTTTACTGCTACTGTTCTCCACACCTGTCTTTCACCTCTGGACCTCTACTCAGTCTTCTACACCCCTGTCCTCCTCTGGGCCTCTGCTCCATCTTTTACACCCCTGTCCTCCTCTGGACCTCTGCTCCATCTTTTACACCCCTGTCCTCCTCTGGACCTCTGCTCCATCTTCTACTCCCCTGTCCTCCTCTGGACCTCTGCTCCAACTTCTACACCCCTGTCCTCCTCTGGACCTCTGCTCCATCTTCTACTCCCCTGTCCTCCTCTGGACCTCTGCTCCATCTTCTACTCCCCTGTCCTCCTCTGGACCTCTGCTCCAACTTCTACACCCCTGTCCTCCTCTGGACCTCTGCTCCAACTTCTACAGCCCTGTCCTCCTCTGGACCTCTGCTCCAACTTCTACACGCCTGTCCTCCTCTGGACCTCTGCTCCAACTTCTATACCCCTGTCCTCTGGACCTGAGGACCAGGCTGTGCGCAGTGCGCCCATCACTACCTAAAACTCATATTTATTTGGTGCACATGTGAATACAGCAGGTTCTTCCCGGTCTCCTCCTCCTGGATGATGGATGGATCCTCTGTGTGTTCTCAGTTCAATAGTGGATTCACACTATTTACTTTATGTTCGTGCCCTTGAGGCATCAGAATGTCCAGTGATGTGTTTACCTCTGCTGGTCACAGCACATCTACTGGCCCAGCTGATACACTACAAATGATGTAGTAATATCTTTTTTTTACTTTACTCAACACAGCATTAATGGCTGTAACAGGAACAGGATACAACATAGTTTTTCTACTAAACTGCAGGTTCAAAGCAGTGCTCTGGTGCATAAACCAATGTGTGGGCCTTACCACCACCTCCTCCTCATTCTTGTTTCTGACAGTTTTAGATTTCCAGTCCTTAGGTTCATGCAGTATATGGCTGTGGAAGGTGACGTTCACTCACCAGTCTAACCATGGAGACTTTTTTTTTTTTTTCTTTCAGTCTGATCAGAACAAGACCAGAACAATCTACCTGAAATCACTTTTGACCAATCAGTATTTAGTCCCAGCAGAGCTTTTGTTGACGATTCCGTTCACCTTTACATGTATATACGTTCAGATGTATTCAATGATTAGAATGATGAATATGGGGCTTGTGATGTCAGTGTAAGTCATTTGTTTTCATGTGTAAAATGATTACTGTAAGCAACACTCACTTTCAATAAGTGCAATTGATATTTGGGCTTTAAAGCGAGACTTTAGCAGACTGTTACCGTTAGCCAAAATGTACAGTGTGAAATGTCTTAATAATCAATGTGTCTTGTGTCAGAACCCCCAGATGTAGAGGACACCTGTTGTCAGTGCTGCCTCTAAATGTGTACATTTATATCCAAAGCTCTCCAGTAACCATTTCAATAAAACATGAAAATGGATTGTTGCTTTTTTATTCCAAAATGTGTGTCGAAGTTACATATTATTGATGTACTAATACAGACAATAAATTGAAAAAGGTGATTTAATTTTGTTGTGGTTATAATGGTTTTGTTCACGATAAAGTCATGTCTTTGTAGTCAAATTTGAGGAAGCCAGAGTTATTTTGTCTTTTGGAAACATGCTACTCAAGTGTAAGAGACCTTAAAGAGTAACTGGCACATAGTATTGTCACATAAAACTTTTGTCACTGGGAAGAGGAAGCACTACTTTTACTCAAGTAAGAGTAGTCTGTTACTTCAGTGACAATAAGGAGTAAAACTAATTGCTAGAATAATACTCTTTATAGTGGAAAGTACAATTTCTTTAAAAAGTTACTCAAGTAAATATAATGTAATGTGCCGAAGGACCGTGAAGGTCTCTTAAACAGCGGTCTCGCTGTACACAGTCTATTGTCCGAGGGGCCGTGAACACCTCCCAGAGATAAACACGTCCCGCGTGCGCACATGCGTGCGCAGCTTTAGCAGCGTTTAGCTTCCGTAAACTCCGACTGTTCCTCCAAATGTGCCGCTGTGAGTCACCGGGCAGATCTGCCCTTGGATAACGCTGTAAATACGCTTCAGGTACGTTTTAAACCACCTCTTTCTGCCTATTCTGTCTTGTATTCACAGTGGAAGGAATCAACACCGGAGCTAAGCTAAGCTAGCTAGACGCTGCAGTGTTTGGGACTACGGCTTTATTGTATTCTCCCTTTAGATGAATTTATTCGCCCTTTAGATGACATATTGAAGTTAATATTCACACATCTGTGGTTCTTAGTCACAAAACAAGAGTATGCATGAGGTTACGCGCTCAGTCTTGTGATGAATTGCCTTATTTCTGAACATTCTTGTGTGGCCGCAGCAGCACATGGACTTTGAATAGAATAGTGCGTGTTTCACATGATAGTGGACAAAGGTGACCAGAAGTGAAGAAGCAGCCTGGACGAGCTGCGAAACCAGACAGAACTGAATGTCTCCTTTGCTGAAGGTGGCTGGAGTTTACACGTGTTATTAGGCCTATGTGATGATGTAAATATAAATTCATTCATTCCACTGAGATGATAACCCTGAAGTAGGATTATCCACAAAAACTAGTCTAAATTGTTAAAATGTATGAGCGGTAAAAAAAGAAATATCTGAATTAATCTCTTTAGTAGTGAGTTTGTATCTGTAGTTAATCATAGAAGTCAGTAATTCAATCCTCTACAGCTCAAATCTTTGTATTGTAAAAAACATAATAAACCAAAAACATCTCACTTGTGCGAAGAAAAGAACAATGATAAATATTAACCCCTAAAAATAATGCTCTATCTAACATACTGGATGATAAGTTGATACGGTAATTATTGACAGGCCTACGTGTTATGCAGCTGTTTTCTGTGGTATTGGTTTAATGTGATTGGGCAACAGGTCATTTCCACATTAATAAAGCACTGATAAACCAGCACAATGTCTTTCAGAACGTGCAGGTCTGAACCAGTAGGTGTTATTCACTGTAAAACCACTCAGACACACAGATTCTAAAGAGTTTGAGCTAATGTTCTTAAAGATCTTAAAGGTATAGAGCTTAGATATATTTGGGCTGATTTGTAGGGCATATTTTGATCATTTTCCCCAAATGTTGCAGTTTAAATTTACTGCACATTCACCCACAGCCCCCCTTTTACCACAAACCTTTAAGAGAGCTGTGCAGTCATGTTGCGTGCTTTTATTTCTTTCCATGTGTTCAAATGAAGCTTTGTGAGCCGTTTTTAGGCATCAGATCGACCAAAACATCACCTTGTGCTTGAAATTTAAGGCTGATAACCAATGCGCTAAAAAGTCCAAATATCGGCCAACCAATATATCAGTCCATCTTTAAAACGAAAGTATTTACCATATTTTTCTAGCTACAAGTCGCCCGGGAGTATAAGTCGCACCAGCCAAAAATTAGTAATGAAGATGAAAAAACATATATATGTTGTTTTTTTGGGGGAAAATTAATTTTATAAAATCAGAGACCAGGAACTGACATTTCATGTTGAAAGACAAGTTCTAGTAATAACAGTAGAAGAGAGAACAACATACTGTTAATGTCACATATGAACAGCATAAACAACAGAACAGAACAAGTTTACCAAATTCTTCATCTCACTCACATATCACTAAACCTATTCAGTTATTCATCCTCGGTGTCACTTCTGACCAACTGCGTGACCTCCGGAGGTAAACAGAGCGCCGCTTCCTCTTCTGTGTAGCTGTAGTCAAACTCAGCATCAGTTACAGTTAGAATTATTCTGGCCTTTCTGAATCTCAACTGGATGGTTTCGGTGTCACTGAAGTCCAGGCTTCATTGCCATCCAATGACTTCCAAGAAAGTTGCACGGCACACCCATCCGTTTACTGTGAAGCTGTGTTCTCCATCCCCGCTTTCCGGCAGTCCCTCACAAGTTTCTCGCTCACTCCAAACTTTCTTTTTGTTCCTCGATTACCATTTTCATGCATATTTCACTACTTTCAGCAGGACAGAGGCTCTTTCTGCAGGAGACATGCACAGTAGAGTGAAGTGACAGTGGTACAGAGTAATAGGAGCAGCAGATACTGGCACACAAGCCTAGGGCGCCCTCTTGTGGCTGTCAGTGAGAAAATCTTAATATAGAAGTTGCACCGGAGTATAAGTCGCAGGAAACACTCAAATCATGAAAAAAGTGCGACTTATATTCTGAAAAAATATGGTAATTCTTAAAACACAAGTTATTACACAAAAGATCCAATGGTGTTATTTATCCATTCCTAAAATAAAAAATAAAACAGGCTTTTATTTGAGTCTACTTTTGGGCTAATACTGTGGCTTTAAATGAAATGATTAATATTGCACTTTCACTTCAGTTTTGATGTTTCCGCTATGAATGAGGAACAGAGACTGGTGACTCCTGTGTGTCCAGGCTGCTGTGGTCTGCTCCAGGCCAGTCACCATAAACACTATGCCGTTCAATACGTGACAGATGTGTCCACATTATTTCCCTTGTGGTCAGGTTTATCGTGAGGACTTTTTCTTTGTTCTAGTGGGATGGTTTATGTTGTTGTCCTGTCACGATAACACATTTACACAATAATGAAACTAATTTATGACACTGACACAACAACCCAAGAGCAGATTTAAACCACAAAACTCTTCTAAATCTACAATATTGTAAAAACATCGTGAGCATGAACAGCAGAATCATTCTTAGTTTGCATCTCTAATGAGTCATAGTAGTTATTATTAATTTAACCTTTTATTATGGGTATTAAAATTTTATCGTACAAATTACTAAAAATTTCCCAGTTTTGAAAAAACGTCCCCAGAATAAACACTGATCCCAAAAATACATTGTTCCATCTGTCCTGTACTGAACGAGAATAATATATCTCAATATCGTGACTGTGGTGAGCCGACATGCTAAGATCAGATTTGAGCTTTAGAGGGTTAAATACATAACTGTTTTAACGATGTTGCACATTAGGGTTGCCCTGTCAGAATAAATTAGATTCAGTATTATTGTTTAGCGTCCATATTTTCTGTAGCCATATATTGCACTTCAAAATGTGTTCCCGTGACAGGCCTAGTGTGGTCGCAGAGGAGGATGGTGTCATACAAGCGTCTGGACCCAGAGCAGGTGCGCTTCTCTGGGGGGGCCTTCAGCGATGAGAGGCCACCGGTTTACGAGGAGACTGCCGTGAGTACAGCTAAGCACCCACACTGCACCAACCAGTTCAGTTCAGCAATTCACTAATGTTACTACTAGAGCTGGGTATCATTAAGAAGTTGCCGATACGATACATACCACGATACATATCTCGATACAGTAAGCTTTCGATTCAGTATGATGTATTTCAAATCGATTTGATACAGTTCAATAAAAATAAAGGCTAAATCATGTCTGTGATATTAAAAGTCTTTGTTAAACCAGTAAACTATACCAAAAAATACTCTTGGCAATATATTGATACAGCAGCCCACGATATTGATACAGTATCATTAAACAATACTATATATCGATATTTTGATATTTTTTACACCCCTAGTTACTACAGTATAATACTGATGATTAGTGTCATCACAATACTGAAAGTGGATTTCAATACTAAGGAAAAGACTTGATACTCAATAATACTGATTCCAATACCACAAAGATAATGAAAACACTCTTTAGACCATATACTGTGATTTTCAACATTAAATGGTAGTACATTTTTTTTTCTGTTCTCATGTGTCCTTACATTTGTGTAATCCTCAGTGGTCCAGATAGGTTCCACAGTGCTCTGTGTGTGTACTAGACTATGTGCTCTTATCTTAGTATCTGATTTTCAATATTTTTGACATCACATCACATCATGATCAGTGATATTACAAACATACTGATTTAAAAGTAGATTGTTCCTGCTTTTTTTTTTTTTAATGTGGCATGGTCACATTTAAACTAACTGGATTAACTGCACCTATTTCAGTAGTTCATTGCACTGACCTCAGTTCTATGGCTTTCCACTGGCCCTCTGCCAAGTCTGTGTTTCATTATGTGGCTCTTGATGATCAAAGACTGGGCTTCACAGGACCTCACCTGATTTTAACACCTACATATCTTCATGGTGACATGTTGACAATAGCCATGCTGCTATTTTGAAATGGATTTCTCAGTTCAAATGTATAATATCAAAAGGTTGTCAAAGGTATTTAAAATCAGATACAACTGATACAACACAACTACTATGGAAACTACTACAATACTCATTAGAGCAGGTATCAATACTACAAAGGTCCCACTGACAGGACAGAAATGAGCCTTTCCTGAATAGCTTTAGAATGATCTTGAGCTGAGAAATAAGTATAAGAGCACAGACTCTACAAAATCTATGGGAAATACTGTAATTAAAGAGTGTGTTTTATTATCATTGTATTAATGGAATGGGTATTGAGTATTGGGTTTATTTCTTAGTCTGGCAGTCAAGTTTGAAGTTTTAGTATCATGGCCACACTGGTAGTATATTCCATGTGTAGTGCACAGTGAAAGACAAAGAGCACATGTCCCTTTGGTGTTGCTAGCTCATGTGTTGTGTGTAGGTCCCAGAGCAAGAGGAGGCCCCTCTGATGCACTGGACTCGCCGCTGCTCCGTCACTAGAAGCCTGTTTGTGATTGGATGTCTGCTGCTGCTCCTGTTGGGGGGCTGGCTCCTGGGAACCAGATACTGGCTCCTCTCCTCCCCCTCCTCCTCACTCCCCCACCATCCCCCTGCTCCCGCTCCAGGCAGAGGCTCTAACCCTAACTCCACAGCCCCCTCCAGTGCCCCTGCTCCCCCCAGAGAAGGCTGCACGGTGGTGCCAGAGACCTGGAGGTTTGACTGTTACCCGGAGAGAGGGGCAATCGTGACCCAGGAGATTTGTGAGTCCCGGAACTGCTGCTTTGTCCCTGGGCGCACCGGGCAAGACGGGGTGCCCTGGTGCTTCTACCCCCCAGACTTCCCCTCGTACTCCCTGGTGTCCATGCAGCCCACCCCCCTGGGGCAGAAGGGCGTCCTGCAGAGGCAGCACAAGACCTACTACCCAGGAGACATCATGAGGCTGCAGCTGGAGGTGTTTGAAGAGACCAACTCACGCTTACATGTCAAGGTATATTGCTCTGGTGCTCCATAAAGTTACAAATGGCCAATTCTTCCATTATGAGCAGAACAGTCTGCTCTGGGGGTATAAGGAACAGTGTGATTGGTCTAACAGGTATCCACAGTTTAAACTTCACCATTGCAGCCAGTGTTTGTATTAGAAACACTTGGTGACATCTGTCATGATGTGTACATATGTACATATACTAGTACACAGTTTAGTAACAAAAAGGTATTCCACTTCAAAAACTGGAGTCTTTGTGATTTTCTGTTTGCTATTTAAAATACCACAATTTCCTCCACAAACAACAAAATCTCCTGTCTTGTTCTGCATAAAAATGTCTGTGAGCCTGTGTCCACTGAAGGAAGGCCATGCTGGGCCCAAACACATAGGTGTGATGTCAACAGTGTGCCTTGGATTTTTGTCACTAGTCCAGGATTATTCTCTTGCTGTACTAAGTGCACTGCTGCTGTGTTCCTTCCAGATCACGGATGCTTCCAGCCCCAGGTATGAGGTCCCCATAGAGGTCCCCTCTGCCACAGAGAGGGCCCAGACTCCAGAGTATGTGCTGGAGCTGTCCAAAGAGCCGTTTGGAGTCATCGTGAGCCGAAGATCCACTGGAGCCGTTCTGTGAGTCCCCGTTGGACACAGCCAAACACAGCACTGCACTCTGTCATGCACATCTGTAGGGGCTTTAGTCCTAAGTTTGTTGTGAAAAAATGTAATCTAACCGTTGAATGAAATGAAGGTCTGAGTCAAAGACTTGTCTTTGTGGTGGATTTTAATGGTTTTCAAAAGGGGACAACACATAAGGAATGTTCAATGATGTCCAGAGGGGGGTGCTCCCAGACTGGCCTTTTACAGAGAAATTCCAAGGTCAAATATAGATGCCTCAGCAGTGACTATTACAACACAGTCCAGGATCTGATGTGAAGAGAGAAAATAAACAATAAACCAAATTGAATGTACTAAAATGAGCTAAGAAAACCAAACCAAATATAACTAAAATCTATATAAGTACAAATAATACAGTAATAATTAAGCAAAAGATTCCAGAGGAATCCTCTTACTATCATGTACAACAGGACACAATGGCACTTTTCCTGGTAACTCAAAGACGCTGAATATAAGACAAGGACAAGACAAATGAACAACGAGTAGGCTAATGAGGGACAGCAGTGAGAAAAAATATGAGCCGTTTTAGGTTAGCCCTGGCTTATGCCTTATTTAAAAACCTGGTTTACTACATTTGTTAAGTCATAGTTAACAGGTGTAGTCCTGGTTTAGTCCTGATTTAATCTTGATTTAGTACAAGGTTTAGTCCTGGTCTAGTACAAGGTTTGGTTCTAGTTTAGCTCATGAATCCCTGTTGGAGAACTGCAAGTCAAACCTCACTCTCCTCTCGGTGTGGGACACTGTATGTTTGTGTATGTTTGTGTCTCTTGTGTTGGTTCCATTGTTTTCACTGTGGGTCTTGTGTCCGGTGTGTCCAGTGTGAACACCAGCGTGGCTCCTCTCCTGTACACAGACCAGTACCTGCAGATGTCCAGCTCTCTGACCTCTCAGTACATCTACGGCCTGGGAGAGCACCGCTCCTCCTTCCAACACGACCTCCAATGGAACACACTGACCATGTGGGCGCGCGATGTGCCTCCTACGGTAACTGTCCATGCTACTGCGACTACTGCTACTGCTACTGCGACTACTGCGACTGCTATGAACTACTTCACCTACTAACTACTGCTGATTACAATTACTAAGTAATTATGAATTCTACTGCAACTGCTACTGACTGCTAAAGGCTAACACACACCAAAACAGGTGCACCTCAATGTGTCATTTGTCATTTATCAAACCCCTGTGTCACACACACTGAACACTGCGGGTTATAGCTTTTTAAAAGGCTATAACATAAATGAGCATTTGCAGATTACTTATAAAATAAGAGACACAGTGCAAGGCTGTGAGAGGAGAGGAAAGGCGCTGGTTTGAGCAGGTTACAGTGAGTTTAGAGAGGTGAGAATTTCTTGCATGGAGAGAAGCGGGACAGGAGCCAGTCTTCTGCTGTGTTGAACACCAGGGCTTTCTCTGTCTCTCCTGCAGCTCTGTGCATCTGCTCACACTTTACGGCTCCGTTTGTGGGTCACAGAGCACAGACATGTCTGTACTCAATGCACATGTGCAAAATATCTCATGTGTCTCAGACATGGTGCCACATTTCAATTCAACAAACCCCAATGGTGGCGCAGGGTCGAGTGCTTGTGTGTTTAGCTCATTGAAAATAATGTAGGTGGCAATTTTGCTGCGTGTCAAAGCGTACCTGTGTACACTAGCCTTAAGACTGCTACTAACTACTACTACTATGAATATGAACTACTACTAACTAATGCATCTACTAACTTCTACCATGACTTCTACAGGTACGATGACTGCATTACTAAGTAATACTGCTCCTAACTGCTGCTATATCTACTGTTATGACTGCTATGAACTGCTCATGTACTACTACAACTATGACTGCTATGAACTACTCTTATATTAATTCGAGTATCTAGCGCTACTGCTACTACTATCTATACTAATACAGTGGTGTACTGTGTAAACAGGAGAAGACCAACTTGTACGGCGTGCACCCGTTCTACCTGGGCCTGGAGGAGGGAGGGCTGGCTCATGGATTCTTCCTGCTCAACTCCAACGCCATGGGTCAGTCTACCTCTCCACACACTGTTTCATCATGTGTACAACACACACCTGACCCTGTGTTACAGAGGGCCCTGTGCACTGTGACCTGATACTGGTTTAGTCTCTGTTTAGACCTAGTTTAGTCTCCATTTAGACCTGGTTTAGTCTCATTTAGACCTGAATTCAGATCAAGTGATGTGAAAACTCTGAGACTCACTGGTCTAATAGCCAGTTGCATTTTTAATGATGAATCAGGGTTCACGTTTAGAATAAATCATTCAATTATTAAATATTGTAGAATGTTTTGAGGATTGCTAGATTAGTCAATATGGCAGAAAATTTACATTCAATCATTTTCTTTGTAACAAATCACAATTCAAGTTTTTTATCACGACTTTACAGCTGTAGAGTCCATGTTATTTGTAACTAAAGCTGTTTGCACACGTGATTATAATGAGGCCAAATGTGAACGCATTCTCATAACAGAAAAGATGCTTTACACCAGATTAATATAAAATGACCCATAGGAGGAGCATGTGAAACAGAAGGTAGTATGCCTCAGTCTGTGTCAGACAGTGATGTGCCCACCTCTTTCCATACATATGATGTAATGTTGTTTTGGTCAGATGTGGTGCTGCAGCCTGCTCCTGCAATCACCTGGAGGACCATCGGAGGGGTGCTGGACTTTTACCTGTTCCTGGGCCCGGAGCCAGCCTCAGTGGTGCAGCAGTACCTGGAGGTTGTTGGTGAGGAACACATTGTGGAAAGAACATGCTTTTCTAATCATGTGCTCCTGCAAATGGTGTAACACATGTACATATGTATTTACACAGGACGCCCAGCCATGCCCATATACTGGGCCTTGGGCTTCCATCTCTGCCGCTGGGGCTACAAGACCAGCAACGCTACCTGGGAGGTGGTCAAGAGCATGAGGGACTATGGTATACCTCAGGTTAGTATGGGTTTGAAAAAACAGTTATGAGGACAGGCCATGCATCATGTGAAAGCTCAGAATTCCTGCTAGAGCTGCAGAGGCTGCACTAGCATTGACTCGTGACTAGTGCAGGTGCTGGGGTTTAGGGAGAGACTATTCAGATCAGAGAGACATTTTAGGTTTAAACACACTGGATGTCAGCTTTGAAACCTGCAACACAAATGAGAGACTTGTAAGGCATTCTTATTGGATAATCGTCTTAAACCACATATAATTTGGTTCAAGTATATAAATTTACATTTTATCCAGGGTTTTTGTAATTAAGAATGAATCAGCATTACAATTGTTATCAGTAATAGTTATATTTGATTTGAGCACCCAGTTCAAAATAACACTTAATTAAAATGCTTCATACTGTTTTATAGTGAAATATTCTGGTGAAATACACAATCTCAGCTTAGAGTGAAGTAGAATGGGAAAGTGCAGAGCACACCTGTTTGTATACTGACACATAAAGCCTTTATTCTGTGTGAGCAGGACGTCCAGTGGAATGACATAGACTACATGGAGCGCTGCCTGGACTTTACCTATGACCCAGTGAACTTTAACACTCTACCCGAGCTGGTGAAAGACCTGCACGCCCATGACCAGCGCTACGTCCTCATACTGGTACACACACACACACACACACACGACCAGCACTACGTCCTCACACTGGTACTGGTACTAGAGAGGTACTAGGTACTAGAGATGGGCTATTTTTTCATCCACAACCGCGACACAAAACTCATCATTCGCCCGCTGTCCATCTGCACCCAAGGTTTTGACCAATTTTCAAAACCGCACTCACCCGCCATCCGCTCATTGATTTTAGATTTTAGAACAATCATATAGGAAACAAACTAAGGAGCCTCGATAAAAATGCTAACTCTATAACTCATTCATTCCAAAATTTGCTCAACGTGCATGTTCACATTCTTAATTGTTTGTAACAAAACGCCGCTCGTTGCTCAGGGTTTAACTTCCTGTTCAGAACCTCACTGAGAGTGCGTGGGCTCAATAAACGCGCCAGTTCGTTGCTCAAGAATCGTGGCTTTATTTGCCATGATGCACTAAATAACAGGGCAATTGCTTTCTGACTCACTTCGGTCGCTTTCCTACCGTTCATTTCACATACAGTAAAACATAGACACCCATACACTTCACGGGCCCATTCAAGAAGCGCGTGCCTCAGGGTTGCGCACACAGTCACTCACTCAGTCATGCTCACGCCACACGCCACTCTAAACACTGCACATAGGAGTAAAGATGCATATCTCATAACACTTAACAATATAGGCTATAATATATATATATATTTTTTATTTGAGTAGTGAAACCGCCACCCGCCCGAATTTAATTAAAATATTATTTTCCGTCACGTCATCCGCCCGACCCGCGGTTTAGCCGCAGACACCGCGGCTGTAACCACAATCCGCGCATCTCTATGGTACACACAAACACACACACGCCCATGACCAGCACTTCGTCCTCATACTGGTACACACACACAAACACACACACAAACACACACACCCCCATGACCAGCACTTCGTCCTCATACTGGTACACACACACAAACACACACACGCCCATGACCAGCACTTCGTCCTCATACTGGTACACACACACAAACACACACACGCCCATGACCAGCACTTCGTCCTCATACTGGTACACACACACACAATCACACACACGCCCATGACCAGCACTTCGTCCTCATACTGGTACACACACACACAATCACACACACGCCCATGACCAGCACTTCGTCCTCATACTGGTACACACACACAAACACACACACGCCCCATGACCAGCACTTCGTCCTCATACTGGTACACACACACAACACACAAACACACACACGCCCATGACCAGCACTTCGTCCTCATACTGGTACACACACACAAACACACACACGCCCATGACCAGCACTTCGTCCTCATACTGGTACGTACACACAAACACACACACGCCCATGACCAGCGCTACGTCCTCATACTGGTACACACACACAAACACACACACTCCGATGACCAGCACTACGTCCTCATACTGGTACACACACACAAACACATGCACACTCCGATGACCAGCACTACGTCCTCATACTGGTACACACACACAAACACACACACACGCGCCCATGACCAGCGCTACGTCCTCATACTGGTATAGACGATGACAACAAGATAATGAAAACCAAGGCTTCAAAAATGTTTTCAGTTTTCTTTTGAGGAAGATTTTGTGCAACATTTGTTTCAGTACACGGGGGGCTGTAGAGATTATCCATTTGTGACCCATTCATATACCAATACATTAAGCGTGTGCACCCATAGGACCCAGGCATCAGCAGCACCCAACCCCCGGGAGAATACTGGCCCTACGATGAAGGCCAAAAGAGAGCAGTGTTCATCAGAGATGCAGATGGGAATACACTCATCGGGAAGGTAAGGATTAGTGCAAGTACTAGGGCAAGTACTAGTACAAAGTAATAATACAATGAAATTTCTCACAATAAAAAAGCTGTTTGAGTAAGACTGATTAGAATTTTATGGAACAACAAAACATCATACAAAATCTGGTATTTTCAAAGGACAGACACAAAAATTAGACAAAGTAGATCGTACCTGAAGGAGTATTGCAAGGAACACAAATGCTCAAATCTTGTCATATTGTCACATAAAGCTTTTGTTACTTTAGACTTACTCAGTGAGAAAAGGAAGCACAAGCTTTACTCAAGTGAGAGTACTGTTACACTGTACAGTACTCAAGGGCAGTGCCTGAAAACCACTAAGATGTATCTTTGTATTCAATTTGTCTCCATGTTCTGTATGTGAGCAAAATGTGTCTTTCCCAGTACAGATATATTGTATAAGCAGCTCCTGAGGTTAAAATAATCTAAATAAAGAATCTACAGCAGACAAAAGTCTACATCTAATTATAAAGCATTTTATTGTCTGATCATCAGAAAGTGCATGTTGGCATGCTGGTTGTTGTTAGCTCTACTATGATTGCAAAACTCCCTCTGGTCTCTGAGAGTTGTGTAAAGTTCTTATAAACTCATCGTGGTGAATAATTAGGACACTCTGAATGCATAAGGTAAGTGAGAAAGAACTTTGGACCACTGCAAACCATTTTAAATGAACACATTCTGTTTTTCACATTTTAAGGTAGTGAAAATGAGGTAAGATGATCTGCCCTCCCTGCCCTCCCTGCCCTCCCTGCCCTCCCTGCCCTCCCTGTCCTCCCTGTCCTCCCTGTCCTCCCTGTCCTCCCTGTCCTCCCTGTCCTCCCTGTCCTCCCTGTCCTCCCGTCTCTCCTGTCTCTCCTGTCTCTCCAGGTGTGGCCTGGTCTCACAGCATACCCAGACTTCTCAGATGAGGCCACACATGAGTGGTGGTTCGAGAACATCCAGCGTTTCTACAGGAAGGTCCCCTTTGACGGCTTGTGGATCGTGAGTCCTCTTACACTGTACCAGCACACTGTGCCGTGTGTATGGACCATGTCTATGCCACACTGTACCAGCACACTGTACTATCTGTGATTACTGAACCAGTGTCTCTGTCAGGACATGAATGAACCCTCCAACTTCCTGGATGGCTCTACAAATGGCTGCCCCTCCAACAGCTTAGAGAACCCTCCATACACACCAGGTAGGTGCATTTCCATTACCATCTCACTTCTGATCGGTTCCAAAAATCTGCTGTGATAAATTGTTTTGAGATGGTGTTGGCTTTGATAGTTTCCAGACTTTTCATGAAGGATGATGTTTATGAGTGATTTATTTGCTGGTGTGGCCTTCAAAACTGCACTCCCAGTTTAATTTCTATACATACGTTAAAGAGGCAATATTTTACTTCTACGAGGTATTAACTGCTAGCTCATAGTATATTTAGATCACCATGTTACCGCTGATGTTTATATTCATTGAAAACAACGCATTAACAACTTGTTTTACATGTTTGATGTTGATGTAGCATACTCTCCCCTCTTTAATACCTGCCCCAGCCTTTGGTTCACAGGATGCTGTAATAATTCGAGTGCTCTCCCTGCTTGTGCTGCAGGTGTGCTCGGAGGTCTGCTGCGCTCCAAAACAGTGTGTGCCAGCGCCCAGCAGAAGCTCTCCTCTCACTACAACCTGCACAGCTTGTACGGCCTGCAGGAGGCCAGGGCTACCTCTAGGTCTGTGTTTGTGTGTGTGTGTATGGACCGTGTCTGTGTGTGTGTGGATGTGTAGTAGATGAATCATTCAAACAGACACATGTGTATTGTGTGTACAGCGCACTGAGGCGGCTCCTGGGGAAGCGTCCCTTTGTCATCTCGCGCTCATCCTTCCCTGGACAGGGACAGTACTCTGGACACTGGCTCGGAGACAACCGCAGTAACTGGAAGGACATGGCGGCCTCCATCGCAGGTCAGACTCTGCTGGGCCTTATCACAGAAGCACATCTGTTTCTTAGACCATTAGCCTATTAAGTGAAAATATGCGAAGTAAAAGATCCAGTAAAGTTCCATCAGGAGGAACTTTTTGAAGGAATATATCCACAATCAGGACAAGTTTAAAATAGTGTGTGCACAAATGACTGGAATTCCATTTGTTTTATCTATTTACGTTTCAGTCTGTTTAAGGAATTGTGTTTGTTTAGTTGTGTTTAAACATGTACAGATGTAATTATAACCTTTATTTCTCCCATAGTTGGGGCTAAAATGCGCGTGTGTGTGCGGGTGCGTGTGTGGGTGTGTGGGTGTGTGTGTGTGTGTGTGTGTGTGTGTGTGTGTGTGTGTGTGTGTGCGTGTGCGTGTGCGTGTGCGGGTGCGTGTGCGGGTGGGTGTGTGGGTGTGTGGGTGTGTGGGTGTGTGTGCGCAGGTATCCTGAGCTTTAACCTGCTGGGCGTGCCTCTGGTGGGGGCAGACGTGTGCGGCTTCAGTGAGCAGACAGACGAGGAGCTGTGTGTGCGCTGGACCCAGCTCGGAGCACTGTACCCCTTCAGCCGCAACCACAATGCCATGGACAGCCCAGTGACTATACAACACACACAAACACAACGCACACAAACACACACAACCACAACACCATGGACAGCCTGGTGACTATACACAACGCACACACACGCACACACACACACACAACCAAGGGTGTAGTACAAAATTATGGCCCCTGGGTACAGATGATCTTGATGGACATGTATTTGATGTTTTCTGTACAAAAATTGCATATTACAGATTTTGTGAAGGGCCTGATAAACGTGACTCTTTACCCCCTCACTCCGGCAACCTGGACCCCTCAGCCTTCACCCCTCTGCTCTACACTGTTCCACATCTACACTCATACTGATTGTGTTGTTGTGTTGTTGTGTTGTTGTGTAGGCTCAGGACCCCTCACATCTACATTCATACTGATTGTGTTGTTGTGTTGTTGTGTTGTTGTGTAGGCTCAGGACCCCTCACATCTACACTCATACTGATTGTGTTGTTGTGTTGTTGTGTTGTTGTGTAGGCTCAGGACCCCTCACATCTACATTCATACTGATTGTGTTGTTGTGTTGTTGTGTTGTGTAGGCTCAGGACCCCTCACATCTACATTCATACTGATTGTGTTGTTGTGTTGTGTAGGCTCAGGACCCCTCAGCCTTCAGCCCCTCTGCTCGCGCTGCCATGAGATCAGCCCTGCTCCTGAGATACTCCCTGTTTCCTCTGCTGTACACGCTGTTCCACCAGGCTCACGCACACGGGCACACAGTGGCCCGCCCCCTGCTGTTCGAGTCAGTACTACTCATCATGACATTACAACATTCTATAGGCCAGGATTATTTCAGATCACCTTTTGTAGTTCATTTCTTTCTGATAGATTGTGTTTAAACAAAAATCTAATTGAAGTCTAACTTGAGGAATGGAGCTCCAGATAGAGCAGTGCCTACAGCTAGCATCACAAGCCCAGGGAATATTGATTGCCAAGTGTCAATAATAGTATTATAACTGTCTGAATCATTTATCTTACTTATAAATGGAAATGTTCACAATAATGTTCAACAGAATGATAATTTTCTGTACTCATCTCTCATTCAAAATACAAAAAACATATATATTGATAAATGATCATTGAAATATCTTTGTCAAATCATTAGGGATGTAATTATTTTCTCCACATGTTTCAGACCTGATCACACAGATGGAAGCGATAGTATTGTCATTTTAGGCTGCATATCAAGAAGATGATCATCATTTATTGAATGAAATAAAAAAAAAATATGAAAAAAAAAATATATATATATTATCTTATGGCATCTTATTGTTCAGGGTGTCCCAAAAAAAATGACATAATTTCGCAGGCCAATAATTTCAGCAATTCTTGTTGAAATAACCTCAAATTTTTCAGAATGTATTGAAACAGATCAAGATTTTATATTTAATCTTTTGTTTTTGTTGTTTTCAGGTTGAGCCGTTCACTCCCAAAGAGAAGTCATTTTGTGTCTTGGAATCTGCTGCACACACACACCCAAGACTGTGCAGCTTCAATGTAAAATATGGAAAAACTTCACCAACTGGCAAACATAAGTATAGTATCCATGAGCCTTCCTCTTTAAATATTTGGTTCCAAGTTCACTTTTGTTTCACAGTTGGTGAAGTTTGTATTCCAAGACGCAAAATGACTTCTCTTTGGGAGTGAATAGCTCAACCTGAAAACAACAAAAAGAAAAGATTAAATATAAAATCTTGATCTTTTTCTATACATTCTGTGAAACTTTGAGGTTATTTCAACAAGAATTGCCAAAGGTTTTAGCCCATGAAATGATGTGACCCTGACACCCTGAATATGGTGAAGCACAGTGAGCACTGATGAAAACATGTATGTATGTATATATGTTTGTGTGTATGTATTCTACTCATCCTTGTCATTTGCCTTATGAGTCTGACTGTCCACACACAGGTTTCCCCATGACCCACACACCTATGGGATCGACCAGCAGTTTCTTTGGGGGCGGGGCTTACTGGTCACCCCAGTGCTACTTCCTGGTGTGGACTCTGTGCAGGGGTACTTCCCAGCTGGCCACTGGTACGATTTCTACACGGTAAGATACTCTGTAACACTCTTTAAACACTCCTGTTTGAATGAATACTTGAATTACCTGATTACCTGTTTATGCTGGAGTCATTGCACACGTTGGTAGTATATTGACTAGATTTCCTGCACTAACCTTTTAAAGAACCTTTCTAGCAGCAGTACTTTTACTCCTTCTTGAGTAATATTTTTATTGAAGAAACGGTACTCTTACTACTAAAAATTTTGGTTATGACTTAGACACAAATATGAAAAAAACGAATTATTAAATAATGCACAAAATCTGGAATTTTAAATTGACAGTTTATAAATCAGATTTTCTTCATTCCTTTTTGAATATTTTTTATTATTATTTCGTACTTCTGCTTGAGTGATTATTATTTTGAAGTAACACTAGCCAAACATTTTACCCAATTAAGAGTAATTTACTCAGCTCCCCCAGAGCCTTTCAGGCTGCATGTGGAGTGCCCTGTCTCTCCACCTGAGGGCGCCACAGGCAGCGTGAACTATTACCTGCAAACACATATGCGACTGCTGATTTTTCTCCCTGTGTTTGCACTGCTTTATGGTGTATGAATTGAACTTACTGTTTTTCGTTTCCAAATGTAAAGAGTTATAATATATGAAATCTGTTTTTATAATTATTACCTTTTTTAAGGTAAAGACATGAAAAAGCATAAATTCTGATACTGATGGACCATTTTGTGCCCACAGGGGAACAGCTTCCTCAGTGCTGGAGAGGAGAGGAGTCTACCTGCTCCTCTGGACAAGATCAACCTCCACCTGAGAGAGGGCACCATCACCCCCACACAGGTCTGCACACCCACACACCCATACACCACACACCCACACACCCACACACCCACACACCCACACACCCATACACCCATACACCCACACACCCACACACCCACACACCCACACACCCATACACCCACACACCCACACACCCATACACCCACACACCCACACACCCACACACCCACACACCCACACACCCACACACCCATACACCCACACACCCACACACCCACACACCCACACACCCATACACCCACACACCACACCCCTACAGAAGTCTGCTCACTCATCCATACACATTACCTGTCAACTGGCGTCACGGTGGCTGAGTGTTTAGCACTCATGCCTCACAGCAAGAAGGTTCTGGGTTCGATCCCCGGGTCGCCCGGGCCTTTCTGTGTGGAGTTTGCATGTTTCTCCCCGTGTCTGGATGGGTTTCCTCCTGGTGCTCCGGTTTCCCCCATCAACCCAAAACATGCTCCAGGTCTCCAGAACAGTTAATAGTCAAGATCAAGTTAAATACAATCAATTAAATCATTGTGTCCTTAGGCAAGACACTTCACCCACATTGCCTAGTATGAAAGTGGTGTGTGAGTGATGATGGTGGTCGGAGGGACTGATGGCATGGCAGCTGCGCTTCTGTCAGTGTGCCCCAGGGCAGCTGTGGCTACAATAGTAGCCAGGGTATAGAGTGAATGAATAATGCTGAATAATGCTCTGTAAAGCATCTTTGGGGACAGAAAATGTCTGTGAAAGCGCTATATAAATAAAGACTTACTTACTTAACTCTATAGTCCAAGTTTGTTTGTTGTATAGCAGCTATCAACCTGGGCTGTGGTCCTTCAGTCATTTAGTTGATTACTTGGTGGATGGTGCCTTACTCATTTTGCTTTTGGTTTAGTCGACTGCAGTCCTTTTATCAACACAAGACCACTTAACAAAGTTTATGAAATAACCTCAACTCCACCTGAGCAGCCCACTCTCTTCCTCTTCCTCACAAACTCATGACTGTGACATTACTGTGGGTCACTCTCACTAATGCTCACAGGAAGTGGTCCTAGTTTTGCCCTAAAACACCAGAATTTGTTGAATGCTGTCCAGAGTTGTGCAGCACAATGAGCTGGCACAGCCAGGAAATGTGTGACTGTTGAGTCGTGTGCATAAACAGGAGAGATAAAGACTACTGGCAGAATACACTGGTCATACTTCACTCCTCCACCGTGGCAGCAGGGTATTCCAGTCTCACATGTTTGTGCCCCGTTGGTAAGATCTCTTACCCTGATCTTGTGAAGCTCCACCCATCAGAGGCCATAGAGCTGTTTCACTGTTCCATGACAAGAATGGCATTGTTCCTCCTCCACTCTGTCCTGGTGTGTCCTCTCCCTGTAGGAGAGCCTGAGGCACCCATCCACCTCTGCCTCTGCATCCACAACAGAGAACTGCAGTCTGCAGCTCAGTTACAGAACGCAGCTTTACTCTGGATCACAGTTTCACAGAAGAACTTTGATACTATGTAGTGTGTAATGCTGTGTCCCTGTGTCCTCATGTCTTTGTGTGTGCAGAGGCCTACCCTGTCCTCATGTCCTTCTGTCTTTGTGTGTGCAGAGGCCTACCCTGTCCTCATGTCCTTCTGTCTTTGTGTGTGCAGAGGCCTACCCTGTCCTCATGTCCTTCTGTCTTTGTGTGTGCAGAGGCCTACCCTGTCCTCATGTCCTTCTGTCTTTGTGTGTGCAGAGGCCTACCCTGTCCTCATGTCCTTCTGTCTTTGTGTGTGCAGAGGCCTAACCTGACACTGTGGGTGAGCAGTGGGCAGCCCCTGCACCTGCTCTGTGCTCTGTCTGAGGAGGGAGACGCCTCTGGAGAGATGTTTTGGGACGACGGGGAGAGCCTGGACACATATGAGAATGAGCAGTACGCCTATGTGCTCTTCAACATTTCCAAGGTAACCACCCTTCTGTCTCCATACACACCACCCCATCTGTGTCTACTGCTGCTCTCTTCTCCTCTTCCAACCTCTGTCTCTGTCCCATCTGTATGTATGTGTGTGTGTGTGTTCACATGGAGGCATCTTAAGTCTCTCTCCTCTTCTCTCTGTCTCTTTCTCTCTAACCCCAGTATACGTGTGTGTGTGTGCGTGTGTGTGTGTTTGTGTGTACTTCCAGAACGTCCTGCGCTCTTCGGTGGTGCATGCTCATGTGGAGGCCTCTTACATCACAGTAGAATCCTCTTCGTTCTATGGAGTTCAGATCAGACCTGAGCAGGTCCTGGTCAACGGCCTGGAGGCCTCCTTCACCTATGAGGACAACAAGGTACACACTACTCTTCTACTACAAGTACACACTACTGCACTGTGACATCACACTGTTCTACTACAAGTACACACTACTGCACTGTGACATCACACTGTTCTACTATAAGTACACACTACTGCACTGTGACATCACACTGTTCTACTATAAGTACACACTACTGCACTGTGACATCACACTGTTCTACTACAAGTACACACTACTGCACTGTGACATCACACTGTTCTACTACAAGTACACACTACTGCACTGTGACATCACACTGTTCTACTACAAGTACACACTACTGCACTGTGACATCACACTGTTCTAGTACAAGTACACACTACTGTACTGTGCCCTCACACTGTTCTAGTACAAGTACACACTACTGTACTGTGCCCTCACACTGTTCTACTACAAGTACACACTACTGCACTGTGACATCACACTGTTCTACTATAAGTACACACTACTGCACTGTGACATCACACTGTTCTAGTACAAGTACACACTACTGCACTGTGACATCACACTGTTCTACTACAAGTACACACTACTGCACTGTGACATCACACTGTTCTACTATAAGTACACACTACTGCACTGTGACATCACACTGTTCTAGTACAAGTACACACTACTGCACTGTGACATCACACTGTTCTACTATAAGTACACACTACTGCACTGTGACATCACACTGTTCTACTACAAGTACACACTACTGCACTGTGACATCACACTGTTCTAGTACAAGTACACACTACTGCACTGTGACATCACACTGTTCTACTACAAGTACACACTACTGCACTGTGACATCACACTGTTCTAGTACAAGTACACACTACTGCACTGTGCCCTCACACTGTTCTAGTACAAGTACACACTACTGTACTGTGATCTTGTTGTGTAGAGTTCTGTCCTAAACGTCCATGCAGTGGACCGCAGACTTCACACAGCCTTCTCTGTTGTTACTGTCCAGTATTAAAGATGCTTTTAGTAATTTTTCTCTGTGGTTTCATCACACATTTATTCAATTACCAGTGTGAGAACTGCTAAAAAACGTACATCTAATTCTTCCTGAGAGGCCTCGCCTCTCCACAGAGCTCCACTTGACCTGGTGGAACGTCAATGAGAAAAGTTCTTAGAGCACTTCTGACACAAAATTATTACTATTATTATTTGAGTCTTTAGCTTTAAAAGATTCGGATGTTTCTGGAGGATGTTGGTGTAATTTGAACTTCAAAAATACTAAATGATTAAAAGTCTTTATTACCATATGGCAGATTGAGTACCATCCTTCTTTTGTTTTCACCTTTGTACTTGAGACTGTGCCATGGAGCGTTTACTGACTCGAGCGTGTCTTCTGTGTGTGTCCAGGTTCTGACTGTAGCAGACCTGGGACTGAACCTCAACCAGAACTTCACCATCAGCTGGAGCTAACTGCAGACCACATACTCCACATACTCACAGACTGACATGGAAACAAGCAAACAGGAGGGGGCGCTCTACACTTTACCACACCATCCGCTGGAGCTAGCCAGAGGAGCACATACACGCAGGCTTCCATGGACATGAGCAACCAGGAGGGGGCGCTCTACACTGTACCGTACCATCAGCTGGAGTGAACGTGCCTGTACAGGGTTTTAAGCAGTTTGTTCTGCTGTGATATTGCACCATGACCCACAAACTACTGTCTGGGAACGTGTTTCCTCTTTACTGAGTATGATTAGTCCTTTTGGTCACTTTTTAAAATGCAATGTGACAGAGAATCATGTGTCCGGGATTGTGTCAGATAGTTGATTTCTCATGATTCTTAGTAACAATGTGCCTGATTGGATGATAAATGTGACGCTGTCAGTAGCTTCTGCATTAATCACTACTTGAGTAAATATTCATAACTGAATCGATTATACTTTACACTAATCTTTTTCCAAACGATGAATGATGGAAAGAGCGTTCAAATTAGGTACAGTAGCGCTTTAAGCAGAGATGTCATGGATACAACCAGCCAGGAGGGGGCGCTCTTACACTTTTACACATGTTTGACAAATACTTAAAGTGCATATGGCAGGTTAAAGTGCTTTTCACTAAACATAGTTAACATCATTTTATTTAAGATTTCACTTCAAATGACCTAGTTTCATCTAGTTTTTATAATTTGATTTTAGAGAGCAGATGTAACATACGAGGTCATTCTGTAACTGTTACCTGGCAACTGTAATGTAACCAAGGGCCAAAATGTGTCCAAATTACACAATGTAGTACACAGTGATTAAACTCACACAAATAGAGGACATCCTTTATTTTGTTTAAACTGTCAAAGTGTTTTTGTGCGTGAATTGCCTTTTTTTTTGCCATAAATTGTCACTTAACTGATGTAAAACTATGATAAACATTTAACGCAGGTACTATCTATGAAACCAAGTCAGAATTTAAAACTTGAAAACCAGTCACATGCATTTTAAAGGGTCTATATTACATAACAGTGACTCTTGTGAGCTTTTAGTCATGTTAAAATGCCGTTACCTCCTCAAAAACAGACCTGGAGTAATCCTTTTTTATTAGTCCGTCTACATCTCCAAAGCTCAAAATTCTCTTCCACCTTGCGATGTCATGTAGTGGTATTTTCCAAGTCGGCATCTACACTTTTACCTTTTGTTTAGCAGAGACTCGAAACTCCAGGGTTGAAATTCGAGTGTATGGAGTAAAAATAAGTTGAGAGATGAACTAAATGTGCAGGTTTGTGTGTTAAACATGTGAATGAAACAAACACAACTCCAGGTGTGTTTGTGATGAGGAAACGACATTCAGACACAGATCAGAAAAGAGCTTAAAGTGTTCCCTTTAATGGTTGCGCCTGGTTGTTGTTTTCATTAGTTTTGCTGATAAGTGCAATATACCAAAATGTGTTTCATGTTTGAAGTATGAGTTGAATTTGTGTTCGCACTGATCACACATGTAGCTTTAACTGTCCCAGAGCCCAGCCCTGTGAGAGGAGGTCCTGTGACGTCCCCGTGAAGCTCACAGGCCTATTTTTATAACAGGGACTGCTTTTCTGGATGATTTGAGTGAGACACACTGCTGCTGCTCCTTCTGCTGCTGCTGCTTCAAATGCCTTCGTACATATCCATGTTTTACGGTGTGCATGTCCCTGTACGACTCATGTTTGAAACTTTGTGTTGCTGATGATTTGCTCAAATGTTGAAAGTTTTAATTTGTGTTTAAAATAAAGTTTAATTTTTAACATGTTTTCGAGAGCGGTCAAATGGTGAATCATTTGTACAGTGGAATGTTGCTGTGAAAAAAATAAATAAACATTTGCTCTCAACTCAAACCACTTCAAAACAATGTTGTACTTATACTTACTTTATACTACACTTTTATAGTCTTATGGTAATGACGTAGTAAAAATACTACTGTGTTATTCGTAGAAGTCCAGCATGAGCCTGAGTGGACGTGACAGGGCATGAGGGTGTGTGTCACGCACACATCTAACACAACAAGTGTGACGAAACCTGGACTAGAACAGAACTGAACCAGATCTACATCAGGTCTCAGGAGGAGGTTCTTGTCAGTGTGGAGTAGTTTCTCTGAGTGACACTTCACCATCTTCATGTTTCGTCTGCACTTCCTGTCCTGTCATGTCCCTGATGGACGACAAACCCCATTTCCTGTTCAGTCCTGCTGGAGTTACACAAACAGTAGAGAGCGAGACGTTTCACCACAACTGGAGCTAAACAGACGAGACTGTGAGAGAAGCAGATCAAATCCTCAGCTGAGACAGACCTGGGCATTGTCCAGCGTCCGGAGCCACATACGGCTCTTTGGTCGACTTAAGCTCATTTGGAATTATAAAATAAACATATTTTATCATTTGACCTCATGCCTGGACTAAAGCTGCTTTTATTGATTTTTTTTTTTTTTTTTTTTTTTTTTAGAGGTGTTTTGTTAAAATGACTTTTTTGTAAGGCAACCAGAACTAAACCAGGACTAAACCAGGTCTAAACCAGAACTAAACCAGGTCTAAACCAGGTCTAAACCAGAACTAAACCAGGTCTAAACCAGAACAAAACCAGGTCTAAACCAGGACTAAACCAGGTCTAAACCAGAACTAAACCAGAACTAAACCAGGTCTAAACCAGGACTAAACCAGGTCTAAACCAGGTCTAAACCAGAACTAAACCAGGTCTAAACCAGGTAAACCAGGTCTAAACCAGACTAAACCAGAACTAAACCAGGTCTAAACCAGGTCAAACCAGTAAACTAAACCAGGTCTAAACCAGAACTAAACCAGGTCTAAACCAGGTCTAAACCAGAACTAAACCAGGTCTAAACCAGGACTAAACCAGGTCTAAACCAGAACTAAACCAGAACTAAACCAGGTCTAAACCAGGACTAAACCAGGTCTAAACCAGGTCTAAACCAGAACTAAACCAGGTCTAAACCAGGACTAAACCAGGTCTAAACCAGACTAAACCAGAACTAAACCAGGTCTAAACCAGGTCTAAACCAGAACTAAACCAGGTCTAAACCAGGTCTAAACCAGAACTAAACCAGGTCTAAACCAGGACTAAACCAGGTCTAAACCAGAACTAAACCAGAACTAAACCAGGTCTAAACCAGGACTAAACCAGGTCTAAACCAGGTCTAAACCAGAACTAAACCAGGTCTAAACCAGACTAAACCAGGTCTAAACCAGGACTAAACCAGAACTAAACCAGGTCTAAACCAGGTCTAAACCAGAACTAAACCAGGTCTAAACCAGAACTAAACCAGGTCTAAACCAGGTCTAAACCAGAACTAAACCAGGTCTAAACCAGAAATAAACCAGGTCTAAACCAGAAATAAACCAGGTCTAAACCAGAACTAAACCAGGTCTAAACCAGGACTAAACCAGAACTAAACCAGAACTAAACCAGAAATAAACCAGAAATAAACCAGGTCTAAACCAGAACTAAACCAGGTCTAAACCAGGACTAAACCAGGACTAAACCAGGTCTAAACCAGGTCTAAACCAGAAATAAACCAGAACTAAACCAGGTCTAAACTGGATGTAAACCAGGACTAAACCAGAACTAAACCAGGTCTAAACTAAGACTAAACGGCTTTAGTGATTTACTGCTTTTTTTTTAATTTTTTTTTATTTTTTACTAAATACAATTATTATTCTGCAGAATTGTGTTCAACATTTTAGCTCCACAATATTTTCTGTTTCTCATGAGTCCCCATGGAAAAAAGAACTGCCCACTCCTGATGTAATCTGACCAAGACTAAAGATGTGGAGACACTGAAGGACGCCTCAAACACAGACACTTTTCCATACAGGACCAATAAAGTGACCCTTATCCTTATCTTGAGGAATTTGGACATCAATACATTCATCACAAATGTCAGACTTCTGGTTATCGCACAATTCATACTGAGAAGCATCAAACCTCCATGTTTGTTTTCCCAGTGGGATGTGTCTATTGACAAACTCGATCTTTTCAAGTCTTTTGAACCATATCACTTTTGTTTCTGGTTCTGATGTTGTCATATTTTAGATTTGGGATTCAGACATTGTAATTGTGTGGTTGTTGGATCCTAACAGCAGAAACGGCTCGAGAAATGTGTTTGCAAACTCCATAAATGCAAAAGGGAATCAGATGTGTGTGACTGCAAACCTCTGTTCAAACTGTTTCTCTTCTGTGTGGAAGAGGTTTGATGCTCACTTTTTCGGAAAATCCTTCCCAGTATGGATTGTGCGATGACCAGAAGTCTGAAATGATGCATGTACATGATTAGAACAAGAAAATCGTTCTGTTCTGGTGAGTGAGGGCGAGGGTGCAGTGTGAGGGGAGTTTGAGGTACTTTGAGTTTACCCTTTGGAATTATGAATCATCTAAATAAAATCTTTCATTACAATAATAATGCTAATCCCAAAGAAATACACGACAACTTCACTGCCTTCTACACCTCCTTCTACACCTCAGAAGTTCTTTTTAATAAGCAAACAAACTCGTTCCATATATTGAACGTTCCAGTCTGGAGTTTCCCATCACAATCCCAGAACTTTTTAAAGTTTTAAAATCGATGAATTTGGGTAAGTCTCCTGGATTGGATTTCCTTCCTTCAGAGTTTTATCTGACATGTTGGTCTCAGGACAAACGACCCAATGGAAAGTCCTCTTCCTCTGCTGGATATACAAGACTTTATATACTGCAACACTTCTCCAAGCATATCGAGAAAATATGAGTCCACAGTCAGTTTAGAATTATTTGAATAAACACTGTAAACTCAATAATAAATGTTTTTTGTATTACCCAGTGTTGGGAAGTTACTTTTAAAATGTAATCCCCTACAGATTACAGATTACATACTCCAAAATGTAATTTGTAATTTAATCCATTAAATTACTTAGGGTGAGTATTGTAATCTGAATACTTTGGATTACTTGATTTTGCTGTAGAGAAACAATTAAATTATTAATACTATTAAAAGAAAATAAAAAGCCCAGACTTTACTGAACCAAATTAAAAATATTACTGATAGAAGAAGAGGAGACATGGTCCATGCAGCATGATTTAGTCCTGTTAAATCCTGTTTGAGACCTGATTTAGAACTGGTTTTAGACCTGGTTTAGACCTGGTTTGGACCTGGTTTAGACCTGGTTTAGACCTGGTTTTAGAACTGGTTTAGTCCCGGTTTAGACCTGGTTTTAGTCCCGGTTTAGTCCTGATTTAGACCTGGTTTAGTCCTGATTTAGACCTGGTTTAGTCCTGGTTTAGACCTGGTTTAGTCCCAGTTTAGACCTGGTTTTAGTCCCGGTTTAGTCCTGATTTAGACCTGGTTTAGTCCTGATTTAGACCTGGTTTAGTCCTGGTTTAGACCTGGTTTTAGTCCTGATTTAGACCTGGTTTAGTCCTGGTTTAGACCTGGTTTAGTCCCAGTTTAGACCTGGTTTTAGTCCCGGTTTAGTCCTGATTTAGACCTGGTTTAGTCCTGATTTAGGCCTGGTTTAGTCCTGGTTTAGACCTGGTTTTAGTCCTGGTTTAGACCTGGTTTAGTCCCGTTTTAGACCTGGTTTTAGTCCAGGTTTAGTCCTGATTTAGACCTGGTTTAGTCCTGATTTAGACCTGGTTTAGTCCTGGTTTAGACCTGGTTTAGTCCTGGTTTAGACCTGGTTTTAGACCTGGTTTAGTCCCGGTTTAGTCCTGATTTAGACCTGGTTTAGTCCTGATTTAGACCTGGTTTAGTCCTGGTTTAGACCTGGTTTAGTCCTGGTTTAGACCTGGTTTTAGACCTGGTTTAGTCCCGGTTTAGACCTGGTTTTAGTCCCGGTTTAGTCCTGATTTAGACCTGGTTTAGTCCTGATTTAGACCTGGTTTAGTCCTGGTTTAGACCTGGTTTGGACCTGGTTTTAGACCTGATTTGGACCTGGTTTTAGTCCTGGTTTAGACCTGGTTTGGACCTGATTTTAGACCTGGTTTGGACCTGGTTTTAGTCCTGGTTTAGACCTGGTTTTAGACCTGGTTTAGACCTGGTTTTAGACCTGGTTTGGACCTGGTGTAGTGTCCAGCAATGAGTGGAATTACCAGACAAAAAACAAAAAAAACAAAAAAAAGTGAAAACAGGAAAATACCACCATTTACTTCAACAAAGTAACTGTAATCCAATTACCACTCACTGAAACAGTAACTGTAACTGAATACAGTTACTCATAATTTGTACTCTGATTACATAATTCCAGTACATGTAATCTGTTACTCCCCAACACTGATTACCCAGTATTTCAAAGTAGGAGTGTGTCTTATCTCATTCTTTTCTTGGAGCAGAAATGTACGTTGGGTGACAGTTGCAACGCCTCTGGCCTCCTGTTTCCAAGACCTGCAGACAAAATATAACTAATATGTAATATTTTTGATGATGTTCCAGGTATAGCTGGGATCTCCAAACAAAGTCCACAGAAGTCTTCAGAAATGGCTGAATTTAACGTAAAACACACACGTAAGACAAGTCTACTGGTTGTACAGATTTGGTAAGAGTTTTGGAGCACCTCAGACAGAGTTAGTCAGGCTGGTGGAATCTAGTGCCTCCGCTCAAATTCATTTCTCTCCAGCGACTAGGTCAGGAATCAGACCAGACGGTTCGCAAAAACCCTGGAAGTGCGAGTTCAGGCACCAACCAATCAGCAAAGAGTCATACATTCAGTGTTGTCAATGATTCCTGAGATCGAGGATTTAAAGCCGGAACAAAGAGAATGTTTGGT